ATCTGGAGCAATCACCAAAACCTCCAGTACTTCCAGAAACCCCAAAAACTCAATCAGAGACAGGCCAGATGGGTCACTGAGCTCGCTGAATATCACTTCAGCCTTCACCACAAGCCAGAAACAGCCAATAAGAAAGCCAATCTTCTCAGTTGCAGGGCAGACCACGAGCAGGGGAAAAATGACAACCAAGACATAATCGTACTTACCCCAGAACACTTTAGGGCCTTGGAGATGCCCTCGGAAGAAGAAATCCACGACCGAATCCGACGAGCCACTAAGGATCCCCGGCATTGGGATCAGGGTGTTGCCACAGCCCTTAATCATGATGAAGGTATTATCTGAAAGGAAGAGCTGCTGCTCCATGACCACTGTATCTATATACCCCACGACTTCGCATTACGTGGTGAAGTGATCGCACGCCATCATGACCACGTATTAGCAGGCCACCCAGGGATAGAGAAAACAAAGGAGCTGGTTTTATGGGAATACTGGTGGCCGAAGATGAGGAAGGATATAGAAACCTACGTTCGTGGATGCGAGACATGCCAGTGCACCAAAACCTCCACCCAAGCAAGGAGCGCTCCGCTCTATCCAAATGAAGTCCCCGACCATCCATGGGACATCATTACGGTCGACCTAATCACGGACCTACCCGAGTCAAATGGCCACAACGCAATCCTTAATATAGTAGACCAGTGCTCAAAGACTCTCATCCCCGTGCCCTGCTCAAAGGAACTATCTGCAGAGGGTTGGGCCAGAATTCTTCGTGACAAAGTCTGTTGCAAATATGGGCACATACCAATCAAGATCATATCTGACCGAGGACCTCAGTTCATGGCCAAGTTCACCCGAGAACTCTACCGAATGATGGGGATCAAGGGAAACCCCTCCACCGCCTACCATCCCCAGACAGACGGACAGACCGAGAGAGTCAATCAAGAGGTAGAAAAATACCTGCGCATTTTCATCTCTTACCGACAAGACGACTGGAGTGAATGGCTACCTCTCACCGCATTCGCCCATAATAACTGACAACATTCATCTACAGGCCTCTCGCCTTTCAAAGTCACGTTCGGCCAAGATGGAGACCTATTCCCCGACACTAGTGCCGATACGTATGATGTCCCAGCAGCTCAAGAGTTTGCGGACCGCATAACACAGATTCATCGTGATGCCAAGGACACCCTTCAGAAAGCGGTGGATCACATGAAACAGAGTTACGATCAACATCGCACACCCAGCTGTCAGTATCAGGTCGGCCAACGAGTATGGCTTGACGCACGGAACCTCCACCTGCCAAGACCAAAGAAGAAACTGGATGACAAACAAGTTGGACCATTCAAAATCACCGCCAAACATGGCATCAGCACATACGAACTTGCCCTACCGCCAGCCTGGCGAATCCATAATCGATTTAACGAATCCCTATTATCGCCCTTCCATCCACCCCAATTCCCGAACCAACAACAACCTCCAGCACCCCCACCCGAATTAATCGACGGGGAAGAAGAATACGAGATCGAAGAGCTACTTGACCACCATAACCACTGGAAAGGAAGGGGGAGACACAGAAAGGAGGTCACCGATTTCCTAGTCAAATGGAAGGGATACGGACCAGAGGAAAACTCATGGGTAACTCGAGCCAACCTTGGCAACGCGGAGGAACTGGTGCTTGACTATGAGGCATGTATGGGGGAAACAGTAAATAATACATGGGACGAGTATGCCGAGGACTCAGACAATGAGGAACCAACTTCGGACGACAGCGACGAGGAGGGGGACGTGGACTCAGTCAGGACGACTGAGTCTTAAGGAGGGGGTAATGTTACGTGCTTTTTCCTTTTTCTCACATTTCGGTTCTCCAGTACCCTATTGACTCATATACGCTTAGTACCACGAGACACAGACGTCACACTCCAACTTCTATTCGGACTACGACTGCCAGCTCATCGTACCACTACGGACTTATTAATCACTATTCTTAGAACTACTCTCGTGTATTTAAGCAAGCCAAACTGTGGCCTTAAGCCCCAGCTTTGGCTAAGGTTTATATACCTAGTTATCGACTCTATCTCTCTTGCCTAGGCTGTCTAAGTCAACCGCTAAAAGACTACTTGCGCCTGCTCATTGTATGCTTGACTGAAGTGCAAGTCATGTCACGAGTTTGACCTTGTTTGTCATACTAGTGGCTTACAAATTCTGTGGCATTAGCTCTAATGCCATGACCTTTCCTCAATCTTTACTAATGCTGTTATACTGCCAAGATATTGCCGCAAGCATCTACTTCAGTACACTTGCTTCGATGTACTTTGCCACAGCAACACAGCAGCTCAAAATTCCGGAGATCGGTGGCATTCTTGCTAATCACTTCATCTATATGCAGTAAATCCATATGGGTGCTGTTACTTTCAAACCACAGTACACAGTAAAACTGTGTGGGTGCTGTTACTTTAGAACTCTGGGAGCATGCGTTTTGTATCATTTCTTACCAATCTATGTACTACAGACTTACTAAGGACTCGCTTCAAGTATTCTAAATTTATTCTGGACTTGTAGTATAAAAGCTAGTATACACCACGGAAAATAGGGAGTTGCTAGACAAGTTACTGGACACTAGCCACCATCCACGTTATCAACCACAGTTATCGCTTGTACTCACTAGGAGATAGACAATAACAACATAGTCACTCCAAGTTATACTCTCTGTCATGGCTTTTCTTCTAACGGTATTGGTGTACGCTCATATTGCGCCAATACATGGAATTTGGTGTCCACAACTCGCTTTTATCTCTTAATCCACCAGCATCGTTTCACTTTCACCAGCCAGGATCGTTTTCATCAGTTTTCACCTTCTATGTCGCCATCGTTTTACCCAGTTCAGTTCAGGATCGTTATGTCCCCGTGTGGACTCAGATTAGGATCATTATTGCTGCCAGCAGCATCTGTCATGGAATTTTGGTCAACAGCTTCAGTATAGGATCATCAGTCACGGTATTTGGTATCTTGCCGTCAGTTTCAGTATAGGATAGTCTCCGTGTAGACTCAGGATTAGTATCAGTTTCGTTTTGCCGTCGTTAACCTCAGTATAGTTTCAGTTTCAGTCCAGTCCAGTCCCAGCCATTGTTTTGCCGTCACTAGTTCCCCCTCATATCATTGCCAGTTTGTCTTATCTTCGTTTTACCGCCAGTTTCTCGTTTCTCGACTACAGTCTTCGTCTCTTGCCGTCACGGTATTTGTTATCTTGCCAACAGTATTTCTCTTTGATGGCATTTTCTCTAATTCTGTCAACATCGCCCACGGCTTTTACTAGTTAAATTGCCGTCACTTTGTTCACGGTTTGCCGGTATTCCCAGTTATACCGGATTCCATTCCTTCTCATCTATCGAGACCCTTCCCGGCTTACAGCCAACGTTTTCTAGTGCTTGATCATTAAGGGTACTACTTCGCTGACTGAAAAGTCACAGTATACTTGTGTTCTTGAGGAATTCATCGCACAGAGGTGCACCGAAACACTCGCACAACAACAAAGCCTTTATTGCCACTACATGCCATTTGCCATGAACTCCTCTAGAGTTTTGGTTTTTGCTGTTGCCACGGAAGTTTAGGCTCATCACCGGCAAGCCGTGAACAAAGCGACGGCAATTAACTAGTAAAAGCCATAGGCAGAATTGGCGGAATTAATGGAAATGCCATCAAAGAGAAATACCGTTGGCAAGATAACAAATACCGTGATGGCAAGAGATGAAGACTGTAGTCGAGAAATGAGAAACTGGTGGTAAAACGAAGATAAGATGAACTAGCGATGATATGAGGGGGAACTAGTGATGGCAAAACGATGGCTGGGACTGGGCTGGACTGAAACTGAAACTATACTGAGGTTAACAATGGCAAAACGAAACTGATACTAATCCTGAGTCTACATGGAGACAATCCTATACTGAAACTGATGGCAAGATACCAAATACCGTGACTGATGATCCTATACTGAAGCTGTTGACCGGAATTCCATGACAGACACTGCTGGCGGCAATAACGATCCTAATCTGTGTCCACATGGGGACGTAGCTGTACTGAGCTGAACTGGGGTGAAATGATGGCGACGTAGAAAGTGAAGACTGGTAAAACAATGCTGGCTGGTGAAAGTGAAATGATGCTGGCGGAATAAAAGATAAAAGCGAGTTGTGGACACCAAATTCCATGTATTGGCGCAATATGAGCATACACCAATACCATTAGAAGAAAAGCCGTGACAGAGAGTATAACTTGGAGTGACTATGCTGTTATTGTCTGTCTCCTAGTGGGTACAAGAGATAGCGGTTGTAGCAACTTAGTTACTTGTCGTTGATAACCTGTGTGTCCCCGATAACTACTACTCCACTAGCTTTTATACTACAAGTCCAGAATAAAATTAGAATACTTGAAATGAGTCCTTAGTAAGTCCTTAGTACATCGATTGGTAAGAAATGATACAAAACGCATGCTCCCAGAGTTCTAAAGTAACAGCACCCACACGGTTTTACCATATATAGACTTGGTGATCAGAAAGAATTCCGCCAACATACGGACTCTTGGGCTGCTGTGTTGCTGCGGCAAAGTACACTGAAGGTAGTACACTGAAGTAGATGCATGCGGCATTATCTTGGCATTGTAACAGCCTTAGTAAAGTGAGTGGAAAGGTCACGGTATTAGGTCTTTTGCTGTGGAGTTGGTACTTTGACTGTGGCATTCTTCTAAATGACGCTTGATGCTGATGTCATTGATGGCTGTGCTGGGTGATCAATGATGGTCCTAAATCCATGAGATCTGCAATCAGGTGCCTGGCAGCATTAATGAAGTGGTGCAGATTGATACGGAATACGAGCTGGGAAGGATAGTTGGCGGTAAGAGTGGGTATTGCCATGATTGCAATTGTTGACTTAGTGAAAGTCTGCTAAGTGGACAAGGCATTTATTCTAATGCTAAAATCCGCAAATTCTGAGCATACAGAGCCTTGAGGCTCATCATCGTGTTTGTTGGTGAAGCTTTGTTCCTGTGGAACATCAGAAGAGCTTCTAAGGCATAGATGATACTTACCAAGTGCCTGTTCACATCCACCAGTTGCCTGGTCCAGCCAGTCCCATTCAAAGAAGGTTGCGATTGCCCTTTTGCAGATATTCATCTTGAGGTCACACACGAGAAGTAACGTTTGTACAAATGTGATGTTGAGGGATGCTAACTCGGGGAAGGACTGGCCGACATTCAGAGATGCATAGAGCTGGTCGATCTGATTGCAAAGCTGTTGATGGATGTAGGAGAGTTGCGATAAATTGAAATTTGGCTGAGATACAGTCATTGGTAAAGACTTCAGGGCAGTCTGAGTGGCCTGGATGGCAGACTCAACAGTGTCAGCATGTGCCTGTAATGATGTTAGAACAGCGTCAAGCTCTTTCTTCAGTCAAGCAGGGGCATCTTTAAATACCAAGTGTTATATCAAGCACCCCCAATAAACAAGTTGACTTATGCAAGCGTATGGATGTCTGTGTCTGGTGTTGGTCTGCCCATTGTTGCCGCAGGAAGGGGACTGACTTCCCACAGGATTCCAGGTCAGCATGTGCCTTTGCACCCTTTTTCTCTACACCTTCTTGGACCTTCCGATGTATCCATCCTCCAAGATCCTCACGAATAGACTTTGCCATAAAAGCCACCTGATGATCAAGGAGATAGATTCGTTGTCGATGCTATATATTCTTGATTGTCAGCGATCTTCACTTGACCTTATTGCTTGGAGATTCATACTGCAGAACTTCGAGTAATACCAATGAGCTTCTGAAGGCATGACCAGAAGCGCTCTACACCTTCACCATCTGTCAACCCAAGACCATCCATCAACCTAGGATTGTATACTAGCTGACAAGCCCATTGGTGCCCATATGAGTGCATCGCTGAGGTTGCAAAGACAAGTCGTTCAGTTAACATTGGTGGAAAGATGTCATACTAGAGTGTATATCAGGAGCTGAGACTTGGAGAAGATTAGAGAATAGACATCATACCAGATTGATGCTTCAATCCATTACACATCCAATATCATACAATACAGCAATAGAAGCGGCTGCGGGCAGATGAGAGGCAAGTTTGTCAATGAGGGCAACAGCATACTTCTGCTGCTCTCCAGGAGTATCCACATTGGCAAGGAATAGAGGAACATCATGATGACACACCAGCGCAGCTAAGCCTGTGTCATCATAACGTCCTCCATGGGTTTTCTCCTTCTTCTCATCAGCAGCGTCAAATGACTTCTTGTCTTCATCAACAGCAATGTCTGGAATCTTGGGTGAATAATTCTTTTTGGTGCCAGCATTGCATGCAATTTCAATACGAACTCCAGCTTCGTCAACCTCATGCTTGGAGAGGATATACCTGGGGTCATAGAAGTGCGGGCAGTCTCCTGCCGATGTTCGGTGATGCTGATTGAAGTTGCAGTCAACAGCAACATGGACATCACCACCTCTATTTAAATGTGAGAGTCTGAATACCACATACTAGTTCACAGTACTCACTCGGAAAAGCCCCGTCCAAAGCGAGTTCCAGAAAAACAAGCAGGACATCGCTGTTGCAAAAGGTCCGAACATCAACCATGAGTCAGCATAATATTGACACATTTCCCATGGGCTGGAGAGCTGTACACTGAACCATTGTCAACATTTATAGTTGGTGTCAATGGCTGTATGTTATTCAGAGTCGCAAATGAATCGGGGATCTTGGCACAGGAGTTTGAGAGCATGGAATCAATCTCATCTTCCAAAGCGAGTCTGACACATCCATACCACTTGGTTGCATATCCGAACCCACGACGAAAGGGCTCTTGCATTGGGACACCCTGGAATATGGATTTTAAGTGGTCTGAACAAGTAACAGAAGTTACCCTACCTTCACATCAAGCATCCAGAACCCATGGCTCACATAAAAGTCTTGCAATGCCGAGCAAAATGCAGAGTTCAACATTCCGGAATGTTCTAATAAGGACTGGTAGAGGCTGAGCAAGTCGATGGATACTGCAATGCATGGCTCCCGAGGTGAGGTAGGGAATAGGCTATTCTCGATGAGAATTACAGGCAGGGATTCTGTATGCAATCAGCAGTATTCAAATGTTCTGGTCTCGAAATCTGCAATGAGCTATTCAGCATGGAATCTGTGAGTTCATGCTGTCAATACCTACAGTTCCAATACAGGCATAAAATGCTGCATTGTTCATGCAAGTTCATGCAAGTTCCAGCGCTGCAAAGCAAGGGAGGGGGGCCAATGTCTAAAGCAGATCTTTTCTGAAATGAGGCCAATGGTCTGACCAGGTGTGGCAGAAGCGCCCTCCAATCATGATACAAATTCTGGGTGTACCCACTGGGCTGCATGCAGCAGGGTTTCGTGGGTGTGGGTGCATCAATATCTGGCCACTCATCCTTGCCGTCCTCAAGGTTGTGAGTCTGTGGAAGCTCAACTTCAATGTCGAGCCTTGAGCTTGAAGCTTCATTGTCTGACTCCCAACCATCTCCTTCGTCATCATCAGCATCCACACTCCCACTGGCCACCTGCTGACATGCACACTCCTCGGCTTCCCTGACCCATTTCAGCAGCGATAGTCTGGCGTAGTCGTACGCAGCATCACTGACACGTTTGGTAGGGTCCTTGCGATCATGCTTGCATTTGACTGGAGAGAGCTTGAGCATCCAAGACATTGTGGTAATGCAGATGTGTCACTGGAGTAAATATGAAGAAAACCGATTGTATTTGGAAAATATAATTATGAACGTCCTGCCACGATCGCACTGAAGGTCGAGGATCATCAGGTTGGAAATGGGGAGAGAATGTCATGTTGGAAAGAGGGGAACGTCATTGATGAGTTGGTGCCTGACACTCAGCGAGATTTCATGGCCCGATATGAGGCAAAGGGCATGAACGTTATGGCGAGGCAGGCCCGTTAGGCCCATTTGATGGCTATATAATTAGGGCTTAGTGGTCTACTTTTATTTCAAATCCCCCTGCCAGAGGTGAGAGGGTTATAGAAAGCCGTAACTGGTCTGGCCAGGGGCTATACTCTGGGTTGGCTTAGCTAATTTGCAGTGATTGGTGAGCATGCGGCACACTATGGCCGGCATGCCGGGTGGCTGAAAGTGATTGCCACTGTGGCTGAAAAACTCTGTCTTCCCAACTTCTCCCTATTGGTCGATGAACTGTTGATGCCTTTACTTTCACTGCCATCTTTTAACATGATTCTCTTTCTTTTTAGGTTCAGTTCCAGAATGCGATTTGATTTCACATCTGTTATCGCTCAAGTACGTTGTTTCCTGCTAATCAGTTTTGCTTGCCACAATACATCTTTACTGATGATCTACTTAGCTAAGACTAGCATTTTAGATGAAGCAGGGAGCATGGAGTAGAGTTACCTGTGAGTGCATGTGGGTTAGGCAAGATATTCAGAGTAGCATTGATGCCTGAGTGGGATGCAGGTGGCATGGGGAGTTGCTATGGTGCAGGCTACATGCCGTATGTGTACCTTTAGCTACTTTTCATCTATCTACATGTATGATATTTTTGAATTCATGAAATTGATTGAGGATTTGGACTTGCCACAATCGCAACAGCCTCCCACTTGATTTGCATGGTACAATGTATGCAGTATGGAATATTTTCATTTTCATGACCTAATGCAGGGATGGACAGAAATTTGAATGGAGAGTAAAAGCATAGCATATCATAGCTGGGATTAGATGTTAGATTGTGCAAAATGTGAGCTGGCAGCACAGCCGCCGAGCGAGCTTTTTGCACCACCACATTTCCAGTTTAATTTAAATCAAGCTGTATTATATTTCAGCCTGAACAAGCACGTTTACATAGATTTACAAAAAGGATACAACTTGCTGTAGCCATTTCTTCGTACTTACAAAAGGAAAGAATCAGGGACCCAGCAACTGCCGCTACTGGATCAATAAGTCAGGCTAACTACTTATATCTCGGTCTGGGATAAGTAGTAGAATAAAGGATGCTTTGTGCCGAGAAGGAATCCCATTTTCGAAGAGATGAGTTGTCGACGGTCGTGCTGAGACGAAGTCATGATGCCGGTCATCAACACGATAGGCTCTTCTTTCTTTCTCTGCAAGTACCGTCTTTTCAATAGTTGATGATCGTGGCCTTTCCCCTTTCATTTCGCCTGCTGAACTTTTTTTTTCTAGTTAGGGACATGAAACAAACATTGGAGCTCGTCAACATTGTTGCCGATTCGCACCAGTATAAGCAGTATAAGCTGTACAGTGACTTTGCCAATGACGATGGGCAGCAGTTGGGTGACTATTTGGCTGTGGCAAGGTGTACTGGATGGGCCAGAGAATGGGGGGTTCAGAGCCATTTAGGATATTGACAATCTGACAGTGAACGTTCAGCTCTTGTAATACTTATGCACCTTCCATGATCTGGTGCAGATTTTGTAGCTGAAGTCTGTCAGCCTGCCACTGTTCTCTTGGTCGCTTGTCCCCAATTCTTTCTGAAGAATGAGGGTGCCAAAAGGTGCTCAAATCAGCCCTGCTGATTAATCTCCAATGACAGCCAATGTCCAGCATGCACGCTTCGTGCTGAACCAGGACGAAGCTTTCGAAGATGCCAATTGAGTTGCCAAAAGAGAGTGGTCCATGTCGAAGACACAGGACATAAATATGTTATTGTGCTCTTGTTGCTTCCCTGCTACTGTCTGATCCTTCACTTCTTATTCCTGATTTCTTACAGAAAGCTCTGAGTCAAAAGTTGATAATAACTAGAAGCAATCAGCAAAGATGAATTACATCCTACTCAACCTGTCATGCTACTACTATAGGTCTCTTAATTACAATAAAGATATCCTTTATTCTTCTCCTTCCATCTCTTCTCCACTGAATATTGCTCCCAGTGGAAATTTGATGCAGCTTCCACTGCCATCTGATCAAGATCATCATGAAGACCGAGCCAGCAATTGTTGGTTTTTCCCCTCAGGGGAAGTACCCATACACTTTAGCCTTGAGTATGTTTCGCCAGTTCGACATTATTGAACTGACACGTACCTTTTGTGCAAATCATCTAGTCCCCGCTTCAGAGCACACTCGTTCTTAGGCAACCCGAGCTGTGCGGTAGCCAAGTTTGCATATTGAATGGCTTCTTCTACCAAACTCTGAAGGGTACGATCACATTGTATGACCTCTGTAAGATCTCCCTTGCATACACAAAGTGCATGCTAATGATTATTCTCTGACTCAATCCTCTGCCAGTAATTACCTGTGGGAGTGTTGTGATGCACTTATACCAATGATCCAGAAATTCATTGTATGCGTGCATCAAGATGCTAAAGAGCTTTTCTGATACTAGGACAGAGATCATCAGAAAGCGAAACCCAGGTAATGATAACATACATCTCATCATATCATGTAATGCTCTTTTGCAACCTCACTTAATATCTACCCTTTCATCCATCTGGAACATTGCCACAGCAGGGTCATAAGAGAAGAATAAATTACAATCCTGGTCAGTCAGGAGACCATGTACTCTCAAGTTGAGATTTTAGTCTTTGTCAAAACCATTTATATTGTATTAAGAAGCAGCTGAATGAGGAAGATAAGTGTTCTATATCGATAAGAAGTCTTCAACTAACCCTAGAGCTCAGTAAACAGGCAGGTGTACACTTCTGGGTTAGGCAGCCATAAATCTTCCTCCTCAATGACAACAAGCTTAATCTGGTCATTTATTTTAATCTATTTGTCAATAAATTCATAAGAGCTGAGTGTTAAGACCAAAACTGCGACAGACCTGATATGAAATGGGTTCTCCTGATGGCAAGGGATCAGGTAGTTGACAAGATTTAGGAATGGCCTTTTTGCTCACGATCTTGACATGATGATGAAACAGTGAAGAGACTGGAAAGTCCCTATGAATCAACGGAGTCGTCAGATAAAGTAGATATTGGAGTCAACAAGCCATTTACATGGAACAGTACTTGCTCCCCTGGAATGACAGTGTTATGGGAATTCGATGGCAAAGATTCCAGGTATTTCCATCCAGTTTTATATGTTTCAGCATGTAATGATGGTGGAAGGTACAACTGTGGTGGACTGAAGTCCATGAGATCGTAGATAAGTTGATTTGGGTTGTTGTAGTTCTGAGGCATTTTGAGACAGTGGGTCACTTCAACCCATCTGTCTTCGTCGCTGCTTTCAGGATGGTGCTCATAGCAGTAATCCTTCGCAGCCCATAGGAAATTTATGGCTTTAGGGTGATCAACCAGGTCCAGGAGTGTCATTAGCCCCTCTCTTATGTCAAAAAGTTCACCTTCCAACTCAGTGCGAGTGTAGCTGAGATGTCTGGATAAATGGGAGCACATGAACAAGGGCTGTAGCTGTGTTTTCAAGATATTCAAGCAAGGCAGAATAGAGCGCAGCATTATTGCGATGGATACAGAGTCTGATGCATTGATGTCTCGTTTAGCTTTAAGTACCAGCCGTGCGAGGTGAGCCAGTCACGAGCCTACACAAACCTTGACAAACTCTGGTAAATGCTGAAGGCTGATTCCAAAGCTGACTGATCTCAGAAACCCGCTACATATAGTGGTGTGGAGGACATTGGGGTGGGCTCGTCGGTGGGTTTGGCAGCAGAGGCAGTGGCATCAGGGTTATACACTTGGAGTGCTGTATTTTCAGAAAGGATGTTGGCAAGCGTCTGCTTGAAGACAAGGCCTTGACACCGCTGTGGTGCTCAAAGGAAGGAGAACATTGACAAGCAGCACTGGAGTTTGCCGACAGCCTACAGGCTTGTCCTTACCAGCACCCGGTTCAAAATGGTCTGCCAGGCTCACCGCCTCAATCTGTTTTGCACATTCTGTGTTCAATATACATGGATACTGCGGGGCTATGATAACCTTTGAGGATCCTTGTTGAATGAACTCTTGTCGAAGAGTCCTCCTGTATTGGTGACTGTCAGGACTATTGGCTATGTTGTTCCACCTGTTCAAGCGCTCAAGTTCAAGGTTCAAATGTTTACACATCATTATCTACCTCCAAAAAAAGGAAGTGCCCATACTCACAGTCGCATGACAGTTCCCTTCATATTATGCTTGATGTGTGGTCAGTGCTGAACCACAGCGACATCTTGGGGATCGCCCAAGCTGCACGAGAAGAACCTTGGCAAAGTTTCCTTTGTATACTGAGGCCGGCACCACATCAAACTTTCCCTTGACCCATTACCCATCCACAATGTTAACTGTCCACTTGTGATGATTTCTGGCTCACCGCATTCTCATTTCTGATACCTCGTCCAAAATGAAACATTTACATTTTCTACGGCCTATTTGTTACTATCTGTTGGCTTTCGATTCAATGGCGCTGATATGCCGTCTACATGTTCACACCTAGATTTTGCGATTTTATAACAATACTATTGCATGTCTATCCTATACTAGTCGTATATCAAGGGCTATAGTTGAGACTTCGGACTGATAGTCAAGTTAGCATGCTACTAGTCAAGTCAGGACTTAGGAATGATACCACTAGTGGGTCAGCCCTACCAGCCAACCAGACTAGCACCTCCAAAGCTAGTATGACTTAGTAAAATATGGTCACTAGTAAAGAATACAGCTGCTAGCACCCAAACAAGAAGTAAGAACCCACACAGATCTTGACTATTCAGTTGCTAGTGGACCGATCTGGGCATGAATGCCTAAGTCAGGATGACTAGTCACATGAGCACTTCTGAAAGGACTTAGAAATGAACCAGTAAAGGCATAACCCTTAGCCCAGATCTGGCTAGTGTGATACAGATCTCATACGATCGGCACTAGTATAGCTGGGCTGCACCCCGATCACGATCGAGCAGTTGCTACAGGCACGGTTACCTGACTATTCATATAGCCGTGTCACTAGTGGAGCACCGCTGGGCAAAGGGTGTGGAAACGACCCAATAGCGGAGTCCCTCGACCCGCTATCCGACAGAAAGAACAGGCTAGGCTGACTATTGCATGATTATTCACCATATTTCGTGACTAGCCAAGACATCCTTACCAATATTACCCCTAGAGAATCTATTTATATTTATTCTGTACCTGTCTCTGTAGTATATAAGTAGTAGAAGGGGCGGCCTCGCAAGCAGGCAAGCCATCCCCGCGATTGTGACCTACTAGTCCATATTCTAGTGCCCCAATTAAAGGCTTTTGTGCTTAACCTCGATGAAGTGTCTACTAGTTGCTTAGTCACCTATAGTATTGAACGAATTGAAGTGTCTTAAAGTTACTATTCCATCTTGGAGTGACTCAGAGTGTTTCGAAGTTAGTTAAAGTATTTTCTCGGAGTTAAAGTATTTTTGTTCTTAGGCCAAGAGTGCCACTAGTCGAGCCTAGGGTGCTGCTAGTCAAGTGTAGACCACTTGTGAGACCCAGTATTTGGCCCAGAGTGCCACTAGTTTCGAAGTATCAGAGTTAGACCGAGCGCAGTTGCTCAACCCAAGTCACTATTCATCCAATCATGTCTTAAAACCCAGCTAGCACGAGTATTACATCTTGTGTAGCTCACTAGTACCAAATATACGTCTTTAAACAACCTTTCCCTGATTTGTTGAAGTCTGCAGAGTGCTTCTATCATACTCGAAACACCCGAACTCAATAATACTGGTGATTAGTGTAGAGTAGTAGAGGGTTTTGGTGTTGTGGTGTTCATATCCATTCACTAGCCTTTTGTCACTCGCCATTACCGAGCACATCAGCACACAAGTCCCAGTCGAGCTGTCACCCTTTGACCATTTTTGTCCAAGCACATCGTACGCTGGGCACGACCAACTACTGGTACACCCAATCACAATAACAATAACTTTTATTCCTCCCATCCTTCCAACGCTTCTCCTCCAGGCATTGCTCCCAGCAAAAACTCAATGCAGCTTCTGCTGCCATCTGATCAAGGTCGTCGTGAAGACCAAGCCAGCAATTTTTGGTTCTTCCCCTCAGGGGAAGTACCCATACACTTCAGGGATGAATAAGTTCTGCCAGTTCGATGTTACTGAACCGACAGTTACCTTTTGCACAAATCATCTAGTCCCTGGTCCAGGGCATCTATGTTCTTGGGTGACTCGAGTTGTGCTGTAGCTCGGTTTGCGTATTGGATGGCTTCTTCCACTAAACCCAAATCATTCAGTGTGAAGTCAGTAAGATCCTCCTTGAGTAGGTGAAGTGGATGTTAACGATTATCCTCTCATAGACATTATCCTCTGTTTACCTGTGGGAGCAACGTGATACACCTGTGCCAATGAGTCAAAAATTCATTGTACGTATGCATCAGGATACTAAAGAGCTTTTCCAATACTAGGATAGAGACCGTTAGAAAGCAAAACATGAGCAGTGATAACATACATCTCAACATATCTTACAATGCTCTTTTGCAGCCTGGCATGATATGTATCATTTCATCCATCTGGAACCTTTTCATGACAGGGTCATAAGAGAAGAATGCATTCCTTTCCCCATCAGCCAGGAGACCATATACTCTCAAGTCGAGACTTTCTTTTTGGTAAAGACCATGTATATTGGATTGAGAGGCAGCTGATCCAGGACAGTAAGTGTACTATTATATTGATAAGGAGACTCTCCAACTGACCATAGAGTTCAGTAAAAAGCCGAGTGTACACTTCTGGATCAGGCATCTGCAAATCCTCTTCCTCGATGATGATAAGCTTGACCCGGCCATGCATTTCAACCTATTATGCAACAAGTTCGCAAGTAGGCAGCAATCAGAACCAAAGTTGTCACAGACCTGATATGAAACCAGTTCTCCTAATGGCAAGGGGTCAGACTCTTCATAGGATTTGGGAATGGTCTCATTGCTCACGATGTTGGCATGATTATGAAATAGTGAAGAGACGAGAGCAAGTTCCTAGAAATCAACAGAGGTGTCAGGAGGAGGAAATATCATGCAGAATGAGATATTTACATGGAACAACAATTGTTCCTCTGGAATGACATTACCAGAGCCAGGAGATGAAGAAGATTCTAGGTATCTTCATCCAGTTTTAAATGCTTCAGCATGGAATGAAGGTGGAAGGTGCAACTGTGGTGGACTGAACTCCGTGAGGTTATAGATAAGTTCATTTGGATTGTCATAGTCCTGAGGCATTTTGAGACGATGAGTGACTTCAGCCCACCTTTCCTCATTGCTGCTTCCATGATGGACATTACGGTCATAATCTCTCATGGCTTGTAGAAATTTAAAGGCCTCAGAGTGATCAACCAGTGCCCACACTATATCTAGCGACTTTCTGAGATTGCAAAGTTCAAATTCCAGTTTGGTGCGGCTGTAGAAATGTCTGGGGAATTGGGAACGCATGCAGAAGGGCTGCAGCAATATTTTTGAGATATGTGAACGAGGCAGAATAGAGTGCAGCATTATGATGAATACAAGGTCCATCCAGACTGGTCCGAGTCGGTGGCCTTTTCAAGACTAAGACTACTATGATATCATTTCCGTGCACAATATGAGGTTACACAGGGCTCTGAGAGACATCAGAGTTCGGTGAGCTTTCACCAATAGAGGCCAAAAAGGTTCGATCTTATTTTGTAGGAAGGAAGTAGATTTTATCAGTCATCTCCTGAACAGAAACGTAACAACATCCATACTACAGCAAGCTATCTAAGGAATAATGATATTTAGCTGCTACGGGACCGAACCAACCCTATGCTCTGCTGCTTTGGTCAAGCCCCCTCATGAGTACTCCTTCATGGCTCGGCAATAGGGAGGTGAAGATAGATAAAAAGCAAAAAGGGACGAAGACCAGAAACCATGACAGGTGGTGATCTAGTGAGCCAGTGAGCTACGAGTTTGTCTCAAGTAACTTATTACCGGTAATTTATGCCTCAGGGTGATATTGGAGCGGAGCTTGAAAATTGATGCACCCTAATTGGGTAAGAAGTGGTGCACTCTCACCATGGGTTACTACCCACCCATCATTTCTTTGTTGTTGTCTCCCTTCCCCCCCATATCAGGTCTCTTCTGTCTTTTTATTGAGCGAGCTCGTATCTGCCACTCTTGAACCTCTCTCTCATCAGTGACCTCTTGCTACCTGGATCCTGGATTGCTTTCCCTGGTCGGCCTCTACTAGACTCCACATGCCTATCTTCCATTTATCGATTGCGATTGGTGTGAATCAAATCAGGGAACGAATGTTGGATGTGAATATGGATGGATACAGTGTTTTCTCAGAGAGAGGTGGTGATGGGTATGCAAATCTGTGTGTTCGCAATCAATGTGAGTACATCCCTTTCATTTTGTAGAGATCATTCCACTGATAACAGGGCCATCTGCCTAGGCAAACACACATCATTCTGCGTGCAAGGCATTGGAGGTGTATGGGGGAAGTCATGGCATTCCATGGGTCTGATGCCCACACACCGCATGCCATATGAGTGCGGTGCGGTAACTATTCTATGTACAGAATCAATGTAATGCTGTCGTATAAATATAATATATCCATTAGTGAATAACATATGAGAATAGATATATGTAAGAATGGATTGCAAGGCACTTAGCCATCAGTGTCCATGTCCAAATTGTTCATATCCGGAGTTTCCAAACTATGCTGTCTTTGTTTGGGTGTTCCGTCCTTACTCTTTCGTTCCTTCCTTCCACTTCGCTTGCATAGGATCTTGAGCAGCTTTCCTATGCTTTTGTTCGCTTCTGGATATTCAGCAAGAAAAACAGACTCATTGTGACCTAATCTGACCTCCACCAAAATCAGTTAACCGGCAGACTAGGCAAAGAATTATGTTCACACCGCTCAAACTCTAACCCAATAATTTTACGCTGACCATGCTTAGTGCCAGTCTTTGTCTGTTGCGAGCCTGTATACCACTCTTTGGGCCATTCTCACAGAGGTAGCAGTCCTTGTGTGGGGTCACCCTCCTCCCATTGCTTTACAGCTTTCTTCCATGCTCCTGGACCTTTTCCAATATCCAGAATCACAATGCCAGGGATGGGTGGGGCTTGGCCACAACGTGATAAACCTGTTGAACTAGCAGACCCTTCAGGACTCATTGGCGATACAACTGATGTCACGATGTTCGAGTTAGATGAAATTGGCAGAGGCATCTGGGGCAGAGTATTTTCTGGCATCTCACTAACTATACGAGTAGGTGATGGGTTCACAAAGGATGATGGCAACACTTGAGCATGCGCTTGGCAGATACATGCTGGTTGACTTTGGGACAGCCGGCTTAGGACAGCATCTGCAAAGACATGAAACTCGGCAGTGGTTACGGGCTTTTCGAGAACATGGTCCCCCATAAAGGTCTTGTCTGCTTCCTTTGGGATGGGGTATAGAGCATTGCTATGTCCACTTTCGTAGCTTTGAAGTGAGTCAACTAGATACTTCATCAGCATGTCGACCTATGCAAAGTGAGCATATTTTTGGCTGCTCAAAGACAGAAACCTTACATGTTCACCAATAGCCCAACCACCCCACCATCGTATCACACTCAATGACCATCATCGCCCAATGGGAGCGAACATAAATCGGTACTGAGCACCGCCACGGTGCAAAGAGTGGGTCGTATATGTTCTCTTGAGCCCAGCTCCCTGACCAAATTCGTTCAACAGATTTTGGATCATATCATGGGTCATCTCCTGCTTGGGATGAATGATTCCATTGGATGAGCAATATGGGAAGATATAGTCGTCGGGTTCAAGTTTACAGCCAAGGCATCACTCCAACAGCCTTATCCACTGAGGGAGGTATGTGTACATGTCAATATCTGGAGAATCTGGCTGAGCATATATGTTATAATAATTGCCTATATAGAATATCATTCTCGAGCTCAGAATCCAATGAGATTGAAGAAAAGCTCACTTTCTAGAGGGCCGTCCCATCCCTGCTTGCTCTGCCATCCTTTACGGCCATCAAGATGCACTCTAAAGTATGGGACATTGTACAGTGCAGGGCCTTGCAAATCCCACTCAATATTGCATGCCTGCAAACCACAGAGCTCAAAATTCCTGGTGACTGTCATTCATTTGCAATCATTTATTGAGAGTTCGACAACTTACCTTGTCCACAGAGTGAATCCCAAGGTAAAGAAGGCTCTCGCCAAACCATATTTAATCATTTGCATGAGTTCTTGTGCTGATACAGTTGATTTCTCTAACTCTTCACATGAGCATTCATGTTTGGAGTACTCAATGATTTTGATAAGATCTTCAATTCGCATCGCATCAGCATGATGGCGTACTGCTGCAGCTCCTTTTGCACTGCTTTTTGTGTTGATGCATTTTATGTATTCTTTGACACTCGGGGCGCGTGCAGGATTTCCAGTAACAATCCCAGTTGATTTGTCAAAGTGATAGTGGTTGCCTGCATACTTCTGTCCATCCCTTTAATGCACAGTAAGAATGAAGTTCAGTCTAGTTGAAATAGCACTTACATTTTGTCCCACATCCTTGCCATTGCTGCTTGAATTCCCTGGCCTGTTGACTTTCCGTGTTGCTCGACAAAGCATTTCTGGGTCAAGAAATTTAAGAGTGCTGTTACTGAGTATTTGTTTGGAGGGTTGTCAAATGCTTGTGCCAGAAGATCTGTGTCGATATCATCTTCGCAAACCCCAGTCTCTGAATGCCTCTTCCTCCACACCGACACCATGTCATCAAGAAACCGAGCTGCACACGCTACATATCCTTTGTAGTTGATCTTTGTGTTATCTGCTTGGGACCATTTATGTCGAGTTTCAGATTCAGTTTGTGCTAAGGAGGCAAGGGTGACTTCATGGGTGGCATTGTTGGTATTAGATTTTGTCTTCATTCATTCGCGAGAGGCCTTTGTGAGAGAGCTGCTTTTTGAAGTTCTCATTTTCTTTTCTCTAGGCATTACACATTGGAAGGGGGAAAGCACAGAGAGAGTAATAGGAGCCCATTTGAATTCCTGATTGGTTTGAGGTCTTCATGCCACTGTGTGTGTTAAACAATCAAGACAAAAATATATAGCAAATTACATATCAGATAGGTCAATAAACAAAGAATATCCAACTATCTCAATATCAGAGTTGCTTTCAGAATCACTGTCAGTCAGCACAATGACTGCGCCTTCTGTGCTTGCCTCCCCGTCATCGGAGTCTGACATAGTGAGGTCAATAACTTCACCAGCCAAGACCATGTTTCTCGTGTCCTCCCTAGTCATCATAATTTTGTGTGCAGCATTTGCGATATCTACAACCACTTCATTGCTGGTAGGAGTAGCATTATTGAGTGCCATGCTTGTCTGTGTGAATATCAGTTAATGTTATGACATGGATAGCAAGAAACCAACTTGACGTTGAAGGTCTGGCCATGGGAGCTGTGGTTTGCATTTATGAAACTTCTCGACCATGATAGGAAGCGCATCATAAAGGATGTTTGCAGGGACCTTGATGTTCATCTTGTGGTCTTCTGATAGTGACTTGGATGCACCTAATATCATCTGATTGTCAATTAAGCGGGTTTGAATTCAGATGGTGTAGCTGCCTGGAGATATAGTGCTTTTCTGAATAGATTGAATGGAGGAGTTGGCAAGCGAGCCATCAGAAACGTTATGAAGGTTTGGACCAGGTGTCACAAATGTAGGATTCCCAAGCTAGGTGAGGATTAAACAGTTTCTGAACGGCTGAGCTCTCGGAGTGATATAGAACATACCCGATATAAACTGTGGATTATGATCCCTGGCCAGATGTTCTTGTGCAAATGCTTCAGCAGAACATCTGACTCCCAGTGAAAGAAATTGTCACAGAAGGCAGCGATGTGAGCAATATCTGGCGATGGTGGCTTCCAGAGTTCAGCGTTGGGTGGTGCATGTTTGCCTGACCATGAGGTAACAGGCAGTGCATAGAGCCTAAGGATCTGAGGATTCAGAAAATCATCTGGTAGCTTCTTCGCCAATGCAGGATGTCTTGACACTCTGGCAATCGTAGGATTGATCAACTCTGACTGGAGTCTTGTTCGCCATCCAACTAAGAAATTGTCGAGTGCTGTAGGGCCCATAATGGTCATGGCTGTCAATAACTCGTCACCGAGACCTGTCTTGCAGAGTGCATGAGCAGTCTTCTGCCCACATCCTTGTAGCCCATTGGCATAATCTCCACCAAGTAAAATAGCGAACAAAAATAGTCCACCTTGCGTCAGCTGAATATTCTCAGAGCTGCAGATATCATCTGCCGAGTATAGAGTGTACAAGTCTGGGTCTGCCTTGACCTTCTTTCCACCCTCCATCTTCACAGCAGGAGGTCTATGAACAACCTATCAGCAAGAACATATAAAAACAAGGATTCCTGCGTACCGATGCAAGATAAGCTTTGCACCAAATACTAAAACATCACTATCTTCAGTAATTATTGCGTCAATGAGTCCAGCTTGGTTCATTTGGGCCAGCTCAGCTTCAGCTTCGCCAGGAGCCTATCATTCATTAACATATAAATGAGGCTGTCCTAAATTTTGTATGCACAACATGCTGATAAAATCCAAAGGCAGTGATTATCTCCTTGAAATGGTGCTCAAGCCAGCGTGCTTTCATGCTGACCTTCTTGCCATGCTTCATACTTGGGCGGAGCTGCCCATCAAACACAAAGACCGGAATCAATGCACACTCAAGCAGGTGGGAAAGGCGAAATAGGAGTGTGCATAACTCTGGATTTTCACCAGCTTGAGCATGTCATGGACCCCAGAATATAGCTTCGCATTGAACAATCCAAATGCTATACGAAATTAAATATCATGTAGAGAAAAGAAAAGAGAGAATAAATCTAGCATCAATTCCTATCGTCAACATATGGCCACTTTTGCGCTGAGTACCAGCAACAGCAGCATATTCAGTAAGCGCGCATGGCTGAGCTGCATCAAGTATCATCTATACTTTGGTGTTACAAGATGAAAAGACGGGAGAAATATAACCAAGTTCTTACCTGCCACAAATTTGGAATGCCCATAGCTGGTGATGACGGTGGTAGCAGTTCAAGGAGGTAATAGTACGAGCTCCTATGAGCGCCGTGTCTCAAGGTGCCATGTCTCAACTAGCGGGCCCAAGACTCACATGGCCCTCTTGATGTGCAAGGAAAAATTGGCCTTCCCCATACAGGAAGCAGTAATGCACCTTTTGCACCCCAGATACCATGCTGCATTGGACCCAGGGGTGATTCCGTGCACAGCAGGGTGGCTGAAGCGTGGAAGTCCAGTGAAGTTCGAGTTACTCGGAGGCGTTGGGCGATTGATTAGGTCACATGATCATTGTCACGTCGCGTCCTGCCATGCACCTCTTCAAGTTGACTGATGCAGAGGATACGTTCAGGCCAATATATAGCATAACATACACTAAAAACCTGTCTCTTCTTTGTTAGCTATGATTTTTAAACATGTTATAGAGAAATAGTGACCAAAACATGCAAAACAGTGCATAGAAATGTGATTTTTCTGTCGGTTAAGCAGAGTTAAGTGGCTTAAAAACTTAATCCTGACTGATTTATGCGATTTACAGTCTGATTTAAGGTCTGATTTAAGATCGCGTGACAGATTTACCAACACGCACTGTTATACAATAATTTGCAGCTGCCTGTTTACGTGTCCTGCAAGTGCTGGTGTGTGCTCCGAGTCTCTGATACAGCAATGATCTCTTAATTCCATGCATGCAGGAATGCACCACCTAGATGGTCCTTCTGGCTGCTGCCACCATATATACTGTTAGCCTTTTAGCAGTTATTACTGATAAAATTACTTGTGTTCACAAGCTTCGCCTAGCTTCTTAACAAATTCCGCAAACTACTGCTTGAACCCATTTAATTGGAAGCTAGTGAGATAATACATGTGGTCTGAGCAATAGTAGTGGGGGAATAAATCATATATATGTCACTAGTAGATCCTCCGCAGGCTACCGAAACAGCATTCCCAGACACGTCCCCTGTAGATCATTATCCTGTCTGGCAAAATTGACAGGTGTCGGCGTACACGCACAATCTTCTGAAACAGCCAGTCTTACTCAGCAAAGGATCTCAAGGATTGTAACGAAAGTCCGCAAAGATAACCCGCCCGGCGCCATCGTCAAAGCGCAAGGGCAACAGGCCTTTCCGTGAAACCACTAGATCAGGTATTCTCAAAAACATGCATCAGTAACATTGAGGAGGGTCACACCTTTCCACAAAGAACGTGCTCCAAAGTTCTGTTGGAAACTCTGATTCCTCGTCCTGAAGGCCCAGGCAAGACACGGTAGACATTTTGTGATGGCCCTAGAAATGGACCGAACTTTGCGAGATGAAGGGAGACTGAATAGATTGCTTACCGCTATATATTGTCATACAATAGCCTGAAAGATCAGATCGACTGAGCGTCTTGAAATTGCTGGAGTTCAATCAATGAAGTCGCGCCTTCAGTTGTCGATCTTATCAAAACAGTATGACGAATGCTGAGAATGAATCTATCCTGTTAATAGTACCAAGTATATCAGTGCTGGCACATCAAGGTGTAGCTAGTAAATGTACTACGGCCCATGAGTCTGTTACAGTCCAGATCCTCTACTATCCCTCTGCCAATGGTCGTCCATAATACCAGTTTCAGTTTCACAAAGCGCGAGATGTACCGTGGATTTGAATGCCACTGAGTGTTACCGCAGTGATGTCTCGAATATCTTGCAGGGAGCTAGTGAGGTTTACAAGAACGGAGATTCAACATGTGCAAAGCATGTCGAGAAGACTGAGCTAAGTGCTCGATAAGTTGCAGAAAGTTACGCGGACGGTCCCAGGTGCAGGTGCCTAGGAAGAACAGCCCAGTCAGGGTCTCGTTTGCCGCGCTCGTCGAGGGCCAACGTTTGGGATGGGAGGCGGCAGCCGCGGTCAAGGTCGGAACGACGTGGTGGACCGTGGCATGAGTGAGCTGGCAGTGTGCCGAGCTGCCGGATTTAATTGATTTACATTATTTTCGTAAAATTGGGCGGATAACTGTACTTAACGAGTCAAGTTGCTTTAGACTGGGCCCTTGGCCGAGGGAGTCACAGCGTCAAGTGCTTGCGACATCGCCTCCATCGTAGTGTGGTGGCATCGCGACGGAACACAGACACAACAGAAATCACTGAGGGGGCAGTAGCGCGCGCGCATTGTGTCCACCCTCCTTCATCGCAGCGAGGAAGCATGCCGATGGAATAGTAGTCTCGAGGACTGTCATAAAAGACTGCAGGAACCGGTCGCTGGACTCCGTCACGGTGCTCATCGAGCAGCTAGGAGCCCAAACACGCAAATCAAGCAAGGGTGACAACGACTTGGTTGCAGTGTCAAGCTGTTGCCATGACCCTGCTTTCATCGAGTCTGAATGTCTCCCTCTGCCGCACGCGCTGTCAATCCTCTTCAACCTGGGTCGCATTTGTGTGGTCGAGGGGTACAAATGGCTGCAGCCCCTATTTTGCTCCCAGATGTCGTCCTGACGGTTTGGGCACCATTGATTGAAATCAAATCTCCTTGAGAAGTCTGTGACCTTACGAAAGATGCTCAGAGGCCATTCGAGGGAGAGGGTCAAGCAAATGACACCCCGCAAGTATTGATGATGGTGGTAATGGCCACGGCCGCTGGCAATGTGGCAGTGCTGATCGTAGATGGATTCGATCACACAGCCTGCCGGCGTCGTTCTCTTCCAACTACTACCATGCCCTTGTTAAAGCGCAACAACAACAAGCCACTCATCCCACCTCTCGAATCAGAGAACAAGTCAGGCAAATCGTCTCCCTCTCCACGACCAAGCTATCGGTCTAACGCTGCCACCTACGTCCCCAGCCGAGACGGTGATTTGTACGAGAAAAGCACCCGCAGCAATGGCGACTATACCCCCCCAGAGGATAACTATCGAGACAAATACAGTCGCGGCAACGGTGTTGGCGATGTCTACTCTCGCGGCGACGCTCAACTAGACCAGGATCGTAACGAGTTATTCTCAGGCTATAACCCAGCAAAGTCAGGAGGATCTGGTCGTTTCTTCGACGGACCGGAGGGTAGGGACGTTCCTCCAGGGGAAGAGAACGATGAAGATATTGAAGGCATCAAACAGCAGACGAAGTTTGTGAAACAGGAGAGTGTAAACTCTACCAGGAATGCCCTCCGCTTGGCGCGGGAGGCAGAGGACGTCGCGAGGGGCACTTTGGGAAGACTTGGTGATCAATCAGGTCTGTTCTATCATTGATTTCTTATTATATGATACCAAGTATGATTCGTTGCAGAGAAACTCGCAAACACCGAGATGCACCTTGACGTTGCCAAGGGACACTCTGCCCGAGCCAGCGACAAAACGGATGAACTCAAAAAGCTCAACCGTTCCATCTTCCGTCCAGCCATTACCTTCAACAAAGACGCCAAACGCCGCGCCGAGGAAGCCAAAGTGCAAGCTCGGTACGACGACGAGCGCCTGGAACGCGAGAAGGCGATGAGGGACATCCGGGATACCCAGAATCGCCTCGGTCGAGCGCAGACGTACGGCCGGTCCGATGGTGATGAAGAGCTTATCGGACGCGGGAGCGGGAGTGGTCGATTCAAGACGGCGGAACAGCTCAGCGAGCGTAAAGCTCAGCGCTCGCGGTACCAGTTCGAGGCCGCTGCGTCTGATGACGAGCTGGAGGATGAGCTGGATGATAACCTCGATGAGATTGGAGAAACCACGAAGAGGCTGAAGGCCCTGGGTCTGGCTATGGGCCAGGAGTTGGAGTCTCAGAATACCAGGATTGACAATATTAGTGGAAAGACGGAAGGGCTCGACGAGAAGCTGTACAATGTTACCCATCGAGTAAGTGGTCTCCCGACATCAGCTTTGACGCGGTGTTCATTGATTGGTATCTAGCAAAAGAAATTTTGAATTTTCGTTTCATTTCACCAAGATACGGATTATATGGACGTTATATACAACATGGATTCAGGACGTAAGGCATCTATGTAGAATATACCACTGTGCTATATTCTGTTCAAGGTTCCCAACTGAGCGCTGGGCGACGGCGGGATTTGTTATCGTACATCATGCTACATGGTATTTGTCTCATCGAACAATGCGTCACCTCTTCATAGAGGGGCAGAAAGAAAGAAAGATGGGACTTCCGAAAATAACCTGACATCTCCGTTACAATATTAAATTCGCCGGCATAGTCGCTACTGCGATCTTCATGTCGCCGAGGACAGCCGACATCAGAGAGCTGCAGGTTTTCTGGGCTGGGAGGGTAATTCGGAATAGTCAACGAGACGGAAATCCGGCACCCCTCCCTCTCAGAAGGTCCTTCTGTCAGATCGTTGTGCTGTTTGAGTCTCGAGAGGTGACTGTGGAGAATATACTAGTAATCAGTCTAAGCTTGTTAACCGAACGTAATAGATAAAATTACATGTCAATGTGAACCGGACGTTTGCTGATCAACGGAATTTGCAGGTGAATGACATTCCTTGCGCACGATGTCGATGTAACACAGACAACGACTCCAAACGTGTCGCTTCTTCCACATTAGGCTCCGCATTTGCACTGAACAGACAGAGATCGATGCGCTGTAATCGGTTTTCTGCCAACGTCCAGCGCGACTCTACCATCTCAACGAACGACCCTGTTGAGAAATCCAGCTCACCGCTCAGATGGAGCGTGCGTAGACGTGGTGCAGTGTAGTTTTCCTTGCTGGCATTTAGATCGTCGAGGATCTCGCCTGTGATCGTCCCGGGGCCGACGTCTAAGAGACGTAGGTCTTCTAGTGTAGAAGTGATGCGTAAAACATGGAGGAGGTCGTCGGGAAGTATATGTCCGTGTGTGAAGTGGAGGATGGTGAGGGGTGGCTTGGAGCGCTCGAGAAGCCCTCGCAAGGACGTGAATACGACGGCTTCTTCCCTCTCTTGGTGTCCGACAAGGCAAGTGGCCTTAATCGAAGAGACGGCTGGAAGAATCAGTCCGTTGAAGAACTGCTTCATCGCATTTTTAGTTGCGTGATCCTTCGAGAATGACGACGACAAGTTTAGGGAATTGAGTCGACAACATAAGATGGGATAGACGTGAACACGACTCTGAACAAGTGATGCGTCGCTGTTTCCAGTTTCAAGCTCGGCAACACATGTCTCCAAATCTGTTGCCGCTCCGAGGAAATCCAGCAAGTCTGAAACGAATGGTGCAGGTCCACGAGAAACAGTTGAGGTAACTATATGCTCGCTTTTGAAATGTCGAATTTGATGAAAAGGGAGTCTGAATAAGTATGAGGGAAAGGTGACATCAATAACCTCAAATTTTTTGAGCTTTGGTGCATTGCTGAGAAGCCAGGGGCGTTTTTGACTGAGCCTGGGTAATGGAACATCACTTATCAAAAGCGCCAACTTGTCGAGCAGAGGAAAGGACAATTTCAGCGATGCAAAATGTGAGAGCATCGACGAGGAAACAAAAAGGTGAAGCTCCTTCGTTCGACTTCCAACCATGAGAAGAATAGTGGTCAAGGCTAAGGGAAAATGTGTGAACTTTGAACTGGTCTCTTTGGAGCAGCTGATACACAACGAAAGTGAGTACAGCTTGCTACGGTTTAGCTGCTGTGCCACGCGTCGTATGATTCCATGAGAATCGTCTTTAAAACTTTGCTCCGTGATCAAGATATTGACGTAGGACCACAGTTTTGGGAAAGAAAGCACTGTTCTCCGCCAATGCTTCGAAACGAGCTCGACCGACATCAGGGTACTCTCCGCAGGGTGGAAACTCCAATGGGGGGACTCCTCTCTAGTGAGGGTACGTTTAATTGGGAATTCCACCGTCTGGAAGAAGATCTCTGACAGCACTTCCGCGGGTAGCCGCCTGACGGGACTGAGGACCATCTGCTCTTCCTGGATGGCGGAGCATGTCTTCTCGCGCTGCTGATGGAATTCTTCAATTAATCCATCGACGCGAGTGACTTGTTCCAACAAGTATTGCTTGTAACCCTTCATATTTTCCACCTGTAAATCGAGGGTACCAAGGTCCTGTTTGTGTTGAGCGATCATGCCTCGGATAGCATCGGCTTGGGCAGGAAGCGGTGCATTATTTGAGCGTTTCAAGGATTCCAAATTTGAGAGAGGAATACAATCACACTCGAAGGTGCTGCTGCCCATTGGCAAATGGTGGTTTGAGCAGTTGCATTCTTGGCAATGAGCCCAGGACATCTAGGGTGACCGTGATGACAGTAAGACTATGGCTGTAGAGGATCTCGGCAGCTACCTTCTTCCGGCAATACAGTCGTTCGAGCTGAAGTCCGGTCAACCGACGATGATGGTGGCAACAAAGAAACAAGTATCTCAGTCTGAAATTTACGCGTCTAGTCACACGGCACGTGATTCACCTGTCTCCGCGAGGCATTATTATGTCGTTCATCTCTCATAATAACATGTGCTGGTCGTATGCATACGAGATGCTAACGATAAAGATACCATTAAACTATAGGAAACATCGAACCTGCCGGAAGATTGCGACTGAATGAACGCATGTAGCGTCGACCCATAGCATTGACGCCGGCCTCTCGCGCTCGAACATATGGCAGCGAAACCTCATCGCGTACAACGACATACGTTCCTATGTTCTTCGTCCTGAATGTCCCGTTGAGATAGTCCACATGGTCCCAAGGATTCACATCCCTGAATGTAAACTCGCGTAAGCCATGGTGTGTTCGCGCCGTACGCATCGCGGCCTTTGTAAAATCATCTTCATTCACTTTCCGGGGCCTAGTGAGCACGAAAGAACGTAGCTGTGGCGCGAGGTAGAGGGAACCGAGGAAATTAGTCTGGGCAGAGAGGTAAGAACGGCTGCCAATAAAGTCGGGCTTGAAGAACGCACGAGTAGTACCGATGACGTGCAGGAGACGTCCAGGTGCTGGAGATTCCAACAAGTGCTGAGAAGACGGTAGAAAAAATTCGACTGTTCTTTACTATTATCCAGAAAGTTGACGCAAATGGATAGACTAGTGATTGAAGCTAGAATTGGAATATCGTTTAACTTAACAGTAGGACTGAACCAATCCTTGTCGTTATGCATGAATAAATTTCATAAATTGATCAGCAAAGAAGCTTACCATTAACACAACCTTTCTTAGCGAACATTCAATGGGAACGTTCTTCAACTGGAGTAGCTTGCCTCTATATGAGTGCCATTGGGGAAATTTCGAAAGAGATATCAGCGATTGGTGTGAAAACGACATGAACCCCAAAGCAGCGACGTTCTCCAGTGTGGAATGATTCTCCAGGAAATTTGACATCATTGTGATACTCTCCTGAATAGGAACATCGATGGGGAATATATTCCCTACTGCAAAGCTCCGAAGCTGATCCCAGCGGCCTGTTAACATAGGTCGTACTTCCCAGAGCTGAGAAAGATGGCAGGTGCCATCGATGTACAGGGACTGTAATCGGGGGCTGTGAATAAGAAGCATATTCCACATCTGCACGGGAAGTTTCTGCTGCGCGGTGTAACCTCATGTGGCGTGTTAGTGGGCCAATGCATGATCAAAACCCATCACTTACTCGTCCAGCGCTGCAACCGCTGAGTAAAGAGAGAGAAACCTTTGAGATCCTTGAAGTTGAATATCTGGCGATTCGCGAGTGTGATTGTCCCAGAATAATCGATCATGAAGGTGAGAAGGCATACATACATCGCTATCCGGATTCACAATTTGGGTTCTTGGGCCGACACTTGAGCCTAAGGTTCGAAGATGTGGACAGCTACAGCAATGGTGAGTACGAAATTAATGGCATTCAAATAAATTCATGCCCGAGTCGTAATGCGGTCCACAATGAATCTCTAGGACTCTCCATTCCGTCCCATAGAAAGGAAGTAAGGCCGCGCAGGTGTCCGTTAGATATGATCTCTTCGACCACAGATGATACCCAGTCCTCGTCTATCTTTGTTTCGGAGCTCTTCGCCCATCCAGACCCGTGGCTAGGTCTTAAGATGAGCTCTTGTATCCAGACGGTGATATCAGGACGTTGAGAGAACAGCTTCAAGGACGCCCGGCAGGACTCGGTAGAGTTTAGATCAACTGACGAGTACAGAATAGGCTTAAGTAGGTCATATGTAGCACGATTCTGTCGCATTGAAGTGTTAGTTTCTAAATAAATGAATACCGAGCGATGATGCTGCGCACCGCCAAGCACATTTGAAGAACGTTGTGAGGAGATGCATGCCTTGCAATCTCAAAGATTACATCGTCGGGGATTATATCGCCAGAGATTTTCAGAGAGCCTGTAGAATTTTCGGTCTTCAGAGGGATAGAAAGACTGTTTCCTGTTGGATTGGGACCGGTTAATGAACGGATAAGATCGTGCGTCGAGGACAACTTGCCTATCTCTATTGGTGATGGTTCGTTTGAAATGGCTTCTAGCGAGCTCTTGCTATCATTGTTGATATGAAGAAATGTGTAAAGCGATTTCAAGTGGAAGGAGCTCATGCATGCGGATAAGAGAGCAAGAACGGCTGCCGTATCCACAGATCACGACATGGGGCTCAGGGACGGACGCATGATCAAACGAGCTTTGATCCGCGTCCCCACCGCCACGAAGCAAATCTTGGAGGGCCAGGTATTTCCTTGCTAAATGGTGTCCGTAGAGACCTTTGAGTGGACCCCTTCGAGCTAGTCGTCCTCGCTAGTATCGTAAGCCAGACTGGGACACAGGTAGACGGCAGGAAACGGCTCAACTCATCGTTAAAGAATGTTAACTGTATAGCATTGGGATATAACCTCGCGCAGAACGAGCGCTTCAAAAGCCCTTGGCGCGTAGCTGGTTTGAGAAATAATAACGAACATGACAAGGTGAGGGGTTTCGTAGTGCAGTTACCTGTATCCTTGCGTCCGGCGTGCCTGAAGGTACCGTGCCGTGTAATGACGAGATGAGCCAGCGGTCCGAAACGTCCGCTCCTCCGGGTATATTTTCCCACACTACCCCGTCCGCCCGCCACGCTTGGTACTGTACTACTTGTACTCTTTCTAAAATTCTTCTACCTGCTTTCTATCATTTAGCCCCTCGTATAAAGAAATTCAAGGATACCGGACAACTCCCTTCTTCATATCTCCAGTCTCTTCGAAGCTGCCATACCCTTGCATCAAGTTGCATCGATGTTCCTGTTTCCGGTGTAACCTTCCGTCAGTATTGACAGTAGAAGGGAAAGACGTGTTCAGAAAAACACCCAACGTCAATGAGATCTACAATAGACATAACGCTCGATTCGGAATCCGGTTGCAGGTGACGTTCTTCGGCGATCTCGGACACTCAGGAGTAGCTTAAAATACTCGAAGCTTTCCTCCTTCGTCCTCGAACTACTACTTATATTTTCGGATGGGCGCCGCTCCTTCGACAACCTTCAATCCTGTGGAGGATCTTCCCAGCCTAGCTGGGAAAGTGGTGATAGTAACTGGTTCCAGGTGCCCTTAACAGCCGAATGTTGAAACATGGCTTGGTCTTACTCACCCTTCTACAGCAGAGGCATAGGTTTCGCTACCCTCCAGCACCTTTCAAGAATGGGAGCAAAGGTAGTACATTTGTGAACACACATGGAGCTCTTTGAATATTCTGACGCGTCTGTTTAGATTTATATGGCCGTCCGAGACTCTGGCAGAGCAAAAGAAGCGATGGAACGACTAGAAAAAGAGGGACGTGGACCTGGTTTCGGAGAAGTCATCTGGCATGACCTTGATCTCAAAGATCCTCGCTCTGCCAAGGAATCAGCAGAACGTTTCATCGCTAGGGAAAGCAGACTTGATATCTTGAGTACGTTCCTCGCTATCCTGCCAATGCTTATGCAGCTAACTTATAGTCATCTAGTCAACAATGCAGGACTGTCCGTGATTGCTGTGATATCTCGGCATAGATACTGATCCCCTTTTGCCTCAGGATAGCCGATCTTGGAAACGTTCAACTGAACGCAGACGGCATCGGAGAAAGCATGGCGGTCAAGTATTTCATGTACTTGTTAGCTTCTGTTGTTTCACTAACCCTATCACTCAGCTATTTGGGACCCTACGTATTTACAAGAACGCTACTTCCACTGCTTGAGTCAACGGCATCGTTGCCCGGCGCGGACGTGCGTATAATTAATGCAAGTTTTCTTCATCTTGTCTATTCGGCTGCTTATTTACTTGATATAGGTCGGATCGGACGGTCATAGTCGTGTTAAATACTTAGATTATGGTTCCAAGGAAGCGTGGAACCATCCGTTCAAATGGTTCTTGCTCCCCACTTTGGAGCGTTACAGTAAGTACCTGCTCTTCACCCGAGTTCGCGTTGTGAAGTCTTGTCAGAATACTCAAAACTTGCCGTGCATCTATGGACGAATGATCTAGCACGGCGTCTTTCCGAGGAACAATCCAAGGTGATGGTACTGATCACGCACCCAGGTCCCATACTGAGTGTTCGTCCTTGCTTCCGACGCTTAATCATGGCTCATACATGAATTATAGGACGGAGCTATTCACGCACTGAATTCTCTCCCTTACCCTCCCTTTTGGATCTGGGTGTTAGGGTTTGTCTTACATCCTCAAACTAGGGGAGCATACACGTCTGTTTTCGCGGCTTGCATGTCGCGCGACAACCCTAACATATTCCATGGTGCCTACATATTCCCTCCGAATGTGGCAATAGCGCAATCACCGGCAGCTTTGGATGTTGGTAGGCAACGAGAGCTGGCCGAGTTTACGGAGAACCTTTTACAGAGCATAGAGGTATAATAGCAACCTGCACATAGGTTCGGCATATACAACCCTCTTTGATATACTAAAAGGATAAGTGAAGATGAACATTGTACAGTAAACTCGGAGGAAAGTCACTCTTGCGAAGGCATCAAACACCCATTCTTCGCTAAGGGTTAGTCAAATCAAAAACGGAGATCTCGAAATGATGCCTTGACACTCACCCATTCTATTCTTCTTTGCAACGACATCATCAAAATGGATTGTGCATCTGGGTGTGTAGGATGAAGGCCTGCGCTGGACACGCCATCCGTGAGGACTCTCGAGATCCATTTGTAGTTCCTATGTTCCCCTGTAGGATCAGAAAGCATTGCTTCCACAAACCCTACAGACACACAATCGGTCGCCTGACATACAGCAGTTATCTTATCAAGTAAGCTTCCTCCTGTCCGCACTGGGGTGCTAGCTGAATACGCAGGAAGTGTGTCGGTGGATCTGGATAATACCTCCATGACAACGCTTCCGAAGAGGAGAACGACAGAGAGAAGAAAACCCGTCGACTGGGATAGGATGGTGATGGCCTTTCGGGTTCAACCGAAGATTTTCAATGCTCCTTTACAGGAGGATTCCAACAAGGATGCATTGTTTCTTGGAAGAGGTACGGCTGAATCCTGGAGATTGATGTAATCCACTCTACTATTATTCGTTGTAGCAGGTTCATGAGCAATGACCAATATATGGATTGTTGTCATGCCAGTATGCAGGGCGTAAAACCTCGGCGTTCTGACGATCCTAGGAGGAAGAGTAGCGGGATACGCCCATGCTACCGCACCCTCCAACCCCCTAGCGAACAAGCCGAGTAGGATAACCCATCCTTCCCTCTCCTGCCCTCCTATAATTCCGTACAACGCAAGTCCCAGCTGGATAATGATTGTCGCCACTATGGCTACATGTTGCCAGGAAAGCTGCGAAGAGTAGCCGGCCTCTTTGAGACGTAACAACGTTACTCCATCATGACACGAGGAGGTATGCTTGTATAACGCATGCATCCAAGATGCTTGGACATCTCGGGTAGCTCCAGACAGCATATCTGTCAGCTTGAGATGGGGAATACTCGTGCTATCGGACATATCCGTGAGCGAATCGGTATCCCATCCCATGTACAATGGCATGGGCAGATAGCCGCAGGCGGAACGAAGACGAAATGGAAGTCCCGTCTTGGTCTGGGGGATGACCTGCGCGGCAAGTTCGGTGTAATTTGGCATTGTGGAAATATCAGTTGTAGACATCCGGCTGCTAGACGACTCCATCGATGGCACTGTGACTGCTGGTGTAACGTGGTGTTGCGAGAAATTTTAGCCTATCCAAGAACTCAATAAACGTTCAATGATTCAGTGAACAAGGGGAAACGAGTTTACAGCTGTTGTCCAAAATGTGGAACAGAAAACCCTAGAAGGCGCTCGTTGTCGTCTAGCGTCAAAAAATGGGATAGGTCCTTCCTTGGGACAAGACAATTGGAGATTTATGGATCGACATTCCGTGCGAGCCAGCACCGGATTAGACTCTTATAGGTGCGTCAGACTGAATGATACCGCAGCGAGAACCAAGGAATGATAACGCGCAGTGATTAACAGATTGACGCTGAGGCACTGTAATGTGTGAATCTCGTCACGATTACTGGCAGAATAGATCGCATCGTGTATGATGAGCGTCTAAAGAAGAGGCCAGTGCTGATCCTTTTGTCCTTGAAGTAGACAGATATGGATGTCTGGTGTAAGTCGACATAGTCTGATTGGGTGAAAGGAGTTGTTCCATCATAACGTCCACAGGTTTCCAGTTTACACTGTCCGCCAATGTGTGATTCGGTGTGAAGATGTGTTCCGTAAATACTTGTGGGCCAAAAACTTGATATCAGGCCCAACTACAATAGTACAAGGTGTATAGTAGAATAAATAACCCTGTGTTTTAGTTGATGGGGTTTACTGTCTTTCGGTTGACTGGGATTCATATCGATGATTTTCTCAGAATATACTTTCAACACGGGAAGTGGAGGTACTAGAGGCAGTCGTATTGGCTAGATTTGAGAATGATGCGAGGGGGGGCAGCTGTATAATCTAGGTTTACATCTCTGTCGCGGTTTTGGTGTACTCGCCACCCTTTAGGCCTTTAAGTTACATCAGTTAATGAATGATGATTTTAGGGAATTCTACACGACGACTATCTCCTCGGGTAAGATAGATGACGACGATAGCTAGCCAAACACAAATCTAGCAAGGAATGCGTCACACTTTGGACGTCGAAGTACCAACAGCAGCGGCCAGCGATAACTCAAACTGTTCCCCAGCGGTCGATGTAGCTTCAGTAGTCTGTGAGTAAACGTTAGTCCGACGCACACATTAAGATGGTACCTGTACGTACACTTTGGCCTGCAAAATATGGAATGGAAGATTGCCCTGTCTGTGAACGGTCATCCATCTTCTCCCGAAGAAAGTCTCTGGAGTTGAGACTAGGACAAAAAGATGTGAGTTCCGTTTGAAATGTGGTCAACAATCAGACTTACATTGCCAGAAACGAGTTGAGATATGCTATAAGGCCCAAGATATTCAGTAATGATGCAGAACAGCTAAATGGATGGGTTATACATTTAGGAAAAATAAACGAGATCCCTCCGTATATCGTCGCATTAGGGAGCACGAGGTACTATTAAGAATTCGTCAGGTGAAGACGTGGACCGACGCAGTCGAATGGTCTTACGGTAATGAGTGATCCTAGTGAAAGGAGTCTGTTGTAGAAGCTCAGTAGCAGACACGGGAAGATGGCGCGAAAAACCCGACGTTGATATGAGATTCGTATTGACGGTAAATAATATAAGGATCATGATGACATGATTACTCCTGTAACAAAACAGATATAAATCAGCTCCATGATATAGTAGAATCAAATAAATGCCAACTACGCACCTTTTCATCCCTGATCGGGAACGGTGAAGGCTCAGAGCTTCAAAATGGTTATATGAGATCATCATCGCTCATATAGCTACAGAGAGAAAGAGCGCCCACTCATTGCTATAGTCATGATGACATCAAAAGCAATTCCGCTCGACGCTGAAAGTTTCCAAGAGAGCTGATGCGTTGTTCATCAGTCGAAGCTTTGTTAGTAATGGGAATGACTCGCCGTAAAGTCGGGTGTATTTTCAGTCAAGAGGCGGTGCCGGTAGCCAAAGATAGACAGAGCTATGGAGTATCATTAATACTATTGAGCTGGCACGAATGAATAGGCATACCAACGTATGAGGCTATGTATTGAAATGTGAGAAAGGTTATAAGCCCAATATAACAGCAGTCTCGCCCCACTAACCGAAGTTAAGGAGCGCCAATGACACCTATGATTAGTTTAGGGACGTCATCTGGCGCGCGCAGCAGAAGGACCTACCGCGATGGCGATAAATGCGATTCGGACATGGGTATGCAGCGAAGAGGCACTAAAAGTCCAGATCCGCCAACAGAAGAACCTACACACTAGGGTCATTTTAACACTCGGCCAGGGGAGTGTTTCCTTACAGTTGTACCAAAAGAATGGAGCAGACCTAATCCAATGGGCGCTCATGAAGAAAGGAACGAAACGAGAACTTACTCCAATGATTCCTTCCTCCTATCAAATAATTCGCGTTAAAGCCGTGACGGTACGAAGAAAATCATTTGAACTCACGTATGTAGTTAATCTGGTTATCTGTCGGTAAGGGCCGGCATATGAGTGTAAGAAAGACACACACTCACGCTTCGCCGCTCCTCGAGCCTCCCGTCGGAAGCGCAGCCGGATTGGCATAGTCAGTGATCAGAAAACGGTACATTCCTGCCAACATGAGGCATTGGTGTGCGGTATCTAGTCCCTATATAGGAACACGATGAAAGCGTGCTCGACAAGATAGGAATAAAAGTATTCACGCTACGACTGATATGAGAATTGTTATAACTGGTCCAATGGAGCGGAACTTACAAAAGAACGGAGACAAGTAATTTCATTCGCCAGCTGTCGGATCGAGTCCGGTTGGAAGTGATGTATAAGAAAGTCTGCAAACAGATGACACCATACAGACTTGGTCGAGTCGCATTAGAGCTCTTGCAATAATGAGTAAAAGAACGAGTAGTACGCACGCTGTAGCGATAATGGACCCAATGTAGAGGGCCCCCAAAGTATTGTCGAAAGCAGGAAGTGCAATAGGTTGCCCGGTAGGTACTGTTGACATGATTTTGAAGTCAATGTACAAAGGATTGGTGGAATACAGAGGACCTTCATTTGCAGTGTTTATACCTTTTCTTCAACGTGCTATAACTGTATACGGATATCCGGCGTGATCATTTGTGATCAAGCGTGAGATTAGCGCTCAACTGGGCCGCATAGAGGGGTGAGAGTGAGCGCCGTACTACTGATACTCTTTCTTCGGCCGAGACTGGAAGACAACTGTAGCAGTACTTTCGGCCAAAGTATTAGAGAGTATCGACTTCATAGTACACAAATGCGGAAGTAACACGTCACCTGCATTTCCAAGTCCGGGAAATCCATGCCCATTGAACAGGAAGAAATTTAGTACGACTCGTACGAGAGATCAACAGAATCCGCAATTGCCGCCAGAGCTGCCGCAAAAGTCAGCTATAAATAGACATCACTGCTTGATCAGGGCAACCCCTGCAATTGGCTCAATGGCCTGGGAAAATCAACCGAGCACGATTGTATCTCCGTGCCTTGACATTAAAAGTGATGTAATGATATCACGGGATTTGGTTACTCCCCTAGTCACCTCAAGGACGGTCGCCGTTCACCTCATCATCCGTCTCTCATGGGAGCAGTACCTTCAACAACGTTCAACCCTGTGCAGGATCTGCCTAACCTGTCTGGAAAGGTTGTGATTGTAACTGGGTCTAGGTAGGTTATATTTACTGCCTAAATAATCATCCGATTTCACAATACAATTCGTAGTAGCGGCATAGGATTTGCTAGTTTACAGCACTTGTCAAGGATGGGGGCAAAGGTATTTTAACAGTTATGGATTATCCCGGTATGTGTGCATGACCGCTTGGGTTCTGTCGCGTCCGTTTAAGGTGTACATGGCGGTTCCGGACGAAGACTTGACCAAGCAAGCTCTAGAACGAGTAGAAAAGGAAGGGCGGGAACCTGGTCTCGGAGAAGTGATATGGCACGAGCTGGACCTCAAAGACCCCCGTACTGCCAAGGAATCAGCCGAGCGTTTTATTTCTCGGGAGACCAGACTCGATATTCTAAGTTTGTGTGCACGCGTTCTTCTCATCATTCTACTCACAGTCCGACCATCTAGTTAACAATGCAGCTCAGTTAGTCTATGACCTTGGCTGTTCTCAATAGCGAATATGTTTACGTGTCTCACTAGGATAACCGATCTCGGGAACCCCCAAATGAACGTCGACGGGATTCAGAATAATATGGCCATCAAGTTCGTGCCTAGCAATGTTTCTCGCCCACTGATATCGGGTTTCTGATGGTTCTGTTGGCCAGCTATCTGGGACCTTTTGTGTTCACGAGGACGCTCCTCCCGCTCCTTGAATCGACAGCCTCTCTGGAAGGGGCCGACGTACGAATAGTCAACGTGAGCTTGTCGAATGCAGACTGACCCCCCATTCATACCAATTCTTCGCAGGTCGGATCGGATGGTCACAAAGACGTTCGATACTTGGACTACGGCTCAAAAAAGGGGTGGAATCATGAATTCAGATGGTCTCTGCTTCCGACCATGTCGCGCTACAGTGCGTACCTTTCGACGGAGTTTCTACTACGGTGTTTAACATTGGCCGCTTGTTGGCAGAATACTCGAAACTCGCCGTTCATCTGTGGACTAATGACCTGGCGCGTCATCTCTCCACAGAGAAATTCAAAGTAATGGTCCTGATTGTCCATCCCGGTGCTATCCTGAGCGTGCGTCTGTCTTCAACCATACTGAGCGACAGGTCCTTTAACCCGGAACATGTTTAGGACGGCGCCATTCGTTCACTAAAGACTCTGCCGTATCCGCCTTTTTGGATATGGCTTTTAGGTCTGAGCATGCATCCTCAGACTCGGGGAGCCTACACGTCCGTCTTTGCAGCGTGCGCTCCACGAGACAACCCTGAGATATCGCATGGGGCTTATATCTTTCCTCCAAACGTCGCAGTTGTGCAAGCACCCGCAGCCTTAAATGAAGACAAGCAGCGACAACTAAAAGATTTTACAGAAGAATTGTTACAAAATATTGGTGTGTAATAATTTGTTTCGTTTGAACTATCAATGTCTGCTATAAAATGCCGGAAAGAGAGCGATCCTAATGAGATCCTTGACCTGCGGGATGAGTGCAGGGAAACGGGAGTAAATCATTGTTGAACCACAATGTTCTGCAAGAACTCCTCGGACTCGACCAACTTCCTCACCTACCCTCATCCAAAGCGGCTTGTTCTTGTGACCTTGCAGTGTTCCGAGGTGGATGGAGCCACCTGGGATATGTGGTATTATCGCCGGAGGGCAAAGCTGTAAAAACTAACGTATTGCGACCGAAGTTACACTGCCTGCCAGACCTTATCTACTAAACCGAATAGGGAAAACACTCTCACTACGTTCCGATACCTTCTCTTCGAGAAATTTTACTGAACAAAGGGTACCTAATGATGCAGTGCTAGGATGGTGGCTCCGAAAGGTACAAGTGAGCGTGGAAGAAACGAGGCAACCATAAACGTGCCAGTTATGTACTAAACGGCGGACTACGCCACCGAGGCACAATAACAAATAGAGCCGAGGGAAGCAAAAGGACAAACAAGGAAGCACCGGCTGGCGCTGCCTTGTTCCCTTCCTCTCGTCTCCTCCCTCTCCTGCTGACAATTTGCATTCATTTTCGCTATCGCTGTTGTTTTGCTTTCCTTGTACCTTTCTCTTATACCATCATGCCTGTGATACGGAACGGCAGGACAGGCCCCGGGGCGCCTAAGCCTAAAGGAACCCGCGCAAAGTCAGGCTGTTATACTTGTAGGATCAGGCGCAAGGTAGGCGCTTTGCTTTGATTTCATGGGATCCAGCTCAGTTCGGCTGTTCTCTTGCTGTTGTGTTTCTTCATTACCTGCGATATCTGACCGTCACGGTATTGTGGCGCAACTCAGAAATGCGATGAGGCTCGCGACCATAACGGTCATTGCAACACCTGCGTTCGTCTCAGAGTACAATGCCTTGGATTCGGGGATAAACGACCAAAATGGCTCACCAAGGTCCTTATTTTCTCCATTTTCATTACTGTGGCGCTAAATGCATAATTGCAGTCTAAATGTGACGAAATACTATTGAAGATCAAACGGTTTCTTGCCGGCGGCTCCGTTCTCCCTAGACAATCGCGTCCCGATGTTTCGTACCTGATTTTGTGGGATGGCGACTCAGAGCCCGTTTCTTCTCCAAGCGACACTGTTGACGCTTACGACTTTGATCCTCTTCCCTACGAAAACTTTGTAGACGACTTTGGCCCAGGGCCGGTGGAGCTGGAGGGTCTTCTGACGCATTGGAGCAGAGGCTGTAAGTCAGTCACTTCATTATTCGCAAGCACTCACATAATATTTGATCCAGATAATTCAGATCTCTTGTTACCCCAGTCCCCACCATCCTCTTACAATCCCTCCCAATCGATTATACCCTATGACGTGGATCTGACCACAGATCTTTATAATACTAGTGAGGGCCACCGTTTCCATGCTAGTCATTGATCTGACAAGGATTCTAGTTTCCCTAAGCGTTCCCCCCTTTAGTATGATGGACGTCGAATCCAGGTTGTCTGATGCTCAACTCGACAAACGTTACACCGACATGGTTGTTGGCATGCAGTACCAATTTTCTGATGAGCGGACACGCTCCGAAATCTTACTCTCTATTCGAAGTCCCGGAAGTCATCAAGCGTCAACTCGCTTGCTGGCTTTCATCCACCAACGACGCCACATATCGCCTTTGTCTACCGCTTTACAGGATGACTATGCCCAGTCCCGTTACTCCGAGCTCATAGCAGCTCTCAATGACCCTCATTCTTACGACGACGACCAAGCGATGGCTTCATTGACAATGATATCTACTCTCCTCTTTGATGGTGGAATAGGTGACTGGGAATCTTGGTTGAACTTAGTCGCCAAATATGCCCATCTTCTACTCAACCAATATCAATCCCCCCAACACGCTCTCATCTTGTGTAACAAGAAGCAGGCTTTCCTCATCAAAGCGTGCATTTGGTTTGATGTCCTCGCATCTGTGACGACTCAGACCGACCCCAGCTTCCTCCATGTCACGCGGGAATTGTTCAACCCGTATGCTAGTGGCGTGTCAGACGTCAACAATCCCGGAAGCGACATGATGACGGTCATGGGATGCGAGAGTCGTGTCGTCTGGGCCCTAGCGGAGGTGTCAGCTCTTGCTGCTTGGAAACAGCAAGAAATCGATCAAGGCCGACTCAGCGTTATGGCTCTAGTTCAACGAGCTGAACCCATCTTCCAATGCCTCAATGAACCGCTGAACGCGTTCCATCAACCTGATTCGCGAAACCTGTGCTCCGAGGTGTTCCGGATGGCTACAAAGGTTTATTTGCTCTCTGTCGTAAATGGGGATTTCCCGGACGCCGAGGACATGGAAAAGGCTGTGCGGGAGGCTGTTCAACTGATGGCGACCGCGGATAACGCGGTCGTGAGAAGCACCGTGTTTGCGTTCTTCGTGTGTGGGTGTCTGACAAATGATGAGGATTTGAGGGCCATTTTGTACGAGCGGCTGAGGAGGGAAGGGAGTGTTGGGAATTGTGCTGCAGTCCTTACGTTGTTGGAGCAGGTTTTCACAGACCCGAGAAGGAAGCAGGACGGCGTCCCTTGGAGGCAGGCTCTCAGGAACAGCAACTTACTGCTGGTGTGAACGAATTTCATTTGTCGATCGAATCTCTTGTTTTGAATATCTAGTTGTAGCTTTTTGTATAGTCATCTTGTGTCGTTTTCTCGCTTTTCTTGCTTTCTTTGTTTTCTTGCTTGTAGTCGTAGACAACCAGTTATAGGTCTAGTACGTAGCCTTACGCTGCGGTATATATGACCTTTTTTTGTCTCATGAGATGGATAGGCCGCCAAACCGGTTCTCAAGTTTGCTCGACGGTGTGCGGATTCAAAAGAGTAAGGGTTCTTATTTCGCAGTGCTATCTGCGCGTGCATCTGTTTTCACTGAGTAACGGGGCGTTTGACTTAGTATGTGTGCTATTCGCTCAATGAAGCCTTCCAGGTCTGAGGATAGACTCGTGTGCACCACGAGGTAACGAGCTGGCCTGAAAGTAGCAACGCAAACACAGAGACATTCGAGACGGACCCGCTGCCCTGGTCATCGTATTATTCTACGAGGGAGGGTAGCAACAGGACGCGGTTGGGGAAAGACACAAGGAAGGCCCGGAAAATAGAAGGCTCAAAAGGGTGCAGGAGAGACAAATCACTGCTAAACTCCAATGCTCTTCAAGAACTCCTCAGTGAAATCGACCAACTTCCGTTGTCTATCCTCATCCAAAGCGGCTGGCGCTTGCGCTATCGCAATGTTCGGAGGGTAGATATAGGCACCCTGGGATATTTCCGGGTTATCGCGCGGTGCACAAGCTGCGAAAACTGATGTATATGCTCCTGTGGTCTGAGGATGCATCAGCAGCCCTGCCAGCCAGATCCAAAACGGAGGATACGGAAGACCTTTCAGGGATTGAATAGTGCCATCCTGAGAAACATGTAAGTTATCGTCCCACAAGCAGCCGCGGAAGAAGGACGAACACTTAGGATGGCACCTGGTTGCGTGATTAGTACCATTACTTTGGATTTTTCTTCAGAAAGGCGTCGCGCCAAGTCATTCGTCCACAGATGCATGGCGAGTTTTGAGTATTCTGTCAATATTTATGTAAGATGCGAATTGGCTTATGAGTGTGGCGCTTACTATAACGCTCGAAGGATGGCACTAGAGACCATTTAAATTGATGGTTCCACGCCTCTTTGGAGCCGTATTCTAGGTAGCTCACAAGGCTATGACCACCGGATCCGACCTATTTTACTTGAGTGAGCTAAGTTGCTTAAATGGCAGGGGATACACATGGCTCACATTGATTATTCGCACGTCGGCCCCATCCAGGGAGGTTGTTGATTCGAGAAGCTGGAGAAGACTTCTTGTAAATACGTAGGGTCCTAGGTAGCTGCAAGATAGGGTAAAGTAGATCAACAGCCCGAAGCGAGCGAGGCGAATAAAAGCGCAAACTTGACTGCCATGCTCTCCACAATCCCATCTGCATTCTCTTGGACCTTTCCGAGGCTGGCAATCCTAGAGCAGATCACATTGATCAATCAGTACTCATGCACCTGAGGTCAGATCACGGCCACGGACATTGCTGCGTTGTTTACTAAATGATGATGAGCATTAGAGGTGTTGTCACTCAATGATCGGCAGACAAACCCAAGATGTCAAGTCTCTTTTCCCGAGCAATGAAGCGTTCTGCCGATTCCTTTGCAGAATGAGGATCTTTGAGGTCGAGCTGATGCCAAATGACTTCCCCGAGACCAGATTCGCGTCCTTCTTTGTCAAGTCGTTCGATGGCTTCTTTCGCTCTGGTTTCATCTCGAGCAGCCATGTACACCTGATAAGACACGTTAGGTTTTCAAGTATTTCAACTGGATTTAATGAGCATTCACCTTTGCACCCATCCTCGCAAAGTGCTGCAATATAGCGAAGCCTATGCCTTTACTGTGAGAGTGACAGGAACCCGGTCAATCGGTTTTGAGATACAGGAAAGTAACCATACCTAGAGCCAGTTACTACCACCACTTTCCCAGATAGACTAGGAAGATCCTCTACAGGGTTGAAGGTTTTCGACGGAACGCCACCCATTGTGTGCAGTGATATATGATAGTCGAGGAGGAAGAGTAAGGCTCGGGAGACGTCATTTTGACTTCTCAGCCTTGGCCGAGATTGCCGATCGTTGTCATCTGAGACCATGGGATCACACGAAATCTCACGCGTGTCACGACAGATCAGTAGCAGAGCAACTTCGCGAGTTATGAATGGCCGCGTACAAAATTACCTGGCAAAGTGACGCGTCATTTCAAACGCGAGTGTCATTTTCAAGGAATATCAGACATACCAGATGCTGTATCGTATTGTGTTTCGTTTCCATTATTTCGGACGTATGAAGGACAACAGGAAGCTGCCATTATAGCCACATGAAGTACTGCGTCTGATGAGCGCTAGCTGCTGGAGTCAACAGCTGCATGTTCACACAGCCAATACAAAAACTACCGAACTGAAACAACGAAGTAGAGGTGTGGTCGAACATTGGATACTCATGCTTCGCTAAGATAGAAGATTGATCAGTATAAAGGTCAGCTGGAAACAACCAGATAGCCGGTGCTCACCCGAACAGTTCTTCTCTTCAGAGAAGTCGTCCATCCTTGAGGACTCCCATAAAGTCCATTTGCAGTCCTCATGTACTCCAGAATGGTCGGGAACATCGCTTCTACAAGCCCAGCAGAAACACAATCCGTCGCCTGACATGCGGTAGTCAGCTTACGATAATGCTTCCAAGGAGAAGAGTGACGGAGAGAAGAAACCCGTTTGGCGGGGATAGGATGACAACGACCTTTTGCGTCCGGCCAAGGATTTTTAACACTCCTTTGCAGGAAGATTCCAATAAGGATGCAGTGCATTGTTGATTTGGGATATAACAGCATTACTCTGTCGTGACAAGAAGATGTGTGCGTGTACAACACATGCATCAAGGTGCCTTCTTAGCCGAATGAGACTGATGAACTTATTCACTGGATGAACCAACACCGGAGTGAAATTCCGCTAGGCCAACAATCTAATTCTGCGCCGGTTGAAAGACAGTCAATTGTTGAAGATGATAAAAGCGCACCGAAGTTTTGGTCATGTTTGGCTATCACTGCAAATATCCTACTTATTTGACCTCTTGATCTCATCATTTAATGGTCTGAAACACTCGGTGGAGATTGCATCGCACGCTGGAAGGTTTGGGGATCTTTGAACAGCTTCTGAAAACTCCCACAGCGCTGTTTCGAATATGCCCGATTCGAACAAGGTACCCTCGAAAAGCGTTATTGGCTTCCGATTCAATAGTGATACGGAGCTGTTCGAGGGAGCTGCGATTAATTTTCTTCATCAAACGTTGGGTCTAAAAGAGCGCTTGGAATCTCCCATTGCCAACAGCTGAATGGCCCCCGCGACTCGTACCGCCATGCTTAACTTCATCCCAAAGGCAAGCGCTGCTTTTGCCATTTCCTTTGCGACCCTCTCACACATCCGACTGGAACGCCTAATCATTGAGGACGCTAATATCAAAGCCCCATGCTGGTTTTCCCGCAGAAGGAGTGATTTTTTTCATATCCCCGCCCAGATCCTCCGCGTCCTCCTCAAAGTCATCTTCGCTCCCATATGCGTTCTTATCCCACATGTCATCTTTGAGAATATCTCGAGCTACGTCAGAGACACTTGGGCCTTCGAACTCGCATCCACGCCTGACGCAGTACTGACTACCGCTCCAAGCGGTGGTACGGGAACTTACGCACCCACAGGTTCTACTCCACGGTGGCTGCTGAGCGTCCAAATCGTAGATGGTGCGATTGCAGGCGTACAACAAGTCGCCTGGTCGGAGGAGGTTAGGAACCAGGGTTACACCGCTCTCAGCTATCCAATGGATAGCGCATACGTATTATTCCAGGAAGCCGGCCTTACCGTAGAGACTCCGCCGACAGAGAAGCGTCGGTTTACATTGAAGGACCGAAAACGCATCGCTGAAAGACTCCTCATCGAGTATTCTTCTGCGAGTCATGACGCAGGCAACCGTATCGAGTTTATATGGCTGGACGAATTCTGTTTGTCCGACATTACACAGCCGGAGGATAGCCCAGAAAGATCCAAAGAGCTCGGTCGTCTTGCTGATATCTTTCGCAATGCGGCCCAGGTTGCTGTCTTCTGTCATGAGGAGAATTGCGACCATACCTCCACCACGTGCATCTGGGGCACGCGCCTCTTCACTATCGGTGAGATCCTCCATGCCTCGGCGGTCATCCGCCTTACCAGGCAACAACAACAGGGTCGCTCGCTTCCCCTGAGGACTTATGCATATCGGGAGACTGCTCGTGCTTTTCGCGAGAAGATGCAGACTCAGGCTGCGTATGATAACCGTTGGCATTTGTACGCCATCATGCAACACTCGACCAATGCCGGATCGGTTTTTTGGCAGAATGCCATTCACGCACTCGTAGTTGAAGCTATCACTCGAGACCTTGCGGGAGGATTTGGGGAACACAAGTACCTCGGGAAGGCATTGAATGGATTGTTACCTCGCCGGGCGCGGCTCGAGGATCTGAAAGGAGAAGATGGATGGACAGATCTTGCTTGGTTGTTGGAGTTGAACCAAGGATTTTACAATGCGGCGAGCTTGGCGGCGGTGTGCACTTTGGGGGAAGGCGGCTGGCTGGGTCCTCCTATTCGACCTCTAGCAGGGAACGAACGACTAGAACCCATTGTCCATGCGTTTCCGGTACGAGTGACAGACGGCATGGGGATCATAACACCGCTGTGTATCATCGGAAGTCAGACGGTAGGGCTGCGAGGTTCCTTAGAAAGAGATCCCTTTGGGCTCTACAACAACAAGGACATGCGCGGGCTCAGATGGCTGTCTTGGTGCCTCCTCATCCTGTCATGGGTCATTGGATTGGCTATGATCAGCACAGGCTGGTTTGTTTTCCCAGCAGTTTTTTATATCAGCTCCTGCGTATTCACCATCTTTGAAAGGCAGTCGGAACGATATACTTGCAGCGTGATGGGTGGATATTCCTCGACGACAGCATCTGGGGATCTGAACCTCAGCACCGCCTTGGTATGCAAGACCCGAAACTCGCGGAGCTTATCGAGTGGGGAGACCACCAGCTCATCCCAAATTGGAGCCAGCCCGATGACACCGAGAAGAAACGGGCCAAAGGGACCTTATTGGACTTGAATAACAGGGTGATGATGAAAGTCATTGTGTCGAATAAGCCCGACGTCGCGTCGCACAAGCCCAACGCCCTGATTGCACTTGCGATCCATGGCAGCGGGGTGACGTGCATGCTTGCGAACCGGACAGAGGATCTGAACGACATCGTGAGAAAGGTTGGTATGTGCAACGTCCCGCCGTATATACTGGCACAGACAGTACGCTCTGGCACGTTGTGTATCGGCATTCCTTCAGAAAATACGAAGAGGTGAGTGTTGCATTTCTATGTTGTCGAGGTGCTTTGGACTAACCCATAGCAGCGGAACCATATCGCTCCCGTAAACATGATCTTTCTTCTTGAACCTATGTTGCTAGCTCACCGGTGTGTTACCGAATTTCCGGCCTACGTATCCTGTCACCTATCCACATGGACCTTCTTCAAGTTTACTAGTATGATATTTACGGACTCTGTTCACTCGCTAGTTAGCGAAATATCATCATTATGACTTGGTAACCCTTTTGCCTAAATAATACAGGCACAAGAAGCACCGTCATTTCCGAGTCCTACACGGACGAAGCCACTCGAGATCGCTGTGATGTGGAGGTTTGATGAAGGAACGAGCCGGACTGTAAATGGAAAATTAGATGTGACTTCAATTAGAGATCTACTTTCTCGCACAGCATTAATATCCAGGGCACTGCGTTTCATTAAGTAGTGCTAGCCGCCAACAGCTGCATATCCCCACAGCCAACACAAAACTATCGAACTGAAACATCGAAGTAGTAGAGGTGTGGCAAAGCATCAAACACCCGTGCTTCGCTAAGATAGAAAATTGATCAGTACAGAAGCCGACAATCAGATAGTTGGTGCTCACCCGAACAGTTCTTCTCTTCAAAGCAGTCGTCCTAATAGAATGGGCTTCTGGATGCGTAGGATGAAGACCCACATTGGACGCGCCATCTTTGATGACTTTGGATATCCATTCGTAGTCCCTATGTTCCCCAGCAGGATCGGGAAGCATCGCTTCTACAAGTCCCACAGAAACACAATCCGTAGCCTGACATACAGCAGTCAGCTTGCAGAGCAGACTTCCCCCAGTCTCCAAAGGAGTGTTGGCTGAATATGCAGGAAGTGCATCAGTGAACCTGGATAGCACTTCCACGATAATGCTTCCGAAGAGAAGCGCGGCGGAGAGGAGAAACCCATTTGATGGGGATAGGATAGCGATGACCTTTTGCGACCAACCAAGGATTTTCAATGCTCCGTTGCAGGAAGATTCCAATACGGATGCATTGTTTCTCGAGAGAGGCACGGCGGCATCCTCGAGGTTGATGTACTCCACGCCACGATTCTTCTTCGTTGCCGGTTCATGCGCGACGACTAGAATATGATTTGTGGTCATGCCGGTATGCAAGGCATAAAATCTGGGCTTTTTGACGATCCTAGGAGGAAGAGTGGTGGGATATGCCCATGCTACCACACCCTCCAACACCCTAACAATCAAGCCGAGTAGGATGATCCACCCCTCCCTCTCCTGCCCTCCCACGAATCCGTATACCGCAAGCCCTAGCTGAATAGCAAGCGCCATTACTATGACCGTATGCCGCCACGAGAGGCGCGAAGAATAACCAACTTCCTTGAGATACAACAGCGTTACTCCGTTGCGACACGAGGAGGTACGGGTGTACAACGCGTGCATCCAGGGTGCCTGGATTTCCCTGGTAGCTCCAGACAACATGTCTGTCAGCTTGAGGTGAGGGATATTCGTACTATCGGGTGCATCCGTGAGCGAATCGGTATCCCATCCCATGTACAATGGCATGGGCAGATAGCCGCAGGCGGGACGAAGACGGAACGCAAGTCCTGTCTTGTTTTGTGGGACGACTTGCGCTGCAAGTTCGACATAGTTGGCCATTGTGGAAGAATCGGTAGAAAGCATCCGGCTAGCAGACGGTCCCATTGATACTACTGTTGGTGTTGCGAGCAATAAGAACCTATTTAGACGTGTGAATCTTCGATGAACGCAACCATCATTCAATTCTTCACTGGATGATCCAGCGCTGGAATGTAATTCTAGGCCAAGGGGCCGCACATCCGACTGAATGAGTACGATCTGATTCTGTGACGGGAGGATGGTTGATCATTGCAAGAAAACGATGACTTTGAAAGCATGTGGCGATTAACCGGTAACCTTTGGATTAGTTGTTACCTCGCCGGGCGCAGCTTGAGGACCTGAAAAGAGAAAACGGGTAGACAGATCTTGGTTGTAGGAGCTGAACCGGTCGGCGGTGAATATACAACGCGATTGAGCTTGGCAGCAGTTGGCTCATTTAGCACTGCCGAAAAGGAGCCGAAGCGGAGTTCAAATGCGTACATAGAATGGGGTTAGGGTTACCTGATTTACAATAATTCAGAAAGTTGATCCTCGACGTCGACGAATGCTTACTGTCTTCACGCGTCTTCGATGTCGCCGCTCTCTCTTTCCGACCTTATTCAGAAAATTCACTGTACTTGCCTTTGAAAGCTCTGCAGACGACACTTGCGCCGCTGTAGTTACCTCTGACCGCCAGATTCTTTCCAATGTGGTCATAAAGCAACACCACCTGTGCGTGACGATGCCATCTCTTCCTTATTTTCCTGACTTTCAACAGGAACGAAAAATGGGGTGGAATTCATCCTGCGGCTGCAGTCATGGAGCACCAGGCAAACATGGTATCGTGGTTAGTCCTTCTAATGGTGGGCAAAGACTGACCTGTTCGTAGCCAGTCGCAGCCAAAAGGGCACTTGCAGAAGCGAATGTGGATATGTCAGGCATCGATGGAATTGCGTTTACCAGGGGTCCGGGTATGTCCTATCAAGTCTTGAGAAACCAATTTGCTCATGCTCATACTCATACACAGGTATGGGAATCTGCCTAAGCGTGGCTTGCAATGCTGCAAAAACACTCGCAGCTGTGACAGGAAAACCTCTAGTTGGCGTTCATCACATGGTTCGTAATCCAGCATGTCTATCGCTTGTATTAACTCTCAGATCCAGTTTAGCAAGCGCACGCTCTGACGCCTCTTCTCACCTCTTGGCCTGACATCCCGACATTTCCCTTCCTCAGTCTCCTCATATCGGGTGGACATACACTTCTTCTCCTAGCGAACTCGGTCGACTCATTTCGAATCCTTGCTACTACCCGAGACGAGAGCATCGGGCGCACATTTGACAAAGTCACGCGAGAGCTAGGGTTGGGCTGGGCAGGCCCGTCATTGGAGAAGTTTTGTAACCAGGATATCGAGAGCAAGACTCCCGAAGACTTTAGCCCGTTCAGTAACGCCATGCCTGGTGAAATGGGATTTTCATATTCCGGCTATCATTCCCAGGTCGAGCGCTTTGTTCACAGACGTGGCGGTGTTGGGAATATAGCCCTCGAGGAAAAGGTCGCTGTTGCCAGAGCTTTCCAAGAGGCCGTCGTCGACCACTTAGAGTCGAAGCTGATGCTTGGTATCAAGCAATGCTTTCGCGAGGGTATTCCTATACAACATGTCATCATCAGTGGCGGGGTTGCGAGTAACTCGTACCTACGGGCGAGGTAAACTGCACTTGTTTGATAATTGGACCATATTTGCTGACCGTAATTCAGATTAACACAAATGTTAAGCAACGCTCCCATCAATGGAAGACTTACCCTACAGTATCCTCCGCCTTCTCTTTGCACAGGTACGCTGAACCTTCGTACTCTCCACTGTCCCTACGATCTAACCTTGCCTAGATAATGCCGTAATGGTTGCTTGGGCTTCTATGCATCGATTCCTTGCTGGCGACCATGATGACTTTTCACTGAATCCCGTCACTAAATGGAGCATAGAGGAGCTAAACACCAAGGACCCTCGGGCCACGTCCATTTAGTGGTCAGCAAAAAGTATTACAAGATATATAATTATCCAGATATTGAGTACCAGCTCATCAATTGTTAGTATTAATTAGTCTGCATTTTCCGAACTCTTCCACCTTTTCGTTAAACAGGCTTCCCCAAGCCATGATGGCTTAGTCGAAAAGGTCGTCTATGGTGGCTTCACGACGACTATCCTTTATTAAAGTTCTCTTGGAACAGGTGGTGCGGATTGATAATCCTGCGTCTTATTCCTCGGCATGCGATTGCAATCTTTTAACGTTTGCCCTATGTCGGAACTCATAAAAGTGAAGATGAATCCCCTGTTCGTTGCAGGCATTTCACTCCGTGACAAGTCTACGTACCCGGCGAGCGCCAGGCCATGGGAGAGAGCGGGTTCATATTAGTTAACACATTCTTGAGCTTCAGGAAATGGGGTGGTAAAGACGTACATCGTCGTAGTCACCTCCTGCCGGCAGAGCGAGTAATACCAGTCTGCCGATAGCCAAGCCTGTCCTTTTTTCAATGACGTCCATGGTATCAATGTGAATGCCGCGGTAGCTTTGTTTACCTTCTTTGTTCACCGCCGTAGAAGTTAAAACTTTACTGCGTGATGCCGTGTCAAAACACGCCCAGGTTCTAAGTTGAGTAGAAAGGCTACTTCTTTTTGTGGTCCTGGTTACCAAAGGCCAGTGCATCGATATCATTAGTCATTACACGGTCAACAATTCAGTCGCGCTGATTCAGCTTCGGTTTCGATCTTTGCTTGTCTCATACGCTGGCGTTGATTCCTATCCTGTGTTGCGCGGCATCTGCGAGAGACGCGTAAGCCAAGTCGTGTCGAATCCTCTGGAGGGCATCCTTAATATCCAGAGGTATTTATCTTGGACCCATCTACCACCACGAGTTGAGAAATAGGCCGAGGCGGGGCCGCCTTTTTCAAATTAGCACACGAGAAGCGGTCTCTTGAAGATTAAGAGGCTAGAGCTGAAATTCAGGACATACAGTATATAACTATAGATTTTAGACACAGAAAGCTTATTTTTCTAAAGTCGCGCATATTTGGGGTGAAAGGCACTAGACAGTGTAGAGGAGATAAGCATGCTATCAAAACTCTTCCCAATGGCTTTGGGTCTAAATCGCAGAGCATGGGGGTCAGCTGCGGGCCGGGGGGTAACACGATCTGTCACATCACATGATCGTGTCAGCGCGACTTTTACATACGCGTCACAGTGGCCGTGCGAAGATATTTCTACGTCTTTCTTTCTTTCTTTATCTCCTTCACCACCATGCCTGCTTTCCAGCCCATCCAAAGCAACGGAAAGCGGAAATCTGACCAACAGGAGTCTCAAAGTCGCAAACGTCAAGCATTGGATACAGGAACTGCTGGCAGTTCTGAATACTGGATGGTTCAATGGTGAGGGACTTGTCCACTGTCATCAATACTGGAGACTAATAAGAACTACGTAGGAGAAACCATCAGAGCAAGAAACACAAAACATGGGAGGGAGATGGCGTCCTCGTTGTTGAAGGATCGCAGGCCACTCTCTTTGATACGGATGGAAAGCAGTGCGTCTCTTCACATTTCTTCTTTTTTGTCAATATTCAAAGAGATATCGTAGGCTAGGGCAGGCCGCACGCCCAGCTTCACTTTACGAAGGGCTAGAAATGAGCATCGGTGGGAAGGATGTCGGTCTGGAATGTCCCACGACTCGAGCAGAATACCGTTCCGGCACATGTTTCGGTCAAGCGTCTGCTGTCTCTGCGCCACTAGTGGCTTCCACTGGTCCCTCAAAGGCTTTTGCACCACTCAAACTGTCGACACTACCACGGCCGAAACCTGTTTCGATGGAGAAGAAAGGCATACCTCTGGAACAAGTCGATCTTCTTTCAACGCCGTGCAAATCCCCAACCAAGGAGAACATTGTAAGTCAAGAAAGTCACTGGACCGCAAATTGGAGGAAGGTGGGTAACAAGAAGAACTGGGAGGGCGATGCCTTTGTCTCGCATACCGGAAAAATAGTCACCTTCATTTCGGAGACAGGCAAAAAGTAAGCCATTGGCTCGAGACCGCGAGAACGGATTTAATTAGTTATAGACTTTCTACGTCGGCATGGAAAGGTACCCCATTACAAAGTGGACAAACGCTCTATTTTGGCGGCAAGGAAGTGCAACTTCTTAGTCAGGTTTCTCTCTCCGAGCTGCCTAGTCACTCTGGAGATGTCAATACTCCCACAAATCTGCGGCCTCTTGCTCTTTCAGGAGCGAGCGAAAGTGTCAAGAAGTTTGCCACTCCTCTGTCGACAGGCGGTGTTTCCCCGGCGACCTTTTATGGATCTGTGAAGAAGCCCGCCAAGCCACTGTAAGTCCGGTATACTTAGAGCTACTTTTTCTCACCCTACATAGGCATGATCCTGACGCAGAAGGTGCGATAGTCATGAAGGCTCCGACCAAGGAACACATTCAAAAATATAACAAGAAGTATGTCTTCTCTCAAACTTCATTCCCCGGTCCCTGTTTATCGCACCTGCAGGAATGGAGCTATCGTGCCTGTCGTCCTTGATCCCGTCATCGCCAGTAAATTACGACCTCATCAAATTGAAGGTACAGTTCTCTTCTCTCGTCCAAACGTTTAGTCTTCAACATACATCTAGGTGTGAAATTCATGTATGAATGTGTTATGGGCCTTCGGAAACACGAAGGTAGAGGGTGCATACTTGCAGATGAAATGTACGTCCATATCATACGCCCTTTTTACCATGTTTAAACACATATCCAGGGGTTTGGGGAAGACCTTGCAGGTAGAGCAAGTTGGTCGTGTCATCATTGCTATGATCTAACATCTCTCTTTCGCAGACGATCAGTTTGGTTTGGACGCTGTTGAGTAAGGCACCGAATGGGTTATATTCCGCTTTGCTAAATTCCTATTAGGACAAAACCCCTACTCTGGCACGGGCCCGGTGGTCGAAAAGGTCTTGATCGTCTGCCCCGTTTCATTGATAAACGTCAGTATAGGTGTCTGATTTTCTTTCTTTTTCTCATCAAACGCAAATAGAACTGGAAAGCCGAGTTCTACAAGTGGCTAGGTAGAGACAGAGTGGGAGTGACCGTTTGCGATAAGGAGAAGAACGCGGTTCCCGTGTTCATCAATTCGTATGCCTTTGAAAGCATCTCAAAATCCCGCAACGCTCACTTATTCCGTAGAAAACCTCAAAAGGTCTTGATAATCGGGTACGAACGACTTCGTACCGTAATGTAAGCAATCCCCTGTTGGCTCTCTCTACACTGAGTCTTGACACTATCCCAAGAAAAACCTTGTCCGCTTGCGTGTAAATATATATTTTACTGCGCTTTCAACGAAATGATAACGAATATGTGCAGGCCACCAATCGGGTTAATCATATGCGACGAAGGTATGTCGCTTTGTTCTAAAACACGTTGTAGACTTTAACTGTTGTACAGGACACCGGTTAAAATCTGCTAACAACAAAACTACCACAATGTTTGACGCTTTGCGGACGCCCAGAAGAATAATCCTCTCCGGTACACCTATTCAGAACGATTTGGGCGAGTTTCATGCGATGGTATGTGATACAATGGCTGAGAACTCTCTCGAAACTAATGCTTCGTGCAGGCTGACTTTTGCAACCCTGGACTACTCGGTTAGATTTATGCTCTATTGGTAACAAGGACAAGTCTTGATGCATGATGGATCTACAGATGAATACAGCGTGTTCCGTCGCATCTACGAGGCGCCTATTCTGAAAAGTCGCGCACCAGACTGTACACCAAAGGATACAGAAGTTGGAGAAGCACGTCTGGCACAGGTGCTTTGCTTTCTGTTTCTGTTGAGGTTAATACAACGCTGACAATGTAATCAGCTGATGTCAGTCGCCAAGAGTTTCGTTTTACGAAGAGAAGCAAAAATTCTTGGAAACTATCTACCGCCGAAACGTAAGGGGATCTAACGCTTCTTTTGTACTCGCTTAACATCCCACGTCGGCAGACGAATATGTTGTTTTCGTTACGCCTACGACCCTTCAGGTGTCTATATTCTCGAAACTCCTACAACCCGACAAATTGGATGATCTTGTACAAGGATCCACGGCCGAGTCATTGGCCCTCATGAACTTACTAACGAAAGTTAGCAATAGTCCCATCCTTCTCAAGGCTACAGCCGACAAGGAAGGGTCTGGTGGTGAGCAAGCCAACACCATACGAAAGCGGAGTGTAAGGGAAGCCCTCGACTGTATTCCTGACACGGCCCAACTCGACGACATGTCACTAAGTGGTGGGTTTTACTTTCTTTATCTCCACAACGTCATCTGTACTGAAAATACAACAGGAAAATTGTTGGCTTTGTCTCGTCTGCTAGGGCACATTAAAGACGTGAGTTCAGCTTCCAATCCGATGGGATAGCCCCTTAACCACTCATTAGACGACGGAGGAGAAATGTGTTCTAGTTTCTCACTACACGTCCACTCTCAACATTCTCGAAGCATACTGCAAGAAGATGCACTATAGCTACTATCGACTCGATGGGTAAGGGTTGACCATTTCATCTACATCTTATCTAATGCATGCGTAAAGGCAAACACCAACAGCTAAACGTCAAGAATATGTCAACACATTCAACAAGACAAGTCAGACTAGCAGCTGTGCGTATAATGTTCATACTTGGGTTCCAAGAAAAACATGACCTAATTGGTTTTCAGTCATTTTCTTGCTGAGTTCGAAGGCAGGAGGTGTCGGGATCAATCTTATTGGTGAACTCCCTCTCTCACCGCTTGAATGTCATACTAATTTTCTTTTCAAGGCGGGTCTAGACTATGTTTGATTGACTCGGACTGGAATCCAAGGTTAGTTGCACACTAGTCACCTCGTGCATCAGTCGTACTAATTGGGCACTAAGTCATGACTTGCAGTCAATGGCAAGATGTCACCGGTACGTGCTTTCCTTTTAGGTTTTTTTTGGGTATTTAACAGCTTCCACAGGGACGGCCAGAAGAGACCTGTCTACATATACAGATTCTTGACAGCAGGTACCATTGACGGTGAGAAACTCTCTCCTCGTTTGAATCTTAGCATTTACATCGTGTTCAGAAAAGATATACCAGCGCCAAGTTACCAAACTAGGCTTGAGCAACTGTAAGCAACCTGTATTCCCTCATACAGCAAATTCTCACTGACCCACTCCCAGCTCTCATGGGATCAGTATGTATCCCCATTGTATCAGTGTCAGCTTTGATCGGTTCAATTTGACTTGACAGGCCTCCGGTTCCTCCAAGAGCGACTCGTTTACCCGAAAAGACGTTTGTAACCTACTTTGGTTTCAATAACTTGAGTTGAAATGTTTCCAGCTTCGCGACATCTTCCGGATCCACCCAGACACGCTCTGCAACACCCACGAACTCCTCGAGTGCCCTTGCGATGTTCAGTCTGTAGCATCGTCTTCTCAACCCGAACTCAGCCCAGAATCGGATGATGACGATTCCGACTCTGAGTCGCATAAAGGCTTCATGGTAGCATCCCAGGTCAGCGTGAGCAAGCTGAATAAGATGGATAAAGCTGTACGTTATACTCCTCGGTATTTTTGCGTGGCCTTCCACTTCCTCCTTTCCATAGTACGCACAGAAGAAGAAGGAGGGTCTGGCGGCCCTTGGTGAATGGAAGCACATCAACTGCATGGGCAGCGATAACCACACAGATATCCAAGACAATATCCTCCGAGAAATAATGCATGTTCCCGAACCCAAGCTAAGGAAGGACTCGCAGTCGCGGACACAGCGTCTGATAGCCCAGTTGGATACAGTTGGGGCGAATGGCATACGTGGGGTTCCTGGTGGTACCATCTCGTTCCTCTTCCAGAAGAGTACTGAGGGAGCCGGCTCGGGCGGCCCAAATTTCGAGGTCTAAATTGTTGCAATATATCAAGACTTACGGACATTTCTTTAGACAGCAATTGTATAGTACATACACATTCCAGCAGTGCTTCGTTGTATATTGTAACGATATCTTACGCATACATTTAATTGATATAGTCATGACTTCCCAACCCTAGCACTACCAGGTGGGTAGCCATTTATTATCTCCGGGCTAATGAACTTAACATGCGAATAATTTCGGTACCGGTGTCAACAACATCATCGCGACCGGCTATTTCACAAGTGTTGATTATGAGTACATCTTCGATGAATTGGAAGATGTGCAAGATATTGTGACCATACGAACCTCGCTCCAGTGTCGTATGGCTGACGTAGGTATTTGTGAGTTTTAACCCAAGCACAGTGTGCACTTGGGACTGCCGCCCTCAGTCTATCTATCTGACAGTCCCTAAAAGTGTACAATGTGTTTCCACGTGAAACGATGGGAAAACAATGGCTGGATTGGAGTCTCAAATAAGGACATATGGAAGGCTACAGTCGCCGCCCTTCGATAACGTAACGCCCCGGTATACTTTCAGTGGGTTAAAGGTCATAGTGGTGACACCGGAAATGAAGGGGCAGATGCCCTAGCCAGCAAAGGAGCACAATTGGCTGAAGGGGACGCAACCCCAGCGGATGCAGAAATAGACCATGAATTTGACGTTGATGGAGCGCGGCTGTCGACTCTCACCCAGAGCCAAGCGTACAAACTCCTGTGCATGCTAGCTGACGTGGAGGAACGACCATCAGCACGCGTTATAAAGGAGAGAATTCTTGCAACAATCAAGGAGGTTAACGGCGTCGAACCAGCCCCATCCAGGATCTGGAAGTCGATCCGCCACAAGGATGTGTCAAGGCCGATAAGGGGTTTCTTGTGGGCCGCCTGGAAGGCCTTGCAAAATACGTTCAAAATCGGGACTTTCTGGGAACACTTGGGCCCCCAGTACTCAAAGAGGGGAGAGTGTCCTCACTGCAAAGTTACGGAATCGATGGAACACATACTGATTGAGTGTAATATCGAGGGCCGAGCCATGCTGTGGAAGCTTGCGCAGGACTTGTGGGGGAGAAAAGGCCTGAGATGGATTGAGCCAACATATGGTATAGCACTTGGGGCTACACTTGTATAGATTACAAATGACGAAGGAAAGGTCGACAGGCATGCAACCCGCCTGTATCGAATCCTGATGACAGAAACTGTCCATTTAATCTGGAAGATCCGGTGCCAGAGACGAATCCAGAGAGATGATAACGACCCGGCGAGTTGGCATACGAAAGACGAGATACGAAACCTGTGGGTGGATGCAATGAACAGGAGACTGACGATTGATTGTGCAATGGTGAACAAGTACAAATACGGTTCCAGGGCGCTGAAGAAAGCGACCGTATTGTCTACCTGGAGAGGGACCCTGTTGAACGAGAAAGCTCTGCCCGAAGACTGGATTGACCAGAACGGGGTTTTAGTGGGTATGGTGCCTAGCCGGAAACGGCCGAGAGGACGGCACAGAGCCCCACACGAATCTGAATAGTGCGTAACAGCATTTCCCCGTGTAGATCTTCGGTTTGGCACCTCGTTTCGGTTACTTATACTTTGTCCAAGGGGCATGCCCCCTCCCCCAAGCGAGTATTCTGAATTAACTTAGTTGATTGCAGATTACTATGTGTGTTACACACACCGCTCTACAAAAAAAAAAAAAAGTGTACAATGTGAATTCTTATGAAAAGTTAGAAAAACTAAGACGTGTAGCTACTGAGAAATTCTCTTCTGGATGGACGAATAGTTATACAACATTTAAAAGGCTTTGGATGACTGGATTATCGCGTTAGAATCTATATCAAATACCAGATGGATGCTGTTGCGTACCGCACAGCATCTCCCGACGTAAACTCAGCTAGGGGTGGACAAGAAAGTCCGGACGAATCCTTCCTTGGGGAGATATCAAAGAGTGCTGTAATCTGGGCCAGGGCAATGAATATGGTCCGATTGGCAAGGTGTTCTCCAGGACAGCGACTATGCCAAAGGCACGCTCAGTCACAAGGGTTGACAACAAGACAGGTACAATGCAGAACGTACCGTCTGCCAAATCCGAATACCAACTCCCTGGGATCCTCCGGAACATCGCCAAGAGAAGTGCCGTCTATATACCTCTGAGGAATGAAGCTTTCTGGGTCGGGGCATGCGCGGAACATGGCACTAGTTACGAATTACGCAGCTGAAACACATAAGTCAACGGACTGAACTCACTAAACGTTGGGTGCTACAAGAGCCCCACTAGGTAGTAGGTGGCCCTCATATATATCGTCTTGAATAAGCTTATGAGGGATAGATAATGTAAAAGCGGCACCCCAACTATAAAATGGGTTAATCAGCGTAGATGGGATGGGCCCATAGAGGAGACGCGCCGGTGGATTTCACGAATAATTGCATCAAGGTAAGGTAATGAATCCATGTCCTCGAAGGACGGAAGTCGACTGTCACCGACGACAGTATCAATCTCAGTCTGTGCCTTCCTGTAAACTTCTGAATTTAAGACCATGGCAAGAACGAATTCGTTAAGAGCTGAAATCGTCTGCATCAACACTTAACATCAGGATATGCTGATACAGAAATTTGAGTAACATACGGTATCAAGAGCACCAGCGAGAAGAGTAGCCGCAGCACACTTGATGTCCTCCTCTTCCTCTTCCGACACATTTTCTAGTCCGCCTCGGGCTCGTAGATTATCGGCAACCAGAGAGGATCCAGCAGTTCCGCTTTTCTTTTCGTCGTTCAGCGGGGTGCATCTCAGCTTTCAAGCATGATCAAGAAACGTACTAATGCATCTTTTACTAGGTTGTACGGCATTTCATGAGCCTGTTGGACGATCATGCGAACTTTTTCGGCTTCTCTCCGAAATGAAATAAACGGCATCCAGATAGGTATGTGCTTAAGGACAGGAAGTAAGTCGACAGCAGTTGCCCCAGGGAACCCGAGAGCATTGGAGGATTCCATTGCTTCATAAGCTTAAAATGGCAGTATGACGACGCGATTATAATAGAGAGTTAGCAGAGGCAGTACAAACCTAACTTAAGAATCTCCTCGGTCTTCTGTGGACCGTACACGAGTTTGATAATCGTGCTAGCTGCATAACTATGAAATCTCAGCATAGAACGATGCATGTTTAGTAGAAGAATACTTTTTGAGGTGTTGACTAAATTCATCCGGCGTCTTGGATAATGCCTCGATTAGTCGAAGTGCGCCGGTTTTTTGCAGTTCGGTGTATTGTTGAACGGCTTTGGGATTGAGTGTCGAGATTACGATCCGTCTATGCGTACGGATTCGTTCGCCGCTGTAAAATGGTGTGAGTGGACGACAAAGGCTAAAGAGTAGAACCAACTGACTATGGGAGACCAGGGGTCAGCCGTGTCCATCCAGCTCTAGAAGTTGATGTCGCGGTGTAAGTGAAATTCCGGAGATACATACCAAAACCTACAATTCCATATGCATAATCATGGGTGGTCTGTCGGAGTAAATCGAGCTGCGCTTGTCAAGAAGGTCCTTTGCCGCTTTGTAAGTGTTCAGAACTATTATCTTTCGCCGAGGAACAGTAACGAGCATAACATCTCCTACAAACAGAGTTGTATATGAGTAAGGCAGATCCTGCATGCACTACTCAAGCTAGACAGGAAACGTACCGTAAGATCGAGACCATTTCATGAATACCTGTTCCAACGGAAGCCCAGATGCCAACAACTGCAGCGCATTTCCAAGTATTGGCAGCCCACGCGGTCCAGGAGGCAATGCCTTCGAGGTCGATGCTGCAAAATAATAGTAGACTGCGATGATAAGAAACAGTCCTCCAAAAACAACGGAAGAAATCATGATATCCTTGTTTTCTGCTCCACTCAGTCGTCTCCCTGGCTGAGATCTTGATGTTCACAGGCTAGTACTTAGGGTCTGTGTGAGAAAAGAGAGAACAAAACGATGGGGAGTTTCGTCAAAAGTAAATGGTCCGCTCTACGGGCACTTGCTATTATATATAGTGCCTAGCCAGGTTCGCTATTGATGAGAATTGTTACCCACTCATGATGTGATGCCGCTGATCCAAATGTGGAAATCATTCTTATGCACGCACGCCGTATGATAGTACCATTTTCGTCGCCTTCCCTTCGGCAGCCAATCTGTGAAGGATCGGCAGGCTGTTATGTGCATTCCGACTGACTGACGTCGTTGTTGAGAGTCGAGGTTCCATAAACGCCCCTTGTTGCAACTAAGTCGCCAGTCTACGTTTGACCCTGGAGGCGGCGAGTAGGATCACCGCCTCGGATATCGCCATGTTAATACCCCCGGAAACCCTTGCTACCTTGAACGCGATGGATTGTATTGGCGAGTGGAGATGTGCAATTTCTAATTAGCGAAAGGTTAGACTGGAAAACAAATATCGTAAATAAGCGATTTGGAGATCCGTGACGTGAATGTGCGGAACAGAGGGCACAACATCGATTTCTCGACACGGGTTTGCGAACCAGAAGCTGCATTCGACGATGAAGGGACACGGAGTTCTGAGTAGTAGGGAATCGCATGCTTTCATGCAGCAAAAGAAGTGGAACTTCATTCTTGGGCCATTTTATCCGAGATGTGGCGCTGAGAAGTAGATTTGGAATCCCACTAGCATGATCCCCTTCAGTAGAACAGGAGGTATTGTACACAAAGGTCGCATCCACCTGATTACGGAACAAAGCATGGATAGCTGGAAACGAGATACCTTCCAGCCCCGTCGTGGTCGTAATCAGCCAACACGGGTGCATTACGATGTCTCTGCCATACCAATTCAGAGAGAGGAGAGCTAAGGAGACAACGTTTGACTGAATAAACCTTGCCTGTGCGCGCGTGCAGACTCGCCTTCTATATACAATCGCTATTTCTACACTGAAGGTCACCCGAACTCACCTTCCCAGAATTCAGATCCCATTCATCTCCGAGATGCGTAAAACAATTCATTGTACCACATAGCCCAAAGACCGGGATCATATCGGATCGTTGGAGGAATATCGCGATCATCATGTGAGATGTCCTTCTCAGCGGCGAGGTCAAGAACAAGTGCATCCCGGCGTAGGATACATTTCTCCAGGAGACACCAACTTGAGCAATGTCCCTGAAAGCTTTCTAGGTGTTCTTCTGCATTTGTAGAAGAGAACCTGGCTTCGATGAAGATAAAGAGTCACAACGATTTGACCTGTAACGGCGGCGCCAGTTCCCCCAGTTTCGTGCATAATGTAACGCGCCATATAGGTAGATGTAAGCGGTTCCAAGGGCGTCCCTTTCGCGGAAGGAATGGCGGTCCTGAGTCAGCCGAACGCGAGGCATCCATCTCTTGGCCTCGTGGTGGAAGATAGCATCCGATGGGGCGAAAACTACGTACTAGGTATCTGAATAACGAGAACCTGCAATCATGAAAATGTGTGTCGCCAGTCGATATGTATTGTTGACTCTTCCGGGAGCGGCAATAGCCTTGAAAATCGCACTGAGAAGTGTCATGTCGCCCTAGATGCATCGAAAGACAGCAGGAAATACGGCAAGTGTTTTGGTGGTCGTTGATGACCCAGAGGTCTCAAGGCACCTGGTGGCCTGTTTTATCAATGCTCGACGAGGGGCTGGGGTGGAACCACCGCTCAAAATTGTCGGACGGATCATGAGAAGAGAAGGTAGCGGGCCGCTATGTACCGAGTGAGCCGTGATGAAAAGGTCCGGCATAACCATAGCAGTAGTATACGTCCGTAGAAATTTCGAGAGAGTAATTCGCAAGGAACCGTAATAGACAATCGTGACCGGATGTCGAGCTATTCTATCTGTGCTCTTGATATATCAAGTTGCAAAACCTTTCTGCCAAGATTTGACGAAGATAATGAAGCCGTCCTCATATGGCAGCCCTGGAATAACGTGTGCTTTGCACCAAGGAATTCAAGAGAAAATTACACGAGGGCACCGTCGTCCTGAGAAGAGTATTGATGAATCCTTGTGCAAAACAACACGTTTATTATCTTCTGCTGGAACGTGTTGTCCAGTAACAAAGACATGAGAAATAAGATGGAAGTAGTTAGGGGACAAACTTCTATTCCTGGAATTTTCTTTTATTTTAAAAAAAATCTAATCTAATTTAACTTGTCGCCGGTCCAGTCGCCACATTACTTCTTGTCTCTGTTACCGCCATCTGTGTCGGGAATGACACTGTTCCTCCCTCTGGAGGACTCTGTGTCTATACCGGCTACGCCCTCATTTCTCACTGAGTCTTGGGACCCCAGGACGCAGCTTTCGAACGTAGTAAAGGCAATACTGAAGGCTAGGCGGATAGTAGTCATTAGTGGTGAGATTTGTCCCTCTTTCAGTGTCTTGCACTATTGTAATGCTTCTGCAAAGGCGCTGGAATCTCTGTACAGGCAGGAATCCCCGATTTTCGCTCTCCGGATGGGCTGTTCCAGTCTTTGAAACGAGATAATCCCCGGGACTCGCTGGTGTCAGGGAAGGATCTGTTCGATGCTTCGGTCTTTAAGGTGCGTACTCTGCCGGGGCAACACATGCATCTCATATGGGCCCAAATTTCTTCTCGATTTGACGGCGTTTCTACAGTCTGAACACACTACATCTCTCTTCTGCCAAATGATCGCCCGACTGTCAGAGCTTTCCAAGGCTGCCGAACCTACGCCGTTTCATAGGTTGCTTCAATCTCTCGACGATACAGGAAAATTACTACGTGTATACACGCAAAATATCGACGCCATCGAGACTAAATGCGGCCTTTCATTCGGAGTGCCCGAATTCGAGGAGAAGAAGACGAGATCCGCGTACAAACCATCGCATGTCGAACAACCATGTAGCTCACGCCTTCCGACTCCTCCTAGAGAGACGCCGAGGTGTATTCCTCTTCACGGGACTCTGCAGATGATCCATTGTCAAATATGCAACCACTCCTTTCCTCTGGATGACTATGTTACTTCGCTTCTGGCTGGGGTACCTCCACATTGTCCCGAATGCACAGCTCTGGAACGAACACGAGAAGTCATCGGAAAACGATCCCGTGGAATCGGCAAGCTTCGTCCGAGTGTTGTGTTGTACAACGAGGCACATAAAGACGGTGAGGGCGTAGGTGAGGTCGTCCGGAGAGATCTAGTAGGGTCATCAAAGGGAAAGGGGCGTAGCGGCGCAGATTTGTTACTGGTTGTCGGAACCAGCCTCAGGGTACCGGGGACGAAGAGGATGGTGCGGGAGTTTTCCAAAGCAGTCCGTTGTAGGCAATCAAGCCCAACGCCAAACACGGACGAAGAGCCAACATTCAAGTCCATATACCTGAATCTGGATTTTCCGGTGCCAACAAGAGAATGGGAAGGAGTGTTTGATACCTGGATACAGGGCGACGCGCAAGAATTTGCCGAGCTGGTGCGGGAGGAACTGGATAGAGAAGTCCAAGCGAAGGAAGCGAGCAAGAGGAAGAAGGAGGAGAAAATGGCGAGTCCAAAAACTCCATCGAAGAAGCGGAAAAACGATTCTGAGCCCTCGACACCTAAGAAACGGCAAAAGACAGCGAAACCACCGACTCCCAAGTCGACTCCTCAGCGGAAACCCAGTCCACTGATACCAACTACGCCTGTGACGCCTATTAAAAAGAACATCATACGTATTCCGCCACGTCCGCATTTCGTCCCTCCAATGTCATCATTAACACGGGAATTCTTCCCCTTCGGTCTTTCCACGCCAGTGCAGACACCGCCTCGTCATGCTAAACATGAATCCAACGAGCCATGGTTGCCAACCCCTGCTCCTCGTGGTGTGAAGGTCGCGCGAGTTCCTGTCTCTCACGAGAAGCGGGAATACGAAGAGCAGTTGGCCTTAAGTCGGACATCTGTTCTGCCTCGCGTAACATTCGAACCTAACTTGGCGCAGTTGGGTATATCTTCGGCAGCACCTCACCCGTCACCTGATCCTGGTGGGCAACAACTAGCAGGGGTGGTTAGGTGAACACGGACACAGAGAGTATTGTGGACTGCAGTGCCTACTTTACATGTATGTATTCATTATTTATCTACGTTAACTCACTTCTACTGTACACATTTTGGGAACTATAATTTAGATATCTTGCACATTGTAACACGTTGTTCGAAGCAGTTTTCTCTCTACTACTTTCAGACGCGTCGTGCCCCAATACAGAGTTTCCTGAGGTGAAAGGTCCAAAAATTTACACCCAAAGGTCATGAAACTCACACCCCTGATTCAATGATCGAGATAACTCCGCGACACGGACAATCCTCCAGCTTTCTACACGCCAGCCTCGTGAACCTCGCCCCATAATACAACGGGCACACAAAGCACAGCTTCCTCAAACCACCAAACTGGTTCCGCGCAAGAACCACCGCAAGAAGATCCCAATCCAGGAAATTATGTATCCAGGACCGATTGGCTAGATCCTTCTTCCCTCCCGCCGGTCGATGGGGAAGAGCAAACGTGGTACACTCAAAGTACACTTCTTCCAATAAGGGGGACCGGATTTGCGAGAGCAGACGCGGGATAGCCTTCCGGTACACCCCAGACACTATATCTATAGAAATGTCACAGAACCTCAGACTCCGAAGCTGGGTGAGGCGAGAGAAGTCGGGGAGATTTCGAGATGAGGATACGAAGTCTAGATGGCAATCACCCCCATAAGACTCGGAGGCTGAAGAAATGAAGAGCGGCCATACCTGATTGCCTGGAGATATAATGGTCAAGGAAGGAAATCTCCAACACGGCGAGGCGAGACCCAATCTGTGATAGAAGCACCCCTCGCAGAAAAGGAAGCCTATCATCAGCGACCAGAGTCGCTGAAAGAGTGTCCATGCACATGGTTTTCTCATCATGCTCATGCAGAAAGAACCACTCGTATACGCAACCCGGAACATCATCTAGCACCACAATGTGCAATGGGCTTTTTTGGACCACTGCATCATGAAGATGGCCAGTAGTGTTATCTCCATCAACGAATGTGACCTGGGAGCAGGTCCATTTCGTCGCCGAGGGAAAGGATTGGGCACATTGCATCATGTTGGCGCTGTTTTGGAACCGAACGCGTTTGAACGTTATGGATTGGACGTTTGTGAAGGTTCGAGAGAAAGCTTCGATTCCGAAGGCGAATGAAAGGCATGTCTTGGTGGTATCAAACTGGTCAAGAACCAGTGACTCTGTGCGAGATAGAGCCCTGCAGGGACCAGGGACAGTCAGAATTGAGTATACGCTAGTGGCGACATCATTCTGATAGTCCGGCGTCCATTCTAGAGGCAGAATCCGCGCCGAAATAATAAGAGTGCCAATATGAATGGTGCAATTAGGCGACTGAATAAGTTGCAGGAACTTGCTAATCCTCTTCAGCTTCAATAGCTCCAAGCGCACGGAGGAAAATAAATGAAACCGACTCCTAGGAAGCCAGAGTCTGCAAACAAGACTTGTACGCATAAGACTGAGAGGGTCAGATGACAAAAAATCGATGATGTTGTCCGTAAGTTCCGGGGAGAGAGACGGAAAGTCGGACTCATTCGGCGAATTCAGGAAGGTTATTGTATTCTATCACGGGCGACCAGTGAGCTTGAGTTGAATGGCTAAAATCCCGCTTACTCTATTGTATGAGAGTTCTCCACGGAGGCTTTCGATATTTGGTAGCTGTGGTAACTTGAAATTGCTCATCGCTGAGAGTGAGTGGTCAGAATGAAACGGGAATTGCCGCCTGTGATGAAATAATGCATTCTAGCTGTCATGCGTATGATTATGATACAGGTTCATTCATGCAGAGATAAGACCGGCCAGCTTTCCCGAGCTCTGCAATCTCATGGTATCGTCACATCCACCGATATGTTGCTGATCTGTCGACGAGGTCAACACATACACTCGGATGGGAATGAAAAATGCAAGCTCACTGATAAATATGTTGGGAACGGTACCCTGTCCAGTCTTCTGGCGAAGGTATTCCTGGATATCACTTCCGTCATCGCGTTCATCGAGCCTAACAACGGAATGATGAGCGCCGTCACAAGCTAGATTTGCTAAAGGACACACTCGACAACGCCGATGTCCGTATCAGGATACTCGTCCTTGAACAATGTCTTTGCCCGCCGACAATAAGGGCAGTAAGACTTGGAGAACACGGTTATCTTGTGCGAAGTTATGGTATCCTGGACGAAAAACACGTCAAACAGGCCCCCTCCCTTCCAGATAAAAGACAAACCTCGACGAAATTCTTGATGGACATGTTAGGGGAGTTCTGTGAAGCAGCAGAGGAGGTGAAGTAGCGGGTAATGGATGAGAGTCGGGAAAGCATCGATGCTGGCTATAAAGGTGTTCGATGGCGTCATTGCTTTGGCATCCCGATGACGGAGCATCCACGTGACTATTAATGATCACCGGCACAGAAATGACGTCATATCAACGAAAGCGCCTCCGCAAGCGAAGTCCTGCTAGACACGTATTTTCAGAGACGCACAACTTCAACCTTTACGAGAGCGTATATATAGTATCCTTATAATTATTTAATTTTGCAAGAGATCCGTTCTTCCGTAAGGGACCTTCCTCGGAATTATCTGTGATCCGGAATACTACTTTTCACGCAGCGGCGGAATATCACCAAGGTCAAACGCCGTCGGCCTTTGCATCTCCGATAGTTCCCAGCTATAAAAGAAAACAAAGATACTATTTCATACAACGAAAAAGAAGGGTATCAAACTATATAACACAGTAATGAACAAATAACACAAGCAACTAAACGTCACCAGTTTTTAGAATGCGTAGGGTATGTCATAAATCGTAGGCGCATTCGTAAGTAATCTATAATTCATATCGTCGCAAAACAAAAAAGAGAACCGTGACTGACATCAAGAGAAGAACGAAGTGGAAAAGGGCATAAAAGATAAACACCGGAGAACAGGCATGGGGGGCATGAACAATTATTCGTGTCGAGTGATGAGTTCAACCGCTCTCATCGATCGCGGCGTGATGTTACATTTGAATGGGGCAGGATGGCTACCTCGTGTCATAAGTTCATTGTTCTCACTGAAGCTGGCCAACATACCTGACACTCCCATGCGAAGGATTGAACACGGGTTCATCTCCCTTAACCTTGGAAATATCAAACGTAGAAAGTGCCATGGCACACACGATGTACGTCGTGGCTTGCGCAAGGAGACGTCCTGACGGAGGAAGGAAAACAAGCGTCAAAAATAGATTCCTGGAAAATTTTCCCATCTTCCGTACCTGGACAGCTCCTGAAAACATACCATTCGTCAATGAGTGCATCATTGATATTAATATATGTGTGACATACCGTCTGCCAAATCCAAAGCAGATTTCCCGTGGATCTTGTTCAGGTGTGGGACCCAGGAAGCGTTCAGGATTGAATGTATCTGGATCTTTGTAAACCTCGGGGTCGTGTGCCATTGCCCTAAGAAAGGCGACGTTACTAAGTGGATGAATATACACAGGGCGACCCACTTACCATATGTTAGGGAAAACAACCGATCCTTTCGGAATGAAATGCCCTTCAAAGACGTCGTCTTCTAACGTCGCATGGGGAATAGCTATCAGGAACCGGTCAGTGGAGCACGGGCTCTATTGTCAAGCCACGAACCAATGGGAGCTACTGGGTAGAATCGAACAAGCTCTTTACATAGAGCATTCACATACGGCAGGTCATCTCGGTCCTCAAATGTAGGCAACCTGTCCCCACCAAGTACCGAATCCAACTCGCTCTGGGCCTTCTTCTGAACATCCGGGTAAAGCATCATGAGAAGAAAGAATGTGTCCAGCACTGCGACTGTCTGGAGGAAATCAGCAAAAATCCCATCCCTTCCGTATGGGACTTACCGTATCGGCGCCCGCTGAGAGTGTGGCGTTAGTGACTGATCACAGTAATTTGAAAATAGGAATGTACCTGCATAGATAGCTCCAGCCGCCCACTTCAAGTCGTGTTCGGGAACAGATCCACCCCCTTGAAGGAGATTGGACACGAAGCACTCCGGCGCCTCACCTGTTGCCTACAACAACACGTTTGTGTCAAAAAAAAAAAGTCAGAAATAGAATCAGGTACGTACTGTTTGCCGCTTAACCATCTCATACGGTATGTTTATCATATTGCGCAAATCTTGTGCCCATTGCTTTGCTTTGAGCTGAAATCCTGCACCAGGGAACCATTCCGGGACGTGACGTACTAAAAGACAAATCTTGAGAGAACCTAACGTCAAGATTAAGGGCGACGTACACATTGGAATAATATCAACCAGAAACTGTCCTGGTGCAGAAGCAACCGACAATCCTTCCATGGCGCGATTCACTAGCGCGACCATATCATCCTCTTCCTTTTCGACTTCATAACCATAAGTAATACGTAGTACTAACGCTGCGACGTCCCTGTAAACACATCAGTAAGTTTTCTTTTCTGCGACCGGCGAGAAAGATTTCCACGACGTACTGGGATATATGAGAGTGCAGCCTTTCGGGGGAATCCAGCAAGCGTTTCATCAAACTCTGGGCCTCCTGTTCTTCCATAGGGTAGAACGTTCGAATAGCAGATTTGCTCCCGAGAACTGAGTGCAGGAGTTTTCGATGGGCCCTGAAGGTTTCGCCGTAGGGTGCCAGGCCAATGATGTCGTTCCAACCCATGAGGTCTCCTGCCATCACCAACTTGGGTCGTTCAGAATATATGACACTCCGTTTATCGAGAAGGGCATATGCCGCCCGGTGAGAATTGAGCACGATAATTGTCCGCCCAAACATAGATACGGAGCACACGTCGCCTGGCGCGTCGAATGGTGTTACTAGCGTTCATCTGAAAGAGACTTAAGCGACATACCCCAGATTTCACCCCATCGAGTGAAGGTGAGCCAAGGGCGATCTGTGGGCATGTCGAGAACATTGCCGATGATAGGATATCCGCGGGGACCAGGCGGCAGAGGAGAGCGTCGTTTAGAGAGAAGGCGTCGAACGAAGTAAATACCAGCAATGAAGAGAAAGAAGTCCAAGAAATAGAGAAAATACATGATCTCCCGGGGGGAGAGAAGTGAAATGGAAGACGGGAAAGGCTTGGTCAGGGAGACTTATATGACGGCCCCGGGGGGGGAGCGAAAAATGGATATCCATTGTGCTTCTCGGACCGGAGGTAATCAGGGCCGTCCAAATCCGTAAAACTAACCAAAAGGAAATTAAAAAGTGTGTTGAATTGGAAATGACCGATTCCCTACTGTCAGCGTTACATTGCCGATCCTGTAGGCGAGGCGAATCAGATAGAATTTAGGCGTTGAATGAACAGAAGCATAGCGACTTCCTCATGTATGTATAGGCGTTTTGCAGGGATCCTGAGGTTCGACCTATTTCTGACTTCTCGCATTAAATGAGATTTGGAGTCGATTGGGACATCTGAACCGGCATCGACCACAATAAACCCTCCTCATGTCTCCTCCGACTCCTCATAAGGGTCAATAGCTTCTCACGTGAATAAGACAGCTGAGGTGGGATTTAATATTAACAATGATACCACTGGACGCTGAACATACCGAGTAAGTGAGATTCCATCTATTTTGCCATCGAATGAACGTGTTAAGAACCGTTAAGGGTGGACGGGTGGGAAACCGAAAACGAAACGTAGACGGCGCCGCCCCGTCAGTCGGATCCGGTGGCGCTGCTAATCTTGGTGAAACCTTCTGCCACTCTCAAATCAGCTTTGACTCCAATATTCTGAGTCCACTTGAAAAGCCGGAATATTTTGGGAAAATATTCAAGTCCATGCGAATGGAAGTCGGTTTTGATGAAAATTACTGTCCAAGCAAAACCTCGTGCCCGTCAACGTGTCCCGTGCAAACCTTGGCATTGGCAAAGGACGGCTCCGTACGCGTCTTAAAGTAGTGAAGGCCGCAAATAGCAGGTCTAAGCGTGCAGATAAGAGGGCCTGGGGTAAGTACATGATGAGTTGGCGATGGTCGCTTTGAGGATCTCCCAGGTACCGGTGTCCAAAGATGATCGGCAACGTAGACTTCGATACCGGATTACCGGATGGCAGCGCTTCCGTGGCGTTGTTGCGGCTCCTCCTACGAAGGAGCCGTATACCCTTCTTTACGAAAGCAGGAATCTGAAAGCTGGAAAATGATCAAAAGTGCAAAGCTCGGCGTAGCCTAAAGATGATCCTATCTCTGCACATGCCATAACCAAGAGATATGAAAAAATGGCTCGATTTGAAAGGCATGAACAGCAAAGGGTAAACTTTCACGCGAAGATAGTGTATCCGGAGATGGTGGTCTGCGTGAGATGATTGGCAAGGTAATGTCGGCAGGAATTCGTATATAATCCACGGCCTGCGAACCGTCTACAGAACCTTGAAGAGCATGGGTCGAGACCATACGCTACAGAAGCAGCACCGACGTTTCGCGTTAACAGTGTCTGGATGAAGACGTTCAATAACGTACATACCATGCCTCATGTACAGATATTTTCGGATACAACATCCGAATTGCTAGCCAACTTGGTTCCTTTGGCCTGGATGCATACTCCGTTCATCATGGCGGACATCTCATTGTTCTACGGAATCTATTAACGCTGACGTCGACCACACAAGAATATTTAAGCCGATACGCACTTGTTAGCACAGATTCAGCATCACTACAGAACTCGTATCTGAGCAATAATGAGGTAAAAAGAGGCGAGTAATTGAGCGTCGACGGAAAATCTTGTCAAAATGTCGTGGTCGTTAGGGTTGGTCGAGGTTCGTCGTCGTCGACTTCGGAGTCCGCAAGGCGGTGCTTAGGTTTTGTCCACGTGCTATTACGTAAACCGAATACGCGTGGCGAAACACGCGTACTCATCTGAGTAACCTTTTACTACTGACCTTGACTACAGACCAATGTCTATCTCCGCAATTCCTTTAACAATGTTGGATCTCCAAGGCGAAATCTGAGTGTAGATGGAGCCAGGTGCTGGGAAAGGACGTGTCAAGGTATTTAATAAACACCCTTCTTGATGCACTCGGTACGATTGACTTTCTTCGTAGATGTTGATTATTGGTTGTAGACCGGCCATTTTCCTAGCTTTGACAACAAGCGAATGATCCTAGCTGCCTGACATTCACCCCATCTTCACCGCAATATTCGACAAAGGGGGCAAAACGGCCTCGCTTTGCTATATGACAGCCCGGTTACCTCTGTAGCATACGGTCTCAAGGAAGCACGAGAACGAATGATAATAACAGTCTTTCATTCGGAGATATACCCTTCATCTATTAAGGTCGGAACGACTACCGTAGGCTCTGCGGAACGAGTCCTCCGTAGTTATTCTTCCCCTTTTTTGGCGTTTTCCCTTGATTAACCAGGATTAACTGTGACAGGACCACTACTAAGGCTTGATAACCTCATAAGAAGGCCGCTTGACATCGTGGGCCGTGGTGTACTTCTACTTCCCTGTCCTCCGCAGTCGGTGCTTGTCATCATAATGGGTTCTGTGCTTACTGTGCGTTGAGTCATCAAACAGGTTCACTATGACTGCTGGCGGCCACTCTGACTGTTAAGACAAGGCTTAAGGTGCAACGTAGTCATGGAACCGCATGTAAGGAGTCTTGGAGATATACTCCTCCTGATTTTGATTCGAGGATTTATCTCATCTCTCGTCAATTCGTTTCGCCTTGTACGCATTGTCTTTCCCTGAGACGCGACATCCTACAAAATGCATATGTTTGTATCATTCTTCTCACGCTGTACCAGCCCAGACACCGTGATCTTAGATCAAACAGACCGCAAAACCAAAAAGCACAAAAAACATATGTAGTCCGGGGACTTTATTCAAACAAAACACGATCAGCGCTCGGATGAAACAACGAAGGTTATATGTGTACATCGTATGTGGCAATCATTGCAACTCTGCGGTGCATAGATATTGATGTTCACACCGGTGTCATCCATGGAATAAGCGCCTGCAGTTCGTTGAAAGTTTCAGAAGGAATTGATAATGATCATCAATGATCCTCGTACCAGGGAATCTCGTAAAGCATTCAGAACGAGGCGTCTTACCTTCGCCGCCAGTGATGATCACCTGTGTAAGGAGGGGGAAGTTCTAGAACTTGATCCTACTTGCATTCCTGATAGAATTGAGGGTGTTGACCCGGTGAAGAGCTAGAAGCTTGTGTTAAGAACCAGTATAAGCATCATCATCCAAACAATTCTGAGAAGCCATGGTCTGATCAGACCCTCCCCAGCAACCAGAATTGTCGTAGCATATTCCAAAGTGTTCACAACTAATCCAGTTTCCCATTCTCCGTCAGTTAAGGTACCGAAAATAAGGTCTGCAGAATAGAATCGACCACACCCCTGAGTTCGGCGAATTCTCCACCAGTCTCGACTAGGGCTGTCTAACACTAGGTACATGAGCTGCTGCAATGCCATATAAACCATGACTAGTCGTTGAGCGTTGGACAAATGACAAACGATTAGTTGCCTTAATACTTGGAATCTACTCGCGACCACTTAGCCCTGATGGAAGAACCTACTGAAATGAATGTAGATAACTGAAAACCCGGCGTTTGTCTGCGCAGCTGATATAGTAGGTTTATCATTTAATATGCAAAAATCGTAGTGATGACCTACGCTACTGGGCTTCCGAATCGAGGATCCTAAAAAATGGAGTCAGATATGGCAGTCGGCGAATCTTGATTCTTGAGGGAAAGTATAAACGGATAGTGAAATTGAAATAAGTCGAAATTGTCGATGGAACTTGCATGTAATATATAAAGTGAACGCGTACTGTACATTGGCCTTTGGATGGGGAGCGCTATTGTACGGTGACTATCCAGTATGCGCAGGTCTACACAGCACCAATAAAACATACAACAGACATCACGGAAGGGTGATTAGAGTGATATCCACCATCTGTCACATAGGAAAGGACACATTCATACTAGCTTCGGGAAGAAAGGAATATTGTTGTGCGCGCGCACAGGGTCGTAGAACTCAGTGCCATAGTGCGGAGAAACTGTCTCCTATCTCAAGGCAGTAAGATCAAGATAATCATCAGCTTTGGTAGCGGCATTATACTGATGGTTATGCCGGGACGGTACAACGACGATCGCGATTCATTAGAGTTCCATCTAGGCTGGATCGAATGCGAGAAAAGCTTGGCGCACTATACAAGTACCGTCGGATGTTTTAGACCTGTGAAAGCGAAGAAAAGCTTTGTGGTATTTCATATCATATGCCGATTCTCGAAACCAAAGTGGTATGCTAGAACGCTCGGACATCCTTTTCCTTCCACCTATTACACGTTAAATGTCTAAATTCTCGATCTAAAGATTCCTGAGTAGAAAAAGGAAACATAATGAACTGATACAGCGAATAAAAATGTGAATTGTTTACAATGGATCCAAAAATGCCATCTCTGTTACCCTTCGACTCTCGATATCCGTTATCTGACCAGCCTCAATGACGAGGCTTGCACGATTATGTATAGTCACTTGAATCGGTTTCCTTGTACGAGGTACCGGATCAGCGACAGGATCGTTAGTCTGGCGCTCCCAGTCGACATCGATAGGAGGTAAGCCCTTGTTGCGTGACCGCTGGGATATAGAGGTCGAATGAGTTGGAGTTGGGGGTACAGATCGAGTGACAAATGCTACAGGGGGACTTGCTCCCTTGGGCAGAGGTGGTGGGAAAGACGACGACGACGATGATGATGACGACGACTTCGTATCGCTACGATTCCGAGGCCCAAGAGGCCGGGGTTTCCTAGGAGACACGGAGAGTGAAGTCGATGGTCGCCTGGTGCTGGATCTTTGGATCGATACCTCGGGGGACGAGGTACGGATTCCAGGTGGCGAGTCGTCTTTGGCAGGGATGTGCTCGATGAACCGGCTTTGGCGAAGTATTGACGGGCCAGCCTCGCTTTTGGTTTGCTCCCACTGCTTTTTGATAATTTCGGCAGCCGTAAGACCTTGCTGAGATGGCCCTTTGCTACTCGCTAAACGAACTTCTTCAAAGAGCGCTGTAGCGTCCCATTCTAAGGAAGGTGGAGAGTCGAGTGGATTCTCTGCCGTCGGAGGTGGTAGTAGCCCCCTTTCACGAAGAGCTTCTTCTCTGCGTTGCTGGGCGAGGGCGGACGGAGCGTCCGAGGAAGATTCAGCGGAAGATGAGCTAAAGGCGTCGGACAAGCGCCGTAGAAACGATTTTGACCCCGATGAGGATAGTTTACGAGTCGATGGACGTGCACTTGATGATAATGAGAATCACTCGTATTTATCATCGTGGAAACACTGAGAAAGAAACTTACTCCGCATTGCCTGAAGAACTAGAGTCTTGACTACGCTTCCGTATGTGAGCCATAACCGATTAACTGTTCTAGAAAGATGCCAGTGACGGTCAATTGGAAGATGCAATGGGATGACATGTGGATATGCTCACCTGAGCGGGCCTGAGGGACAAGACGATAAGATTGATGGGCAGACGGGTCACAGCACTAGGTAGCATTACTTTGTACAATGAACATCTTTAAGGGACCGAAACCAGAGGCAGTGCAGGCTTCGCTGATAGGACAACGGCCTTTATAACCCATGCGAAGAGCCAAAGATGCCCCCCTTCATAGGTGATTGGTTGCAGCTGATCAGTAACGCTTCCTTCTCCTTGATTTATATGCTGTGATTATCCATTCCCGGAGTAAAAGTATGATAGTGATGACCCGTCACACTGGACTAGTTCGAGCCTCGAGGTACAGTTCGATGATGGGGATCCAGGGGAGTTGTAGTTCCGATACAGATGGAAGACCCGGACGCTTTAATTAACGGCGTGACTGATATGGCGGCGGTGCAGTACTGGTACTGTGCGAATACAAGTGTCTGCCTTGAGAACGAGGCGTCTATGAACCTCATCTAGTTCATAATTGATCATTGCAGTGCCCAGAAAGATGATGCCAGCCAGTGCTAGATATCACCGCCAAATTCCAGAAGAAAGCAACCGAGAATACAGCCCATGTAGATGAATCCCATGAAATCATGAAATAAGAGTTAATGGTTCTTAGGAAATCCATTTACACTTGCCACGCCGAGTCAATGCCGGCGGCAAACTGTGAAATGATCCGCAGATGAATAGCATGCATTTAAGAAATACAGGTAGCATACAATGACGACAAAAAGTCCAAGAGAAAGCTACAAAGGTGAAATCTTTTAATCGCGGCGACGTATTGTACGTAGTACAGGACGTGTATACATGGCAAACTTACATATGCAAGACTAACAAAAAGACAACAGGAAGGGGGATGGTATATATACCAGGAGCGTTCAAAGTAGGAACCGCAATGAAGTAAGAGAAAAATCGTTAGGACATAAAAGCTAAACCATGACCGTGATTCCAAGACTACTTGCCATTCATCACCGAACTCGTGCTCCCATTGGGCTGGTACATATACTGATGCTGCACTGGGGGCCCCATAAGAGGTTTGGAAGATGTGTCCGTCGGCCGAGGGCGGTAATACGGACGATCATGAGACGACGTAGCCACCACAGGCGAAGGGGTGTTGACTGCCACGGTAGGCATCGGCCAAGGCAATGACACTTTGGAGGTGGACGCAGACGGCTTAGGCTGGTTCTGCATCGACGGCGATGCCACGGGAGTTGACTGTCCATGGCTGGCAGACGGTGACGGGTTCGTATTAGCCGGGTTGGCGGACGTAGGAGATGTCGTCTCAGCAGGAACGGGCGGACTCGCAGTCTCACCGTCCGTGTCTCGGCGCCGTTTTACCCCCCGCGAATTCACAGCTCGTGTACTGCTCTCTTTTAGACCAAGCTGAGTAGCTTTGATGAGAATTTGATGGCTAGAGATGGATCGCGTGAATAAGTATCAAGAAACACGTTGAACGTGCACGTACCGTGTACGATCATTTCCAAATCGGTTTACTACCCAGTCCCATTCCAGTTCTCCTGTACTGTTTTGTGACTTGCTCTCTTCAGCAAGAGCTTTCAGTCGTTCTGTTTCTTCGTCTGACCATGCTCCTTGATTGCCTCCAACTCCTGGCATCGTTGTTGAGACTGTAGGAGTCGGTACTGCTGGCACCTGTTGCTGAGGTGGTTGTTGCTGAGGTGCCTGCTGTTGAGGTTGTTGCTGCTGAGGTTGTTGCTGAGGTTGTTGCTGCGACTGCTGTTGCTGCTGCTGTTGAGGCGGGGCCGGAGGCTGAGGTGCGCCGTAGTATTGCGGACCTGGCACGTAAGACGGGTATTGATAGTAGGGAGCCGCAGGATATTGACCAGGCGGCGGAGCATACATAGGATATTGGGGTGCGCTCATTGACACCACAAATGACTGGGGTTGGTTTATGACGGCAGCCGGAGCGACATTAGACGTGCTCGCTACTCCAGCTGGAGGCACAGTGGGCTGAGGAGGCTGGTACAAGGTCGGTATGACTGGATACATGGGTGGTGGTGGTGTCGTTATGAGACGAGATGGGTTCGCTAGCTATGGTATCATCAGAACGGATGTTACTGAAGGCAGCTACACCAGCACGAGAGGATTTCCGTTCTGTTAGGCAGGGTTCGTGCCGTTCTTTCAGCCTAAAAACTCGAGGCATCTTCTCGTGCCGGCTTATATAGAGAAATACATACCAGTGTATCGCAAATACGTTTGGCCTCGTTCAGCATGACCAAGGGGTCGACCTTGTTCCCTGGTGCGGAATGATAGCATTGGGCAACAACCAATGGATTCGCGCCTTTCTGTAAGCGCCCTCAGAAAACGGTTTTGAAAGGGAGAATTATACGAACCACCAGTTCTTCGGCGGCATTGTAGAACTCTGCACATAGATTCAAGACGCGCCATTGGAATTCATAGTATTGCTGATTCTGAGCGTTCACATCCGGATGTTGGGGTGGTGCTGTTCCCGGACCGGTAGGGTGTAAAGGTGGATGGGAATACTGAGCTACTGGTTTGCTCGGCGGTTGGCTGGAACGATTCCGTCGATTCTTTGACCCACGGGGCCGACCCGGTCTTCGTTTTTGCTCTGGTTCATATTGGTGTATGATTGGTTCGTCCTGCTGCTGCTGCGTTGGCGCACTGTGAAAGCATGTAGTAGACTTTCGGGATCGACAGAACAAGCTCACCTCGCCGTCTTCATTGCTGGGCTTGGTGTACCGCTTTGTTGTGTTTCCTCTGACCGATTGAGTTGCTGGGCTACGACCTCGTCGTCGTCATCCTCGTCGTCGTCGTCGTCATGTCGTGGCTTGGGATTATAACTTGCTGGTGTATATGTAGCGGGTGCTTGGGCACCTACTGGGAGGCGCAGGGCGTGGGACAAGGGCTGGTAATGCTGAGGATTATCCATACACTAACTGTTCGCATTACGGAACAAAGGAAGGCACAGTGGCCGCCCCTCAGCGCATGCAAGGACAAAGTCGAAATCATAGACGAACAGTATATTCTCGATCTGGACGCCTCCTGCTAGATGTCAAAGTAAAAAGCAGATATTCAAAACCGGAGTGTGACGTTCCCTGTACGCCGATAAGGATAAACATACCACAAAATAAAATAGAAATGGCACAACCGACCTTTGCAGAATCGGATGCGTTGCCTCCTCACCTCCAAATAATCCTTTCAAAATATTATTAGGAGAAAATACAAGTAATTTTCCGATATGGAGAGGGGAATGTCGTCGAGTTCGCTGCCAGCGACGGTGAGTAGGGGGTGAGATATCTCTTCCCCCAATTTCCGACAAGTTTATTATTCAATCTCCGACCAAGTTCTTTTTCGGCAAGTAGCGGCCAAGCTCTGCCGTGCTTGAACATCCACATGGATGCTTGTAAGTACCAGCAGTTGAAACGCCGTTTCGGGTTACTCTGACGGCCTTGTTCGTTTCGCCACCGGGAGGATAGTCCAGGGTTGCACCGTCTTTTACTCTGCAAAGGCCTGTACTGCCTTCCTCCGTTGATATCGCATTTTTCGAACTGTGGGGACTGCTGTTTCATCAATTTTACTTCTCAGACGTCTTTCCTACCTCATACCCTCGGCGTGGCGTCGCTTCCTGCTGGGTTACTCTAATGATCATAGATAAAGACGTCAAGCTGTTTCGTATGGTTTTTCTTCACATTAACAGGCCGAGGTGCAAAACTTCACTTGACCAGAAACCACCAGAGATTCATGGTACTACTTTGCGGATCAATTAAGCCACCTCTTTAGCGTGGGGGGATGTTTTCTCTTTTTTTTTGACTCTATATTTCGAAGCCGCAACCCGTGATCTATGTACAGAGACACGGCGGCGCTTGCTCGTGGCCAGCCCCAGCAGCTACAGTAGGTATATGGAAGGATTTTCGGTCCTTCAATGGTACAGTTTTCTCGTATCTTTGTGTGTTGAGTTATTGGTGCCTAGGGGGGTCGACACCACCATAACTTAGGCTAGGGGGCACAGGTTTGTGTGCATAGAGCGAGTTCCTTTGGCGTTCTCGGAGTCCGTCAGCATTGCTATCTTTCCTCTACCGCTTTTCAACCTCCAGGATCTACCCCTCGCCCCAGGTCATAATCTCTCAACCAATCTTCCAGCTCCAACATGAGTTCTTCCTTATCCAATGTAGGTCGCATGGACAGCCATTTAGGATTGCCGGTCTTCGTAAATGCACCTGATTTCTCCAGGAATGATGCCAAGGCTTTTATGCTCTCTTTTTTCCCCCTAGGATGTCTGGCAAGTATATGTCTATAGAAACCTTGCGTAGCCTTTCACGGTTGTCCATCGTATCAAGGGCATTCGTGGATGACATGATCTCGGGTTTTCATAGGCTCTCTGCAGGGGCACTGGATGTCTTCCTGTAGGATGAAGCGGCTGTAGTACTCGCCTGAGAAGCAATTTAGCATGGGGGGATGTGTCCACTGACGTTGGCGGAAGACATACCATAAAATACTGTGCTAGAAAGGCAGCAAGGGATCCAGAGGTGGCCTCCGAGCCAACTAATTTACGTCAGGCATATCAAAGATTGTCTGAGATACGTAGCTCGCAGAAATTACCGCTCGGAATTCAAATAATATTCAATCCGAAGACCGAAGTGCGTCAACCGTTGAAGTTACGCGATCACGTGAGCACGTGACAGGAAATCGGTATTTACACTCCGACTCTGAGTCTTCGAAATCGCGGCAATTCCCATTAACTTCGGACATCAATTTCCTGCATCGATTCTCGTCCTGAATCCGCCATTTTCGTAATAACCCCGTGTCTCAATGCCGTTCCGATGCTGAAGGAAATGTCGTCACACGACGTCAATTGCCCGATACGATCCCATAAATACTACGGAAGGACATCATATCTTCTATCTCTTCCCGTCCCAACATGACAGTATTCTCTCGTCTGCTTCCCTCGCTTGCTAGTGCATACGCATTGCAAACTTGTTCGTTTATCTTTCTTGTTCCATTTAGGCGTCAAGCACTTAATCATTCCCTAGTGTTCGCCCTGGTCTTCGTCCCGCAGCAGAACGAAACATATTTTGACTTGGGGGGTTCACTCGGATTTCTCTCTACGACCTACCTATCACTGTATTATCCGGCACTGAAGGCCAAATTCTGGGATGGTCTGCCGACTCAACTACCACGCTTGGCATCGTTTGCCCCTCGACAGATAATCTTGAGCGCTGCCGTTGGAATATGGGCGTCACGAATGGGCATCTTCTTAGTTTCTGTGAGATTTTACCTCTGTTTCCCTCACTGACTGCTAACTTTGTGTCAGAGGGCGATCAAAGCCGGCGGGGATTCTCGATTCAACGAAATCAAGCGCAAGCCAGCAGTATTCAGTTGCTACTGGTTCGGTCAAGGTGTGGTTGCTTCTTTCTCACCTCAAAGCATAACCAAATGTATTACACATAGCCTCTTGGGTCTTTCTCACCGGGCTCCCCGTCTATCTGTGCAACATCCTTCCGTCAAATCTTCACCCAGCGCTACGGATGCGCGACTACGTCGCGCTTGGTCTCATTGCCGGTTCCTTCCTCTTCGAAGTGATAGCAGACTATCAAAAGTCTTCCTGGCGACACAACAAGAATACCAAGCAACACGATGAAAAATTCATCACACACGGTTTATGGAGCGTCAGCAGACATCCCAACTATCTCGGCGAACTCGGTATCTGGACGGGCATCTGGGCGTTATCCTCCTCGGCACTACGTACCCCATATTTCCCCAGTGGTACAGTTCTCTTGGCTGGGCTCAGTCCGGCGATGACGTACTTCCTCCTTCGAAAGGTACGTGTACCTGCAGTGTTCTGGGCCTGATAAGCGCTGAATTGAATCAGCTTTCGGGTGTTCCGCCACTTGAACGCCAAGCTGAAAAGCGCTGGGGAGACGACCCTCAGTGGAAAGAGTACAAGAGGTAGGTCTTGCCCTCTACCCCGTGGATTCCGTGTCTAATTCATCTCGGCTAGATCTGTTCCGGTTTTCTGGCCATGGTATAAGGAGGAGGCCTGATGGATATACAGCGTCTCGAACAGATTCTTTTGTATTCGCATTAATAACAGTGTCAAATCAACATCACATTCTGTCAATCAAGTACTGAATCCAAAGGCACCATGCTGCTACTCATACGAATTCAACGTGTCAAGACATTAGAACCCAAGAGCGGCTATCGTCAGGTTGAAACCTTCTGCGATGAAGAACTGTCGTGCATCCAGCATCCTGAATGATAAATCGGACCCGGTGAGTTCTCCCCTGCCATTGTCATAATGCAGCAGTACTTACATGGTATGAACAAGTTTAACTGAGTTTGGGAGTGTCGTATTCAATGCCGTAGTGGCTGCAGCGACCTGAGGATCGAGGTCCTGGAACATTGACAGCATGGCCGGCACTACCTCAGCTGTCAGGCCCGACAAGCCCGACGCGACGAGTCTGTATGTTGAGATGAGTAAATGCCTAGGCATCGGAACCAAAGCTGGACGTACGACAGAATGGTCGCGAAAGTGATACTGATGTCATCGTTCGTAGGGCTGACGGTGGTAGAGCCCGCACTGACGGGGATGTTGCTCAGGTCCTGCGCTGCAACCCTGAAGACGGTGGTGAGGTCGTCGATCTGTTCCCCGATGGTGCTATCGTTGGCTTGGTGCGAGGCTTGGAGGGTTACTGAAATATTTCGAATCAGTTACAATGCACATCTAGGGAGGTATTGGCTCTTACTGATGTTGGGAATGTTGATGTGGATGCTCTGGTCGAGAGCATCAACAGCTTGGTTGATGCCAGCGTTGGTGTTGGTGGTGTTAGCCTGGCGACTCTCGAGAGGGGACGCCAGAGCGGTGGATGCGACGAGGAGAGTGAGGAGGGACGCAAAGAACATAATGATGAGCGAGTGAGACCTTTTTCCTTACCTCTGGAGCCTTTTCATTGAGGATTTAAGGATAATTTCACGCAGATGGGAACGTCCAAGCGAGCGGTTTTCCAGGCCAGCTTAAATTTGCGAAGAGCGGTTTTGGCGTGCCCGCGCTCGTGTCGATGGGATACTGGGTTTGGGCAGGGTGTCCCTGGAACGCGGGTGGTCGATAACCGGTATGGGAGTCGGTAGGGCTTGGTTTGGGAAGTTCGCACTCAGCGTTCATGAGAATGAGAACGATGACAAGCCCGGGTTCCGTTTTGCTTTTGGGCTGCCTCTTTTGTTTTGGTATTGAGTAGGTCTTGTGCTCAACCCGCTTACTCGGTTTTCTTTGCTACTCATGGTGCACGGCCCCATCGTGCATGAGGAAAGGCGATTCGTTGGACAGACTTGGCGTAAGGCAGAGTCTTAGAGCACGAATTTACATTCATTTCGTTTCCCCGCACCAAGTACCTCGGCAGGGTGTGAACATATGGTATTTTCCCGCATTTCGGAGCCGTGTGATTCTCTCAGAAAAAATCTCAACCGCTTACTAGGAGTCCATGGGACTCCGAAGGTGATTATCCTAATTCTATGAAATTGATTCGATTCGACGATATATAAACTACGTTCCAGTATTTTGATTTTGTGAGAGAGTACTCATGACGAGACTTGATCGCAGCGACTATGGCAGCATTGAACATTCCTCGGTCGAACTTCTCCGTAGGACGCGTTACGTAGCTAGTGTGTTTGTACCTTTAAGGAGCTGTAGCATAAAGATCGGCTTTGTTGAGGAACACCATCAGGTAATGAAGTTTCCACCCTTCCCGGCCTTCCCGGTTTCCTGGTAAGGGATCGCTGTGATTTTCACATGACGTCGATATCAGGCCGTAGGCGTCGGTGGCTGTGTCGAATCGTTCGACCTTCGCACTTGCCATGGCGCCAATTCGTCCGCACCATAAGACACGAAAGGGATGCAAAACATGCAAGCGACGCAAGGTCAAGGTATGTACTCACTGCCAGTTCTGGTTCAGCTTGCTCAGACGATGAAACGCAGTGCGACGAGGAATTTCCTATATGCAAGAACTGTACGAGGAGAGGCATAGAGTGCATCTGGACCAATACCTCACAACATGACTCGGCAGCGCCAGGAACATCTAGTAATACCCATGCTGCATCAACCTCATATAAAAATCCCCCTTCCATAATATCGAGACGTACTAGCGCTGGTTCATTCGACATGCTGGATCTCGAACTATTGCACCATTATACTACCGCTACTTCACCCTCACTTGCTTCTGATCCTGCTACAGCAGGTGTATGGAGAACCATCGTTCCCAAAATCGCGTTCGGTTCCAAAAACCAATATCTCCTTCATGCTATTCTCGCGATATCAGCGCTTCATGCTCATCACGCTGATCCCACAGCCGGTTCGTATGCTGTAGCCGCGAACGACTACTATTTGCAAGCCAAAATAGGGTTAGAAAGAGCGGAAATGGATGGAGACCCGGATGCTGATGCTGTCTTTATCACCTCGTCTATTGTCGCGATCTACGAGTTCGCTACATTGTCCGCTGTCTCCTTGGCCACGAGCGAATGGCTAAGCTCGCTCCGTACTATGCCCTCCAAGGTTGCGAAAATATGGCCGCGGCTCCAGGATGGTGCTCTCCATCCGATGCTAGTCACCCTCATGGGGCCAACAATGAAATCGAAAGTTCTGGAAGAGCCGTTCACATCATCCTTGTCGACACTTTTGAGCACGGCACCGTCGTTACCAGACGTTGAGGAGCTACACGATGTATCAGTATATGCCGCGTATAAAGAGTCGATACGTATCCTCGAGATGTCATGGAAAGCCTCGGTTCAGAAAGACTACTATATGTATGTGTCGGGTTTATGGTGGTCGATAGTACCCAGTACCTTCTTTCGCTTGTTGACCGAGCGGAGACCGCGTGCGCTTATCATCTTGGCACATTATTGTATTATGATGAAACGAGTAGCGGAGGATGGCCCGTGGTGGGTGAGAAAGCAGTGGGGTTATGAGGCAAAGAGGATTCTCTCTGTGCTTGACGCGCGATGGACGCCCTACCTTGTATGGCTCTCCAATGAGCTGGATAAACCATGGGAAAATCAGGCATTTGACCTTGCGGGTCCTATGGATTTGATGAGTTTGTGGAGTGGGATAACTGATGCCCCTTGGCCTGGGCATGGATTTCAAGAGTTTTTCGAGGTGGGATCATCAGGATAGCAGGTGTTGTACCATCTTTAGAATATTTTCAAGTATACAATTATGGATTGATGGATAATTGAAGACTGCAAGCTTTGGAGAGTGTCAACAAGTGTTAGGCGTGTGTATTTTTACGAGCAGTTGTACAATGTTCGAGTCTAACAAATGTAGCCGTCCTCTAGTTAAGGCTGAAGTGCTGAAGCTTGAGCAATGTCTGCCTCGACATGGACCGTCAAAATGCCTAATCGGTGTTATCGGCGTAAAGCGGCTCAGTGAGCTGAGCAAAATACAAAACTGTCAAGGCCCGATCGAATTCCTCTACTCAAATGTTGGTGGCTAAGCAACACTCAATTAAACAATCCCCTCGCCTTTTACTAGGGGATTCCGTGAGTGTTGTTAACATACACCGCATATCCTAATTTTTCAGCACTCAGCTTGATCTGAGACCATATTTCCCTTCCCTTTTTTCGACCTTTTACTCAAAATTCCTCCACAGTAGTCAAAGATTCATTTGTAGCGCCATTACTGTGCCGCACGATACTGCATCTCTGTTACAAACCACCCAGCCGCTTTGAAAGCAAGGGCTGTGAGCTCAACATGGCTGGTGCTAACTACATGGGAGGGAAAAAGTGCGTCATTGTTTGCTCTTTCTTTACCTTTCCAACCGTTCTCGTTTCCAGAAATGCCGCCAAGATTCGCTCTAGAGATGCGGCAGGTCGTCAGCAGAAACGATTCTTCGGCCGCCAACGCCTGAATCTCTTGTCCAAGCGCCGTTCCATCAACTCTCCAACGTCGAGAAATCAGCCGCAACCAAGCATCTCACTGGCGCATGCAAAGCAGAATTCTACCTTGCAGCCTCAAGGTTACATTCCCAGTCCTAGCAAACCCCCAAAATCTAAACGCGATGGTCCCAGCTCAGCGAGCAACAGTTCAAAAGTCCTCGAGGCGCTGGATACATCAGAGCGTAGGGTCTTCGAGCTTGCTTGTACTGCTTGTGATTCAATTTTGGCCCAGCTATGTTTTTGCGAGCTGCTATGAATCAAATTCTTTCACTACCAGACTTGGCTGGGTTATATGCTTACAAGAAGAGAATACGGGTGTCAGATATATCTTCGCCTGAAGCGCGAAGGTCGAAAGTGAGTTCTCCTACATTTATGTCGCAGCTAAACACTAACGCTCGCTTAGAGAATCAAATCGGAATTGTCGCCAGAGAAGGACGAGGAGTTGTTCTTTGGATCCCAAAATGATCGATTGTGCGACAGCCTCGACCCGTCTTCCCGGGATATATACCACAATCCAGACAGCGACGAGTACGATGAAGAACCGGACGACACTTTTTTTCAAGCTCATCTTGGCTCTCACACTACATCCGGTAAAAGCAGCCAGCTCTCCCCTATCCTGGCTCCTCCTCAGAAAACGTCGCATATACCCACACGAAACGACGTCGCACAGGCAACCTCTTCTTTTGGGACACTTGCTGTCACGTCTTCGCTCCAAACGTCGTTCTCAGGAAATATATTTGACTACGACGATCCTTGGACAGCCGTGGGGGTTATACTAGGTTTGCAATCTGCTCCCAGTACCCCAGAAAAGGATGCGGATAATACGTCGGCTTTGGCGAAGCAACCGCGGCCTCCGGTCCTGGCTCACCAGAGGCGCAGAGTGAGGCTCACTGCTCATTCATCTTCAAATCTTTCTTCTGAAGGGATTCCGGTTGCCAGCAGTCATTCCTCAGATAACTTTCCTCCTCCTCCTCGTGTGGACGAAGATGATTCTTACAGCCAGTCTGACGACTTTCATTTCGGCGAAGATGACAGTGATCACGATTTTGACGATCATGACATTGCTGCTCACGTACACCAAAAACTTCCTCCACTGCATCTCGAATCATATCCATCGTCTGCTTATTTTTCTTCTTCCAATGACTATTTCAACAACTTGGCGCATGAACCTGTCGCTCACGAAGGAAACGACCCTGATCCTCCATTCGACCATAACTCTCTGCTTGACGGCTCTACCTCTGATTGTCATTCGCTGCCTGTTATTAATGGAGAGGAGGATTACGCTGGTCCCGAGGACCCTGACGACTACACACTCTTCGAGACATCGTCTTGGGCAATCCTTGATGCTGGACAGTGCATCGAAGAACCGGTTCCTGCCGACTATAGTTCAGGATTGCGATCTCCGCTTGTCGAGTGCCCTTCACCCGACTCTCTCCATGAACAAGACCCGCTCACCACAGCAAAAACGGCTAGCGTTTCTCTACTACATCGTTCATCTCCGTCTGTGGCTCCTCGATTTAACACGAACGAAGATGTCCTTCATTTCGCCCAACAGGTTTCACCAAATGCTTCTGCTTGTTCCTCGCGACATTTTCGGGTGGATAGATCCCTGCGTGCTTCTCATTCTTCGCCTGCGAATGCTTCTCTTTGTCCTATCGATGATGCTCAGGACGATGGATGCCTGTCGGCTGCTTTACCCATCTCTACCAGGATCGATACACCAAATTCGGACTCTCTTGTTCGCCATTCACAAGTCGCAGATGATCCGGAGCCCGCCTTCGAACTCACACCTGCACCAGAATTAATCCACGAAACTTTTTCTACTGACAAGATCGTCCATTCTGCTTACTCACCTGCACCAATTTGCCGTGATGAACCTGTTGAAGTTGTCGCTCCTCAGTCTTTTGTTGGTTTCTGTTTGTTTTCTAGGGATGATTTCTTGCAGGAACCGGATAGTGATGACTAAAGGGCAATGAAGCGGAGCACGGTATTTCCACAGCGTTGAGATACTGTTTGGTTCGTGCAACGGGGTCTTCTCTGCGCCCACTGCGTGTTGCTAAGGTTTACGTGAAATAATGTTGTAGCTGCTCAAAATAAATTATTCATCGTGTACAAATTGTTACTAGACTGTACGTGTCCACACCCGACCCTAATCATCTTTCTCTCCAGCAAACGAGGACAACTTTCTTCTATAATTTTCTTGTGGCTTTCTCCATTCTCTATGGTCGTAGGTTGGAACACCTTGATCACCACGCGCAGCCACTTGAATGCAGGGAAGTCCTGCGTTAAGAGGTAATCGAGCAGCCGCCATGTTCCATCCAGGTCTTCAACGACATATGGCTCTGGCTTGCATATTCCTACGACGATTGTCAGGTCCTTGAGATTCGACGCTTGACCCTTCTCAGCCAAATTTTTCAACATGTCTATCCACCATTTTAATATGACGACTGGTTGCTTGATGCCGATGAGTTTATACCGTCCGTGGATGTCAATGCCGAGGGACTTCAGATGTGAGAGTTCGAGAGGAGCGGGGTTTCGCTTCCATGATGAGTTACCCTTAGCCCTATCTGAAGCAAGGTCAGAGCGGAAAAAGTGAGAAATCGAAGCTAACGCGCCTCTGACGTCGAACCCGTGCATATGCCTCATATTGAATTTCTTGAGGTTACCTTCCTGGGCAGTCTTTTGGAGGAACAGGCCTATATCGGGCAGTTGCTTGTACTTCACATCCATCACGGTAATGTTGCGGATCTCGTTAATGGTCCCGAAGGATCCGTCTAAAGCTGCGTGCCATAGGTCATCACTGTCCATTCGGATTGTTTGAAGGGCCGGTCCCTCGTCTACCAGGAGCGATCTCCGAAGAGGCCTCTTCTGGTGAAGACGTAGGCGCGAGCAGTAAAGCTCTGTTACGGTTGGAAAGCGGCGTATGAACGAGCAGAGATGGTTGATATCGTGGAAGATGGCTGATTGGAAGTACAATGATTTGAGAGGCATCTTGGTAAGAGTATCCATTAGCAAAGGGTCATCAAAGACGAATGACATGTTCTTTTCCAAGAATTGGAGGTGTTCGACGTTTTTGAAACATCGGAAGACCTGGGATATGTCTTTGTCTTTGTCGCGAAAACGCACGGCGTTGGCATTGTCGGGGATGTGGGTGTCGAAATTTCGGAAGTCGGGTAGGATGAACACTCTTTGGGGAACGTGAGTGGAGGTGAAGCATCTTCGAAATATTCGTGATCCTGGGGTTAGGCGTGAGCCATACATCTATTATAGCTGGGATGAGATATAGCTGAACGAGCAAGGACTACGACGTACCTTCAAGATGGAAACACGAGGCGTTACGTGTCGCTTGGTTCCTGGGAGGTGAAACGTGTTACGGAAAATACATCGATGCACTACGGACGCGATTTAAAGGCGATTTTTTCCTGCTAGTCCAAGTATACAATGCGTCAACGGTGATCCTATATATTGTTCCAAGTCAATACCTACCGGAAGCGTCCGCGGTTCCGCGCAATTACAAAGTTGACAGAATCCGGATGAAAATGAGCATCAGCGACGAGGAGTGCTGATGGAAGTACGCGTCGATTAGTATGAGATGAAGGTGGTAAGCTGGAAGAATTTCTTTGAATTTCCAATTTCGGTTGCAAAATTGGCACGGCAACTTTCTGGGCGGGCCGGAAGGCCGGGTTTCCTAACCCTGAGCCCGTTTCGGTACCCAATTTAGCACCCTGCGAAGAGTCTCTACTCCGTGAGACACACTCAACGCCTTTGCAGCCACAGCACATGGTTCGCCATGTCAGGGCTGTGGACCCGGCCGTTCCTTATTGGGACCTGGCGCCGGTAACACCACCACCACCATCATCTCTCATCATTGCCATCACTGGCCTTTCCTCAAAATCGTCAAATCTTTCGTGCAACAATGACTGTATCCCCTTACGTCGTGTCAAACAAGCGAAATGATTATTATATTTTACCAAACAGCAATATTATGAAAGTATATAGGTACCGGGAAGAAGGTCCATAAGGAACAGGCTATCTGAAAGTATGTGCACCAAAAATTCTGTAAGATACCGTTGAGCTAACAACACAGGTCAATGAAGAAAGCTCTAGTTTCCGAGAGTGATATACTGTCTCTGCTGTGAGTCAGTACAAAGCACAACAGTATAGAACGGCGACACTCACCTTTCCTTGATTTCTGAAGGAATGCCAATACACAATGTGCCAGAGCGGACCGTCTGCGCCAACACATACGGTGGAACATTGCACATACCAACCTTTCTCACAATGTCCTCCGGATCTTCTGTTCGATTCACGAGCATGGACGTCACCCCGCAGCCGTGGATCGCAAGCGCAATCAGGGCGTCGGGCTTGTTCGACGCGACACTGGGCTTATCCGACACGAGGACCTTCATCATCACCCCGTTATTCAAGTCCAATAACGTCCCGTTGCTCCTCTGCTCCTTCTTCTCACCGGGCGGGCTCCAATTCGGGATGAGCTGGCGGTCTCCCCACTCAATGAGCTCTGCGAGTTTTGGATCTTGCATACCAAGGCGTTGCTGAGTTTCGTGTCCCCAGATGCTATCGTCGAGGAATATCCACCCATCACGCTGCAGGTATATCGTTCCTACCATCATTTCAAGTATGACGAATACGCTGGAGCTGATCCAAACAATTGCGACGAAGAAATTCCAGTTTACGCTAATCATGGCCAGTCCAATCACCCATAACAAGAAGAGGATGAACAGAGACAGCCATTTAAGCCCGCGCATGTCCTTGTTGTTGTACAGCCCAAGGGGATCTCTTTCCAGTGAATCTCGCAACCCTACTGTCTTGCTTCCGATGACACACAGCGGAGTCATGATACCCATGCCTTCTGTCATTCCCACCGGAAACGCATGGACGATTGGTTCAAGCCTTTCGTTCCCTGCTAAAGGTCGAATGGGAGGTCCCAGCCAACCGCCTGCTCCCAAGCTGCAAACCGCCGCCAAGCTTGCCGCATTGTAAAATCCTTGGTTTAGCTCCAACAGCCAAGCAAGATCCGTCCATCCATCTTCTCCTTTCAGGTCCTCGAGCCGCGCCCGGCGAGGTAACAACCCATTCAATGCCTTCCCGAGGAACTTATGTTCCTCGAATCCTGTCCCGGCAAGGTCCCGAGTGATAGCTTCGACTACGAGTGCATGAATAGCGTTCTGCCAAGAAACTGAGCCGGCATTGGTCGAGTGCTGCATGATGGCGTACAGATGCCAACGGTTATCATATGCGGCCTTGGTCTGCATCTGCTCGCGGAAGGCACGAGCAGTGTCCCTGTACGCGTGGGTCTTCAGTGAACGTGATGGGTCCTGCTGTCGCCGCCTGGTGAGGCGGATGACTGCCGAGGCGTGGAGAATTTCGCCGATAGTGAAGAGGCGCGTACCCCAGATGCAGGTAGTCGAGGTATGGTCACAATTCTCCTCATGGCAGAAGACGGCGACTTGGGATGCGTTGCGAAAGATATCAGCAAGACGACCGAGCTCTCGGGATCTCTCTGGACTGTCCTCAGGCTGTGTAATATCGGACAAGCAGAATTCGTCCAGCCATATAAACTCGGTGTGGTTGCCCGTATCACGAGTCGCAGAGCAGTACTCGATGAGGAGTCTTTCAGCGATGCGTTTTCGGTCCCTTAATGTGAACCGCCGTTTCTCTGTCGACGGAGCCTCCACAGTCAATCCGGCCTCCTGGAATAATACGTATGCGCTATCCATTGGATAGCTAAGCGCGGTGTAACCCCGGTTCCTGACCTCCTCCGACCACGCAACTTGTTGTACGCCTGTAATCTCACCATCTACGATCTGGACGCTCAGCAACCACCGTGGAGTAGAACCTGTGGGTGCGTATGCTCCCGCACCACCGCCTGGAGCCGTGGTTAGTACCGCATCAGGCGTAGATGTGAGTTCGAAGGCCCAAGATGCACTGGTGTAGTTCGATATCTGATCATAGACGACGTACGGGGTCAAAAGGTAAATGGGGGCGAGGATGACTTGGACCAGGATACGCAGGATCTGCGCGGGGACGTGGAAAAGGTCTGTGTTTCTGCGGGAAAACCAGCATGGGGCTTTGACATTGGGGTCCTCCACAAAAAGGCGCCCCGGTCGAACGTTCGAGAGGGTCGCAAAAGAGATGGCGAGAGCAGTGCTCGCCTTCGAAAACCAGTTGGGCATAGTAGAATTGGCGCTCAGCCTTTCGTGGGTAGGTGAGCAATCCCAAGTCTTATATGCGACTTTTGATGAAGAAATTTTATCACGGGTTCCTTGAACAGCCCTCTTATTCATCGAATTCGGACCTCGATGACCCTCTTTGAGAGCGCCCTATACTCGAATCGGCTCTGATGCCTAACACTAAGTTTTCCCTGGAATACACTTCCGTAGTCAGCGGCGGCTGTGATTTCTCCTGTGGAATGAAGCATACTATATGTCAGTCTAATGAACAGCTCCAGGAACTGTTCCAGTTTCTGAGTCATGTTCTGTCAGAATTGTATTTCCTGCGCAAATTTTCTCCCACAGGGACACTTTCACGACAACGCTTTTTTTTCGTTTCCTAGGAAACTTTCCAGTTACCCGTCATTACAGATCGTCGACCGTCTACTTATACGAGAATCATGTCGGGATTCGCACTCGCGGAGCCTGAAGATGTTAATCACCACGCGCTTTCATCATTTAGTTCCAATGATCGACCGTCTTTCCACCGCCAGCATCAGATCATACTCATTCAGTTGAATGTGCCACCACTTGACCTCGCGGAATTCAATTCCGGTGCTAGCCCATCCAGTAAACAGGTTCACCATAGTCGCATTCGGGAAAGATGGATGTCAATAAAGTCAGTAGACGCTTAGTTTTTCTCAGAGTGCCTATTAACACTTACCTCCGAAGCAATTGTTTCATCTTTTGACACCCATGCTGGTGGTAAGAACGCCACCCAGGACTTGGTCATTACAGGTTTTCGACAACCACTTATCATTTTGTTACCACTATTCGAAGAATGTTCGCCTTGGATAGGCTCGTATTGCTTGCGACGCCCGCAGTAGCATCGACGAGTTCGTCTGCCAGCCCCAGCCGGATGCCTACCCCCGATTCTTCCACGATGGCCAACTACGTCGAGCTTGCAGCGCAAGTTGTGCCACAAAACAAGACAGGACTTGCGTCTCGTCTTCGTTCCGGCTGCCGCTATCTGCCTATGCCATTGTACATGGGTTGGGATACCGATTCACTCACAGAGGCTCCTGCCGACAGCACAAAGATCCCTCATTTCAAGCTGACGGATATGCAATCCGGCGCTACCAGGGAAATCGAAGCATCCTGGATGCACGCGTTGTACACGTACACGTCCTCGCATCATGATGGAGTGACGTTATTGCATCTCAAGGAAGCTGGCTACTCTTCGCACCTCTCATGGCAGCATACGGTCATAGTGGTGACGCTTGCTGTTCAGCTAGGACTCGCGGTGTACGGATTTGCGGCAGGGCAGGGGAGGGAGGGGTTGATTATCCTACTTGGCCTGATTGTTAGGGGGCTGGAGGGTGTGGTAGCGTGGGCATATCCCACCACTCTTCCTCCTAGGATCGTCAGAACACCGAGGTTTTATGCTTTGCATACCGGTATGACTACGAGCCGTATTTTAGTCGTCGCGCATGAACCGGCAACGAAGAAAAATTGTGGCGTGGAGTACATCAATCTCGAGGATTCGGCCGTGCCTCTTTCGAGAAACAATGCATCCATATTGGAATCTTCCTGTAAGGGAGCACTGAAAATCTTTGGTTGGGCGCAAAAAGTCGTAGTTATCCTATCCCCGTCGGACGGCTTCCTTTTCTCCGTCGCTCTTCTCCTAGGGAGCATTGTCGTAGAGGTGTTATCCAGATTCACTGATACACTTCCTGCGTATTCGGCTAGTACTCCCTTGGAAACCGGGGGAAGCCTACTTGATAAGATGACTGCTGCGTGCCAGGCGACGAATTGTGTGTCCGTGGGGCTTGTGGAAGCCATGCTTCCCGATCCTGCCGGGGAACATAGGGATTACAAGTGGATCTCGAGAGTCGTTACGGACGGCGCGTCCAACGCGGGCCTTCATCCTACGCATCCAGAAGCCCGGTCTATTAGGACGACTGCTTCGAAGAGAAGGACGGTTCGGGTGAGCACCAATTATCTGGTCGTTGCCGCTTGTACTAATGACTTTTGTCTCAGCGGAACATGGGTGTTTAACTTTCGCGACTGGGTAAATCAATCTCGACCTAGCGTCCGGCTCTTGTTGCGTGATGACGGGCCGTAGCGGGTCGCATGTGCCGAGATTTTGACTTGCGAAAAGCTTAAATACTGTCAAAATGAGTAACTGCCACACCAGATGATTCCAGAAAACGAAAGTTGAAAAAACGACAGTTGTCTTCATTTGTTGTCGAAGGCTTACAAAGGAAGGACCCTCACGAATATGCTACAGATCACCTCCGTCTGAACGCCGAAGTCTTGTATGAGCCATCTTCATGCTCTGGATGACCGCAACCTCAAGCTTCGATGCTTCTTTCAATACGTTAACGCTATGCAAGAAAAAATTTTATGCTGACGTCGACCATGATTGAGCGCGGAAGTAGGCTTCGAGGCAGCTATGACAAGTGCAATGAACTCAAGTCAACCAGCCGGAAAAGAGTTTGTTGCTCTTGCGAGATGATAATGGATACCTAGTAAAGGGCTACTTAGTGGTGAGGGGACACATCGGGGTGCACCACGAGCCAGAAACTCTTAATTATGGTCATACTTAGATGCAAGCTGACCATCAGGAGGCTGCAAAAAATCGACCATCAGGCACGTCGTATTAATTTTTAACAGCCTGGAATTTACAGCACTACATGAACTTCTTTCATGGACATCTCTTTATCTGTCGACTCACGAGGAACTGGCTTCGCTTCTTTGCATAGTTCGCCGTGTGCGCAGCAAGGACTATTAGGGAAGCCTCTTGCATCCTCAATGGTAGAACTTCCAAGGTCGACCGGACGACGGATCACCCTAAGATCGGAGACTCACTATTACGAGGAATCTAGTAGACCAAGTCTTCTACGGACTTGTGCTTTTACCCTCACCGCCGCATAGCGACTCACCATCACCAGTCAGTGAACCGGAATTCGAACGCCTGCGTCCTAGCAAAGTTTAGGATAATGTACGACATGGAATATATTGTAAGCTTTCTTCCGTCAAAAATTTCAGTTATCTGACATCTAAAAAATCCAAATCCCAGGTAGCGTCATAATCACGATGGTTCACTACTTTTCTAATAGACGCTAATTCTACTTTGAGATCTCGAACTCATAGCATGGCCCTCTGTAACTCTGTACTCTTCCCGGGAGCTATATCCGACGAAATCTGACGGCTATGGGTCGCCACCCACTCCTCAATGGTTTCTGCAAAAACATCGATATCATCAGTTGTATTTTCGGCGTGCATGACCACCCGAACTCTCTCTTGGCCTTTCGGAACTGCCGGGTATGGTATTACCTGGGCAGCATATCCCTTCGAACGAAGGTACACGGCCAATGAGGCTGCTTTACTTGAAAGCAGGGGAAATATTGGGGAGACGATGGTGTCGAAAGATCGTTCTGAGTCGCGGAAAGAAAGCACAGACTTTGGAACCTTCTTCATGAGACGCTGGAGTTTCTTTGAAAGGTACAGGCTGCGTTCGCGCAGCTGCTCTCGAAGCTGTTTACGTGGCATCAGGTATACTGAAAAGGTCTGAATAATGTGAAAATTCTCACCGCGTCACCATCTGCGCTAGAGATGAAGTCGAATGCGTTTTTAATGGTTAACAAGTGGAAACGTGGCATCGACGTCGTGTAGATCATTGGTCGGGCATAGTTGATGAGGTATTTGCGTACAACCGGAGAGGTCAAAAGTACGGCTGTGCCATGGGTTAGCTAGGGATGAAAATCAAGGTAACATCGGACTTGCCTCCGGTAGACCCTCGAGCTTTTCCGAAGGTGTGGAGAACAGTGTCCACTTTGTTCTGGAGACCTAGCAAAGCCACATAACCTCGACCCGAGGGACCACACATCCCAGTCGAATGGGCTTCATCGACGACTATGTGAGTGCACTGTCTCGGTACATATCTATGGAGGACCTTGATAAGCTCCGGAAGTGGACTGAAGTCTCCATCCATGCTGTACAAACTCTCTACTGCCACAAAAACTGTTGCCTTTCTTTCAGAAATCTGCGGGTTCTTCTCCACAAGTTCAGTCAAGCAGGCCTCAAAGGCTGCAACTGAGTTATGCGAGAAGGGGTACGCGTTGCGTGATGCGCGCGCGACGGTAATTCCATCCCTCACAGAGGCGTGAATGAGCTCGTCAAAGAGGATGAAATCTCCTTTCTGCGGCACCGATCCAAAAAAGGCAACGTTGGCGTCGTAACCGGAATTCCAGAGCAAGGCAGAAGGTGCATCAAAATGCGATTGGAGGTACCGCTCTAGCTCTACATGATCCGTGGTGTTCCCATTGAGGACCCGCGAGCCAGTAGAGCCCAGGAGCCGTGTGCATGAAAGAGTAGATTTGACGACAAGATCATGGAGTTGTTTGTTGGTGGTGATGGAGAGATAGTCATTGGAAAAGAAGTCGGGAGCACGGTGGGAGTCATTGGTATCATGGTAGAGGTCAACCACAGGCATCCCAATCTTGACACGGTAGTCAAGACTTTGTTGGAGTGAGTGTTCTAGATAAGAATCCATACTTGTGGGTGGGGGCGAAATAGGTGAGGAAGTGGGTTGAATTGAATAGCTAAGTTGTCCCTCTATTTCTATGTCGCGCAACTATTCAAGTATCGCAGATCTAGGAACGTACTATGTCCAGTATTGCGGTTGAAAAAGACCTATGAGCGTCCCGCCATTCTCTGCTTGTCGGTGCTGTGAATCTATTGCGAGTGATTACCATGATTCTGATTTTGATTCAAGAGCATCCTCTAACGTGAAATTTGATGTAACTCAAACTCCAGACCCAAGTTCCAGGAACAAGGGCTACTGTTTGTCGCTGCCAGTGTACTACTACCGGTCGTTGGCACTGTTTTACCCTACAGTGTAATTAAATACTGTCACAGAAAAAAACTTAATTGTGATCTTCCTCGTCGGTTATGCATCCGTGAATCAGACAGATGCTACAGGATCACAATATCTTGGCGCTTTGCTACTGATGTTATACCGTATGGGTATGATTTGTAGCGGCAACAAGGCCAACGCCAGGAACTCGAGAAGTAATCTTGGCTTAGCCTGACTCGCTATGCAATCAACCAAGAGGGCAGCGCGGCTAAAATCCGCCTTAAACGCGAAACTGACTTTATATAGCAGTTGGAGATGCCCTCATGAGGCATAAGTCAATAAAATACTCTAAATGTGATACATTTTAACTTTCTAATACGCGCCTTTTTGTTGCTGGATCAGGGTCCGGCATGTAACCGGCAATTCACCAGTAGTTTGCCGACAATGAAATATTATTATTAAGCATTCCAAATATGGTTATATTATTACCATATATAGAAGGAGGGGGAGGGTGGGTCCACCTGTCCTTAAACACGAAAATGTAGGTCACGTCGGCTATTTTACGTCCGCAACCCAACACATAATAAGTGATCATCATCATCATTACACGGCACGGTACCTTCAGGCACGCCGGACGCAAGGATACAGGTAACTGCACTACACACCCAGAGCTTCGGCATGCCGAAGCGTTAGCGAGATAAGTTGATCAAATGGTTGAAATTGAATTTCGGTAATTTGGCAAACTGCGGGTAACCCTTTAGCACACAGGGGGGTTTTAAGCAAAGAGTACTTACCGACCTAACATGATGTTAAAATTCTCCGCGAGCGCATTTCCAGCATCGTCGCGGACGCTTACAAATGTCTTCTCAGTCCGGATTAGCTCAAAGCCTCGGGGAAATGGCATCATCTGTTTGTCACTGATTTGCCGATGTTGGACTTCACTCCGCGCGACTTGTCTTCAAACAACCACGATGTCGGACTTGCTCCTCCTGTGCGCCGGACGTATCTTTCTCTGAAGCTCTCCTACTGCCGTCATATCTGATCTCTGCTTGGCAGGCCTGGTGGCTTTCTGCTGTCTCTTACTTGTATAGGACTGCCCGATGTCGAACTGAAAGAAATGCCTGTCTGGTGCTCTCTGTGCTCTGTGGTTGTAGACGTTAACATTGCGCTCGCTTTTTTTGTAAGGTCCCATCATATTTTGGGCCACGCATCGTATTCCACATCCGCGTGCCCATGTTCACCCCTCTGATATTCGTGCTGGGGTTCGCTGTGGTAAGCTTCCCCATTTCGGAAATGTCTTGTTGTTAATTGGTTGAATTCCTTTTCACAGCATAGTACCTCCTACCGGAGATGGTCACTGTTATGGCAGTTATCGATCAGTTGGTTTGGGGAGTACTCGGGATGGCTGAGTTGGTATTGTCTTCGGCTCTGTGACTTGGTCTCCGATAACTTGAAGTATGTTCATATTATGTCGATCCTGTGTATATATATGTCCAATACATAATTTTTATTCCTGATCTACTTGCACATATGAGAACTGAGCAAGGGAATTCTAACAGGACAATATGGGTAATAGAGCCATCATGTAGTGCAACCCCGGAGATGCAAAAAGGGTGCAATTGGGGTGTCATTTTGTTAACCGTTGCCGGCGATGCCGATCGGGTGCTCTCTCCCTTTTTAAAAAAGTGATGGCTTTCTTTTAACCAAATTGCGAAGCCCCTAGGGTTGTTCCGCCGTTAACGAAAGTCCCTGGGTGTGTAGTCAAATGATCTCGTCTTGGCATCATTCGGATCAACTGCGGCTTCTGTGTTGGATGCCGGAGAAAGCGGATTGGTATGAAGATACTTTCATACTAAGTCGTTTAATCAACGTTCAATGGATATAGAGGAGCAAGCTTCCCCCCTGGCCTGCAAGTCTCAGTCTCTTTCGAAAGTAAAATAGATGCAGATGACCTTGAACTTGTTGTTAGAAGGCACCTCCACATCCGTTTTGATGGAAGTCTTCGCCCGAATTCAACGGGTGATTATTGGCCAATAATCACCCGTTGAATTCGGGCGAAGACTTCCATCAAAACGGATGTGGACGCCTGGAACGACTAGTAGAACATCACGGAAAAAATACTATGGAATTTGGTTTTCAGCCTGCAGTCCACCGTCTGTACTTAATGCATCATCCAGGATGCACGTCGATGGGGTGTCGTTCCACCACGCCCAAAATGTTTGTCCAAAAGAGCGTCCCCCAACACGAAACTTGTGGTGCCACTTGCAATAGACTTGCCTAGACCATTAGTGATTTCAGCCGGGGCACCGTGTGAGGAGCGCAGGCAATCAGAATCATATAAGTATATTCAATCTTCGTTGTTCAAGCATATCAAGAGCCTGTGACCGGCATAACAAGAATAAATTAATATGATGATCACTTTCAATGTATCTCCCCCCCAAATGGATGATGAAGTTGTGAGGAAGTTGACTCAGAGGAGCCTGCTGACATGCATTATTACATCAAATAACATAAAATTTTGGTAGATCGTAGATACGTAGCATACTTGTATCGAGGGGTGTCGTTTGTATACACTTCTACCAAATGGTTTAGTAACTTTAAGGGAATTCTCATAGTACACTAGGACAAGCAGTAAGACGATATTTTACACAGCATGAACTTTGTCATCCAACCACCTCTGCGGTTTTAAATTTTCGTCGACTGTATATCCACCAACGCTATTCCCGCTTTCGTATTCTTGTGAGTCAGTATGGGTTGTCGTTTTTACACCAATCTTGACTGGTAAAGAGCGCATCGGATACGATGATATTGTACCATTAGTCAAGCTGGCATCGGGGTTAGCCCTGACAGCCCATTGTGTAGGTTGGCCAGACTGCGTTGTCTGGCGAAATGTCTCCATGGCTACATCCAGAGTCGACTTCAAGCAAACCAAAGTCATGATAAGCGTAGGATAGATAGCCTATTACCCGGGATATTGTAAATAGGTTCGCAGAATGTTATCGTAAGTGCTTACCGTGAGCTGGGAAAGCATATCAATCACGACATAAACCCCATTGTTCCCGCAAATAATGATAACAATTGCTACGAACTGACTCTTTCTTCAGAACCTATGCATACTTAACCACAGAGAAGCCCAACGTACCCAAGAGCAGGAATACAAAATACCAGATTCGATCAAGATCGCGAGAATGCCGTTTTGTCGACCCAAACGGACCATGAAGGCCTCTCCTGTTATGGAGCGAATTAATCTGTTGTGGGACCTAGAGAACATGGCTAGGAATCAGGAAAGGAAGGAGACCCAAAGTGTCAAAAACGGACCATGTACGGTAGGCAATGAGAGTTGTAGCCCAGATATTCGTGGTCAATGTTGATGCAATGAAAGCTAGGCCCCAGGCAGTCAAGCTGCGATTATCGAACACGCTGACACCCTGAGGAGCAGTTGCGAATGATCGTACAACTCCAATAGCTCCCACTGTCACGTTGAAGTCAGTTTGCTGTATTTTTGGTCCAAGAAGATTCTCACCAAAGGTAGTTAGCAGTAGGGTGGCGGATATGACGAGTATCCAACGTTTACGATTCCACAGAACCCAAACCCTCCAGATGACGACTCCGTCGCCGATAACAAACTATAATCAACAGCATTAGCAACATTTGTCAGAACGTTCTTCCTGGCAGTGCTTACATTGATGGATTCGAGAGAGAGCTGTGAGTAAATACTCGGAGACGCATTGTCCTCAAAAACTTCTGATCTGTCTGCTCCATGTTCTCGCAGGAATGCATGGAAATTTTGCTGGAAGCTAACCGCCATGTGCGATGTCGCCAAAGCCCACATGATGGTATTCAAGATGATCATAACAATTATGACCTTCGTTTTCTTCCGTTTGAACCTGTCCCAGATAAGATATGTCAGTCGTTAAACGCACATCATAGCGCGTAACACCCACACCATGAGATATAGTGAGCCTGCGAAGAGGCAAGTATACATTCCTACGGATAAGAAAGGTGAATACCATGGAAATATGCATCCAAATTCAGCTTTGCGCACCATAGAAAAGCATTTCCAGGGCAAGAGAAACAAAATACGCCTCAGGAAGAGTTATCGCCATTTCTCGGAACTCGTTGAAAGGTCCGAGTAGGTGCCGCCTAGAGCACATCGTTAAAATACTTCCAAAGCGCTAGAAACAGGGACATACATTCGATAACGGCATAATCACCATAACGCAGAGTATCAATATCAGATCAGATGGTAAACCGGAAAGTCACAATTCGAGACATGGGCGCCAGATACACTAGGTCGTGATCTGTAAGAAAGAACCTCTGTCTGCATTGAAAAAGTTCCGCATAGAATTTTCGGACTGCATGTCGAATGCAACCTGTCCTTCGCTAAGATATTTGTATAAAGCTGGGGCGGCATCTTGAGAAAACGTGTTCATGAAGTTTTAAGGAAATACCGCGCTCTTAAAGGAGGACCCAGACTCTGCGGGAACCCATTATTGATCTGGCATCAACACAGTGAATATAATCATAGATTGAAACATCAGAAACTGCTAGTTCAGAAACGGAGACCTCGAGAGTGCGATGTATAACGCCCGGGCTACGTGTTCCCCGAACAGATGTTTCTTGTTTCCCAGAATGATCTGATAATGCAGAGTGACGTTACGAAGGCGTACCTAGCATATGATTCCGCGGTCTGGCTGGTCGCCCATTCTATCATGATCCTTCCAGCCGGCAGGTATTTGAAGCGGAACAAGCGCCTGATCCTCACCTCCATCCATGCCTTCACCACGAGATACCCCTGCAGCCACGGTGCGCCTCGCGACTGAAGACGATTGTGGAGAAGTCGCCACTCTCCTTACGCGAGCCTTCGCTAATGACCCAGCTATGAACTGGTGGGGAGGCGTTGAGAAGGAGACTGCCGTGACGAACCTCAACAAACTCGATGCTGGGATGAAAAAAACGATGGAAAACCTCCATCGGTTTCAGAGTTGTGTTGTCCATGCGACGATGAACGCGGGCGGAATCATTACGCTTGCTCTAGTTCCAAAGAGTGACGGAGAGCCAGGAGAGCAAATCGTTGCAGTGGCGCTGTGGATGACACCTGGGAAAACATTTGACTTGCCCTTCACCACGTTGATAAAATCGGGCGCGTTCTCGGTTTTGATGGGATGGGGGGTACGGGGAATCAAGGTGGGTTTTCTGAGATGCAGCGAAGGGGAGTCTTGTCCAACCAACTATAACAGCGCTTTTTTGTCAATTTCACTCCTCATGTGGAGGAGTCGCTGCACAAATCATTCAAGTCTCGGAACCTCGATAGGCTAGATTCGTGGCACCTGCTCGAGATGGTGGTAGATCCTGACTGGGAGGGGAAGGGTAAGTCATATTGCAAACACTTTCTTTTTCTTGATTACTATGGTCGAATAGGATTCTGTTCTCTTCTCATGAAAGACGGGTATTCGCGAGCATCGCCGAAACCTATTCATCTCGAGGCTACAACACCCAAAAGCAAAGACATATATCTCCACTACGGGTTCGAGGTAGATTGACTGATTCGACTTTGACAAAAGCTAAATTGTGACACATAGATCGACAGCGAACACGTATTTGGTAAAGGCCAGGTAGACAAGGCTGGGCACGCAGCTAAAGGTGCTGAAGCCACAGGGTATCCTGAATGGGTTATGACCAAAGTAGGCGTAAACAGTCGAGTCCTGTATCCATATCTGACTCTAAAATTAGTGGGAAATATAACGCTAGAGAGATACGCGATTGACCTTTCGCGTCCTTTCGCGATATTTGTGCTCGTACTATGTAGAAAGGCCCGTATAAAATTTATGCCTGAAGCACGAAGGCCTCATGAGTCCTGAATCATGCAGTCTGAATGCTACCGGTCAATGCGGAGAATTTCTAAGCAAATTTCTGAATAACGACCCGAGAGCATTATCAGCAGATTGACGTTGAAGTAGTGTTTGGATTTGTCTATAATCTCTTCGAAGAGCTCGCAGATGAACTTCTCCTCTACTTCATCTTCGGAGTAAACTAGAAAGAACATCGGATAAAGCAGATGCGGGGACAGATATCAGACGTACCCTGGTAAGAGTTACAGTCGCCGTCCTTCTAGCAAAGCTGAGGAGTAAACGTCAGTGAAAATGATGGATGAAAATGAAAGAGAGGGGCTTACCGATCTCGTACAGGTCCTTAACATCCTTGCGGACGTAGGGGCGTACTTGCCCCGGTTCCATCCTTTGAAGTCCTTCTTGTGCTCAAACACCGGCTTCCAGGTGCAGTCCTTGCGCGCGTCGTCCTTATTGACCTTGTCCTTCTTGTTGTAGTCTGCTACCGCCGTCATTGTATCCGTTGTATCCTACACCACCGTAGGAGTTATCTCTGGCTTGAACAGAAGCGGAAAGGGCGGGAGCCACGAAGGCTGCGAAGGGGGTAAGAGTGACGACTGAGAAATGCACACTGATGACTGAGCTGAGAAGCGGTGATAGACATGTAGGTAAACAAGGATGTTGGGTGTTTCCGGAGAATGCTGATGATTTCGGGACCTCTTTATATGCCAGAAAGCCCCCCTGCAAGTGGCTGTCTCCACGAATGAGGCAAACTCGGAAGAACGTCACATCGAAACAGCACAGGGTACAAGATGAGGGAAGTTTGTGGCCAAGCGTAATCTACTCACTGAGATCTGCCAAGCCGCAAGGGAATTCGAGTGGCGGCGCCCAAATACGGTGCGGGCGGGAACGTCGGTCTCATAGGGCACGGGAGATTTTTGAGAGCGGCCAGCCTTAGTCACATCGGAAGCAAGAGTGTTGACACTCATAGGTTCAGACATGCCAAGGACATCGAGTAGATCCATCGTCGAAAATAGCCACATATGTTGATTTTCAAGTCGATTATATCAAGTCCGTGGTTCAGCGAGCAATATAGATGGTCCTCGTCCGTTGCGACTGACATCAACAGTTACGGTGACACCAGATAGGCGAAACATGCCGCATTGCCTGGTGAAGTCATCAGTCCCTCGTTATTGCCCAGTGTAATAACAGCGATATGCTGAGTCCTCCAACGAAACTAGCCTAAGGACCCTGAACGTCGAACCATCGAGTAAGGTCGCATTGGCGGTCATTGATGAATTGCGGGATATATTTTGAGCCGGCATATAGCAGTAGAATTGTGTCTTTTGAGCAGGTGGAAACAGCGAAAGCAGTAACGTCGAAAACAAACGATCCTGCCGCTACGGCGACACCATGCCGATCCTAATTCCGTTCCGTTCCGAGGCTTCCGGTTTCCTCCGTCAAGTTACTCGGTAAATCCACGCTCAACCTCGCTCAACAACTTGAAACTTCGTACTTATTAAATAACACAGCTACAAGCTCGCCTCTCGAATTCTTACCTTCAAATTTATTTCCATTCCCAGAATCTCCTTGTACTGCACTTGAGATGTCCTATGCTCCCCGCACCAGCAGAATTATAGCTGGTCTCCCCATTTTTCCTGCTACGTCCTAGACCACTTACGTCTGTGGCATGGTAGGTCTTTGAAGCCTGGGTTTCTTTGGGTTCGCCAGGAGATAATAGATTTATTCAAAGGATGGAGGGATAGGGTTGTTAAGATTAGGGAGCTCGATGTTCATCTTCATCCAGAAGCTCAATCTGTTGTGACACCTCCTTGAAGTGAAAGAAATTTTGGTGAGCTCCGGTTATTTGGATTTTTCATTTATACTAATCAATTTTTCATCTTAGCGGAGCATGGATGTTCGATAATCAATATCTTACGACACTTTACTACTTCGTCTCGGTCGGTATTGTATTGAGTGCTGTTAGCTGTAGCAGCTAGCGCTAATCAGATGCAGTACCTTATTAACTTATCTAGCAGCTTCTTGCAGTGCACAACACGTCCTCTTCCCTTCTTCTTTACACTACGTTCAAGCTTCGACAGCGACGTCTATAGCCTTCCCAGTGGTGAATATGAAATGGATGAAGCGAGGAGTGAAGCGGAAAATTGAAGAAGACGATGTCGATCTGGCTATTATGACTGTCGACATTCTTAAGGTGAGAGGAATGACGTTACGATAAGGGCCTTGCTCATGCCTATCGCTAGGCTGCCGCTGCCGCTGCAACCTCAATACCACTTCTCGGTACAGCTGCTGGAATCGTTTCTTGTATCCTGCAGCAGATATCTCAGGCCCAGCAGAATACGGAGTTGGCTTTGAGAGTTGCCACTCGCTGTGTAAGGGCGCTTGCCACAATCTCTAAACATCTCGATACGTTGGAAATCACACCTGCTGTATTGGAGAACATCAAGCACTTTGTAGCGTGCACTTTTTGCGTTCCTATTCTGTCGCTGTCTAACTTGAAGTGTTAGGGATCTTCGTGAGGTACAGGATTTTATCGAGAAGGAGACGAACAGCAGCATATTTCACCGCGTACTCTTTACGAAGAAGCGGGCTGACCGCCTTCAAGATCTCCAATTAAGATTTCAGGATACAATGGCACTTTTTCAAGTTCAAGGCCTTTCCCTAGTCTTGGTCTTTTCCATCTAATTGAAATACAGATCACCGCCCTGATAACTATCCATGATATCATCCAGCGCCATTCTTCAAGGTTTCTCGACATCGAGGACGCTGCCTCGGGTCTAGGCAAACTCGAAAAGACGCCAAAAGATGAGCCCGGCGGCAATCGAGTGCGTCTTATTCTCTAAGCTTTCTTGTAACAATTAACTGGCGAGGCGTGCAGACCATCGAAGAATCCGATGTAGCGCTTAAAGAAGAACTTTTCGTTCGAACTGGGCTCCGCTTACATTTAGCTCAAGTCGGCGGTAAATGTGCGGTTGTCAAAGTCTTTGAAGGCAAAGACGCTTCGAAGGTGTGTCACTGTCAACGACTCCTCCATCGATACTCTATCACTGAAGGTGTTTACACGTCACATAGAACTACGCAGCAGCAGTAAAATTTGAGGAGCATCTAATGTTTGCATCGTTCTCAGGGGTGACTACCGTTGTCTGATTCATCTGCCCTCAGGCATCCGCACATTCTGCATCCGAAGAAAATTTCCCGGGTCAATATCCCTACACCGTTCATAGTCTACGACCTAGGTTAAGTGATATGTGACTGTACGGTAACCTGTTTAATGACCGACTGAGTAGATGCGCAAGGAAGCGCCGAACAGTTTATCGCCGCGGCAATTCCCTCTGGCGTCGTGTCAACTTTTGTCGCGGGAGCACAGTTGGTATATTCAGTCCATTTAGCTTCATCCCTTTTAGACTGAACTTTCAATAAGATCTCTGGCATCGCTGTACGTTTCTCGCAAGCCAAGAAGGATCCTCGCAGAATTGACCTGTCCTGTTATACAGTCGGCGTTAAGTCACTTGTGCCTTCGTGGTATTCCCTTTCACTCCGTTAGGATTGAGGTAAAGTCTTATACTGTCACGAACATATCTCCCCTGATCAACCTGAGTTGGTCAGAATTTCAGTATCTTTATAAGTGGTGCCAACAAAGTGGTCCTGTCCTTTGATGGTATTTGGAATTCAACTTCCTTTGCGTCAAGACAAGATCGGACGGGACTCGATGTCCTTGGTGAATTGTGTCATCAGGTACCGAAAATTTGGCTCGCTATCTTGTTTTTACGACCTTCTGTCTTAGACGTTCAACGCCGCAAATGAAGTATTATACAGTGAGTTTGCCATTACGTTAGCCTAGCTAGACTAGTGAGCTTACATTGATTGCAGGAGATACCTTGGCGCGTACGGTTGATACTTCGGAGCCTTTTGACATGGCGTTTTTCGATGCAGAACACGGGGGACAATCTAATATGATGCTTGATAAGTCTGATACCGCGGCGACGGCAGACACGAATTTATCACGACCGCGCAGAGAAATAATGTGGCAAGGAGTCACTGGCAATAGCATCACATTGGACGATATTTCGCGCCAATTTAAGAGTATACTCTCATCGTTATCCTTTACCTCCTTCTCTTTGGGGCATATAGCACGTAGCGCTCATAGCCGCCGCACCGCGCATAGGTGCCCAGGATATCGACGAGAGGAGATAACACTCAGGCCGGTACTCTCAGACTGTAAGGTCATCACGGATGCGACACCTTCTCTCCACGAGAAATGCTTAATTTGTGGAGAGGAAGTCAAAGAAGGACTATTTGACTGTCAATGTAGACAGCGTACGTTGGCAGTCTCTCTTGATGGTGGTGTCACTGATGATGAACGTCCAGCTGATGATGGAATCTCTCCCACTGTCAAATGCACCAAATGCTCAGTTTGGGGACATAGACACTGTAACGATCAATTACGGTACATCTGCTGGAGATGTGCTCCCACTTCTGGTAATAGTGGCAGCACGGACGATGTCAGTCACAGTAGCAGAGAAACAGGTGCAACCGTGCTGAAACCCACGAGTGAAGCTATGACTCCAGCATTAAACAATTTACTACAAGCGCGCAATCGTCTGTACGACGTCTCCTGGGTGGAAAGTGTGTCAGGTCCTCGGAATGCTCCTACATGGACCATCCAGTTTAAGTGTAAGTCAGCAACTCTCCGATGCAGAATTCTTGATTCATATGTTGCCTAGTCGCGGGTGCTGTGATTGGGGTAGGAACGGGCATAACAAAACGGTTGGCCAAAGAGGATGCTATAAGACAGGCTTACACCTCTTTGCAAAGTACGGGGTAGCTGGGCTAAACTGTTACTTTCATTGTTCCAACATAGATGAAAGGCATATGTTCTTCAAGCGTACTTGAGTCATGGACGGGTCTTGTTGGTGCGAACTCATTTCAACACGAAGTCAAAATATATGTCAGATGTGTTGCAGACACGATAGCTGGTTGGGGACCGATACGCCTAGACCTGTACCATATACATATGCGTGAGTATGAATGACAGGGTAAGAGAATAAAGGGAAGAAAGATTAAAGATATATGTTCTTCTTCAGTTTTAGGGAGGAGATGGAAAATGACTGAGGAAGGAGAAAGAAGTAACGACGTATTATGTGTGAAGGGAAGACGATGCTGCCCAGATGGGGGCAGGGCAGTGGGTCCAAAATTCACTTCCAAGCTTTGCATCGCGGAAAAATCCAGACTCCTTCCCACTCTCCTCAATGGGGGGTAAAACTGCTTCGCAGTATGACGAGACCCTAATGTATTTTTATCTTATCTTATCAATACACGTGACTTTCATAAATTTCTTGAACCTTATTTTTTTTTACCCCCCATTTCGGAGACTGGCGTCTTTTGGGGTGGCGCGTTGCGCATGTTTGGCTGAACCTTCTCATCCTGCCCATTTCGCTGCCTTTTGTTGCTCCTGATATTGCCTTGTTGGCTGCACGTAGTCTATGTACCATATTTAATTTCATGTTGTCTCATTTTCAGAATAAATTGAACTTGTTCTGAGTTCTCACCTGTCTTATACCGTCCTCCGAGTGAGCTATCTGTGCATACATTTCAGCATGTTATGCTACATGCAGCATACCTTGGCTAAATCAGATTATAAGCATTCTTGAACAAAACAATGTAACAATACTTGACGTCTCGGTGCAGGTCCTTCGAATTCAGGAAGTACGGCCACTGAGGCAAGGGAAGGTTCAGCCAAACATGCGCAACGCGCCACCGCAAAAGACGCCAGTCTCCGTAATGGGGGGTAAAAAAAAATAAGGTTCAAGAAATTTATGAAGGTCACGTGTATTGATAAGATAAGATACGATGTAAGCTATTCGATACCCCACAGCTGCGAAGCAGCTTTTACCCCCCATGAAGGAGAATGGGAAGGAGTCTGGGAAAAGTCCGGCTTACCACTTGATTTGCAACCACCATCACCCCCATCATCCACGACTCTGCTACTCTTACGCCATCACTTCCGCGCGACGGTCTCCGAAGCATGTCTTCATTCCCCAGAGTAGATTTCTGGAAAACATGAACACTCCCTTCGGTCTCGACGAACCCCACCTGGACCCATCTCGTTATTTTTTTACATCAAAAACGCGGCTCAAAATCAGCTATCATGAGAAAAGAGCCTTCGACGGAATGACAGTTTCGTGAGTCGGCCTGCCTGGGTATTGTTCGAAGCTCATCGTCTCGTTGCAACAAATTAGCCCGAGTTTCGCTACCCGCCACTGCCAGCATTTCTAGCGCTAATGTTCTTCTTTTTCCTCTCTGCGTCTGACCGAGGCAGCTTTGTTATGGAGAAGTGAGGAATCTCCCTGCGACAAATATGATAACCATCGTGTTTGGGAACAGCGCGAGTCCATTGCTGCAAACTTACGACAGCTCGAAAACCGGCTTCGCAACACACTCGCAGAGCTTCCAATTTGACACTGGAACACGCCCTGCATTCCACGAGGACTCTAGTATCGCGAAAAATTCCTACCCTCAAAAATTCCGGTCGCGTATAAAAGAATCTTGAAGAGCCAGTAAGTCTCCCAACAATGTCTGCCCCAGAAACCGCTACGAAATTCGCACCTACTCAATCTCCCTCCGTCCTCGGCGGACAAATCGTCGGTCGCACGCCGCGTGAGGCTGCACCCCCCGCTGCCCTGAAGCTTCGTCTTGACCTTAACCTCGAGGTCGAGATTGCCATCCAGGCCAAGGTCAACGGCGACATCACCTTGTCGCTCCTGTGAGTAGATTATGCATTCATCTGGCGAATTCGGCTGACTTTTGGTGTGCGTAGTGAGTGAATGTTCAATCGTCGTATTTGAATGTACTGGAAAGATTGGTCGTGCATCGTCAGGTTAGCCTTCTTGTTTCGTCGTCGGATGGACGTTTTACTGAGAGTTCTCTGACCATATAGTTATTGTCGACGTTTTGATGGTGGATGGTAGATGTTACGGATGTACCATTCTTACGTGTAGTACTGCTTTCCAATCCATTTTTTGACCAACCACTTCTTCGTGAATGAACGAACCTCGGTGTTCTTGACCTTGAAAAGGCGGACATACCCCAGTTTCGGGCAATGAAGGGGCAGCCAGACGGCCAGACGGTGCCAGACGGTGCCCAGTCAAGTCACATGTGACAGCGTGATAGCCGGTCGCCATGATCATCCGCCATGTTGTGCGACCTCGTCGACGGCTGCATCTAACCATTGGATGTCGTCCTCTATCCACCCAAGAAAAGCCATCAATATTCAGGCGCATAAAGGATGATATTGACGACGCCGAATCCCGCGGTGTTCTGCCAAATTTCGGACCCAAGCCTAATCTAGCCAACTGGGTCGCGACGTCGACGTTCCAGCTACTACTTTTGTGTGACGGGCATATTCGAAGAAGAGCCAAGCCTTTGAGGACGCCAATTGCGGAGGAGGCGTGGGGCATAGGGTAGAAGGCCAAACCATTCTGTGCTATTGTTGGACCTCGTTATAACTTCTCCCGTTCGTCGTAACCACTTACACCTTCATTTCTTCCTTCGACGATTATATTCCCAGACCTATATATTAGGGTGGTGCTCCCTTGGAGATTGGGGGGAGGCTTGCTCGACAAGATGACTGCCGCGTGTCGGACGACGAATTGTGTGTTCGTGGAGCTTGTCGGAGCGATCTTCTCGATTTTGCGGGAGAGCATAGACACTGCGAGCGGATTCCGAGATCCAGAAGCCCAGTCTATTAGGATGGCTGTTTCGAAGAGAAGGATATTTCGGGTCACACGTTCATCATCGAGTTATTCCATTTCGGTAGTTTTATGTTGACCGGGAATAAAGCTGGTGGCGCGCTAATCAGATGCAGTGTTAGTGTATGTGCTGTGGTGGACACTGCTGTCTTCGTTCAGTTATAGATAGGCCCCTCCACCCTCAACGATCTGCCTCTGAACTTGCTATCTCTCGGTGAGCACTGGTGTTTGTCGGTCATCTACCTCACATCCTCAATCGATCTCTGCGGTAGATGGTGGTGGTATACGCGGTCTATCCGAACTCTTCATCCTTGATGAAATCATGAAGCGCATACAGGTGCACAAAAACCTTCAGGATACTCCCAAACCTTGCGAATACTTTGATCTCATTGGCGGTACGAGTACTGGAGGGTGAGCCTGTACCGCTTCTCAAATATGAAGCAATATCAACGCCCGTCTTTACCCGCCTTTAGGCTGATCGCTATCATGTTGGGGAGGTTAAAAATGTCCACCGCTGAGGCCCTTCAATGCTATAAAAAGCTCTTTAGCATTGTGTTCAATGCCGAGAACAGGAAGGCTTTCTACAGTAACGACAAGTTTAAGGCAACTGCACTAGAGAAAGAGATGAAGAGAGTCATTGTCCAGGCTGGGTACAGTGAAGATCAGAAGCTGTTGGATCCCGATGCAGGAAGAAACTCGAAGGGAAATGCGTATGTTTCTTGTCATCTCCCATTCTCAGTACGAGTTTCTCATCCCTCTCGGTAGTTTCGTGTGCGCCATGACCGAAATTAACCTTCGGTCTCCTCAACGTTTCCGTACGTATCCAGGGCTTCCAAACCAAGGTCCAGACTGTAAGATATGGGAAGCAGCGCGCGCTACTACAGCGACGCCAACCCTCTTCAAGGCGATTAAGATTGGGCCTGGAAATTTTGGTTCCAGATACGTAGATGCAAACCTGAGATTTAACAATCCCACGAAGGAAGTCAGAGACGAAGCCAAGGAACTTTTTGGAAGTAATCGATATATCGGTGTGCTTGTCAGTATCGGGACGGGTCATACTGGCCCCAGTGGGCTCCGGCAGCGCAAAGGAATAGAAAAATTTCTGCCATTGAAGCTCATTAGGGTCTTGCAGCATATCGCGACAGACTGTGAAAGTGTAGCGGACGAACTGGCCAAGGAATATGGTGGCGACGGTGCATATTTTAGGTTCAACGTTCTTCATGGCACCGAAGGGATTTACTTGGATGAATGGGAGAAAATGAGCGAACTATCGGCTCATACGACCTCTTACTTAAGAGGTCAGGTTTCAACTCAGATCGATAGATTTATAGTTTGCCTCTTACAGAAGAAGACAGAGGACCTTGCCGTTCCAGTGAGTTCACTTTCAAGACATGCCCCAAATTAATGGAACTGATAAGGCTTATAGCTCGTGGATAGATCTAGCATATTTCGGATCGAAAAAGAACTTGTCATTGGAGATAATTTCCGGATCCATTCCGGTGAACTCACCGATGGTAAAGTTGTAATTGTAAAAGTCTTCGAAGGGGAGCATGCCGCACAGGTGAAGTGGCCATCTATCCTTCCTTGTCTGCAAGTCTGATATTACGCAGAACTGTAGAGCAACTGCTAATCAAGAGTTTAAGGTGCTGTGCGTGTGGTTTTAAAAATCTGATCTTCTTGAGGCGTGACGGCGGTTTTCGTCTGCGAATTTAAGGCACTCGAACATTCTTCATTTAACAGGAATGTCCAGTTCCCCAGAACAGATACCCTTTACAGTGTATAACACTAGTTAAGTGATGTGGTATTTGCACTTAATGTCGTGTTTTTGAAAATGTTTTTATAGACGTGCAAGAAAGTGCCGCATTATTCATTGCGAATGCAATTCCATCTAGTGCTCAGGCATGTTTCATTGCGGGGGCGACTTTTGTATATCCAATTATTCAGTTTCGTTGATGGGAAGCTGACGCAGTGTAGATTTCCGGTATTGCTGTATGTGTTCCGCCAGTCAAGAAAGTACTTACTTGCGCATGACATAACGTAATGATGTGTTCTATCTGCAGTCAGCATTGGATTATCTGTGCGCTTGCGATATCCCCTTTCACTGTATTGGTGTTAAGGTAATGCTGATTAACAACAATATGTTTCTCTCGCTAATTCTAACTCACATCAGGATTTTGCGGTTTTCATGAGCGGTACCAACACAGTCGCCCTGTCTTTCAATGTTTGTCAAAATTCGAGCTTGACATCTTCACCATCAAGCTTAAATGATACGGCATTCGACATTTTTGGTGGTTTATGTTTCCAGGCAAGCAGCTTCTGGAGGTTTTTGAGTAGTGTGCGGTACTGATTGATGGACTCTGATTCAGACGTTCAACACCGCAAGCAAACTATTGTACAGTAAGGTTCACTCTGCTTGGCGTCACTGGTGCTTATTACGGCATGTAGATGACCATTTTGTTCACGATAATGATGATCCAGAACTATCTGATACTACCCAGGCCGAAATATCACCCAATTTAGACAACAATAATTCATCCTATGCAACAGACGCTGAAACCTCTGTCAGCAGTTCACGGCCGCGCCGAGAGATTATATGGAGGCGTCCAGTCACTCAAAGTGCTGGCATCACCTTGAAATCTGTGTCGCAGGAATACAAATTTGTTCTCGAATCATTGTCTATTTCACCGTTCAAGCCATTGAACCACATAGTGCACACTGGCACCGGTGTCTATCGAACGGTGCATAGATGCCAGGGATATCGACGAGAGGAGGTAACACTTAGGCCAGTACCCTTGGACAGTAAGGTCATCATGCGCGCAACACCTTCTCTCCATGAGAAATGCCTAATTTGTGGAGAGGATGTTGAAGAAGGGATATTCAGCTGTAAATGTGGACTGCGTACGCTGGCAATCAGTTCCCTTGATGATTATACCACTAACCATGGATGTCCAGCTGACGATAGAACCTCTCCTAATGTCAAATGTACCAAGTGCTCAGTCTGGGGACATAGCCATTGTAATGATGAATTTAATTACATCTGCTGGAGATGTGGTCAAAGACGGCATTACCGAACAGAATTAAACAACTTTATACTACAAGCTGGATGGGTATTACAATTCGAAGATACTTTTGTAGGACCTCAACGAGGTGGTACATGGACCTCGACCGCATACGGTAAGTCATTAGCTCTTGAACGTAGAGTCCTTCATTCATATGTACACGTTATCTAGTCAATGGCGTTGCGTATGGGAAGGGAATGGCTAGCAAAGTTGGTGATGCCAGAGAGCAAGCATCATACGAAGTTCTTGTTCATTTTGGAAGGGCCTAGGAATAGGAAAGGACTAGGTTGATCTCTGACTTTCATCGTTCCAAAATCGATGATGGCAGGCCCAGGTTCACAATGAAGCGACAATTTGGGATGAATAAAATTAATGGATTCTTGAAGCAGATAGTCAACCGTTAGTCATACTATGAGTCGACACTCGCAGTCACCGTTAGCGATTGCCCAAATCCCTATGTGCTGCTTCCTCCATTTCCGCCAAAGCCTGGCAGTACCAAACGGGCTACAGTTACGAGTACCGCGAGTATCTATAAAGCCAAGCTACAAAAGGGCTGGGGCCGGAGCTGCTAAAGTCACATGTGACAGCGTGATAGCCGGTCGCCATGATCATCCGCCATGTTGTGCGACCTCGTCGACGGCTGCATCTAACCGTCGGATGTCGTCCTCTATCCACCCAAGAAAAGCCATCAATATTCAGGCGCATAAAGGATGATATTGACGACGCCGAATCTCGTGGTGTTCTGCCAAATTTCGGACCCAAGCCTAATCTAGCCAACTGGGTCGCGACGTCGACGTTCCAGCTTTTATACTTTTACGCGACGGGCATATTCGAAGTCATCAAAAGAAGGACCAAGCTTACGAAGACACCAGCCACGAGGAAGGAGTGGCGCATGCTGAGGACACAGGACAGGGATATGTCCATGATTGTGCCATTTTGTGTACTGCTGTTGGACCCCATCATTCTTCCATTCGTGGTACTGCTTCCGCCTTCATTTCTTCCTTCGACGATTATCCTCCCAGGCCAACTTCGGCGCCAGCAGGAAGCGCATATCCAGAGTGTCAGGGAGGCTCTCCCGGAGCTCTGGAAGGCCCATGAGCTTCTCGAGCGTCTCAAGATCCAGCCTTTCGCTGACGAGGATAGGGATGAAGACGAAGATGAAGATGATCTGAAGGGTGTTAAATTTGATGATGAAAATGACTTTTGGTTTCATCGTAGCCGCCGACTCGCTATTTGCCATTTGTATGGTCTACCTGCATTCCAATCAATTCCGGTTCCTCCACTTGGTATCGAGTCTCACATGGAATTTCTCGAGGAGGATGACGCGTGGTTAGTGAAGGAAGGTCTGGATGGGTTAGGTCATGACGAAGTGCGCGAAGCAGTAAATGAACGTGGATTGTGCTTGGTTAGTGAGACGGAAGCTGCGCCTCTGCTCAAGTGGTGGCTTGATCACGTTGCAACTGGGAGTCACGATCAAAGACTCAAGGCGGCACTCGCCTTTTCTGTCTTTTATAAGTCGGTCGAGGATAGAGATGAATGAGCACCGGTGAGTTTTAGTAACGTGCTTATTTTGTCGTGGTACTCATGGTGGTGTATAGGACCTATTAATCTAACAACCATTTTTTGTATCTACAACACAAACTGGCGGAGATGAAATGCAGCATTACTATGATATTCATGCGTGATAGTGAAACTCGTACCTTTCATATGCCCTCGACCTCAAAGGCACGTCTAACTGCTTGCACACTGGCGTCGGCTGAGTCACGAATCTCGGTACAATTTTCTTTTATCTGGAGCTAACGAGACAGCCGTCAAGATTCGACGATTTATACTGCAGGATGCAGATGCAAAAACTACAGTTTTTTCTTCGACTTCTGAACGGATATCATGGATCTGCGTTATGTACATAGCTTCTGGTTTAACAATGATATCGGAGGCTTTCTTACTCCCATCTAAATCACACCTCATACCTGTGCGCTGGATCCAGAGTATGGTTCTTCGAGACCAACGTTCACAGACGATGCCGTTGAGCTCGTCTCGGGTGTTTTCATACCAGGAGTATCTACGAAAGATGAATATAAATTCTTTACAGCTGTACTGTAGACTCACCTGGTAATATGCCAGCACGCTGATCTTTATCGTCCTTTATCGCCGAAGCGTTAACGGGAAAATACTGGACATCATCACTGGACATATACGTCCTGGTCTCCATTCCAACCCGCAGCGAAGTCGTACGCATTGGAATGGACCGACTACGCGTCGGACCACCGGCGGCGACAAATCCATGGGACAGCCGTGTTCGCTCAAAGGTTTCGATGGCCACGTCAAGTGTCGCCCTCACACAGACGAGTGTGATGATGAGAGTGGGATAGATGGCCTATAATGGGACAAAGGGTTTGAGAATAAAGCGTAAAGGAAAATTAGTGAACCCCTCACGGTAAGTTGGGCAAGCAATCCCAACATGATGTATATCCCACTACTGGCAAAGATAAAGGCAAAAATTGCGATGAACTATATTAAACGATTTTGTTGGATAAATCATCACCGACAAGAGCAGAGACAGATACGCACCCAAGTGCAGCAATACAACATCCCCGACTCGATCAAAAATGCCAAGATACTGTTCTGCTTGCAAAATTGAGCTGCGAGGGACTCGCCTGTCAAGGAGCGAATTAAACGATGGTGGGTCCTTGGGAAAACGTAAGCAGGTAAAGGGAAAACAGAGACGACTAACCAGGTACGGTAAGCGATGAGGGACGTAGCACAGATATTTGTTACTAGCGTCGAAATCATAGCACATGCTCCCCAAATAACAGCAGCTGGGTTTCGGGATTCGTTGTCAGCAAATGGCTCTGGAGGGTGCGACAACGTATAGCCCAGACCACAGCCCATTCCTTTTGGTAATAATCTTGAAGGTCAGTACAGGATAGAGCGGAGGACTAGATCATGGTCCTTACCGAGTGTGATTAGAAGCAGGATCACGGACATACAAAGTATCCGTCGATCGCATTTCCAGAGTACCCACGCTCTCCATAAAATGATTCCATCTCCAAACATGAACTATGATACAATGTGTTATCATTGTGTTCTCTGATCAGGCTCGGAGAAAAACATACATTTATGCATTCGAGTGATAGTTGCGCTAATATCCTCGGGGAGGCATTATTTTCGAAAACCAAGGGGTTCTGAGCTCCATTCTTCCGGAGGAATCCCACAAACTTCTCGTCGAAGCTCACGGCGACGTGGGCCGTTGAGACTGACCACATGATAACGTTCAAGATTATCATAGATACGATAACTTTAGTTTTCTTTCGTTTGAATCTAACATATCCGAAAAATATCAGTTAGCATTGACTCGGAGCATGATCTCCTCGAGGAAGCTCACATTAAGAGATATGAGGACCCCGCAAAGAGGCATGTGTACATCCCTAATCATGAAGGTTGGTTTGTAGAATGTCTTGCGACTGAATGTAGCGAGGACGACGCACCATAGAGTAACATCTCAGTGGCCAAAGCAATAAAAACAGCATCTTGGACAGAGAGCCCCATTGCTTGGAGATGGGTCAGACTGAGAGAACAGCAGGGTTTAAATACGGATACCCTGAGAACTACAGATGTGCTCGGAACATATACTGGAAGAGATTTACCCGAGCATCAGTACATCAGTCTTCGAAAGGTTCTAAGCGTGTTTAGTCAAGATATCGGAGCGCTGGCTGCTCCAATCTTCGAGAGGTTAAATATGGACTGTATTAAACGCCGTGCCAGCATCCAGCACAGCCAACGAGTCAGAGTTTTTGATGAATTGCGTTCGATGATAGTGTAGCACTTTCACAGTATTCATTTAACCACAGTTATTGTTGAGAGTCCTGTAATAGCGTTAATGGGGCTGGTAGATAGAGAGTAGTCGCCAAGTCGTTCGCTAGTACGAGTCGCCAAAGATTCAAGAAGCAAGCGCAGATTTGTAGCTGTGTCTCATTTCGGGCCGCGTGCACTTTTCGTTCTTTCTCCCGGTGGCATAAATGATGAATGGTGCCCTTGTACTGATTTACTTCAGTATAATGATCATTATTCTATTCGAGCGAATGGCATACTGCTCGTATTATCATCTTCGCGCCCTTCTCATTCACATGAAACTTGACTTCCTTGGGATCCGTTTTCTGCGAGGACTGATTGCCGTGAATGCTTCGAATAATGTTCATGGTTCTCAATCCCCAACCGAGGACACATGGACTGCCAGACCGCCATCAGGTACTCGATATACTGTTGTCCCTGTCACTCCGGCGCTCACTGTGAGATTTCCCTAGGTACTTACCATATCCCTGCTGCCTCACCGAAAAGTTGGCGACACGATAAGTCCCGTGGTTCCGCTCAACAGGTCCTTCGATAAGAATAGCTTACTCAAAAGGTTCAATCATTCCCATGTCGCCCTCAAGAGTAAGCTCTGGAGAACCAGTGTCGAAATGGGAAGGTCAAGAGACTCGTTTCTTCGGTTTTTGAAAGGGAATTTGGCAGTTATATTCTTAGCGCACTAGAGTCTTTGGCCCAGGAACCGGTGTTCTTGTATCCTCGTTGGGGCTCAATATCAGATTTATTATCTGCTTCGTCTGCATACGAACTGGAGAGAAAGCAGTTTTCGTGGTACTCCCCGTATTTGAATATCTGTTGCTTCATGAATGTTCGTGATCCAACTTAGTAGTGCGATGCTATGATACCGGTGGCTACAGATGAGTGAGTTCATGCACACAATCTTCTCGCAGTTAGAATTAGGACTTACTCGGCTATACATGCTGGACATTATCTTTCTAGATGATTATTTGAAAATATTAATAGGAAACTGAGGTATCCGTTTCAGTCCTTGTTGAAAATACGGATGATGAAATCGAAGGTTGTGGGTCAGTGAGGGATCGAATTCGCTGAGACGAACGACTTTGCTCGAAGGTCTGGATAGAATCGTCGAGCGTTGATCCCAGACAGACGAGTGTAATGATGAGCGTAGGGTAGATGGCCTATCAGGTCTGAGAGTAGGGCATAAACCGGAAAAAGAAACCATTCTCACGCTGAGCTGTGCAAGCATATCTATCATGATGTAAACTCCACTGTTTACGAAAGCGAAAACAAAGATCATAGCGAACTTTTGCCAGTCGTTAGACTATGCGAGGCTAAATTCAAGCAAGAAATATACATACCCAAGTGCAACAATACATGGTACCCGATTCGATTAAGAATGCGAGAATGCCAATCTGTCCGGAAACTTGAATAGCGAGGGTTCCACTAGTTAGAGAGCGGATTAGCCGACGATGGGTCCTTCGCGAGGTTTAGCAGGCGCAAGTGAGTGAAAGAGATTGTTTGTTTACCACGCTCGATAAGCGATGAGGGTCGTAGCGAAGACATTCGTAGTCAGCGTCAATATCATGGCACTGATTGCCCAAGCACTCGTGATCGTGTTCCGATAAGTAGCAATAGGCTTCGAGGAGCTCCCCAGCGTCTGGACAAGCATGATACCAACCGCTTTGTTGTTGAGAGTCAGCTGTATACGGTGACAGAGGTGAATCATAGTCCTGACCGAGCGAACCCAGAATTAGAACTGAAGACACGTAAAGTATTCGTCTGTCGTGGCTCCACAGTACCCACGCTCTCCATACCACGATGCTATCTCCAATTATGAACTAGAGTGGGATGTTTCATGTTTCACCGGGGAAGTTGGTATGGATGAGTAGAAACCGACGCACGTTTATGCATTCCAGGGCTAACTGCGATAATACCTCTGGGGAGGAACTATCCTCGAGAACGCTGCTATTTTCGACTCCGTTCTTCGAGAAGAATCCTTGGAACTTCTTCTCAAAGCTTAAGGAGACGTGACCGGTGGACATGGACCACATGAGTATATTCAAGACAGTCATGGTAAGGATGACTTTGGTTTTCCTCCGTCGGAATCTGTCAGGGCAAGTCAGAATGCATCAGCAAGAACCATAATGCCTTGGGGAGACGCACAACAAAAGATACGAGGATCCGACGAAGAGACATGTGTATATGCCTGGAAATCTGTGTTGTAAGATTGCACATTACTCGTTGCGGCGAAATAGCGCACCATACAAGAAGATCTCGATGGCAAGAGCAATGAACACTGCTTCGGGTACTGGTAACGACATTGCTTAGAACTTGATGCGGTGTCGTGGGCAGAGCGTCATGCTTAAGTATGGACGGCTCAAAGGATGTACTGAGCAAATATCAGACGGCAACGCTCGTGCCGCTGATCAGCCTAAAGAACTCCATCTTCAGTAAGAATATACCAGCTTGGATAGGCAGGAACGCATCACGTTGGTCATTCTAGCGATGGATGATCTGTTACACGAATCATTCGCTTTTGCGCCCACTGATTTTCTGTATCGAGTTGTTTGGCGCAGCGCTTTTCTTCCTGAGCTGTTTCTCAGCTAACCGGAATAGCTGGAAACGCATACAGTAACGAAGTCAAGGAGCTCCCATATGCGCGCTCGGTATTTTGAATGACCACTCTATCATAGGATTCTTCGAGGTACAGTGCAGGCCATTCCGCAAGATAGGACCTCGATTTCATGGTTACAATTAAGAGTGACCGATCAATCAAAGAACGCACTGTGTGATATCGTCGTCGTAAAGCAAGAGTGTTTGTCGCCATAAGATGGATCAGGTGAAGTTTTTAGGAATAGCAACAGAGCGGTAAAAAGCTCAAGGAGCGCCACGTCGATCACCTAAACAGCGAGATGATGACTCTACAACGTGGGTTCTGCACTTGCTTTTCCGACAGATACATCCCCCCTTAGAAATGTATGGCAATCCTGGGGCTTCCGTGTTTGTACCTCATCAGACGTTCGCAGATAAGAAGGGAGGTCTTCATTAGTGAATAAGAAGATTGAAACACGCTAAGAATAGAGGTCAATGGTAACAGGGAGTCCCTTCATTGTTACAGGATAAGTCTTACCAGCAGTAGGATCTTGTCTTGAATCGGAAGAGTAGAGCGTTGGTGAAGGCATCGTAGAGCTCATGTAAGATCACGTTCATTCTGTTCGGTCCTAGTCGTTGCTATACTAAGAGATCACGAGCAAAAACGGAGAGGCGAAGTGCGGTGCTCCTAGTAGTTCTAAGACCTAAACTCGTCATGCATCATGATCCACATGTCACGGAGAAAATAATTTTTAGCCTTAGAGGCGGCGTCAGCGAGTCAGGTTGAAACAGAAGGAATCAAGAGACGTACTTGCATTGGACAATTAGAATACGACCGAACGGACACCTTCACTTGCCCGGGTGTTTAATTGAATCGAGAATGCATTGTACTAAGCGTCTTGGAGCGGAAGGGTAATGATCTACAACAGATGTGGTTGGGTATCTGTCAAGGAAAAGAACGATTTTACACGAGATCAAGGTCGTGGAGTGCGCTTGAATTGCGACATGATTAACCCCTGCCAACCATCGACACACCTACGGCACACAATCGGGATGTACGCGTCTGCCAAGTAGCGGCAGCGGCTCGGCTCACACTTACTATGCGCTTTTTCTCTTTGATCTTCTTCACCATGTCTTCACGCCGTAACGTCCGAGGAAATAGCCATTCTATGTCTCAATCACGGCGGTGAAGATACAGATTCCAGAATTCTGAACAGACGATACACAGATGGACGTACTTCGTCTTTGCACAATTGTGAAGTATAGATTTCACACCTCTCGATTTGGAGGATGGCGCCAAGGTGACATCAGAGTCTTTTTGGCACTCTTCTGCATGGGAACCTCGCTCGGACGCACTGTGACTACAAAAATCGCTTTGAGAACGGCTAAGGGTACCGAAAGCAGCAGCGACGACGGTATAGACTACGACGAGGGCGGGGACTTGGGTTGCCCAAGGCAGACCAGGATTATTTTAGTCGTGTCTACGATTCAGGCGATGGCAATTGTCTTGTCAACGTTTGCTTCTCCATCATCTTGATCTGCCCCTTAACTACACGGCATTGAGGTCCGTCTGCTGAATCGCCAACCATTCCTCCGTGGGCGTCTCAGCGAACGGCTTCCTCTCTCTCCCGCCTTGAAGCAAAACAGGGAGAGACAAAAACTCTCACCAGAGATATTCGCACAATAATCCACCCTCCCAAACCTCTCCACCAACTCCCCATAACGGCTCGAAGGACAAACGTCTCGAATTGGGGGTTGGACGCGACTTCGGCAGTGACTTTGTCCCTGATGTCCGCGAAGACTAGGCCGCGAATGCTAGAGCTGTGAGAGCCGGGAATGTGTCTGCCCCCACTCGCGCCCGAACCCCAAAAGATGGAATCTGGAGATGAGGATAGGCCATGACTTGACATGATAGGACACTCAGCTTGAAATATGCTCGCCATAGCTCAAGTGGGGATGAGAGCAAGCGAAGACTGATAGAAGCATTGCCATGTCGCGGAAGGAAAGAGGTACAACTAAGGAAACCCGACGGATATAGCGATGAGGAGACGAAAGACGGCTAGTCTGGGGGAATAAGGGAACAATCAGTGCCACCATTTACAGCCGAGCTTAAGGAAGAAAAGTCGATCTCGGAGCTTAGGTCAGGAACGGGATCAAATGCAACTCGATCGCCGCTCGAGCGGTCCGATCAGCCGTGGAAACGTCAACTCGAACGTTTTTCGACCCTTACTGTCCCTCAGCATTCAGAACGTTCAACGTTGACCAGGACATTTGACTCCATGCCCTCGATAAATCTCAAAAATGGTTACACCACTCGTTACAGAACATCTTGTTCCGACTCGAGTATCTAATTTAGGTAAGATTAACGTCTCGTCGTCAGGTCAGCCAGCTGTTGACGTCTCTAAGGTCCATGAGGTCGTGAAGTGAAGAACTTTCTACATCGAGGTATTCGCTCTTTGAATTCGGCCCCGTATATGAAATACTCCGGCCCCGTCGATTGAATCTTGCTTATGCTCTGCTCTGTCCTATCGTTGCGATGCCGCAGCACAGTTCAAGATTCGCCTGCATTTTCCATTCCATTCAAGCTTCTGGAATCACACGGCCCGGACTGACTCAAATCCGCTGATGTCTCAGTGAGCTCTTGAACGCATACCCTGGTCTCTATATGGTTCTTCGTGGCCAATCCTCGCGCACGGCCCGTGCGTATCGTATATCATGAGACTTGGAAGCGAAGATGTCGTGGCCTTTCTGTGCGGTGAGATCACAATCTGTCTCCGAGTTTCCACGGACTTCGCTCCATGCTACCCTCTCCATTTGAATATTTGTTCAAGCCATTTTCGCCGTGTTCTTCCTATAAAACCCTCCACAGACACAGAATGGTACTGCGCAAACAATGGAGAATATTACGCTCTTCCTCAGCACTTTCCTTGTGATTGCTCTCTCAGCCCTGTTATCGAGAAGGAGATGTAACGTTGTCAAGCAGCTCCGCGGTCCCCCTTCGAACTCTTGGCTCTTTGGTGATACCTCTGTTTCGTTTCGTTTGTAAAATGTGCTCATTTTCTTTTACAAGGCCATGAATACATGACGCAGCACCAAGACCAAGTCGGCGACCTAGAGTATTCTTGGTATCGTGAATACGGTCCTGCTTATCGATCAGCTGGTTGTTACGGTGTCAGTCTTCTTATATATCGATTTTCATATGTTGCTGACTTTGATGGTACACAGCAAGATATATTGGCTATCGCCGATCCGAAAGCTTTGCAGTACATCACACAAGGCGCTGGCTATCGTTACCCCAAAACGGCCGATTTTGAATTCAACCTCAATATTCTTTTGGGACTGGGAATCGTTACCGCTGCTGGTAAAATTTTTGGTTTCGTGTTGCTTACACTCTAAGACTCTTCTTAGGCTCCGTTCATCAGCGGCACAGAAAAGTCATGAACCCTGCGTTCTCTGCCGGACGGCTGCGAACCTTTTTGAGTCTTTTCCAGCGTACTTCGAGACATGTACATATGCATACCATCCCTTGTCGTTTTCCATGCTGAACAGTACCTACCTAGTTTTCTCGGAAGCTCACCAACTTGATCGAAGGAGGGCAACCGACCTTGAATATTAATCTGTGGCTTGGAAAGCTGACTTTGGACATCATTGGCGAGAGTGAGTCTGATTTAAAGCATGTCATCGGATTTCTGTACTGAAATACATTTATAGCTGCTTTTGGATACCAGTATGGTGGAATCGATAACGATGACAACGAGTTAACCAAAACGCTGAACAATTTATTGTCCGTGAGAGTCGTTTTCCGGCGATTCGCTTCTCACCTTTTCATTACAGTCATGATGCAGGCGTCTTACCGAGTAGGGCTGCTGTACTGATCTCAGCGCTTCCACGTGTCCTCCCAACCCCCTTGCTCTACCTTATTAATCTTATTCCATCCCGCTTAAAGAAACGCTATGCGGATTTCAATGTCGTCATGAAAGAGATAGGGCGGGACGTCCTCAAGCAGAATTTCGAAGGGGGTGTCGCTTCGTCTACGGGAAAGGATATTCTGAGTATTCTAGGTGAGTTTTGCTGGTCAAGACGTATTATATGTTATCTGAATTTTTTGCCCCCTTTAGCTCGTGCTAACGCTGATGAAGAAGAGAAGAAACGCTTGAGCGACGATGAAGTGCTTGCTCAAGTAATGTCAGTCGCTCTACGCTCAGTGAAATGTTAACGATAACGAGTTGTCTTGATTTTGTAGCACGTTGACTATGGCAGGGCACGAAACTACGGCGTCCACACTTACATGGCTTCTATTTGAGCTATGCAACCATCCTGAACAACAAGAGCGTATTCGGCAAGAAATTGCTGACGTCCGTACCCGAGTTGGAGTAGAAGACGAACTCTCCTCGACGGACTACGATAGTATGCCTTTCATGAACGCTGTAATTAAGGTATTCATTTGTCCGTTCTAATGATATCCTCGAAGCGCTAATATCTCTCCTAAAGGAAACCCTTCGTCTTCATCCTATCCTTCCGGCGATGATGCGAGTAGCAGGTTCCGATGATGTCATCCCTCTCCTGGAGCCGGTCACCACCTCGAAGGGGGCCAAACTAAATGAAATACCTGTGAAGAAAGGCCAGCTCATTCAAATGGGATTCGGCTACTACAATCGGTCAGGACGCATGCGACTTTCTGCCTGTACCCGTATTAACTTTGGTCACTGTTAGCCATCCCACTGTATGGGGGCCAACTGCTAATGTATGGAATCCGGACCGTTTCTTGGGCGAACTCGATAAAACAACTCCCGTTGGTGTTTATGCTAACGTGTAGGTCTCTTTGGTATTGCGTGAAGTCGATAAGCTAATCATTTTTTTCATGCAGCTTATCCTTCAGTAAGCCGATACACTAGTTTTAATTTCAATGAATGCACTGACTCTCCTCAGGCTCCGGTGTCCGTTCATGCATTGGCTGGCGTTTCGCGTGCGTGTCCTGAGTATCATTGATCAGAGCTTAAACTCAAAGCTAACATGGTCCCCGATCCTAGTGTAATGGAAATGCAAGTCGCCGTATTCGAACTCCTGGAATCCTTCAAATTCTCGTTCCCCAAGGAAGATCTCCAAATCAAGCGCCAGCCTGCTTTTATCATGCTTCCAATGGTTCGCGACGAGATGTCTAAAGGAACACAGATGCCGTTGCATCTCACTCCTATTAAGAGGGAGATGATTTGATAGTAGTTTAGGTTTAGAATGAAGCCGCTCATGTACAGCACGATGATTCCGTTATGATAAGAAATGACGACGATTACCTGCAGTTTGCACTGCCATTCATATTGCTCCATGGCGGGTGGGAAAAACAACCGGCAGAGTCCGAAAACAGCCTTCCCGCCCTTTACCAGCGCCACGACACACAAACCTCATTTTTATCCTCGAATTTTGCTACGATACCGTGGATCTGAGCTACTACGCCAAGTCCTCATTAATCATTAATGGTGCGTTACCTGAATTTGTGTTTGATCTTGCCTGATCAGGCTTGGCTTGGGATCGTTCCACTGTTTTGGTTCATCCGTTGTTTCGTTTCTTCCCACTACTTGCTTTAAACTTTTTGCTTACCGTCGACATTCAGGCCTCAACTTCCGCTACCGCAAGCGTGAGCATTCAGTAAACGACTGCACAGTTCGGGGCTTACCATTTCTTCCTTAGGGTCTCCATATCGGCCCCGACTTGGACCATAAATCGACGACTCCCAGCCCCATCTCGTCGAAAGCCGAGGATGTCGAAGCATCTGCTGCCTCTACTGTGACAGGTAGTAGTGCAGACCCATTCAATCTCAGGAATGGTATCCGTTCGGATTCAGAGCTTGCCGAGCTCCGACGCAGGGCCAAGGGTAAGAAGAAAGCCGCTGTGGTCAAGTATCAGAATCGACAGAACGACGTGCGTGTTGAATTCAATCTATTGGATGAGAGTTGTCGTATTGATACGTTGTAACAGCTCATTGCGTATTTGCTGAAGCCACTTGAGCAGCACACGAGCGATGCGAAGGACGAAGAGGAATCGGCCAGGCTTTGGGTACAGCTTTGTTCCCCTGTGTTGTCATTTGATTATTGACGTACTACACTCTTTTAGGTGAAGATAGCAGTGTGGGCTAGTCTTATATCAAACCTTGCCCTGTGTGTCATTCAGAGTGAGCTCCACTTTTACTCATTTGGTCAACAGCTCTGACACACGTGTTATGCAGTGTATGCGGCCATCTCCTCTGTGTCTTTATCCCTTCTCGCGACCGGCATCGACTCCGTCTTTGATATTGGCAGCAATGTCATGCTATTCTGGCTACATGTAAAGGCAGAGAAGCTTGACATGAACAAGTGGCCCGTAGGGGGTGCACGTCTGGAGAATATTGGCAATATCGTCTATGGTTTGTCGACTTATTATTACGGCGTTTTCCGGTTTTAATTATCGTTTATAGGTTCTTTGTACGCACCCTCACTTGCTTACTCAGTGCTCATTTACTCATCACGACATACAGGATGGCCAGCGTTAACCTCATTGTGGTGGTGGAATCCGTGAGGTCACTAGTCTCGAAAGAGAACGACGAGTTGAAAGATTTTCATCTCCCATCTATCATCGCTGTAGCGGCTGCATTGGGTAAGACCTACGCCTGTAACGTTACTTCGTTCTCACTCGGTGTTTAGGTGTCAAGCTAATGCTTTTCATTTTGTGCTACCCATTCCGAAAAAATTCTAGCCAAGTTGCTATTCTTTGGCAAGATCATCGTAACGATCTGTGGATCAACACATTTGGTATGTCTGTGGTTTGATGAGCAATACTCCTGGTCTGATCCTTCCTAGGTATCCTCATGTCTACCGGTGGGAGTAAATTGAGGTGGTGTAGGTGCTATTTCTTTCCTATCTAATACATTGCTCACGTCTGATAGATCTCGATCCCATGGGTGCTGTCATCGTAAGGCAATCCATCCCTCGAAACAGCATGATAACTGATAGACAAGTAGATCGGCCTTGGTATCATTGTTGCGTGGACACGAACCATTTACCGCCAATTCGAATTTCTGGCCGGAAAATCGGCGCCACACGAGTTCTTGCAGCTCCTTATATACAAGTCCATGACATTCAGCGACGAAATTGTGCAACTTGACACTGTTCGCGCGTACCATGTATGTCAGCTTACATATTGTCGCATCTGAACTAAGCTTACGTTCCCACAGAGTGGTCCCGACTATTTTGTTGAAATCGACATTGTGATGGACGGATCAACGCCATTGTATAAAGCTCATGACATTAGCCAGCAATTGCAGGATAAGATTGAAGAGCTCCCAACTGTTGAAAGGGCATTCGTGCATGTCGATTATGAGACGACGCATTCACCGGTATGTTCTCATTACATAGAAAAACCAATTTACCTAATGGTCTTCCTCTAGGAACACCGAAAGCCGACATAACAGACAAAATTCTGAGGCTGTTTAGATGTTTCAAAGGGATTTTAAATTTGCTTATAGATATACTACGTATTTTTCTGTGCTTTGCATCGTTTCTCACCTCTAATATTATGATAACGAATACCAGCTGGAGAACCAGCCGTCCTGGCACAACTGATGTCGTCAGGTCTGTGCTATGCGGAACGCAGTAGTCTGATTAAAACTTACTTGGATAATACAAGGCTTTATCCATGGGATATCCCGGTACGTTTTGGCGTATAAGGGAAGCCCAAGTCAGAAATAGCGGGCTCAGCCTAAGCCTGAAAACAGGGCTGGGCTCAGGCCGGCTCGGCTTGAGCCTGGGCTTTTAGCACACAGAGGGAAGTCATATCTAGGACTATTGTATGTAATGAAAGAAGGTTATTACTCACCTCGTTAGCATATTTTATCATTGTGAAAGTCTGTGTGGCTTTCAGAGAGCGGGTGGTGCCGGAAGTGCAATACATAGGAAACCGACAAGCCCAGCCCACTACAGCGGGCTCGAGCCTGGCTGGGCCCAAGCCCAAGCCAGCACATCACTACAAGTTTAGCTCCATGGCGGGTGCAAAAAACAATCGGTATAGAAAACAGTCATCTTTTCTGAAAACGGCCTTCCTGCCCTTTACTAGTTCCACAACACACGAACCTCTTTTTTATCTTCAAACTTTGCTACGGCGCCGTAGAGAGCTAACGCCAAGACTCATTAATGGTGCGTTCCTAAGATTTGCGTCCGATCTTGCCTGATCAGGGGGGGGATCGTTCCACTATTTTGGTTCATCCGTTGTTTCGTTTCTTCCCAATAACTTTGCTTCGAACTTTTTGCTTACCGTCGATATTCAGTCGTCAACTTCCGCGACCGCAAGCGTAAGCTCATTCAGAAAATAACTGCACAGCTCAGGGCTTACCATCTCTTCCTTAGGGTCTCTGTATCAGCCCCGACTTGGACCATAAATCGACAACTCCCAGGCCCATCTCGTCCAAAGCCGAGGATGTCGAAGCATCTGCTGCCTCTACTGTGACAGGCAATGCAGACCCGTTTAATCTCAGGAATGGTATCCGTTCAGACATAGAGCTTGCCGAGCTCCGACGCGGCAGGGCCAAGGGCAAGAAGAAAGCCGCTGTGGTCAAGTATCAGAATCGACAGAATGATGTGCGTGTTGAATTCAATCTATCGGACGAGAGGTGCCGGGCTAATGCATTGTACCAGCTCATCGCGTATCTGCTGAAGCCACTGGAGCAGCATACGAGCGATGCGAAGGACGAAGAGGAATCCGCCAGGCTTTGGGTACAGCTTTGCTCTCCTGTGCTGCCATTCGGTTATTGACGTACTACTCTCTTTTAGGTGAAGATAGCAGTGTGGGCTAGTCTTATATTAAACATTGCCCTGTGTGCCATTCAGAGTGAGCTCCACTTTTGCTCATCTAGTCAACAGCCATGACTCACGTGTTATGCAGTGCATGCGGCCATCTCTTCTATGTCCTTATCCCTTCTCGCAACCGGCCTCGACTCTGTCTTCGATATTGGTAGCAATGTCATGCTATTCTGGCTACATGTAAAGGCAGAGAAGCTCGGCATGAACAAGTGGCCCGTAGGCGGTGCCCGTCTGGAGAATATCGGGAATGTCGTCTATGGTTTGTCGACTTATTATTACGGCGTTTTCCGATTTTAATTATCGTTTATAGGTTCCTTGTACGCTCTGTCGCTTGCCTAGTCAGTGCTCATTTACTCATCACGACATACAGGATGGCCAGCGTTAACCTCATCGTGGTGGTGGAATCCGTGAGGTCAATAGTCTCGAAAGGGAACGATGAGTTGAAAGATTTTCATCTTCCATCTATTATTGCTGTAGCCGCTGCATTGGGTAAGATTTGTACTTCTGGCGTTACTTGGCTCTCAGTGGTTTCTAGGTGTTAAACTAATGCTTTTCATTTTGTGCTACCCATTCCGAAAAAACTCTAGCCAAGTTGCTATTCTTCGGGAAGATCATCGTAACGATCTGTGGATCAACACGTTTGGTATGTCTGTGGTTTGATGAGCAATACTCCTGGTCTGATCCTTCCTAGGTATCCTTGTGTCTACCGGTGGGAGTAAATTGAGATGGTGTAGGTGCTATTTCTTTCCTATCTGATATATTGCTTATATTTTTATAGACCTTGATCCCATGGGCGCTATCATCGTAAGTCAATCACCTCTCTTAAAACAACATGATAAGTGATAGACAAGTAGATCGGCTTTGGTATCATTGTTTCGTGGACGCGAACCATTTACCACCAATTCGAATTCCTGGCCGGAAAATCAGCGCCGCACGAGTTCTTGCAGCTCCTTGTATACAAGTCGATGACATTCAATGTCGAAATTGTGCAACTTGCCACTGTTCGCGCGTATCATGTATGTCAGCTTGGAAATTATTCGCATCTCAGCTGACCTTACGTTCCCACAGAGTGGTCCCGACTACTTTGTTGAAATCGACGTCGTGATGGATGGATCGACGCCATTGTCTCAGGCTCATGATATCAGCCAGCAATTGCAGGATAAGATTGAAGAGCTCCCAACTGTTGAAAGGGCGTTCGTGCATGCCGATTATGAGGCGACGCATTCACCGGTATGTTCTCGCTACATTACCAAACCAATTTATCTAAAAGCCTTCCTCTAGGAACACAGAAAGTCGACATAACAGACAAAGTTCTGATGCTGTTTCGATGTTTCGATGTGATTTTAATTTTGCTTATAGATACGTATCTCTCTGTATGATGATGATGATCTGAATTGGTAACCCCCAACACGCCACGTAATGGGCGAAGACGCGGGGGTATAGTGTCCTACTGCTACGTACGTCTATATCGCTACTCGTTGTACTACTAATCTACTGTTCGACTCTATGGGATGTGTAACTCTCGGGTAAAATTCTATGTGACTGTTTTTGGTCTCGTTGGGTGTTTCTCTATGAGCGTATCTCTGTACTTTCATTGTATCTCACTTCTAATATTGATGGCGTTGAAAACCAATTGGAGAAACCAGTTGTCCTGACAATACTCATGTCGTCAGGTCTGTGCTGTTGCGTTATGCGGCGGTCTGATTAGAACTTATTTGGATAATACAAGGCCTTATCCATTGGATATTCCGGTACGTTTTGGCGTATAGAGGAAGCCCATGTCAGAAATAGCATAAAGAAATATTAAGAAAGGTGAAAAGCACTCGCGTTCATTCGCGAGACGCCCTTAGGTTCAACTGGTCGTCATGAGACATATGCTATCGTTACCTGTGTTTCGCTTACTGATGATCTCTGTCCTAGTATTGGGAAAGCTCTTTAGTATCCTGATGCATGTGTATAATGAATTTCTAGGTCACTGGTACAGGTGCATCACGTCGCTCCCACAGATAAACAGGATAAAGTCTATGAAAGGATAATCGTTAATATCCACTCTACCTACGCCACGAAGATCTTATCGAATTCACTGAATGAATCGCGTTTGGTGTAAGGACGAGGATGCGCTGAAGTGGGAACTAGACTATCTGCGCAAGAGGTGAGTGTCAGTTTTAAATAACTTCGAGCTGGAAGAACCTACTCACCTTTGAAGTGTATGGATACTTTCCAATGGAAAAACCAACAGGTGCCGACTCGGGCCTCAAGACGACCTTGATAAGATGGCAACGGAAGCTGCGTTGAATTTCCGTCGAGAGCAACTTTAGGATGAGAGAAATGGAAGGACGGGAGGAGGGATAAGGGTTATTGATATAGCGATTAGAAAGCGCGATGAAAGTCGTCCTTGTCGATTGCAAGCGTAACATTTTGGAGAGGCTTCTAGTAGTTCTCGGCTCTCGAGGTAGCTGTCCTAGAGCTTTGTGCAAGGGACGGGGAGTATGATGCGTGGGACCAGACAACAGTAGGCTCCAGTAGTAGTATCATCAACAAAAGAACGTGGGGTACACACAGAATGGTGCGATCTTGGACATGCGTCCTCAACATGCGCCGTCTCTCTCCTCATAGTCTGCGCCCTCGAAATCTTTGTCCTTTTTTGATTACTTGAAATACGCCAGTCGCGTAAAAGTACTATAAAAACTCGAACGTCGACGTTGCGACCTAGTTGGCTAGGGTTGGCTGGGGTACTGAATTGGGCAAAAGAATGCGAGATTCGGTGTTGGAAATGTCATATTTTATGCGCCTGAATGGATGGCTTTTATTGGGCAGATAAAAGGATGATATCCGTCGATTATCCGATGGTAAGAGCCAAGTAAGAGCCTGAGGCTTGCGACTGGCTATCACGCTGTCACATGTGACTTGACTCGGAAGAATCCGAAGAATCGGGCCGTTCTCATCATGATCCTAGCGTTTCACCTTTCGCCTTTTCCTTGTCCTTCTGCTAATCAGATCGGATGATTGTCGGACACGCCGCTACTTGTACTTAGCTGGCATTGACGATACTTTTGAACCGCCTTGGCTTCTGGAGGTCAGCGTGAATTTAAGTCATTGCATCATCCTTCAACCTTTCATCCCCGGGTTATAGACCGTCTATCCCACTCTCGTTACCATGCTCGTCTGCGTGAGCTGGATCTATTGGACATCTTTCCTGGTGTGAAAAAGGATCCGGAAACATTCCCTGATGCCTAGTAGGTCATTCCTTTGACAATGATGCGAGTCGGTCGGTAACTTTGCGCTCATCTCAGTTCAAAGCACGTTGATCTCCCGATCTCTCAGAACGCTTGGTGTCCTGTGTTTTACTCCTAATTTATCTGCATGCATCCGTTCTATTGTCACATAATGCTGTCTCGCTCTCTACCGAAGAATCTCGCGGGGGATCAAGCTAATCTCAGTCGAGTTTTTCTCTGCTAGGAACAAACGAAATATCACAATCTGATAAATATACAGGACACAATTTACGGTGAGCATAACTATTGGTGATCAACATTCAAAGAGCATATTTTCATGTCTTGTTTCGAAGGAATATACCTTGAGGACCATTCAACACAAGCATAGAGACCTTTCTGTGAACAGAACTCTTCTGTAGTGTAAAACTGCTTGCGTCTCACAACATGATCTCAAAAATGAAGAAAATTTGTTCGCATGTTCCTCGAGAATGGATTTCTGCGATGTTGCCATCTTTGATGATAAATGAAATGAGATGTCCAGAGTACGGATATAAGATTCGCCGAGAATACTATCTCTCGGGCTGGCCTCTTCCCTCGCTGGATCCACTAGTCGACCATGAGCAAGATGGAATTGTCTATATCTGACGCCGTATTCATCGCTGTAGTGGTCGAGGTCCTTTTATATGGTATGTCCTTTCGCTAACTTCACGAAGAGGGCATTTTACGAAATGTATTCACAGGGATGTACACTTGCCTCTTCTTAGGATCTTCGTACATTTTGATGTGAGCTTTCCTGTGTTTCTCAGGACGTTTTCCTTGTCACTGAATGCTGTCTTGGTAGATTCAAAAAGGAGAAATCCAAAGTTGTCGTTACCATGATTGTCTTGAATACAATCATGTGGTCCGTGTCGACGACGCATGTCACGATAAACCTCATCAAGATCCATTGGGTATATCTGCGGGGTGCTGAAAAGGATAATATCATGATCGTCGAGAATAACATGTCCCCGGGACTCTATCCACTCCTTGCGTTAGAATGTGTAAATGTATGCCGCAACTCTCATGACCGTAATTAATAGTCGTACTGAATTTTACCCTTCCTCTGACAGTTTTTTATTGGGGACGGGATCGTGTTATGGAGGGCATGGATACTCTGTAACCGTAGCAGACGGATACTCTGGGTGTCTTCAATTTTGCTTGTAACTGCATTCGGTGAGGTCCGTGATTTGCCTCTCACCGTGTCGTATACTGACTCTTGAGTCATCACAGTTACTGCTGCTGTTGCGCTGTTACACACACTCGGAAGCTCACCCCCATTGAGTACTACTTCTGATAGACCGTTCGCAAGTGCCCGAGCGATTATCGCCATGATTTTGACGCTGTCGATAAATGTATGGGCCACATCTCTGATCGCTTATCGTACCTGGTGAGTCATTCATCTCATTTATTAGCTTATATCTATTTACGTGGCTCGATACCATTCAGGACTCATTATCGGTTGATTCGCTCACTAACTGGTTCATCCTTCGCATCTCAGTTTTGCAAGAAACATGGTATCCTTTCGTTGATAATCGAATCAGGCGTGTTTTACTGCTGCACATGGGTGCGTATATATTTCGTGTGACGTTTACTGGTGCTCTAAATAATGGCCAATAGTTCGCTACTATCATTATTGCTGTCTCTACAAGCAATGGAATATATATCCTATTCTGCATGCTTGCCCAGCTCACGGTGGGTTTAGTCACTTAATGATAGATGATGATGCCTTGTTATCTCACAGCTCTTATAGGCCATCTACCCTACGCTGATTATCGCCCTTGTTTGCCTAAGATCGACGCTTGACGTGACCATGCAAAGTTCTCAGCAGATGAGCCGGACCCAACAAATTATAACTGGCTCCGATTCCTCCGAATCTTCAAACCGCTCCATTTCCATGTTTGCTCCCCAGCTGATTGTTGAAATAGAGACAACAACGTCTAGTTCGTACGATAATGTTGCATCTATCATTATAAATAGATTTCAAGAGGATAACATCCGGTTACTAAGTGAGTCTGGCTCGGTCAACTTGAAGTTGTGAAACATTTTGTTCATTCTGGTATAGACAACCCATCCGGAACGGACTCGATGATATCTTTGGCATGATTTGGTCCGGAAGAGTTGGGTTATAGAACGAGCCCGCAAGTATGACGTAGAGCAGGTAAAAATACCATGTACAGCGTACCAATTTACGATACTCGAGATACCAGACCGAAGAAAATGATTATGAATAAAAAAAATAACAGTGCGAGATCAGTTCTGTCAGAGCGTACGAATCTTCGTCGTGGTTGTCATAGTTGGCATCCCGTAATAGTATGATGCCGCGGACCTGCGCATTTCGCTGCAGCAAATGTGAGAGATCTGAGGTGTTCCTCTCGTCATCAGGGTATAAAGAAGCCAGTGATCCCGGGCTACCTGGGAACGACCCCCTTGCTACAGATCCCGAAGAGAATGCGTTAGGCTAAGGGAACAGACAGTGGGTTCCATCAAATGGATCCCAGGCTGCTGTAGTGATTGACAAGCGAGAACTCCCAAGTGAATTGCGCTTTTGTTGGTATAGCACCGCAAATCTCTGCTGGTGTTTGGCATGCACAGCCCCCCTGGGCACTGCGCCACTTGCTTTTTGGACGTCTTGCAGTGCGCTGGACACGAGAAGAAGAAGAGATTATTACGACTGATGGGGTACAGCTGCAGTTGCAATGCCACCGTTTAGGTTCTCCCATTGAAATGAACTTCGTCACAGTTAGAGCAGCAAGAAGCATACAGAACTGAACAGCATGTCAGAGTACCGCCTGCAGTAGTCCACAGCAGGCCCCCGTGATTTCAAGTGCAGGCGGAGACATGTAGTATCATTGGCGGAGCACTTCAAAGTCTGAGGGAGTGCCTTGAACGCCGACCAGGATTGCCGATCTTCGGCCATCAATTTATTCATTTTCCGACCAGCGAGTTTCTGAATCTTTTCGGCTTCCGACTTCTCCCTTCCCTTGTCCGACTCGTTGTTAGAACGTTAGTCATTGACGCGTTCTTGGTGCGTTGATTCCTTATCGCCAACTTGTTTTGAAGAACTCGATGTTATGGCTCTACCTGCTTTCTTCTCCCTTACCTCAGTTGCACACCTCAGTCATGTCTGCAGTGAATATTGGGCATATCTTCATTCGCTTCATGGACCACGCCCGGCGCTGAGAAATACCATTGATAGATATCGGTTGGTTACCGCACGCTACTCGGCAACTTCTAGTGGGTGTATCAATAGCTCATCAGTTTCAGAGGTTCGCTAACGTTTCATTTACAGGATTATTCATGGCGGTCAACCTGTAAATCTGGTCTCATCAGTCGGTGCCTCAATGCGTGTGTAACCACCTGCCAGCCATTTTATGTCCTATCTTTGATTTGAACACGATTGAGGACCTGCACTACGGCCTAGATTTCGTACTTATTTTCCTGCTGAAGGGTTGATCAATGATCCTCCGACGTTCTATCCTGCATGCCGAGTCTACTTCTGACATTGTTCAAGACATCGGCCCCTTGTGTTTGCCTCTACATCCTATGCCGAGACTGTGACCGTTCCAACGGAAGGTTTTTGCCTCAGCGACAGACGTTCGGCGTCCAGGTTACAAACAATGGTATTCATAACGCGAATACCTGAGGATCGACCGCGCTCAGCTACCTGCATTGTGCCTACTGTCCCTCTGCACAACATTCTCTCTTTCCAAAAGTGATCTATTGTTCCAGACCCAGCGTACTTACCTCGATGCAAAAGCTTCTCTAAAACCTCCTCCTTCCATGATTCTCGGGGTTAGATGATGCCAAGCGCAGATGCCCCCGATCAGCTCGGTATCTTTCCAAGGAGCTATCAGGGACATTTTTCCTTCTGCCGCGAAGGAAACTGCGACCACATGTAAGTGTGTCGCCAACCGTCGTATGTATAGTCACCGGGTGCATCGCGACCGGGTGTGGAGTCGTGACAACCTATGACCGTTGTTTGGTACCTGTCCGCTTTCTGCAACCCATGGACTTGTTAATCACAAACATCTACAGGAATCACAATCACACAAGGACATGCAGTGCGCGTTTTCAACCAAGTTATTTTCACATTATCTGATGCTCTGCCTCTTCTTAAGCTACGTGTAACGGCAAGCAAATACAGCCCCTTCTTGTGAAGGTGTTTGACATCAACGCATCCTTGTGCTCACTGATATTAACCGTGTTTAGGCATGATCCGCCTGATATTCATGGTTAGTGTGGCTGGTATCAAGATCAATACTCATTGCACAAGGCAGGGCAAAGTCGGTTTCTGTGCGTCCGTAGTTCCCACCGAAGTGAATAGGGAAATGTTTTCACTGCGTTTTGGTTCCTTCCCTCAATACAATTCTTTCATTAATAACGGCTGCAGTTGAACGGGGCTATGAGGGACCGGTCACAAGTGATAATGAAAGAAGCGAGGTAACCATAAACGTACCAGCGGGTACGCATTACGAAACGGTGAGCTAATCCCGGGAGCAATAACAAAACAGGGTCGAAGAAGCAAAAAGACAAGGAAGCACTGACTGGACATTGCCTTGTTCTTTCCTCTCGTCTCTCTCTCTCTTGCTCTCGATTCACGTCTGCTTTGCTATCCTCGTTCCACTTTCACTGTATCTTTCTCTTCCACCATCATGCCTCGGGTACGGAATGGGGGAACAGGTCCCGGGGCGCCTAGGCCTGGGAGAACACGGGCCAAGTCAGGCTGTTATACTTGTCGAGTCCGGCGCAAGGTAGGCACTTTGCCTTAATTTCACGGAACGTACTCAGTTTGGCTGTTCTCTTGCTGTGTGTTTTTTCCTTACCTGCAATATCGGACCGTATCCTCTATGCTGGCGCTCATCAGAAATGCGATGAAGTTCGGGACCACAATGGCCATTGCAAGACCTGTGTTCGGCTCAAAGTAGAATGCCTTGGATTTGGCCTTAGACGACCACGATGGCTCACCAAGGTTCTCATTTCCTCCGTTTTTCATGGTTGCGGTGCTGACCGCCCATATAACTGCAGCTCAAATGCCAGGAAATTCTATTTAAAATCAAGAATTTCATTTCGGGTGGTTCTGTTCTTCCTCGACAGTCACGTCCAGATGTTTCGTATCTGATACTACGGGATGAGGACTTGGAGACAATCTCTTCTCTGAGAGACACTCTCGACACCTATGACGTTGCCCCCTTTCCTTGTGACGACTTTGCTGTAGACTCGGACTTTGGCCCGATAGAAGTAGAAGGCTCGCTCATACCTTGTAGCCAAAACAGTGAGCCAATTCGTTACTCAGAAATACTCACGTAATAGCTAATCTTGTCCATCCAGATCTCTTGTCGCCCGAGTCTTCGTCATCCTTTCACAGCACCTCCCAACCAATAGTATCCTACAGCTCAGATTCTACATTTCTTTATATCTGTAAGCGCTATTTGGTTTCGTGCTACTCCTCGAAACTGATTCTATTTCTCCTAGACTCCCTACCTTTCGGTCTCATGGACATCGAATCTAGGCTGTCCGATGCCGAGCTCGACAGACGCTATACCAGCATAGTTGTTGGTATGCAATACCAATTTTCCGACGAAAGGACACGCTCCGAAATATTGCTCTCTATTCAGCATCCGGGACATCATCAGGCTTCGACCCGCTTGCTGGCTTTCATTCACGAACGACGCCACGATTCTCCCTTGTCCATTGCCTTGGACGATGACTCTGCCCAACCGCGCTATTCCGAACTCATATTAACTCTCAATGACCCCCGTTCTTACAACGACGACCAAGCAATGGCTTCGTTGACTATGATATCCACTCTCCTCTTCGATGGCGGAATGGGAAACTGGGAATATTGGCTGAATTTGGTCGCCAAATATGCGCATATCCTGCTCGGCGTATCCCCCCAACATGCTCTCATGTGTTGCAACAGGAAACAGGCTTTCCTCATCAAAGCGTGCATTTGGTTCGACGTCCTCGCATCCGTGACGACTCAAACAGAACCTAGCTTCCTCCATGTCACAAGGGAATTGTTCTCTCCGTACGCCAGTGGTGTTTCGGACACCAATAATCCCGATAGTGACATGATGACGGTCATGGGATGCGAGAGTTGTGTCGTTTGGGCCCTAGCAGAGATATCAGCACTTGCTGCATGGAAACAGCAAGAACTCGATAAAGGCAGGCTCAGCATCATGCAATTGGTTGAGCGAGCAGATCCTATCTTCCGATGCCTTGACAAACCGCTGAACACATATCGCTATCCTGATTCTCGGAGCCTGTGCTCGGAGGTATTCCGGATGTCTGCAAGGGTTTATTTGCTCTCAGTCGTAAATGGGGATTTTCCAGGTGCTGCTGATACGAAAACGGCGGTGGAGGAGGCGGTTCAACTAATGCGTACAGCGGATAACGCGGTGGTGAGGAGCACGGTGTTTGCCTTTTTCGTGTGTGGGTGTCTTACGAACGATGAGGGTTTAAGGAGGGTTTTGTGTGAGCGGTTACAGAGGGAAGGGAGTGTTGGGAATTGCTCTGCCGTGCTTGAGTTGCTGGAGCAGGTGTGGTCGGACCCGAGAGGGAAGCAGGATCCTGTCCCTTGGAGGCGGGCCCTGAGGAGCGGGAACTTGTTGCTGGTGTGAAGCCTTTTCGCTGGCCGATGTTGTGTAGTCTTGGATTAGTATATGAGTTGTTATTTGTGTAGTCTTCTTGCTTTGCTGTTTCGTTGTAGCGGTAGAATAATTTGTGTACACAGCATGTTGTAGAATTAATCAGTTTTATTATTGGATATTCGGGAATAAGTACACAGAATACAGGGGAAATAATTCAACATCTTGACGGAGCGATATGTCGAGACAGTTAAAAATATCGATCCGAAAACGGAGGTCAGTGCAATATGACTCTGTACTAATGTCATTTCATTGGACTTTAATGTAGTGTTGATGTGCCCTCTGTGCCCAAAGCCGTCAAGCCTACGAACTGGCAGTTGCCGGTTCTTCGTACAAAGGGAAAGAATCGGGGACCCCGCGGCAACTTGCCGGCAACTGCCGCTACTAGATTTAGAATCCCGCTTCTTTTCTCCTTCTCGCCCTGATGCCCAGTGTACTAATGTGGTTTACACATCTGGAATCCGACTACCTTGTTTTTAGGTCTCCTCGGTCTCATAGCTTACGTGCTCTCATCCAATGGCTTTGTGTACTCCTACTACGCATACTCGGCTCTCTTCTCAATTTCCGCCATATTTTCTGTCACTCCAAGAACTGGTCTGATACCGCACATCTCGCCTATGCAGGGTTGGATTCGTCCAGGACACTCACAGGATTTAGGGGGGCCTAGTCGACCCGGGTGCTCTTCGTATATGGATTTGGGTACAGAGAAAGCTGAGAAACGAGGAAATAGCACGTGTTTCTTGTCGATGCGTCAGTGTTTTTTCTTTCCTTCAATCTAATCTCCACCCGATCTTATCAGTAATATTTGTACCCCAGACATTGAGGCAATGAAGGCGAATCCTTGCTGAAGAATCCGTGAAGATGCTAGTCGTCACTTGCATAGCGTCTCTCTCTATCCACATGCTTTCGTTCATATTACGACGCGTCGAACACACAAGTGACATCTACTTTTCCTTGCCAGCCAGATGTCGCAATGCCACCATCATGATATCACCCCAAATATCACCATGCAATTCAAACACATTGATATGTATCCGGTGAGTCGTATTCCAGCCATTTCCAGCCTACATCTGACTAAATGATTTTACTACGCTCGGTTAGAAACTACGCTATTTTTCCGGCGACTGCATCCAAGAGGCGCTCAAGAAGTCACGGGTCCCAGTTCCCGTTCGAATACATAAAGCGATGAACTTCAGTTGGTCTGTTTTCATTGTAACAAGTTATGCAACCAACATCTGACTCATCAGTTGCGGTTTGTGCTGCATTTTCCTCGCATGCACGTCAACCTGTTGACTAAAATTGTCATCTTTTAGGAATCCACACTCTACAACGGAGCGACCGCCCCATGCCGGTTGAACATCATCATTTTCGGAGCAGGAATTTCTGGTCTCTGTGCTGCGTTCTGTTTAGCCAAAGCCGGTCATACTGTCACGATACTAGAGGGAAGAGCCAACCTAGAAAAGATTGGTGCAGGAATTCAAGTTGGACCTAGTGAATATTTAACCAGCGTGCTAGTGTGATACCCACTTACCCATTATCCAGATACTTCACGCCTTCTCATCCGGTGGGGTCTCAAACCCTCCCTAGGCAAGACTGGAGTCTTACTTACGCATACGTCCTTGCTTCGTTGTATGTCCCTCTCAGTCGAAACTATTCTTTATAATTGATTCCCCTCGCAGATGACAATGGTGAACAACTAGCTTGTTTTCCTTATCAGGAATTTGGCAGTCCATGCTATGATATACATGTGAGTACATCATCTCTCAGTGCCGTAGATGTTCTCTTCGCTTACTTGCGATGAATCAAGAGACGATATCTTGTCAATATACTTCACGATGCTATTGTCCCTCTCACAACCCTTCGCTTTGATACTAAAGTTGCGTCGATCAACCCCGACACAACTTCTGTGACCCTAAACACGGGCGAAGTCATCGAAGCAGACATGATCATCGGTGCTGACGGTGTTAATAGTCTAACGCGAAACGTAGTAGTGGGCTCGCCTACGCCTACAATACGAAGCGGAGACGCAGCTTTCCGGGCCATCGTTGACGCGAAGAAGATGATGCTAGACCTAGACCTTCGTCCTTTCTTGGAAAAGCAACAACTCAATGTCTGGCTAGGTCCCGACCGCCATGTTATCACATTCCATTGTACGCTTTGCAACGTTCTCGAGAGAGTGAAGCCGTTTACAACGGCGTTTTTAGGGCATGAACGACCACAACGTTGTCTTGTTGCATCCAGACGAGACGGAAGACACTACTATTCCGTGGACGCGACAAGGGGATATCGAAAAGATGAGGAAAGAGTTTTCTGGCTGGGATCTTCGGTAAACCTCAAGGATTTTCCTGGTAAAAATGCTGACCATAAACCAAGGGTCAGCAAAATAATAGATCTCATACCATCTGGCATCGTGGGACCACTCAAAGTTCTCGAGTCTCCACTCAAATCCTGGGTGCACAAGGACGGGCGCATTGCTCTTACCAGAGATGCTTGCCATCCGATGCTGATAAGCGATGCCCTCCCTAGTCCTCCAAGTCACTGTGCGCCTGGCACATTCTTTTTTCTCTTGACAGCCCTACCGAGGCCAAGCAGCGTCCATGGCCGTACGTGTTCCCCCCATTCCTTCCGCTCGTAAGTTTGCATGTCCTTTTCCCAGATCGAAGACGCCGCAGTCCTCGGCAACCTCTTCGTACGCCTCACGAACAAGGATCAGATACCCACTGTCTTGGAAGCTTATGAATCCCTCAGGGCTCCTCGTGCAATGGCTACAGCTGATGGTTGCTGGAAGGATAAGAGTACTTTCCATCTCCCTGATGGGCCTGCACAACGTGCGAGGGATGAAGCACTGAAGGCCACTATGGCTGGAAAGCGTAGCAATGCGGGCCAGGACAATAATGCGCAGTATGAATATGATGTCGATGTGATCGTGGATGACTGGCGGATGCACACGATGTCTGCGGCGCTCTCTACTCTCCGGGTTGATGACCATTTCCACTAGCATACTCTATACCCATTGGTGCTAGATGCGATTTTGGTGATTGAAGCCGAACCACCCAATAGGTCTCGCTGTGCTTAAACAAAGCTGAAGAGATATACGGCCATAGAAGAGCATGACTCATGAAAGAATCAAGTTGCGGCCTTCTAGACGCTGGACGACGAATATTATCTGACCTGCTGCACACATATGAATGGCATTCCGAAGATCCGATGCGGTCGACGGAGAATGATTCTTGAAAATTTTTTTGGTGCCTGCTTTGACCTGCAGCATTCTGATCGGCAATGAGCTTACTTTAAGCCTGGGAATAAACGCTCTGTGGGTGCCTACTTAGTACATAAGGATGTTAATATATGCTCTGCACTTCCCCCATCCTGAGTTCTTGCCGCCTGTCCGATATATTTCTATGAGTTTCCCTCTTCTTGTCGCCTTCATTCTTATCTGTTCATCCAGTAGACACAAATACCCAGACAGATAATGGCATTCTTCGCTATTATAATTGGCGTAGCCATCGGCATGATGATTGTACCCATGATTGCACCTCTTGGCTTGTCAGTTCTTGGATTCGGCGCTGCAGGCCCTATCGCTGGTAAGCAGTGCCATTTCTGAATTTATTGACTATTGTCACGGTTCCTCAATGATCGATTCGGCAGGTGGAATAGCTGCTTCCATTCAAAGTCTTATTGGCAATGTTGTTGCGGGGAGCTGGTTCGCAATTGTGCAGTCTATAGCTATGGGCGGTGCCATTCCAGCCGGTGTGTATGCAGTCTTTGGTGCTCTTGGAGGAGGGATCGCAGCCATCATAGAGCGTGTATTAGGTATGTCAAAGAGGCGCTTCCTGTTCGTGCCTCAGCTGATGAAAACCCTTCTTTAGGCTGATCGATAGTAAGCCTAAATGCATGAAAGACGTACACTATAGGAATACTATTGTCCAGAGTCCTGGGGTTGTTTGTATCCTTACATGAATACACGAGTATATCGATGCCTTGGACCATCAAATAGGCTCGTCATCCCTCGGCTTCGGGTGTGGTTATACCTATGACTGGGAAGGATGTACGTTTCTGTCTCAATCTGCAACGTCGCGGTGTCGTTTAGTTTTCTTTGGATACAACAGTCGTGCAGTGAGTATTTCGATTGAGCGAGTCTGCAATTGTGTACACGGTATGCAAAGATAAATTTGCGCTTCTGTATATGTCCGTGCTCTTACTCGCGAGCATTTGCTTTGGAGAACGGAACCGACTTCCGAGTCAAGAGGCTGTTGGTGAATCCCGACGGAACACCTTTCAAGCCTGTTAAGTCTGCTCCCTTCGATAACCGTCTTTCTAAAACAGATTCTTCAGATGGGTAGCTCTGGACGTAGTCGGGATGTGCTCTACGAGTCACGTACCTAAGTCTATAGAGATGCACTTTTTCCTTTCATTTTAACATGTATTGATGACTGAATCAAGAAAACGTGCAAGTCTGAAATTAACGCGTGTTTTTGAATTGTACAAGCATAAATGCATAGATCTTCCTGACGAAACGCTAAACGAAAAGCATGATGACGATATCCTACATCTTTACATGAACCACTTTAACCTGGGTCTTCCTTTGTCTTAAAAAATACAATCAGAGCATATCCTCACAATCGATGGAATTTCAAACTCACTTGAACCAATCCACAATCCAATCTACGAGCCAACCCACGAGCCACCCAGCGATTCCACCGATCACCCCTGGGATTATGTACACGACGGCTGGGATAGCACCTCCCATCGCTATAGACTGTAGGAGGGCAAAGAGGCTCCCAGCAGCGACACCGGCACCCATACCGCTTTGGACAGCCGCTGCGAGTCCACCTGCAAGAATCATCAGATAAGTACTTTCAGGCAAGCATTGGCTCACCAGCGACAGGCCCTGCTGCACCGAAGCCCAAGAGTCCCAAGGAGGGGGGGAAGATGATAGGCGTCAAGGCGATACCGATGATTACACCACCGATAATGAAGTAAGGGCGTAGTTTGGGCATTCTGATTTTTGGGGGGGTGAGTGTATGTATCCGAGAGAAGAGAGGACTCACGGTAGGTGGGTAAGAGGAGGAGGAGGTGAGAGTTCAAGACAAGAGGGGCCTCGTGTAGAGCGAGGTTTTTAAGCGCGCTTGGAGCCTTCGATTCTCAGGTCAACATGTATCAATCAGGCGGCGCCTAAGCATTCAGCGAAGAAGACCCGGGAGCACTTGAGAGGCGGCGGTAACCTTGAGTTAACAGAGCCGAGAGAACAGCGAGCTTGAACATGTAGAGACCAAATCGCCAAAGGCAGGATACATATACCTTTATAATTGACAGTATACCGTCAAATTATCACTGCAGTGAGGCTTAAAAGGCTGGCGGAGTCCACCGAAGTCGAAGTTGAATATAAGCATGTTCCGATGATACTCAAGCTAGTTCAAAAGCAGAGCAGTTGTATCTCCAGATTTACGGTGCACAGAGCTGAATTCGTCTCTTTTAGAAGTTCAGCAGCTCGAGACTATGATTGAGCGAACAGGAAAAGTACTGGACGGAGGTGCTGGCGGTAATTGCCGGTGGTAAACTCAGCTGTTTCCTTTATACACACCCGACTTTGTCTTCGTATCCACTTTGATCTCGCTTCCTTGCCTGTAAGCGCGGTGCTTGTAGTATAACTTTTACGAAATTTCGCCTTCTTGGTCTTTGCACTCGCATTCCCTCAGCTCTATCTGATTGACAAATATTTACAGGGAAGTCCTCGGACTGTTCATGTTGGAGGGACAGTGAAGATCGTTGGAAGAAGAAGATAAGGCGAGGTGGAGATGAATCACCACTGGGTTGAACTTGGGTGGGATGAATGATTCTATAAGATGTGTACGACCGTGACACTGGCAGGTTCTATACTACCATCATCAAGCTGGGTTCTAATACAACATCAGACCATGCGCCACAAGCACAGGTGAAAGAGTCCTACCATTCTCAACACACTTCCACCTGACGAGGGAAGGGAGAGTTAAACTCACCAGACAACCAATCCCGAGACCCACCCAGTGATTCCTCCAATGATCTCTGAAAGTGCGTACACGATGGTGCTTGTCCCTGCAGAGAGTTAAATATGTACAGGGGCCACAAGTGTACCTGTGCAAGGTCAGATCAGATCCAAGTGGAATTTCCAAGTGCATTTGGGCTTGCTCGCCTGTGACGGGTCCTGCTACAGTGAAACCTAAGACAACGATGGGTGCCAGAGCTATTTCGATGGAGAGGCAAGTGAAGGATTTCATCGTGGTTGAGAGGGAAAGGAGGGGGGAGGGGGCGAGGCAGGTGTTTATGCATGCAGATTTTTCGAAGCTTTAATTTCAGTACCAAGTTCAATTACTTAGACCGAAGATAAGGAGGGGCAGCCTTGGAGAATGGACCGAAGCGTCGCGTACTCGTGTAGGAGTTATTCATTTGTATGAGCAGAAGCACGAAGGAATCAGGATTTAAGCTTGCGTTCGGCGGATGGTCGAATCTTTCAAGGATCATCACTGATCAGTACGTGTTGGCTATTGAACAGATGGAGCGAAGATGGATGTGGAGCTGCCTATACACGTAAGAGAAGATCTTTGAGAGGGAGAGGCCGAGCCTGTCAGCGGAAACTATAGGCAGAACAAGAGAAGGGCGGAGGAATGGGAGGCAAGGATGTTCCTGCTATCGCTTGAACCCTAGCTGGAAAAGAGAGGCATAGTATAGCTGTGTGGTCCAATATGAACAAGTCACGGATAGATTGGCGAGTAATATTGCTCACACGCACGGTTCGAGCCATTTCAGATAGCATTTGCAAGCATTGCCCTCTACAAGGAGATAGCACTCTAGAACGTGTTGGGATCCCTCAGCACCAAGGGATTGTCCGCGCGACTCGGAGCTGAGAGACATGTGGCTCGAGCGGCGAGGAAGGGATGGAACGAGTTATGACATTGCAGTAGTGCTCCGGTGATATCGCAGTTTGAGTAACTGCGACAAAGTACATATCGACTCGGGGGTGATGTGGTTCGTGAAAGATTGCTCGGATTTGTCAGTTTGGAAGTGGATCATGCATTGAGGTTTGAGCTCAAAACAAGGTGATTGTTTACGAGCTTCATAGGTGTGGGTGTGGGAGGAAGGTGTTGCTAGTGGCGGCTGAGATATGCCGTTGAGTGCATCAGAATCTTTGCAGGCCCAGGGTGATAGGAAAGAAGCAGTTGTATTCAAAGAACAAAGTCCATAAACATCATACTTGTGAAGACACGAATGTCCTGCGAGTCAGGTAAAATAAGTCGTGTACTTGGAGGGAGACACGAGTGTCCCGAGGAAAGGTGAGATGTAACAGTGCGAAATACGAGTAGATGTAAGATGAAAAGTAGCCATGTACATGGAGGATAAGGCCAAGGCACGAGTGCCCTTCGGAGGTAAGAAGATGAAACCTGCGGTGCGAAATACGTAAATGAGACGTTGAACACCGTCCATCTCTTCGATGCTCATCGAAGCTAGTCATCACCCTTGTCACCGAGTATGTAGTCGATTGTTCAATCTCGATCCCATACGTAACAGACCAAATTTGGAAGCGAATACCGGCATATCCCGGCACCTCCGCGGCAAGTGTTCAGCTTATATTGTGGGTGGTCGGCATATGCAAACAGATCGCGATGTGCAAATTTCGACACAGCACGGCTTTCTCCAGACCCACAAATACAATTATTGTGCATTACTGATTAGACAATGTTGTTCAGTCTTCAGGAGAAAAATGAAACCAAAGATTGGCCAGAATGTGCTGCAGAGCAGAATTTTCACATCGCAAGTTTGCACATGCCGTTGTGCCGACCACCCATACGGTGTAGCAAGCCGACCAAACCGCGCGAGAAATAATATTGGGCGCCGTTTCTGCATCACTGGGTTTTATGGGTGCTGTGAAATTTTTAAATAAGAGGTTGTCATTTGTAGATATAGAGTTTTTAACGCCTAAAGGCGTGCTTGAGAAAGGCAGTGATATAACTGATAAACTGAGGCATCAATAATGGCATTGCGGCGGTAACATCCACGATAGTGAAGAAAATACCATAGTGCAACTGAAAAATCACGATACCTTGAGAGTCGACAATGCGTAGACTCTCTCGGAATCTTGAACGAGTCAATTTCTATTTCTTCATATACATTTATTATTTTCTAGATACCGCATTAAGAAGTCAGTCAGTTCGGACTTTGTGCTTTTTTCACCTGACTTGACCCTCATATATCCAACAGAAAGCTGGTGCGTGACAGTTTTGCAGGTGCGCCAAGCTTCAAACATTGTACATTCTCATACTAAAGACTGGAAAGCGCCGTATCAGGGTAATTCGGGACAAGATACCTCTTACGTGAAGATCGAGATTGAATAATCGACTCAACACTGCTTGTCACCTGTTCCCCACAGAATTTCACTTTGTCACATTAATCGTTCATAAAGCTTAAAGGCCCAGTCACGAGCTTCTGTCTGCCAGAAAGATTGACAGGATGAATGAGGGTGGTACGTATAAGAAGGGGCCCAAAGAGCCTCACTACCCCATCGACACCTATTCCTCGATAGCCTCCTCTGCCCAGCGGTAACCTCGCTATGTCCAATCAAACTTCAAATCGCAGCCGCTTCTGGCGTGCTAAGTACGCTCGCGAATGCACCAAATCATTCCAAGTACAACAAATACTTCCCTACATCATCGAGCTCCCTAGAGGACCCAGTCCAGAGATTCCATCCGATCGTCCTCCTCTTAAACCTATCCGTTCCCCGATCCCAATTCTTACATCCCGCAGTGGGGCTCCTGGCAAAGCTCCTCAGGACCTCCTCGTTGGGATCGTTGGAGCAGGTGCCGCAGGCCTGTATGCTGCGATGATCCTTGATGATCTTGGGATCAAGTACGAGATCTTGGAGGGTTCCAGTCGCCCTGGTGGTAGGATCCTTACCCATCACTTCCGGAGTGTTGACATTGAGCCATGGAGCTACTTTGTAAGTCTCTTTACTATGGCTAAGTTCCCCTTCCATCGAACTCATCAGCGCCTGACATAGGATATCGGCGCCATGCGCTACCCCGACATCCCTGTTATGTGGCGCGTCTTCGACCTCTTCAGAGAACGCCTTCATATCGGGGATAAGCTCGTCCCCTACATCATGAACAGCGACAACCAGTTCCTTGAGTATAACTCTCAACGCAAACAACTGAAGACAGTCAATACTGAACCTACGGCCGATTGGTTCAAAGACTGCTCGTCGGCGGGAGGGTTGGTTCCCCCTGAATTCATCGACAAGGGCGTCGATCACTGGTTAGGCGAATGCTTCACTCCATTCAAGGACCTCTTCGTGGAGAATTGGGAGAAAGGCTGGACCAAACTTATGGAGTTTGACCAGTACTCAGCCAGAACGTTCATGATGCTTCCCTTCGATATCAAGAAGGAAGATGGAACGACGTGTTTCTTGAAGAAAAAAGCTTACCCCAACTCTGCGATCAATTGGATGGAGAGAATGAACACAGGAACAGGTCTGTTTGATATGGCGTTCTCCGAGATGGTCATCGACGACCTTCAATTCGACTGGCCTACCGGATCAGCTATGAAGTTCGGTGGAGACGGTGCAGCAGAATTCGATGGTAGCTGGCACTGCTTGGCGTAAGTTCAATACCAATCTCAGCTGGACAAGATCTGATACATTGCGTCTGCAGAGGTGGTAGCGAAGTCTTCATCAACACGATGGTCTCCAAGATCTCCGACCCTACTCAAATTAAGTACAACAAGCGGGTCACCTCGATCACTCCCACAGCGAATGGAACCAAACCTCTTTCTGTCACATACGGTAGTGGCGGAGCCAAGGCTTCGACCGAATATGACTACGTGATCTCGACTATCCCGCTCCCCGCATTGCGCTTCGTTGACCTAGATGGGTGCAACCTCAGCTATGCTCAGCTGGAGGGCATGCGTACCCTCCGCTACGACTCGAGTTGCAAAGTCGGCATCAGGTTTAGCTCTAGGTGGTGGCAGACTCTCTCGACCGGCTCCATCAAAGGTGGTCAGACCAAGACCGACCGTGTCGTTCGCACCGTCGTGTTCCCTTCCTACGGCGTTGATGACCCGAACGCAGATGCAGTCATGATCGCTAGTTACACGTGGTCGCAGGATGCTGCTCGTGTCGGTGGTCTCATGAATGGGCGCAAGACTGTCGATGAGCAGTTCTTGATTGACAACATTCTCAAGGATCTTGCTGCTTTGCACGACGTTACATTTGATTTCTTGAAGAACGAGCTACAGGACTGGTGTGCATGGGACTGGTATTCCGATCCGTTTACGCTTGGTGAGTATTTTCTCTATGATTGAGTGGCCTTGGTTGTTAATCATCATATTTTCCTCGTTTTTAGGCGCATTCGCCCTCTTTGGCCCTGGCCAGTTCAATAATATCTATCCTGCGTTCGGACAAGGTGCTGCCGGTGGAAGGCTCTTATTCGCCGGAGAGGCCTTGAGTGATCAGCATGCGTGAGTTCTACTGCATCTATAGGTTTCAAGATGGGTGGCTTATACTATTTTGTTGCAACAGATGGGTTGAAGGTGCCCTCGATAGCGCCTATGAAGCCGTGCGGAAGATACTGGAGGGGGCGGGTCTCGAGAAATACCTTGAAAAACTGGAAGCGAACTGGGGCAACCCTTATCTCGACAAGGCCGAAGCGGAGGAGTATAAGAGTCTCCTGCGGGAGCAAGAGCTCATTGGGGCTTTGTTCTCGACAATCAGCGATCGCGACGAAATCAAGGATGCTCTCCTTGGTTTGCGTAACAAGGGTCACTTCAAGCAATCATCTCTCGCCGCCCAGACTGCTCAAAAGGCCTGAGCTCATGTAAGAAACTCGTCAAAAGACTAGGGAATGGTAAATCAATGTACAATATGTAGTTCAAAAATTTCGAGAGCCCCAGGATTTGCTATGATTATTCCCGCTGCGAGACCGCCTGATCAAAGATCAATTGAGCTTAAGGATGGAACTGGAAGATACCGAATTCTCGCCAGCGACGGGTCCTACTGCACTGAAGCCGAACAGACTTAAAACGGGGGCACGATGACGGATGCCAAGGCTGCGCCGACGATTGCACCGATGCCGATGAAGAGCCAAGTGCGGGGTTTTGGCATGCGATAGTTGGAATGTGAAGGCGGATGTATACAAAAAAAGATAGACGGTGCTGAAGATGGGAGTTCAAGGCAATGAATGACTCGAGAGGCTTCGTGTAAGAGGTTCTTAAGCGCCCTCTGGATTCACAGGTGGTCAAATAAGCTTCCGTCATCGATCAGGCGGCGTCTAACGAATCGCGCCGAGCGAGGATGATTTGAATTGTACTAGACTCCATATCTTGCGAGTGACCAAGGAGGAAGATGTAGAGAAATGACGAACGCACAGCCACATGGGGTGATAAAAGTAAGTACAAGATAGCAGAAAGTAATGAGCTCGAGATGGATGGCATGGAAGAGCTGATAATGAAGCATAGATGGAATAAAAGTCTTGTAACGAAACAGATCAGCGCTCGATATTCGCTATGCTTCCTCTTCCGAGGACTACGCTCAAAAAGACTGACACCCAACCTCTTGCAGAAGGGTGGCGGGGATTCGGCTTTGACGAGCGGGGTGCTGGGCAGTTTCTGGCACTTGCGGGGAAGATGATCGCTGAGGGTGCACCTCAATCTCTTGCGCACCGTGGCAGGAGGCGGGAACTCAGTGCCAGCTTCGACGTGGACGCGCGGGAGCGAGGTGGGTTTCTTGGCCAAGGTATGGGGTGTGGGCGTGGACCGATGGAGGTCTCGAGCTCGGAACGGACTCCGGCTGCCAGCATGTCTGCTCAAAAGTTTCTGTGGCTACGTCAAGCGTAGATTTCAAGGATACAAGGACGATAATTAAAGTGGGATAGATAGCCTGTAATGAGATGAGTATGAGGCATCGCAGGGGAAAGATATAGCTCCCACCGTAAGCTGAGACAGGACATCCAACATAAGGCGTATTCTGTTGTTTGTAGCGACAAAAATAATGATTGTAACAAACTGTAGATGGGTCTATATTCTCGAAACCTTGAAGTACTAGAAAGCTCGCTTACCCATGTGCCACAATAAAACACGCGAGACTCGATCAAGTGTGCGAGAACGCCATTCTGTTTGCAAAACTGAGATACGACAGATTCACCGGACACGGAGCGAAGTAATCGGTGATGAATCCTACTTATGGTTAGAGTGGACATTTTGAAGGGGAGATTGAAGAGCTCACCATGCACGATAGACGATCAAGGATGTGGCGAAGAGATTGGTGATTGTCGTCAGCATCATAGCAGCGATTCCCCAAGCAGATAGCCTTGGGTCGTCGAACAGGTTATTCAGTGTTATGGGGGAGATGCTCAATGCATATGTCCCATTGGCGATTGTCACTGAATGCTACACTGCTCAGCAAAGTACAATGTAACAGGTGAACAAGTTCATGCTTACCACCTGTGCTCAGAAGCAAGAACGAAGACACAACAAGGATCCATCGTTTTTGGTTCCACAAAAGCCACGCTCTCCATATTACCACACCGTCCCCGATTATAATCTGAAGCGCCAGTCAGTACTGTAAATCGAATCTTCAGGATTAGACGGTTTACATACGTTTATGCCTTCTAATGCTAACTGCAAGTATAACTTGGGCGTGGCATAGTTGTCAAAAACTGCAGTGTTTCCGGTGCCGTTTTGTCGGAGAAATCTCACGCCGTTGATGTTCATATTCAAGGCGACATTAGTAGTTACGACGGACCACATGATGGTGTTCAAGATTATCATTATAATGACAACCTTAGGTTTCTTCCTCCGGAATCTACAGAGGTCAGGTCATGATTTTTTGAGGTTAAATAAACCTACATTAACAGATATGATACTTCTAGGAAGAGGCAGGTATACATTCCTATCATTTTATTTAGTAGTGTCTGACTGATGTCGAACAAAGGCTCACCATATAAAAACATCCGAAGCAGAATAGATATGAAAACTCGGTCGGCTATAGGTACTGCCATTGAAGATGTCGGCGGTGACAATATGGATTCTATGAGAGAATGAGTATGATAAGAGGACAGGGATACCCCAGAGTGCCAATGAAAGGCCTCGGGGGGTGAATGGTGCAAGTACATATAGTATTCGAGCACCTCTTCCTGTTTCAGATCTCGGGAGGATAACAGTGTTCCATTGATGATCATCTCCAGCAATTACGGTCGAGGATGATAATTAAATGTTAAGATTGAAGCTCAGTGGCCCATCTGAGCTTGATGTTGTTGCACGGGAGCCCGGGCCCGAGCAAAGAACGCTGCGAGACGTGAGGCTAGAAAGAAATGACTCGCCGACTCAGAATCATGCGTGAGAAACATCACACAGCCACAAAGCCAACCAACGCCCATCTTCCGGTTATCAAAGCACCTATCTCCGTTCTTCCACTGCCTCATGGTGCTAATTTGACACTTTCTCAGGTGTCATGCGTCAGTTTCGATGCGTGCGAACGACAAGACTACCACACAGGAAAACCTTGGCTCTCTGTTTCACTCAGGATGAAGTTCAGAAAAGGCTGAGATGCCGGTGGAAGTAAAGCCGGCCTAGAGAGAGGTGCTTAGCACAATATTATTGATTTCACCACGTTTTGAGCTGCGATCATTGTTCTGGCTGATATATACATCAGTTCAGACGATTCTATGGCACTGTATGGCTGTCCTGATTTCTCGTGTTTGATCCTGCGCTGATGAGAAAGCTTCTCGACAGACTAGGGTGTGCCACGGGGCCATCAACATGGCAATCCCATCATCGGGAAGTGTACCTAGAGAACGTGCATCTTCAGGAAGACATGGACACGTGAGAATGACTGAGAGAGGGTGAGGATTGCATTAACGAGAACTTGACCAACCGGGTTACCTATACCTTGTTAATTGGCAGTCTGGTCACTTGATCGCAGTGCTTAAAACACCGGCAACATCTACTGATCTCGAACGGTGTAAGCGTCCTCTGTGGCCTCAATGATATTTAGGCTAATTCAAAAGCAGGGCAGTTGCATCCGATCTCTAGGTTTACGGCGCAGAGCTGGATTTGATCGTCCAGTATCTTGAGAGGCTGGCAGTGCTGGAAAAGTCGATGCCATGACGAAGGCAGTACCGGTAGCGGGTTCGCATCACCTGTTCGTGCTACGCTTCCTCTATCATATCCATGTCCCAAAAAAAGTCCTCGGAAATGAAGTAATAAATTCTTCCAGAACAACTGAGCTCCAAATTCTTCATGCTGGAGGGACGACGGAGATCACTGAAAGGAGGAGATAAGGCGAGGTGGAGATGAACCACCACTGGGTTGAGCTTGGGTGAGGTGAAATTTTTTATAAGACATGTGCAAATTCGACGCAGGTCTATGCTACCATCATCGACAAGTTGGTTCTAAGGTAAGCCTAAAGTCAGACCATGCGCAACAAGCACTAGGGGGGAAATCCTACCATTCTCAACGCACTTCCCCCTATAGAGAAAAAACAATCAGACCCTGCTCGGTGTGCACATGCAACCAGACGCACCAGACAACCAATCCCGAAACCCAGCTAGTGATCCCTCCAATGACCGCTGAAAGCGTGTAGACGATGGCTCCCACTTGAAATAGAAACTGCAAGTCTGCCTGCAACTTGAAGATCAGATTGTTGTGACGGTAGAATTGAACTTGCTCACCAGTGAGTTCGGGATCGAAACCCAAGGCGATGATGGGCATCAAAGCTACACCAGTGATTGCGATGGAGAGACAAGTGCAGGATCTCATCGATGTTGTAGAGGTAAAGGAGGGGGGAGAGGGACGAGGCAGGTTTTTATGCGCGCACGTGAGCAGATTCTTCGAAGCTTTAATTTCAGTAACAAGTCCAATGAGACCGAAGATAAGGAGTAAGGAGGGGTAGCCTTGGAGAGTGAGCCAAAGGGACATATGAGTTGTATGAGTGGTCATCCGGAAGCATAAACAGAGATCCAGGATTTGAGCTTGCATTTTCGGCGGGTGGACCGTATTGGCTATAGAGTCAATGGAGCGAAGATGGAAGTGGAGCTCCCTGGTACACGTAAGAGAGGATCTTCGTTGAAAAAGGGAGAGGGAGAAGCCAGGTCTGTGTGAGCAGAACAAGAGAGGAGGCGGACGAACGGGAGGCAAGCAGGTTCGTTCCGTTTCTTGAAAATACAGTAAGAGTAGGTACTCATGTGCGAGTTTCCTTGAGCATCCGCGAATTGCTGCTCTGGAATACTGGAGCGTAGGTCAGTAGTTGCACCATAAAAAAGGAGGAAAGGAGATGCCACTGTGGTAGGAAAACAAGAAGGATTCTGTGTGGGCCGATTAACAAGAGAGACATCTGGCTTGAGGCTTGAGAAACGTTACAATACGTCCATTGTGCAGGAATAAAAATGAATGAAGGGACGGAACACCCAGTTCAGCATGCCAGATTTGAGTTATGACATGTCGTCGAAATGTCGGATGATATTGTAGTTCTCAAACTGCGACGGAGTACACATCGAGGTAGTGATGTAGCTTGAAAAGGATCGCTCGGATTCGTTGTCCAAACGGTCAATATGGAAAGTAGATCATGACATAGGAGCCATAGGAGTGGGTATAGAAGGAAGGTGGTGGTGGTGGCCGGGTCGACAGCCCTGACACGTGCGAAGGCTCATATCACTGAGTGCATCAGAACATTTGCAGGGTGATAGGAAGGAAGCAGTTGTATTCAAAGAACAAAGTCTAAAAACATACTCGTGAGGACACGAATGTCCTGCGAGTCAGGTAAAATGATATATAAGCCATGTACTTGGAGAGGGACACGGATGTCCCTTGGTAAGATGAAAGGTACAGATGTAACGGTGCGAAATACTAATATTCCGATGTAAGATAATATAACCATGTACTTGGAAGGGGAGACACGAGTGTCCCGAGATAAGAAGATGAGCGAAATACTAGTATTCCGAAGGTGAGCACATGGGAAAAGACAGAAATTAGAAGCAGTATCGAGATACCGAATGTATAGCAGTGTAGAGTTAAATAAAGACTCGGGAAAGGGACACGAATGTCCCCAGGTAAGAAGATAAAACATCGTATTAAAAGGGTGGAAATGTAATGGGAAGACAGGACTAGAAGTATAGGGTGAAGGGAAGCAATATCGAAATACCGAATATATAGTAGTGTAGAGTTAAATAAAGACCCAGAAAAGAGACACGAATGTCCCTAGGTAAGAAGATAAAACATCGTTGTAAAAAAGGTGAAAATGTGACAAGAAGACAGGACTAGAGGCATAGGTGAACGGAAGCAGCATCGAAATACTAAAAGTCGACTCAGCACATAGAAAATATTGGATACACATTACAGAAAGGCTTACCCGCACGACCGTGGCTCTCACCAACCAAACCACCTCAAAATCCGATCCACAGCCCACCCTACAAACCCTCCAAAGATCCCCGAAGCTACATACGGAACAGCCGAGATGATACCTCCCATCGCCATAGACTGGAGGTGTGCGAAGAGGCTCCCAGCAGCGACGTTCCCGATACCGCTTTGGATTCCCGCTGCCATACCGCCTGATCGAAGCTTAAGAACTGAACTTGAAGATACTACTGCATTCTCACCAGCAACAGGTCCTGCTGCACCAAAGCCGAACCAGCCCAAGATGGGGGGCACGATGACAGGCGTCAAGGCCGCAACAGTGATTGCGCCAATGCCGATGAAGATCCAAGTGCGTCGTCTAGGCATGTACAGTATATGTGTTGTCTAGTAGGATAGTTGGAAAGGCGGAAGACAAGATGGGGCTTAGTGTGTGCAGGAATGTGGGTATTTAAGGCAATGACTCGGGGGGCCTCGTGTGTAGAGCGAGGGAGGATCTTAAGCGCCCTCCAGGGTCTTGGATAGACAGACGGTCAACTTGAAGGAAACTTCCATCGCCAATCAGGCGGCGTCTATGACGAGTGAGGATGGAGTTGATAAGCTCGAGTGGCGAAGTAATGTGGATGACTTGGATTGTACTAGAGATACCATGTCGAGTGATCAGGGAGGAAGATGTAGATATTCCGACGAAGATCCAAGTGCGGAGTCTCATATACAGTAGATATGTTGTCTAGTAGGATAGTTGGAAAGGCGGCAAGACAGCGCTTAGTGTGTGCAGGAATGTGGGAATTTAAGACAACGACTCGAGGGGCCTCGTGAGGGAGGTTCTTAAGCGCCCTCCAGGGTCTTGGATTAACAAGCAGTCAAGGAAGCTTCTGTCATCAATCAGACGGCGTCTAACGAAGCACGGCGAGCGAGGATGGAGTTAACAAACTCGAGTGATGAAGTAACTTGGATGACTTGAATTGTACCGGAGATACCATGTCTTGTTCTCGTGAGCGAAGGAGGAAGAGGTAGTGAAGTGAAGAGTGTACAGCCAGGTAAAAGTACAAGAGTAGAAAGTAACGTTGCGAGTTTGAGATGGATGGCATGGGTTAACAATAAAGGATGATAATGAGGCAGGCATATTCGGAATGAGGGCCTTGTAATGAAATGGATCAGCGCTCGATATCGCTACACTTCCTCTTCCGAGGACCACGCTTAGAAAGACTGCCACTCGATCTCGCACAGAAGGGTGGCGGGGATTCGGTTTTGACGAGTGCTAGTAGGGTGTTGGACAGTTTCCGGCGCTTGCGGGGAAGCGGATCGTCAAAGGTACTCCCTGATCTCTTGCGCACCGTGGCAGGAGGTGGGGACTCTGTTTCGACGCGGACGCGTGGGAGTGGGGTGGGATGTTTAGCTAAGATGCGGGGTGGAGGAACGGAAACAGCAGGTGACGTCGATTTAGCTGTGTGATTTTGAGTACTGGGAGACCCAATGTCCTTGACATCGTACTCAGGGTACTGCAGAGTATCATCGTAGTAGTTCTCCTTCTGGTGCTCCACTTTGACTGCAAGGACAGGCGACATGGGAACACCGCTGTCGGAGTACAAATGCATGGGATATGATTGGTTCATGGTGATTTGCTGCCAGTTGGATGGAAAGGTATGCGAAGACGTGCTGGTCTTGTTGAAGGAAGGGAGCTTGGGTCGAGGTGGGAAGAGGGACGCCGACTTGGTCTTTTTGGGTGTAGACGGCTTGGGCATCTTGGCAGGAACATCGGAATCGGGGTACGCCCAGAATTTGTCTTGAGTTCCGATGGGGAGTTGACCAGGAAGTCGCTGCATATTGATTCAGCCATTGAAGAGCAATAGACGACTAATTTCGCACCTTGAACTTGAATAAAATGATCCTATGCCCATTTTCGTCTCGTCTCTCATAACATCCTGTTACTCTGTACAAACCGTCGTAGCGGAACCTGGTCGCACGTCAATCGTTGCTATGCAAAGAGAACGGCGCACGTACCCATTTCTTGGGGCATGCTTGGAGTTGAGTTTATATCCCCGAATAACGCGCACAGGCTGGCCCGACTGCATCGTGTTCTAAAAGGTATCAGAAAAGGAAAAGGGTACGAAAGAGCACATACCTGCAGAGCCCTATTACCGTGTGTGTACTTCTGGTCCTTGACTTGCATCTTCCCATCGTTGCTTCGCCCGCCTAACACACAGTCAGCGCCTAGAAAAAGGACCAGTAGGGCAACGAACCTTCTCCGCACAGCCGGCTGCAAAGAAAATATTAGGCGGGACTCAATGGCGGGAACAAGAGTGACAAACATTTTATTGCCCTTATCCTCGTTGAATTCTTCATACCCATCTGACCTGCGATAGTGTCAGCAAGAAAAAACCAACATCGCCTTTCACTCACAGTACGACAGACCGCGCACTCCCTTGGAACGAATAAATTCCTCGCCTGATACCCCCATGCATCCCCGCCTCCAAAAGCAATGCCCTGTTCATGTACCGCGTACCCACTGGCTGTCCGTCGATCTCTCCAAGCGTGCCTCTGAGCAAACTATGGTCAGCGGGACCCACAAAGAAAGAGTGAGACACATACGGATTGACAATAGGCGTCCTGCATCCCTCTCGCTCTTTGGGTTTCGCCGCGTCCAAATTCCTATTATCTTTGACGATCTGCCGTTCGTCCTTTCCGTATGTGCGTTTTGTCTTGATTCTGAATGATTCGTCGGTGTACATATTGGTGTGTTGAAAGAGGAAAAAAAGAGAGATACGCGTCCTATATATAGGTAAGCCGTGCCCCTAATTGGGTTGCCCTCTGCCTTTATCCGTTGCCGCGTCGACATCCTCCAAGGAGAAATTTCGCGAAGAACGAAGAACTTGTACGGAGGTAGTAGTACATGTCGTGAGGAACGCGCGTCCTTGTGATGGGTTGATGAGAGCGGTGCTGATGATCGGCACACACAGGGCCGACTATTTCCTCTACACCCACACTGCCCACCGCGCGATTCTCGTCTTCAACTCCACTCAGAGTGACACTAAGTCTTATCGTGGAGAACTGATTCGGACGCGTTCTGGAGGTGGTCATCCGTGTCTGGATACGCCCGAGTCTTGATGGCTCCTCGGTTGTGATGCCTTGGTGCCGTCAAACACTCTACACTAAACATTTCGAGTTTCGTTATGGATGCTGTGGTACGATTTCGACGCCTCGTTTATTTTACACATCACTCATCCATACCATAGATGGCTCCACAGCAACCTCAGTAAACCATGTACAATGGATATACCCTCAACTTGATCCGGAGCGAACTCGACGATATCTTTAGCATGATTTGGTCCGGAAGAGTCACATTAAAGATCGAGCCCACAAGTACAATGTAGGAGCAGGTAAAAATAATCCATCAATTGAGTGTTCAGGATACCATGTACAGTATACCAATTCACAATACTCACTGATACCAGATCGAATAAAATGATTACGGGACATCTTGTAATGTGAGTAGAGGAATCTATGTTATCGGAACAAGTCTGTCAGGCATCTGAATCTTCGTCATGGTTGTCATAGTTGGTGCAATGCTCCTCCAGCAGATCCGGTACTGATATGATGGCCCGATATATTCCTCCCTGCTCATTCTATGAGTCATATCCTTTTGTTTTCATCTCCAACATGTACCGGTGACCGAATCAAGAGAACAAGAAATTAACTCGTGCTTTTGAAATGTATGGGCATAAAAGCATAGATTGTCCTGACGAAACGCAAAACATAAAACATGATGATATTATTCTACGCCTTCACATCAATCACTTCAACCTGAACCTTCGGGTTCCTTCGCCTTGAGGACAATCAGTGCACGTTCTTACAGCCACCGGGACTACCTCACCTGAGCCAAGTCCTAAGCAAATCCACAAACCAACCCACGGCTCCTCCGATGGCACCTGCAGCTACATACACACCAGGGGCTATACCTGCCATTCCTATAGATTGTGCAATTGCGAAGGGGCTCCCAGCAACAACATTGCCGATGGCGCTATGGAGGACAGTTGCTAACGAGCCTGCCAGGTCAAATCAGAACTGACGTTAATAGGAAACCTCAGAGTCAGGAATGCTTACCAGCGACAGGCCCTGCCGAACCAAAGCCAATGAGGCTCAAAATGGGGGGTACGGCAGCTACTAAGATGACACCGACAACTACACCACCGATGATGAAGTAGCAAGTGCGTCGTTTGAGTTTTGGCGCTTTCGGGCTGCATAATAGGATGGTCGGGGAGGCGAATATATCCAAGAGGCGAGAGAACTTACGGTAGGATGCTTGCAAGAGTCTGAGGTGCCATGATGAGAGTTCAAGACAAGAGAGTTAGAGGCCTCGTGTGTAGAGCGAGGTTTTTAAGCATGTCCGGGGCCTTCGGTCCACGCGCAGTCGAGTATTGACCAAGCGGCGTCTAGGTATTAAGCGAGGATGGAACGAGATTTGAGGTAATAGAGCTCGAGCAACAGAGAACTTGAACGTGTAGAGACCAACCGGGTTACCTATACCTTGATAATTGGCAGTCTAATGTCTTGATCACAGTGCTTTAAACGCCGGCAGCGTCTACCAAAGTCAAAGTTGAGCAGCATAAGCACCTTCCGTGGCCCCGATGACCGGTAATTCCTTTGACGATCGCTGAAAGTGTGTACACGATGACACCTGTACTTGCCTGCAGAGTGAGATGTGTACAAGAGCCACAAGTCCGCCTAGTACGAGATCAGATCCAGGTGGAATTGGATGCATTTAGGCTTGCTCACCAGCGAGTCCGGGACCGGAATCCCAGGCAATGATGGGCACCAGAGCGATTCCGATGGAGAGGCAAGTGCAGTATCTCATCGTGGTTGAGAGGAGGGGAACCGCAGGTTTTTATGCGTCCATGATTCTTCGAAGCTTTAGTTTCAGCTTTCAAGCTAATAATCGATAAGGTGGGAGGAAAGTCGAGGTAGCCTCGAGGAATGGATCGAAGCGTAGGAGCTATGAGCTGTATGCTAGTGGTCACCCAGAGGCATGAATGGAGATCCAGGACTGGAGCTTGCATTCGGAGGATGGTCGTGAATCGGGCAAAGGTGGATGTGGAGCTGCTCAGTGCACGTAAGGATCCGCGTCCAAACGGTCAGATCTATTATCGAAGTAAATCATGAGGTGATCATGTTATTGTAACTGAGGCAGATCATTTTATAAGTTCATAGGAGCGAGTGTACAAGGAAGGTAAGATGCAACATGGGATTCATCATCAAGAGTGCACAGCCACACAAATGGGACGAAATTGTCTTGTGAGGTAAACATAGGCGTAAGAAAAGGTTAGAATTGTAGCATACGGGATGTTCGAGGATAATAGGTAGAAGTTAAGCATAGGTATACAGTGTACCGTATCTCATCCGCAATCCTCCATATTGCTATACTTCCTCTTCCGAGGACTACTCTCAGAAAGACTGCCAACCAGCCTCTCACAGAAGGGTGGCCGAGATTCAGCTTTGACAGGCGGGGTGTTGGACAGTTTCGGCACTTGCGGGGAAGAGGATTGTCGAGGGCGCTCCCTGATCTCTTGCACACCGAGGCAGGAGGTGGGGACTCGGTTTTGATGCGGAGGCGGGCTGAGATGTTTGGCAGAGGAATGAGGCATAGATGTGGAAATGGGCGACGTCAATTCAGCCGTACTATCCTGAGGACCGGAAGGCCTGATAACCTTGACGTCGCACTCAGGATACTGCAAAAGAGGGACGGAGGATGGGTTTTTTGATTTGACGGGGCACTGCGGAATATCATTGCAGTAGTTCTCCTTCTGGTGCTCTACTTTGACCGAAGGAACAGGCAACATGGGAGCACCGCTATCGGAATACAAACGTGTGGGATATGATTGGTTCACGGCGATTTACTGCCAATCAGACGGAAGGGTATGCGAGGACGCGCTGGACTTGTTGAAGGAGGGTAGCTTGGGTCGGGGTGGGAAGAGGGTAGATGAGGTCTTCTTTGGCTCAGATGGCTCGGGCGTCTTGGCAGGTGCATTGGAGTCAGGGTACACCCGAAATTTATCTTGAGTTCCGATGGGGAGTTGACCAGGATGTCGCTATGCGATGGTTCAGCCATTGTAGAGCAATAGCATGCTAGTCTCGCACCTCGAGCTTGAATAGAATGGTCCTATATCCATTCTCATCTCGTCTCTCATAGCAACCCGTTACTCTGTACCAACCGTCGTAGCGGAACCTGACCGCAAGTCAATCGTTGCTACGCAAAGAGAACGGTGCACGTACCCATTCCTTGGAGCGTGCTTTGAATAGAGTTTGTATCCTCGAATAACGCGTATAGGCTGGCCTGTTTGCATCGTGTTCTAAGACGCATCAGAGAAGGAAAAGGACGTGAAGAAGCACATACCTGCAGAGCCCTGTTTCCGTGGGTGTACGCTTGGTCCTTCACCTGCATCTTCCCATCCTGACTTCGCCTGCCTAACACGTATCAACGCCTAGAAAAAAAGGACCAGTAGTGCAACGAACCTTCTCCACACACCCGGCTGCAAAGAAAATATTAGGCGGGACTAGACGACGGGAGCAGGAACTGTGTACATTCTATTGCCCTTATCCTTGTTGAACCCCTCGTACCCATCCGACCTGCAACAAGCTCAGCAACAAAAAACTAACATCGCCTTTCACTCACAGCACAACAGACTGCGCTCCCTTTGAACGAGTAGATCCCCCTTCGGATGCCCCCATGCATCCCCGCTTCCAAAAGCAACGACCCGTTCACATAGCGCGTACCCACAGATTGTCCGTCAATCTCTCCAAGTGTGCCTCTACGCAAGACATGATCAACATATCCACAAAGAAGGAAGGAAGGAAGTTTTATTAGTAACAACGTGAGACACATACGGATTGACGATAGGTGTCCTGCATCCTTCTCACTCCAAGTCCTTGACATCTAACTTCCTGCGATCCTTGACGATCTTCCGCTCTTCCTTTCCGTATTTGCGTTTTGTCTTGATTCTAAACGATTCGTCGGTGTACATCTTGGTGTGTTGAAAGAGGAAAAAGAGAGAGATACGCGTCCTATATATAGGTAAGCCGTGCCCCTAATTGGGTTGCCCTCTGCCTTTATCCGTTGCCACGTCGACATCTCCCAAGGAAAATTTTCGCGAAGAATGAAGAACTTGTTCGGAGGTAGTAGTACATGTCGTGAGGAACGCATGTCCTTGTGATGGATTGATGAGAGCGGTGTTGATGATCGGCACACGCAGGGCCGACTATTTCCTCCGCGCTTGAACTCTCACTAGCACTTTTGGATGCTGTTATCGTTTCAGCTAAATGTGCACGTACGTACAGGTTTAACCTCCCGTTTATTGAACATACTACTTATTCTTGCCATAGATAGTTAGATGAGGTTTCGCAGTAATATCAGTGGAGGGTACTCTCAACCTGGAGACTTTTGCGGATGCTGCGTCCCTCTCCTTTGTTGACCTCCCATTCTGGACCGAGACATACGCACTTGCCAGTATCGAAGAACCAAGCTCGCTGTGTTTATTGTCGTCTTATTTCTTCCATGGTTTTCTTTGGAATGCATCTCTTTCAACAAACCCTGACAAAGTGCATCATGGATAGAAACCTTACACGAGCAGAACAACATGCTCGCACCTCTTCCCGGGCGAGTTTCTTCATGCTAAGCGCCATTCCATTCCTCTCCGAAAGACGGTATCGTGATTGAGCAAGGAGACAAGGCAAAGGATCGACACTTGAACATGACTCGGAGCTAAACCCAATATCAACAGTCCATCACCCAGCTCGGAAATTTTTCGCCACAGTTTTTGAACCTCGTCGCATTCCCTTTTAGTACACGTGGAGCAGGCGGTCCAAGATTACCCTTCCTCATCATTCATCCTAGGTCAACAACCTTGAGAAGGAGATGACTCTTGGTAGCCACCGACTTGTCATTCGCATAGATCTGACTCTTCTTCCCTGTACTCCGAGTCTAAGGCTCGGTTTGCTTGTGTTCAACATGCACTCGGATATTAGAGGACATACTTTCCTCGATGGTTGAACCATGTGACCAGCTTGCGCACGTTCCTGTTGAACACGCATTTCGGTGATGGAATTGCTGTGTTGATGCTCCGCAAAATCGATGATCTGCAGCGAGGTCGACTATTTCCTCCGCGCACACACTGCCCACTTTCAATTCCAGAACTTTCTTAGCTCCAAGGCTCGGGCTTTTTCGTCCGTATCCAGAGTGATGGGAGGGGTACGGTTCTCCTCGAGGCTCATCGATTCCACTTGGCGACATCAAGTCTCTTCATGCATGAAAACCTGGCTCAAGCGCATGGTCATACGTGTCTGAACGCGTGCCCTGACGTTGATGGCCTTTAGTCTTGATGCTTTGATAGCCACGTCACCATCCTCTGCAGTCAAGCATTCCACCTCAACGTTTCCAGCTTCGTTACGGGTGCTATTGCCATGGTCAGGAATTGAATAACGGGCGCTGTGGTGCGACTTCGACGTCTCTGTTTATTGAATATTCTGCTCACCCTTGCTCCAGATGAGCGCATACTATGGATATGCCCTCAACTTGCGATGGTATCTACTCGCTCCTGTTTGATCCAATAAACGATGCTCATTTCGTCGATAATGCAGATTCCACAACAGTACCCTGACCCCCTATCACAAACCGAGGATTCAGGGCCTGGCTCAGGCTCGTCGATTGTTGGAGTCATCATTATCTTCTTCCTTCCGTGTTTTCTGTTACCTGCACTCGTACACAAGGTCTCCATCAAGGCTTACCCCTTTGTCGAGGGTAGGCCGAATTCCCTTATTGGATATACTCTTGTTCTTCAAGACCATCCCGCGTCACAAGCCCTGCACGAGCTTCGTTCAGCTAACGTTTGCGAACGAACTTGCCTATCTCTTGCACCCTCGCCTAGGACTCGCGCCTTTTGGAAGATGGATACACATCTTACGCCAGGGTTCCTTCTCCAAATGACAGGCTCAACCTCCTCCTTTCCATGCCAACTCGATCTATCCTCACGCCAAGGGTAGCATATAGCATTATCATTCCACTCCTCTTCTCGCTGAAGTAATCGACAAAGGAGAAAAGTGCAAATGCCCCTTACAAGGACCGACGCTTGAACCCAAGTCAACAGTCTATCGCACGCCGAACTCGTCGATGTTTGGGTCCTGTTCAGAGTTCGTACCAGCTCTTTATATCGAAGAGAGCTTTGTAAATGGGGAGCAAGCTGAGGATGTCGCTATGTCCGACGCTTGCCTCTCTCGCTTCCAGACCTTTAAGGTTCAGTTCCTCATACTGGAGGACATGCTCTTCTATAGATCCTTGATGATCGCTCGACCCAGAGCCAAGTCATCAAAGCACGTCCATCTTCTTCCTGAAGACGCACGTTCTTCAGGTACGCGTCTCCTGGTGATGGGATTGCCATGTTGATGGCCCTTCGTCGATGATCGACAGCAGGGTCACTGACTTTTGATCTTGCTACGTTTCTCGGGCGATTGACTTTCTTCCCTGCTAAAGACACGTCACATCTACACTTTTTTTCGAACTTTGGTAATCGACTTCCGGATTTGGGGTTGGTTCGGTGGTGGGTTCTATTAGACATTGGTTGTGTTTTGCATGATCTGTTGTAATGATAATCTTGAACATCATCATGTGGTCTGTCGTAACCACCAATGCCGGCCTGAGCTTGGACAAGAATGCTGTGAGATTTCTCCGACAAGATGGCGCTGAAAACATTACAGTTTTCGATGAGTATGCCACGCCGGAGATATACTTGCAGTTAGCGTTAGAAGGCATAAATGTATGTATATTGCCTAATCCTCAAAACTCAATTTATAATACTGACATACCAGATTATAATCGGGGACGGTGTGGTAATATGGAGAACGTGGATCTTGTGGAATCAAAGACGATGGGTCCTTGTTGTGTCTTCATTCTTGCTTCTGGGAACAGGTGGTAAGCACAAAAGTGTTTGCATTTTACTTCGTACATTGCTGAGCAGTGTGGTATATTAGTGACAGTCGCCAACGTGACATATGCATTGAGCATCTCCCCCGTACCACTGAATAACCTGTTCGACGACCCAAGGCTATCCACCTGGGGAATCGCTGCTATGACACTGACAACTATGACCGATCTCTTTGCCACATCCTTGATCGTCTATCGTGCATGGTGAGCTCTTCAATCTCCCCTTCAAAGTGTCCACTCTAACCATAAGTAGGATTCATCACCGATTACTTCGCTCGGCCGGCGGATCTGTCATATCTCAGTTTTGCAAACAGAATGGGATTCTCGCACTCTTGATTGAGTCTGGCGTGTTTTATTGTGGCACATGGGTGAGCGACTTTCTTTGTGGTCCAAGGCTCTAAGAATGTGAACCCTTTCAACAGCTTGCTACAATCATTATTTTTGTCGCTACCAACTATGGAATAAATCTTATGTTGGATGTCCTGTCCCAGCTTACGGTAGGAACTATGTCTTTCCTCTTCAGTGCTTTATACTCATCTCATTATAGGCCATCTATCCTACTCTAATTATCATCCTTGTCTCCCCGAGATCCACGCTTGATGTAGCCATACAAAATTTTGAGCAGACATGCTGGCAGCCATCCACCATAAGCCCGAGACCTCTAGCAATGCACACCGCACCATTAAGCATTGCAGTGGAGACGGCAGTGTATGTCTCCAGTGAGAATATTGAGTCCTTCCCGGTCGATAGCCTCAAATCTCAGGATATAAAGGGTGAGTTTGAACCGAGTTATAAGGGATGCTGTGTTCATCCTTTTGTAGATTCAACGACGCTATGCTGATTGAATTTGCCCATATTCCGGATTCAGCATGCAAAACTTAGCAGATATAACATCTCGAATTAACCTTATTCAAATATGCTTTGTACATAGTACGAACTATTGTGCCAGTAATCGAATCCATCACTTCCTTACCATGCAGCACGCGCATTGTGACCATTGGTATCCTCCCCCGTATCAACCTCCCATTCTGTGCTGAGAATTTACACTTACCGATGTCAAGGAATCAACTTCGCTGTTTGTTAACTGTATTCATCGTTGTCTCCTGCACTATTGTCCTTGCCTCTTTTCCAACAACCCCCCAACAAATCACTTGATGGATAAAAGGAATCATGTCGCCATTTGCGAACCCTTAAATATTGAAATATATGGCCCACAATCCTCCATATCGCTATCCTTCCTCTTCCGAGGACCACGCTCAGAAAGACTGTTGCGATATGCCGAAGTCATCCGTAGTCAATAGGTACAAACATGATCATGTAGCTCCGCTGTACTGTACAATCAACCATCATCTGCGTGTTCGTGTCTGTGTCTGAGCTTTTCTCTCTCTCTCTGTCTTCCTTCCTTCTCTCTGCCTTTTCCTAGCCTCGTTCCCTGCAACAAAGACTGCCACCCGATCTCATGCAGAAGGGTGGCGGGGATTCAGCTTTAACAAGCGGAGTGTTGGACAGTTTCTGGCGCTTGCGGGGATGCAGATCGCCGAGGGTGCTCCCCGATCTCTTGTGCACCACAATGGGAGGTGGAGACTTGGCTTTGACGCGGACGCACAGGAGCGGGGTGGGATGTTTAGCTAAGATGCGAGATGTAGGGATGGAAACAGCGAGCAATGTCGATTTAGCCATGTTATCCTGAGGCCTGATATCCTTGACGTCGCATTCAGGATACTGCAGAATATCATTGCAATAGTTCTCTTTCTAGTGCTCCACTTTGGCTGCAGAGCCAGGCGACATGGGAGCACCGCTGTCGGAATACAAACGCGCAGGATATGATTCGTTCACGGCGACTTTCTGCCAATTGGATGGAAGGGTGTGTGAGGACGTACTGGACTTGTTGAAGGAAGGGAGCTTGGGTCGAGGTGGGAAGAGGGACGTCGACTCGGTCTTCTTGGATGGAGACAGTTCAGGCATCTTGGCAGGAGCATTGGAGTCGGGGTACGCCCAGAATTTGTCTTGAGTTCCGATGGGGAGTTGACCAGGAAGTCGCTGCATATTGATTCAGCCATTGTAGAGCAATAGAACGCTTGTTTCGCACCTCCAGCTTGAATAAAATGATCTTATACCCATTTTCGTCTCGTCTCTCATAACATCCTGTTACTCTGTACAAACCGTCGTAGCGGAACCTGACTACAAGTCAGTCGTTGGTATGCAAAGAGAACGGTGGACGTACTCATTTCTTGGGGCGTGCTTGGAGTCAAGTTTGTATCCCCGAATAACACGTACAGGTTGGCCCGACTGCATCGTGTTCTAAGGGACATCAGAGGAGGACATGAGGATGAAAGAGCACATACCTGCAGAGCTCTGTTTCCGTGGGTGTACTCTTGGTCCTTGACTTGCATCTTCCCGTCCTTGCTTCTCCCGCCTAACACTCAATCAATATTTAGAAAACACAGACAGGCGACGTAACGAACCTTCCCCGCACAGCCGGCTGCAAAGAAAACATTAGGCGGGACTCGACGACGGGAATAAGAACCACATACATTCTATTGCCCTTGTCTTTGTTGAACTCTTCATACCCATCCGACCTGCGACAATGTTAGCAAGAAAAAACCAACATCGCCTTTCACTTACAATACGACAGACCGCACACTCCCTTTGAACGAGTAGATCCCCCTTCGGATGCCCCCATGCATCCCCGCTTCCAAAAGCAAAGCCCTGTTCATGTACCACGTACCCACAGGCTGTCCATTGATCTCTCCAAGTGTGCCTCTGAGCAAACCATGGTCAGCGCGACCCACAAAGAAAGAGTGATACACATACGGGTTGACGATGGGTGTCCTGCACCTTTCTCGTTCCTTGGGTTTCACCACATCCAGATTCCTGTTATCTGTGACGATCTGCCGTTCGGCTTTTCCGTATTTGCGTTTTGTCTTGATTCTGAATGATTCGTCGGTGTACATGTTGGGGTGGTGGAAGAGGGAAAAAAAGAGAGATACGCGACCTATATATAGGTAAGCTGTGCCCCTAATTGGGTTGACCTTTGCCTTTATCCGTTGCCGCGTCGACATCTTGCAAGACTTTTCGCGAAGAACGAAGAACTTGTACGGAGGTAGTAGCACATGTCGTGAGGAACGCGCGTCCTTGTGATGGGGTTGATGAGAGCGGTGCTGATGATCGGCACATGCAGGGCCGACTATTTCCTCCGCGTTTGAACTCTCACTAGCACTTTTGGGTGCTGTTATCGTTTCAGCTAAATGTGTACGTACGGCTCTAACCTCCCGGTCATTGAACGCGCTACTTACCCCTACCGTGGATAGTCGGTTAAGGTTTCGCAGCAATGTCGGCACTCTCAGCTTGGAGACTTTTGCGGATGCTGTTGTCCGACCCATTCTGGATCGGAAATTTACACTTGCCAATATCGAGGAACCAAGTTCCGTATGTTCATGGTTGTCTTCTTTACTCCGCGGTTTCCTTTGACACGCCTCTCTTTCAACAAACCCTGACAAAGCGCATCATGGATAGAAACCTTACACGAGCCGAACAACATGCTCGCATCTCTTCCCGGGCGAGTTTCTTCATGCTAAGCGCCATTCCATTCCTCTCCGAAGGACGGTATCGTGATTGAGCAAGGAGACAAGGCAAGGGATCGACACTTGAACATGACTCGGATACATGAGGAGCTAAACCCAACAATAGTCCATCACCCAGCTCGGAAAAGTTTCACCACAGTTTTTGAACCTCATCGCATTCCTTTTTACACATGGAGCAGGCAGACCAAGATCACCCTTCCTCATCATTCATCCTAGGTCAACTTCGTCATTGCCAGAACTCAGGCCAACAACCTCGAGAAGGAGATGACTCTTGGTAGCCACCGACTCGTCAGTCGCGTCTGAATCTTCTTCCTATTTACTTGTGTTCGACATGGACTCGGAGACACGCCTTCCTCGATGGTTGCTCATTCTAGAGCCATATAAGCAACTCGCGTGCGCATTTCGGTGATGGAATTGCTGTGTTGATGCCCCGCAATCTCGATGATCTGCAGCAGGGTCAGCTATTTCCTCCACACTGCCCACCTCTGAATTCCAGAACCTTCTTAGCTCCAAGGCTCGGGCTTTTTTGTCCGTACCCAGAGTGATGGGAGGGGTACGGTTCTCCTTGAGGCTCATCGATTCCACTTGGCGACATCAAGTCTCTTCATGAGAACCTGGCTCAAGCGCATGGTCATACGTGTCTGAACGCGTGCCCTGGCGTTGATGGCCTTTGATCTTGATGCTTTAATTGCCTCGTCACCATCCTCTGCAGTCAAGCATTCCACCTCAACGTTTCCAGCTTCGTTATGGGTGCTATTACCTACTTTCAATGGTCAGGGATTGATTAACGGGTGCTGTGGTGCGACTTCAACGTCTCGTTTACTGAATATGCTGCTCACCCTTGCTACAGATGAGCGCATACTATGGATATGCCCTCAACTTGCGATGGTAAATCTGAGGGCGTACCTGTGCGCCGGTAGGAAATTTCACTATGCTTAGATCCACACTTAGAACCTCATTTGTGCATGGGGCTTCTCCTTCTCTGGAGGTCTCACATCCTGCGCACATTTCGTTCTCTGAGTCATCTCTTCTCTTGTATTCGTTCGCCTCCTCAATCATTCTCCTCGTAATACAAGAACTACAGGCTTGGAATTTCATCAGAATGGGTAGTAGTCCTGCTTTGGCGCATGTCGTCGTGGCTCCATTTAGAAGACCCGAAGGTGTTCCCTGCTGACGATGGTTCTGATTCGACCTTGTGGCCACCGCAGATTGCCATGAATCTTCGACTTGGTTGGGGGAATCTCGTCAGGATGATCACACAATGTGTATCATACCACCGCCCGAGAATCACCTTCCTTGATGTAGATATCAGCTGGGACAATGATAGCAGCTCCAAGTGTGAGTGAGATTAACACTGTCAAGCACTAGTATCGTGCTTTATTTCGACCGACACCTCAGCCTTTTTGAGCATCACCATGAGTAAAACCGTAGAACCAGGCTTTTCCTGTGTGGTATTCTTGCCATTCGCTCATTTGCATGCGTCAGAACTGACGCACGATACCTGAAAGCAGTGTTACACTAGCACCATGTGGTGAAAGAACAAAGAACGGAGATTTACTTAGATAACCAGTTGCGGTCCCGAAAGCTGGGTTGTGGCTGTGTGAGGCTCCTCGCACATACTTCACTTCCTCATTTTCGTCTAGCCTCGCGTCTGGCAGCGTCTGCTCTGCTTCTAAAAAAGTTCTTTAGGCTTCCTGTGCGACAAGATCGTGCCCAGATAGACTCAAGGTTCAATCTAAATATTCGATCATCATGACTGGCTGCAATTGCTGGCGATGTCAATCATCGCTGTTATTCTTCCAAGATCTGAAACAGCAGGAGGCATTCGAAGATATGTATTTATACCATCCTGGTTCATCCTCTAGCAGAGGCCTTTCATCGCCGTTTTGGTGTATCCCTGGGCTCTTATCGTCCACACATTTCAAGTTATCCACCTGCACAATTCAATGGCAATGCCCATATCAGACCTGGTTTTCATCTCTATTCTGCTTCAGATGCTGTTATATGACGAGACTTTCCTCAATCCTACCAGTCGGATGCTACTAAATAAAATGATAGGAATGTATACCTGCCTCTTCCTAGAAGCATTATATCTGTTAATGTAGGTTTACTTAAACTTGAAAAATCATGACCTGACCTCTGTAGATTCCGGAGGAAGAGATCCAAGGTCATCGTTGTAATGACAATCTTGAACATCATCATGTGGTCCGTCGTAACCACTAACGTCGGCCTGAACATGGGCATTAACACCGTGAGATTTCTCCGACAAAATGGCATTGAAAACGTTACAGTTTTCGATGAGTATGCTACACCAGAGATATACTTGCAGTTAGCGTTAGAAGGCATCAATGTATGTAAATTGTCTAATCCTGAAAACTCGATTTACAACACTGACATACCAGATTGTGATCGGGGACGGTGTGGTAATATGGAGAGCATGGCTCTTGTGGAATCAAAGACGCTGGATCCTTGTCGTGTCTTCGTTCTTGCTTCTGGGCACAGGCGGTAAGCATGAATTTGCTCGTCTTCTATATTGTACTTTGCTGAGCAGTGTGGGGTATTAGTGACAATCGCCAATGTGGCATATGCGTTGAGCATCTCCCCCATAACACTGGATAATCTGTTCGACGACCCAAAGCTATCCACCTGGGGAATCGCGGCTATGGCACTGACAACAATGACCAATCTCTTTGCCACATCCTTGATCGTCTATCGTGGATGGTGAGCTCTTCAATCTCCTTTTCAAAGCATCTGAGTCCCCTCTAACTAGAAGTATGTATGATAGGACTCATCACCGATTACTTCGCTCCCTGACCGGTGAATCTGTGATATCTCATTTTTGCAAACAGAATGGGATTCTTACACTCTTGATTGAGTCTGGCGTCTTTTATTGCTGCACATGGGTGAGCAAGTGTCTTAGTATTCCAATGCTTCAAGAATATGAATCTCGTCAACAGATTGCTACAATCATTCTATTTGTCGCTACCAATAATGGAATAACCCTTATGTTGGATGTCTTGTCCCAGCTTACTGTAGGACTTATATCTTTCCCGTTCGGTGCCTCATACTTATCTCATTATAGGCCATCTATCCAACCCTAATTATCATCCTTGTCTCCCTGAGATCCACGCTTGACATAGCCATACAAAGCGTTGAGCAGACATGCAGGCAGCCATCCACGAGCCCGAGACCTCTATCATTGCACACCTCACCACTAAGTGTTGCGGTGGAGACGGCAGTGTACGTCTCCAGTGAGAATATTGAGTCCTTCCCGGTCGATAGCCTCAAGTCTCAGGATGTAAAGGGTGAGTTTGAACCGAGTTATAAGGGACACTGTGTTCATCATTCTGTAGATTCAACGACGTTATGCTGATTGAATTCGCCCATATTCCGGATTCGGCATGCAAAATTTAGCAGATATAACACCTCGAATTAACTTTATTATATGCTTTGTACAGAGTACGAACCATTGTGCCAGTAATCGAATCCATCACTTCCTTGCCGTGCAGCGCGCGCATTGCGACTAACGGTACCGCCTCCCCCATATGGACCTCCCATTCTGTGCCGATAATTTACACTTACCGATGTTGAGGCATCAACTTCGCTGTTTGTTAGCTATATTCATCGTTGTCTCTTGCACTATTGTCCTCGCCTCTTTTCCAACAGCCCCCCCCGACAAATCACTTGACGGATTAAAGGAATCATGTCGCCATTTGCGAACCCTTAAATATTGAAATATACGGCCCACAATCCTCCATATCGCTATCCTTCCTCTTGTGAGGACCACGCTCAGAAAGACTGACACCTGATCTCCCGCGGAAGGGTGGTAGGGATTCGGCTTTGACGAGAGGAGCATTGGACAGTTTCTGGCGTTTGCAGGGAAGCGGATCGCCGAGGGTGCTTCCCGATCTCTTGCGCACAGTGGCGGGAGAGGGGACTCGGCTTTGACGCGGGTGCGCGGAGTTGGCTTGGGATGCTTGGCCGATGTGTGTAGTGTGGAAGTGGTGACGTCTATTCAGTCTTGCCATCCTGAGCGCTGGGAGGCCCGATGATCTTGACGTCCGAGCACTCAGGGTACGGCAAGAGAGGGACGGAGGAGGGGCTTTCCAATTTGACTGGGTACTGCAGAGTATCGTCACAGTAATTTTCCTTCTGGTGCTCCACTTTGACCGTAGAAACAGGTGACATGGGAGCACCGCTGTCGAATACAACGCGTGGGATACGATTGGTTCACGGCGATTTGCTGCCAATTGGAAGGAAGAGTGTGCGAAGACGTGCCGGAAGACGTGGCATCACATCGATGCATGCCTTGATGGTAGCTCAATCTGGATCTGAGCCATCAAAGCGCGTCCATCTCTTCGTGAAGATGCACGTTCTCTCCAGGTACACGGAATTGCCACGTCGATAGCCCTCAGTGATCGACAGCAGGGTTTCATCTCGCATCGTGGACATTGCGAATTTGTATTTCATACATGAATACCGCATATCTCAAACACTCAATTGATGGCATTTTTTACCTGCTTCTGCCTCGTACTTGCTAGCTTGATCTTTAACACGATTCGGGACCAAATCGTGTTAAAGATATCCTTGGGTTCGTTTGAGATGGCAGGTTGTCTACACAGAATGAATGAAACTTTCCACCGGAGGTTCATCAAGGACTCACCGAATAATACAGACCGAGTCCTATCCTCGTTCAGAGGGCTATTAATCCCGTTACGTGAAATATTATTGTAGGAACCAGATGTCGTTGTCGCTACTTCAACCTCTGACCGTGGAGCAAGCATAGAAGGACGGTTTGAAGATCCGGAGGCTGTGGTAAATTGCAGGGATCGAGTTATCTGTTCAGAACTTTGCATAGTAATATCAAGCGTCGATTTTAAGCAGACGAGAGTGATGATCAGGGTAGGGTAGATAGCCTATAAGAGTTATGAGGACAAGGTGTCCCAGTCATTAGTTGAAGAATCCCACCGTGAGCTGGGAAAGCATGCAGAACAAGATATATATTCCGTTGCTTGCAGAGACACTTTGAAGAATGACAGTAGCAAACTGTTGGCTGTCATTTAGAGCACTACCAGGTATCATGCGGGATATATACACACCCATGTACAGCAGTAAAATATGCCCGATTCGATCATCAATGAAAGAATGCCGTGCTGCTTGCAAAACCGAATGAAGGATGAACCAATCAGGGTGCGAATTGATCGATGGTGAGCCCTGAATGGCGTCAAGCTGGGTAAAGCGATGGAAGTCATTAAAAGAAACAAAAAACTCACCAGGTACGATAAGCGATCACAGACGTGGCCCATATATTTATCAACAGCGTCAATACCATGGCGATGGTCCCCCGGGTGCTTTTAAATGATTTATCAGAAGTAGCAGTTGGCAGGGGTACGCTGCCGATTGTATACAGCAGCGAAGCCATAGCAGTTGCTTGTGAAGTTGGCTCGAGAGTCAGCATTCAGGCCATGACACGGTCAGAGGTAAATTACCTCACCGAATAAAGCTAACGTCAAGGCTGAAGACACGAAGAGTATCCATTTGTTACGGTTACAAAGTACCCATGCCCTCCATGACACGATTACATCCCCAATAAAGAACTGTCAGAGGGTAACACAACACAAAGTCAGTTCAATAATTAGTAGTTTTGAGAACCGTGACATACATTGATAGTTTCTAGCCCTAAGAGTGAATAGAGTCCTGGGGATGTGTTATTCACAACACGTATAACATCATCTCCATTCTCCGAGCCGGCTCCCTGGAGATATATCTGGCGTATTTTGACGATGATTATTATGGCATGAGTCGTCGACACGGACCACATGATCACATTCAAGATTGTCATGACGATGATCACTTTGGATTTCTCCCTTTTGAATCTATAGAGACAATATTCAGCGAGAACGAAACACTCCTGAAGTACGCAAGTCAACCCACATTAAAAGGTACGTCGATGCTAGAAAGAGGCAAGTGTACATTCCTGTGAACGCGTTTTATGAAATGTCCTCATTTAGGTCAATGAAAAGACACACCATATAAAAGGATCTCCACTACTACGGCGGTGAATAGTGCGTCAGAGATAGATAATGCCATTTTGCTCGTGATCGACTAGTGTGCCCAGCGAGAGAAGAGTCCCGCCGTATTGAGCACCAGTCTAAGAGATGGCGGCGCAGGCGTTCTCGATGAAAAGAAGATGGACCATGCTCTTATCTTATGGTTTGAGCTAGACAGACTCCGGACGTCTGACTCCATCTATCATCAACAAGAGATGACAGCATCACTGAGAAGCTCTGTCGAGATCATCCTTTGAGGAGGAGAAGGCAGTGTTTTCCCGCACTACAGTAGATGTCCGTTTGTAGAAAGGTCCCCACGCTCGCATTGAGATCCTCGAGGTATACTCCATCGGAACGAAGTAAGAGGAAGAATTTACTTTTGAACGTTGCTCGCTATAAACTGCGTCTTATATCTATCAGATCGCAATATTTATTTTAGAGGAGACGGGCCTGACTATGATGAACTTAATCCTTCAAAAGAGCCTATTCTTTTGCAATCCTCATATACGCCGATGAAGGGATAGGAACCAAAGACAGGTCACAAGCATTCCGAGAGTCCAGGAGATCAACATGTTTTCAATTGAGATGAGAACAAAGTTTGTCACCTGTGCCATTGTCGAGGAAAGGTTCTACGGCATCAGGAATCTCACCCACGCTCAACCCACGCTGCCATGATATACCGAATCCAGAGTACGGTTCTCCTAGACCGGAGTTCACAGATGATGCCTATCAAGCTCCTCCCAGATGTTCCGATATCGGCAGAGTCTACGATGAATAGCAAATCTTCACAGCCGTTTTATAGACCCACCCGGTAATTTAATACACCATGTGGGTCCATATCATTCTTAATGCAGAAGCGTTAACAGCGAAATAATCAGTCAGTATTACCGCAGTATATTATGTCCGATCAGTTCTAACCTGCAGTGAAGTCGTGTGCAGTGAAATAAATGGAGAACGTCTTGGACCGCTGGTAAGTGGCTTGTTTGACAATCATTGCGTAGTAAGGGATGACATCGACGACGCCAAACCTCGCAGCATTCTATCCAAGTATACTCTAGCCAACTGGGTTGGAACGTCGACCCTCCAGCTTTAACCAGAATGCGCATTCGACATGCCAAGCGACCAAACAGCGGGTTTGGTTCGTTGGTACGGTAAGTTTGAATTCTTGGTTTGGGATGGCGAGATCAGTAAAGCAGAGTATCCCGGAGGTGGAGAGATGTGACGCGTTTCAGCAGGGAAGAAAGTCGCCCGAGAAAAGTTTTAAGATCAAGAGTCATTGGCCCTGCTGTCGATCATCAACTAAGGGCCGTCAACGCGGCAATCCCATCACTGGGGGGCGTACCTGAAGAAAACGTGCATCTTCACAAAGAGATGGACGTGCTTTGATAGCTCGGATCCAGATTAAGGCTTGAGCAACCACCGAGGATAGCGTGCCCCCAATTAAAAAACTTGAGGGGCTGCATAGGTGTAAGTAGCCATAGAGGATAATAGAAGGAGCTAAACGCACTGTGAATCAATATTCGTATCCAAACTAGGAAACTGGAGGCAACATTCCCAGCGAAGATGGTTCGTCCGTATTACTGAAGTCAATTGGACCGGGCTCAGCTGGTGAGGAATAAGATACTAAGCACTTCATTATGTGCGCAAAGGCAGGAACTTACATCGCCAAGAATCAGCGTTACTTTGTCTGTGATTCCCTTCATCTTCAAAAGTAGCCATATCTGAATCCTGACCTGCCTCCATTGAGGTCTGAGAACGAATCCTCGTAAACTCGGACTCGTAATTTGATGACCGTTGCTGACTATCGGTCGGTCGGCTGAGAAAAAACATTCCGAGTTCCTGCTGATTATTAAAGTAGCAGCACAATTCTTCCGAGACTAATACGTACACAATAATTACACTAGTGAGCACCGTCGGCATGTATCTACTTAGTAAAAAAAATCAAGCAACCGAAAAGCGTTCCTGTAAAGGATGAGACCGAGAATACCCACAGATAAGACCGACTCGGACGTACTCGTAAACTCCGTCCGTGGATCTGCATGGCAGGAATAATGAGAACGAAGAGTCCCGCTACGATTCTGGAAAAGAAAGAAAAAAATCAGGCAAAAGATTTCCCTTTTACTGTTTCCACTGGACATACGCTGCTTCACAACCAAATGTTTGAAGGGCACCATGTTTTTCTGCCCAAGGAACTTGGAAATAGGCGACCGCAAAGCCTTTATTACAGTAGATGAGAAACTCAAGCAACTATAGTAGATATTACATACCTCCGAGGACACGCGCTAGATTTATCAGAGCACTGATTTCACCTTGGTGTTTCGGGAAGCAGTCATTGCAATACGCGTCTGGTTGAATGTCGGTCCGAGGAAAGCGACGGAAGGTTGAATTACATACATATAGCCACGGTGTGGATCATGATAGCCAGCTCTGCAGTACCCCAGCCCATGACGATACCGGCAGTATTGAGATGATTCTGTATCGATGCGCCCAAGGTGACGAAACCGCATATGTACAAAGGCAGAGCAATATAGCAAGCCCTTTCATCTGTTCAGTATAACATGATGATACCTAAAAATACAAACTCACCAAAGTCGACTCTCAGCTTCGAAGACACCATGATTGCGTCTGATACTCAGATTCATAATCCAATCATTCGTATACCGACCTGCCAATTCACCCAAAAGTACAGATACCTACAAACTCAGCCGTGGGGTCAAGGCGGATAAGACAAGAACCTACAATCGGTGTACCATATGCTCCAGCGATAGCGTCCTGGCTCCAGCCGAACCCGACTGGAGGAGGGCTTCCCAAGAACACTTCATTCGTGACCTGCATGAAAAATAATCAAAGTAAATTCAGAGACTGATGCCGATGCCATACATTGATACCGATACCAAACCCAAATAAGATACCCTCGAAGAGCAGAATCCCAAGAAGGTGAGGCCGCCATACGACATTAAAGGGTGAGAAGATTGATTCCGCCCAAGATACTCGGTACCTGGCCATTTTAATTCCGGTGATACCGATGAGTGTTTCGATTTTATAATGAAGGCCCGTGGTGACTGGTTCTGGAATGGGTTTCACAGCTCGGTCATACACCCTAGAAGGCATTTATTAGGGACAGGAAAATAATGGAAACATTGCACACGTTTCGTCCATGAAAAGTGCGATTAGGACGCATACGACGGCACTGTAGAGGCAACCAATTCCATAGGCCCACCTCCAGTTTTGTCGGGCAACAAGGAAGCCAAAAGCGAATGGAGAGATGAACGGGGAGACAATGAATCCCATTGTCCAGAAGTTGAGCTAGGTCGAAGCTCGGCGGTGAGGAACGAAATAGATTATATTCTGTTGTAACTCTACCTTCCGCGCTTGCAGGTGAAAAGGATATAAATCCGTAACGATATATAATCCCTGGGAGAACGTCTCAGAGAATTCAACACAAGGATCGAGCAATATTCTGTACCGCGACTTGAGGTGCAGTTCTACGGAATGCGTTCAGTAGAGGAAGAAAGACCAACAACAGACCCACCCGAAGAAAGCCGTTAAACATCTCATTCCTGAGGGGTCATCTTTAATTGAGAAGATTCAGAACGAGCTGGATTTCCCACCAGCAAAAGTTGCCAGATCCGGCGCGAATGTACATCCCACCAGGAAGCCAACCGCGAAGACCTGTTTGAAGAACCAAGACATCAATCCACGGAGCCGTACCCATAAATAAACTTCATCTCCACCTGCGACCAAAATAGAACTGGAAGACGCCCGTAGCGGCGAATGAGCATGATAGCGAATATTCCCCCCCACCCTTGGAACCGGGTATTAGTGGTGTATTGATCACAAGGATATGCATTGTGGACGGACCTGCCAGAAATATGCTCCAACTGAACGCGTTGTTATTTCAGCTCAGCAGCAATTCAAACGGAACAAACCCACTTGGATGTCAAATTATTAATCACTCCGGTAGTAGTATCATATTGCTCAGCAAGCCGAAAGATGGACGCGATTCCTGCGGGAAGGTGCCATCTGTAAGGGAAACGACAACACAAAACACTAAACTGAAACGATCACCTATGCCATTGTCAAAGTCCGGAACGATAGCGGTTAGCGTGATGATAATGAGGTAGATGCTCTTGCGTGCATCGGTCCAATTCTGGGGGTCGCGCGGCGAATCTGTTGGTTGAGGCCACAGGACTTTGGTCCCGTCCCGAGAGAGCTTAAGCTTGGAGGCGAAAACCTCGCCGAACTCGATTTTCGCCTCTCTGCGAAAGGATCAGCACTGGCAGAGTAATCGTGTTGTGGGAAAGAAATTTGTTACGCTGGATCAATGACCAGTCTACCTGCATGTAGTTCGTGAAACGTAGCGAGGTCGACCTCTGCTGTGTCTTCTTGAACTTGAAGGACAACACTGGGTGCAGAGTTGCCTCCGTGCTTCTCAGAGTCGATATCGTGCTTATCGTGGACAGACATGATGGTAGTGTGGATATATTTCTGAAATTCGCCATCATATATACTCGGCTCAAAGTTGCTATGAAAAGCACGCCCCAAGGGAGAATCTCAGGGGGTTGTGTTACGTAGTCAGGCGAGGGGCGGTCCGTCACAGTCGTCTCCCTAGATTGGGAGGAAGTTCCCATCGATAATGCATCTTTGTAAAGCAAGTCAGGCAAGCGTGAGAGAAGTGGCTATATCATCCTTGGCAACGATACTCAGCGAGACTCGGGGGTTATAAGAATCTTGTATGACTGCAAGATGTCGTTGAAGTCCGAGAGATAGAAGACAGAGGTCCCAAGTGACAAAGACAGGGACGAGGGACATTTTTCATGCATACTTGTCTAGTACGAATGCGGGGAAAGACCCTTGAATGTAGGGTAACAGATGATCTGCATGGGGTCACCTAGGTTCGCATAATGTGAAATACGAACTTGATTGTGGACTCCATGACAAAAGGAGTTTAGTACATATATCATGCATCAGTAACTGCTTTGCTAAGCTGATAAAGGACAGGGATTATGGCATTTGTTCAGTGGAGCGGAATTTTCTCTTTCCACGATTTTTCACAAGCTTCAAACGTTTTGCGATTCCGAGGTGTTAGAAATATTACAGTGGGAGGCTTGCAGTAGGAATAATACCTAATTATTAGCTACGAGAGCTCCTAATGAGCTCCTTATATACTACGAAAAGTATCTAGAATATTCTACCAAAAGTACTAAATATATCTAAGTATCGTGACAAATGAGTAAGCCGAAGCTTCGGGAATCTTCTAGTATGAGCTTGAAGTTGCAAATCCCAACACGAGGACATCCAATGGTTAGATGCATCCGTCGACGAGGCCACACAACATGGCAGATGATCATGGCGACCGGCTATCACGCTGTCACATGTGACTTGACTGGGCACCGTCTGGCGACTGTTTTATAATGCCGTTCCTCTATGTTTCACTAGAATATTTGAATATGTAGCTGACAGTAGGAGGAATTTTTGCTAAATTTTTGCAGTGAAGTTTCGAACATTCACCCCGAAGTCGGAGGTAACCCTAATTGTGGTACAACGACAGAACATTCTCAGTGGCACGTAGCACTCACTACTCCTTCAAGCTTCATTGCCCGAAAACTGGGGTATGTCCGCCTTTTCAAGGTCAAGAGCACCGAGGTTCATTCAATCACGAAGTGGTTGGTCAAAAAATGGATTGGAAAGCAGCACTACACATAAGAATGGTACATCCGTAACATCTCCCATCCACCATCAAAACGTCGGCAATAACTATATGGTCAGAGAGCTCTCAGTAAAATGCCCATCCGACGACGAAACAAGAAGGCTAACCTGACGATTCACGACCAATCTTCCCAGTACATTCCAATACGATGATTGAACGTTCACTCACTACGCGCACCAAAAGTCAGCCGAATTCGCCAGATGAATGCGTAATCTATTCACAGGAGCGACAAGGTGATGTCGCCGTTGACCTTGGCCTGGATGGCAATCTCGACCTCGAGGTTAAGGTCAAGACGGAGCTTCGGCAGCGGGGGACGCGGCGTGCAACCGACGATTTGTCCACCGAGGACGGAGTAGGTGAAATTTCGTAGCGGTTTCTGGGGCAGACATTGTTGGGAGGCTTGCTGGCTCTTCAAGGTTCTTTTATACGCGATCGGAAATTTTGAGGGTAGGAATTTTTCGCGATACTAGAGTCTTCGTGGAATGTAGGGCGTGTTCCAGTATCAAATTGGAAGCCCTGCAAGTATGTTGCGACGCCGGATTTCGAGCTGTCGTAAGCTTGCAGTAATGGACTCGCGCCGTTCCCAAACACGATGGTCATCATATTTGTCACAGGGAGATTCTTCACTTCTCCATAACAAAACTACCTCGGTCGGACGCAGAGAGGAAAAAGAACATTAGGGCGAGAAATGCTGGTAGTGGCGGGTAGCGGAACTCGGGCTAATTTGTTGCAACGAGACAATGAGCTTTGAACAATACCCAAGCAGGCCGACTCACGAAACTGTCATTCTGTCGAAGGCTCTTTTCTCATGATAGCTGATTTTGAGCCGCGTTTTTGATGTAAAAAGTTAACGAGATGGGTCCAGGTGGGGTTCGTCGAGACCGAAGGGGGGTGTTCATGTTTTCCAGAAATCTACTCTGGGGAATGAAGACATGCCTCGGAGACCATCGCGCGGAAGTGATGGCGCAAGAGTAGCAGAGTCGTAGATGATGGAGGTGATGATGGTTGCAAATCAAGCGGCAAGCCGGACTTTTCCGCAATGACTAAACCTTGGAGGTGAATCTTGGACCCATTCCCCTGCCCTGCCCTCGTCTGGGCTGCACCGTCTTCCCTTCACACATAATACGTCGTTACTTCTTTCTCCTTCCTCAATCGTTTCCATCTCCTCCCTAAAACTGAAGAAGTACATATATCTTTAATCTTTCTTCCCTTTATTCTCTTTACTTACTCTGTCATTAGTACTCACGCATATGTGTATGGTACAGGTCTAGGTGTATCAGTCCCCAACCAGCCATCGTGTCTGCAACACATCTGACATATATTTCGACTTCGTGTTGAAATGAGTTTGCGCCAACAAGACCCATTCATGACTCAAGTAGTACGCTTGGATAGTAATACAAGAACATATGCCTTTCATCTATGTTGGAACAATAAAAGTCTGTCGTTTCCTCATTCTTTGGAAAGAATCAGGGACGCTGTCACATGTGACTTCAGGAGGGAACCTTCATTTCAAGAGCTTCTGGACAAAGATGAAGATTGAATATTGAAGGCGCGCGTTGAAACAGTCAATCCAGTAGCGGCAGTTGCCGGGTTCCCGATTCTTCGCCGGATACTAACTAGCAGTAAGCAGTACTAGGCCACTTCTTAGGTATCTTGCTAGAACCACCACGTCGTCGGTTTTCTACGCGCTTCATCGCATTTTGTTCCACTTTCACCTATTTTCTGTATTTCGATAATATAACAAAGTTTCTCAGTGTGATAATTACTGTAATCGACTGCGTTAAATATAAGATATGCCTGCCATCTAGTCGGTGTTTAATCCCAAAAAATTGAGACCTTTGTATGCTGCGGCTTCTTTGGATCGACCTTTACTCGGGCCATTTCCACGGCCGATCTCATTATCATCCACTAGTTGACATGTACATGTGAATGAAAGGTCCTACAATACAGATTTAACGACTTACCATATGCGATCGAGGTCCATGTGTTATGCTTGTCAGGACCACTTTCCGAATAGGTTAAAGTGAGTCCAGCTTGTATTGCATAGTTGTTTAAATCCTGTCGATAATGACGTCGCGGATTGAGACCATCGTATTTTGCACCCTCGTCGCCGTCGATACCACCACCGTCACCATGATTGTCACTGCATTTCCAGCAGATATAGCCTAATTGATCATTGCAATGGCTATGTCCCCAGACTGAGCATTTGGTGCACTTGACAGTGGGAGAGATTCCATCATCAGCTGGATATGCGAGTCTATGGTGAGTGGTACAACCATCAAGAGAGCCGACTACCAACTTACGCTGCCTACATTTACAGCGGAATAGTCCCCTTTTGACATCTTTTTCGCAAATAAAGCATTTCTCATGGAGAGAAGGTGTTGCATGCGTGATGACCATACAGTCCAAGAGTACCGGCCTGAGTGTCACCTCCTCTCGTCGATATCCTGGGCACCTATGCACGGTCCAATAGCTACGGGGGGAACGTGCTACACGTTCTAAAGAGAATGAGGTAAAGGATAACGATGAGAGTATGCTCTTAAATTGGCGCGAAATATCGTCCAATGTGATGCTATTCCCAGTGACTCCTTGCCATATTATCTCTCTGCGCGGTCGTGATAGATTCGTGTCTGTCGTCGCCGTGGTATCAGACTTATCAGGCATCGTATCAGATTGTCCCCCGTGTTCTGCATCAAAAAGCGCCGTAGCAAAAGGCTCCGAAGTGTCAATAGTACGTGCCAAGGTATCTCCTGCATATTAATGTAAGCTCACTGGTTTAGCTAGGCTAATGTAATGGCAAGCTCACTGTATAATATTTCATTGGCGGCGTTGAACGTCTAAGACAGAAGGTCATAAAAACAAGATAGCGAACCAGATTTTCGGTACCTGATGACACAATTCACCAAGGACATCGACTCCTGTCCGATCTTGTCTTGACGCAAAGGAAGTTGAATTCCAAATACCATCAAAGGACAGGACCACTTTGTTGGCACCACTCATAAAGATACTGAAATTCTGACCAACTCAGGTTGATCAGGGGAAATATGTTCGTGATAGTATAAGACTTACCTCAATCCTAACGGAGTGAAAGGGAATACCACGAAGGCACAAGTGACTTAACGCAGACTGTATAACAGGACAGGTCAATTCTGCGAGGATCCTTCTTAGCTTGCGAGAAACGTACAGCGGCGCCAGAGATCTTATTGAAAGTTCAGTCTAAAAGGGATGAAGCTAAATGGGCTGAATATACCAACTGTGCTCCCGCGACAAAAGTTGACACGACGCCAGAGGGAATTGCCGCGGCGATAAATTGTTCGGCGCTTCCTTGCGCATCTACTCAGTCGGTCATTAAACAGGTTACCATACAGTCAGATATCACTTAACCTAGGTCGTAGACCATGAACGGTGTAGGGATATTGACTCGGGAAATTTTCTTCAAATGCAGAAGGTGCGGATGCCTGAGGGCAGATGAATAAGACAACGGTAGTCCTTCCTGAGAACGATGCAAACATTAGATGCTCCTCAAATTTTACTGCTGCTGCGTAGTTCTATGTGTCGTGTAAACACCTTCAGTGATAGAGTATCGACGGAGGAGTCGTTGACAGTGACACACCTTGGAAGCGTCTTTGCCTTCAAAGACTTTGACAACTGCACATTTACCGCCGACTTGAGCTAAATGTAAGCGAAGCCCAGTTCGAACGAAAAGTTCTTCTTTAAGCGCTACATCGGATTCTTCGATGATCTGCACAGCTCGCCAGTTAATTGTTACAAGAAAGCTTAGAGAATAAGACGCACTCGATTGTCGTCGGACTCATCTTTTGGCGCCTTTTCGAGTCTGCCTAGACCCGAGGCAACGTCCTCGATGTCGAGAAACCTTGAAGAATGGCGCTGGACGATATCATGGATAGTTATCAGGGCGGTGATCTGTATTTCAATTAGATGGAAAAGACCAAGACTAGTGAAAGGCCTTGAACTTGAAAAAGTGCCATTGTATCTTGAAATCTTAATTGGAGATCTTGAAGGCGGTCAGCCCGTTTCTTCGTAAAGAGTACGCGGTAAAGCATGCTGCTGTTTGTCTCCCTCTCGATAAAATCCTGTACCTCATGAAGATCCCTAACACTTCAAGTTAGACAGTGACAGAATAGGAACGCAAAAAGCGCACGCTACAAAGTGCTTGATGTTCTCCAATACAGCAGGTGTGATTTCCAGCGTATCGAGGTGTTTAGATATTGTGGCAAGCGCCCTTACACAGCGGGTGGCAACTCTCAAAGCCAGCTCCGTATTCTGCTGGGCCTGAGATATCTGTTGCAGAATACAAGAAATGATTCCAGCAGCCGCACCAAGGGCCGGCACTGAAGTCGCAGCCGCAGCCGCGGCCTAGCAATACTAGACATGAGAGATCCGTATCATAATGTCGTTTCCCTCACCTTGAGAATGTCGACAGTCATAATAGCCAGATCGATACCATCTTCTTCAATTTTCCGCTTCACTCCCTGATTTATCCATTTCATATTTGCGACTGGGAAGACTATAGAGGTCACTGTTGAAGCGGAAGCTTGAACGTAGCAGAAAGAGGGAGAAGGAGAGGGGCATGCGTGGTGCACTGCATCTATTAGCGCTGGCTACTACAGCTAACAGCTGTATTCCCACAGCCAACCCAAAAACTACCGAGAATCTGGGACGAAGCAGCAAGGTGTGATAATTAAAAAGATCGAACTTCATCCATTGCCCCGCGAATCGGATAAAAAATTGATTAGTATAGATGAAAAATCCAGATAACCGGAGCTCACCAAAATGTCCTTCACTTAAAGGAGATTTCATGTACAACGAGTTGAGCTTCTGGATGAAGATGAACATTGGAGGCGCGCGTTGAAACAGTAGGGGCCGGGTCTATACTCGGACAGGCGTTTTCTCCGATTCTTATTCCTGCTCCACGTCTATTAAAAATCTATCTCTGTTCGGACACTAGGATTGTCGAATTCGACACTACTTAGTAGCCCGTTTGGCACTGTCAGGCTTGGGTGGTAATGGATGTAAATTCCACGCTCCCTATCCTTAATAGCTCTATCCCTCCGGTTTGAGGTTTGAGCGACCATCGAGGATAGCGTGCCCCCAATATAAAAAAGCCTGAGCCTCGAAGTGTCGGAAGTGAGAGGTAGGCAAGGAGAAGAAGAGCTGGGCGGCGCTTGGTTGTGGGGGAAGTAGTCGAGGATCATTGACACGGGACTCGATGCTGAAATGCAGGTCGACCTTACAAACGGTGGATGGCAGTCGGCAGCTACGATGAAATCAGATGTCGTCATCTTCATCACTCTCCGGATCGTGTTCGTCTGCGAAAAGGTGGATCTTGAGGCGTTCAGGAAGCTCGTGGGGCGTTTGGAGGTTGGAGAATATCCCTTCCTACTGATGGCAAAGCTGGCCTGGGAGGAAGGAAGAAATGGAGATGGAAGCAGCAGTACCATGAATGGGAGATGGAGGGTACCATTTAGCTGCTGGCTGTTATTTAGAATGGTTTGCAGAAGCTTGTCGGTAACGCAATAGTGGGTCGGGATGCCCTGAAGCACGAGTTCAACTAGGCTGCCAGCGGAGAAGGACTATTTGTGCGGCGTCCCGCTGAGACGGAGGTGCTTCAGACTGGGGAAAAATGCTGACCAATATCGGCGAGTTGATCTACAGTGACTCTGACACCGTTTACATTGTTCGTGAGAATATTCTCACTGACGTCCAAATCACGCTTACACAGTCCAACAAGGGTAGCAATCTTGGACACATCCCTGCTCTGTATTCTCAGCATGCGTCGTTCCTTTTGTCGGTGTTAGTCCTGTATAGTCGCCTAAAATCTGGGACACGACGACGATTTGAGAACCGCAGCAAGGTTCGACATTCCCTCTGTGTGCCTACGAATGGAAGCCTTTTATTGGGTGGATAGAGGTCGACATCCGGTGAGGTCAAGCGTCGGACGTGGTGACGTCCTCGCCATAATCCCATTTATCAAGCTCTCTTGGATATGAAGAGCCGATACAGATGCTGAACAGGACCCAAACATTGATTGAGAGGCGTGTTTGGCGTGTGACAGATTGCTGGCTTTCACGTCCTCGTATTCTAGTGCTGATTCTCATCTCAGCGAGAGTGTGTTTGCGGAGAGGAATGTAGTGAGAACACTACGTGGAGATGGGTCGAGTTGGCATGGAGCATTTCTCCCAGGAAGAGGTGCGAGCCTGTCATTCGGAGAAGGAATTTCGCGTAAGAATTTTAGCCATCTTTCGAACGATGTGGGACCTAGGTGAAAGAGCGAGAAATAGACAAGTCGTTCGCAAACTGTTCCTTGAGTTTAGCTGAACGAAGTATAAGCAAGGCTTGTGAAGAGGGATGGCCTTGAGGAGCGAGAGCTAATCAGCCTACTGTTGACTCGGAATTGAGCACGGTATGAGGAGACCTCGTGTGCGGTGCGTTGAAAGGGAAACGGTGATGGAAAATGTGGAAGGATGATGATGACTCGAACGAGCGATGAGCCAGACGAGTTTTCTTCCTTTACATTCTCTGTCTGAGATGGGAGATTGGGATACTGTTTTGGGATGTGCGTTATCGAAGAGATGGGCGTCGTGTGTTGGATCAAACAGGAGCTTGAAGTAGATACCATCGCAAATCGAGGGTATGTATATCCATAGTACACGATCTACTGATGTTGCTGCGAAACTATCTGTGTCAAGGATGAGTGGTGTACAATAAACGAGACGTCGAAGTTGTACCAATAAGAATACTAGAAACGTTTCATGGTGAAGTGCTTGACTGCAGAGGAAGGTGACGTGGATATCAAAGATCACGACCGAGAGCCATCAAGGTTCGGTATGGCAAGATGTGTTCTGACACGTACGACCACCCCCAGAACACGTGCTTAAAGAGGCCAAGTGGGGCCAACGAGCTCCAAGGAGAATTATAGCCCTCCGATTTGCCTGTCTGTGTCAGACAGAAACCTCGAGCTTTGGAGATAACGAAGAGGTGGGCAGTGCGGGTGCGGACCGGGAAGAAGTAGTCGATCATCAATATTGTGGGGCATCAACACATCATTCTTGTCACTGAAACGGGTGTTAAGACGCGTACCACCAGAACGCGCCTGAGTTCATGTTGGACGTGTTTTGACGATTCGGCCGAGTCGAGGAAAGCGTGTCCTCTGATATTCATGTCGGACAGAAAACCTGAGGAAAAGATCTGGAAGCCAGGACTCGATGATTGCGGTTACAAAAAATCGTTATCCTGTTGAAGCGTGTAGGGTCTGTCTTTTGCATTCAAGTCGATCCCTATGCAAAGTATCTGTACTAGTCTCTCAGCGACACGCCGGGTCTACGAAGAGGAGGTCGGACGGTAGGTGCTACCCTCCAAGAGAGAAAATCGTCTGGGATCCGGAAGGAGTGAATCACGTATTATCTGTAGAGTGCTTTGTTCGGCGTTGTTGAAAAAGAGGCGTGCTAAAGGAAGAAAGAAGACCACAATGATGATGAATACAATCAACAAACCGCGAGGTTGGTTCCTTGACATCGGCCCGAGCAAGTGTAAATCCTTTAAAGTAAGTATGACGGAGCTATGCTGCCGACATCAAGACCGAGATTCGACACGGCAGGGCTCGTGTTCAGCTCTAGAACACGTATGAAGAGTGGGAGAATCCCAGGTATGGTTAACCCTGCGGTATACGTACTAAACATTTAGTGGGCGGTACTATTTGACCATCTATGGTAAGGGTAAGTGGTGTGTTCAGCGGAAGGGAGATAGCCGTACATTTAGTTGGAACCATAATGGCCAGAAGTGCGCTTAGCTGCGGAGGAAGTAGTCAGCCCTGCGTGTGCCGATCATATGAGCACTGCCCCAACCAGGGGCCACCGGCCATCAGTAGTACTAGTACGAGTCGACGCGTGTTCTCGCTCCTGCATCCAGAATCGTAAACTGCCTCCGAGCCATTTATTTTCTTTGCGAAAAATCTCCTTGGAAGATGCGGCAGCGGATAAAGGCAAAGGGGAACCCGATTAGGAACACGCTTACGAGTCACACCCATATATAGTACGCGTATTTTATCTTTTTTTTCTTTCATCCATCTCTAACATGTATACTGACGAGTCTTTTAGGATTAAGCCCATGCGAAAGTATGGCAAGCCAGAATGGCGGATCGTCAAGGATTATAGGAACTTGGATGTGGTGAAGCCCAAGGAGCGAGAGGGGTGCAGGACGCCTGTCGTCAATCCGTATGTGTCTCACTTTCTTGGTTTGTGGACCCGCTAACCATGTTTTGCTTAGAGGCACGCTTGGAGAGATCGACGGACAGCCTGTGGGTACGCGCTATGTGGACAGGACGTTGCTTTTGGAGGCGGGGATGCATGGAGGCATCCGAAGGGGAATCTACTCGTTCAAAGGGAGTGCGCGGTCTGTCGTACTGTGAGTGAACAGCGATGTTGGTTTCTTGTTGCTAACGCTGTTGCAGGTCGGATGGGTATGAAGAGTTCAACAAGGACAAAGGCAATAGAATGTACGCTGCTCTTGTTTCCGTCGCTGAGTCTCGCCTAATGTTTTCTTTGCAGCCGGTTGTGTGGAGAAGGTTCCTTCCGTTGCCTTTCTGTGTCTTCCAGGCGCTGATTATGTGTTAGGCGGACGAAGCAAGGACGGGAAGATGCAAGTCAAGGACCAGGAGTACACCCACGGAAACAGGGCTCTGCAGGTATGTGCTCTTTCATACCCTTGTCCTCCTCTGATGCATCTTAGAACACGATGCAATCTGGCCAACCTGTACGCGTGATTCGGGGATACAAACTCGATTCAAAATATGCCCCAAGCAATGGGTATGTGCACCATTCTCTTTGCATAGCAACGATTGACTTGCGGCTAGGTTCCGCTACGACGGTTTGTACAGAGTGACGGGTTGCTATGAAAAGCGGGACGAAAATGGATATAGGGTCATTTTATTCAAGCTCGAGGTGCGCAACTAGCCTTCTATTGCCCTACACTAGCTGAATTCATATGCAGCGACTTCCTGGTCAACTCCCCATCGGAACTCCAGGTAAATTTTGGGTGTATCCTAATTCCAATGCTCCCGCCAAGACGACCGAGCCGTCTGAGCCTAAGAAGACCGAGTCGACGTCCCTCTTCCCGCCTCGACCCAAGCTCCCTTCCTTCTACAAATCCAGCACATCTTCGCACACCCTCCCATCCAACTGGCAACAAATCGCCGTGAACCAATCATATCCTACGCGTTTGTATTCCGACAGCGGTGCTCCCATGTTACCTGTCCCTGCAGTCAAAGTGATGCACCAGAAAGAGAATTACTGCGATGATACTCTGCAGTACCCAATCAAATCGGAAAGCCCCTCCTCAGTCCCTCTCTTGCAGTACCCTGAATGCGACATCAAGGATATCGGGCCTTCCAGAACTCAGGAGAGCACGGCTACATTGACGTCACCCATTTCCACGCCCACACCCCGCACCTTGGCCAAGAAACCCAGTCCGCTCCCGCGCATCCGCGTCAAAGCCGAGTCCCCACCTCTCGCCTCGGTGCGCAAGAGATCGGGGAGTACCCTCGGCGATCCCCTCCCCCGCAAGCGCCAGAAACTGTCCAACACCCCGCTCGTCAAAGCCGAATCCCCTCCACCCTTCTGCGAGAGGCTGGGTGGCGGTCTTTCTGAGCGTGGTCCTCGGAAGAGGAAGTATAGCGATATGGAGGATTGTGTATGAAATTTGTGTCGTATATTTCAATATTTCTACTGTCCACCTATATTGTCTCTATCTATGCCCAACTTCTATCTTATTTTTCTGAAATATCCCTTCTACTATTACTGTGATGGTCCCTACATTGATTTCGTTGATTTTTGCTCAAGTTGTGTGGCTGTGCACCTTCTTACGACGATCTTCCTTTCTTTTGTTAACCATCACAACAAATCTACTCGCTCCTATGAACTGTGACTGCGACCCGATACCGATGATTCACATTGATGATTAATGATAGGTTTGCCTCAGCACGACTCAACGTGACTCTGGCCTTCAGCGTTAACAAATATCGACCTCTATCAGGTGTTTAGATTACATGGATGTCATGAATCCAGGCGATTTTTTTGCGAGCCACATCAATATCCTCCGGATCGTCGTAGCTTTCAAGACCCTCAGTATCAGTGTGGTGACACGGATGATACTTGAATCTGGCGTGTTTTTCTTGGAGTCATTCCAAGGGAAAACTATGTCACCGGGTGTTCCGTCCATTCTTTTCATTCCTGCAGAATGGAATTATTGTATTGTCACTGGACTCTCGCTCAAAGTCACATGTACCAGGGTTCTGTGTTCTCATCCTCCTTGGTACATGTTCGTCTTCTGTGTCATCTTGTGCCACCACGCACGCCTCGGGTTTCTGATCTACCCGTGTTTTCGATAATGCTGCATTCCCTAGGGATCTCGAAACATTCCGTTGTTCCAACAACTGCGAGTAATATGTGTTTGCGCATCTGAAATAGCTCGAACTGTGTGTAATCGTGGCATGTGGCCGTACACCTCTCTTTTCCCCGGCTAGGCCTCAGCAATGGTGGGAACCTGCAAAGCGGCTGCCTTTCCTTCACTGTTAACCCATAGTCTCTGCTAGCTCAGCACCTCCCTCCTTTCTCAACAGATATCTCCTCTTGCGTGTACCAGCCAGCTTTACCCCAACTCCCTCGATTCTTTATTTCCGAACACCCATGAAAGAGATGGCTTACCTTGAGCACAGACTGGTTATTCCCCGAATGCATTGTATCCTGAATCTCTGTTTCAAAAGGCTTCTAGATGACTGCCAAGATCTGGGAAGACGACTGTCGCTCGAGCTCTGTCAACTCAATTCTCACCCTCTCTTCTCTCAGTCATCCTCGCTAAATGCCTAGACGCCGTTTGATGGATCGATACTCGACTGCATGTGAATCGAAGACCCAGACGCGCTTAAAAACCTCGCTCTACACACGAGGCCTCCAAGTGTCTTGTCTTGAACTCTCATCATGGCACCTCTTACACGCATCCTACCGTGAGTCCCCTCGTCTCTTGGATATATATTCGCCTCCCCAACTGTCCTACTATGTAGCCTGAAAGTGCCAAAACTCAAACGACGCACTTGCTACTTCATCATCGGTGGTGTAGTCGTCGGTGTCGTCTTAGTAGCCGCCGTACCCCCCATTTTGAGCCTCATTGGCTTTGGTCCAGCAGGGCCTGTCGCTGGTAAGTATTCCAGACTCTGAGATTTCCTACTTGTGATAGATCTGATTTGACCTGGCAGGCTTGTTAGCACCTGCCATCCAAAGCGGCATCGGCAATGTTGTTGCTGGGAGTCCCTTCGCAATTGCGCAACATATAGGAATGGTAGGTATGGTCCCTGGTGTGTATGCAGCTGCGGGTGCCATCGGAGGAGCCGGAGGGATCGCGGCTCGGCTTGTGGATTTGCTTGTGGATTGGTTCAGGTGAGGTAGTCCCAGCGGCTGGAATAACGTGCTCTGATTGTCCTCAAGGAAAAGGAACTTGAAGGTCCAGGTTGAATTGATCAATGTGAAGGTGTAGGGTAACATCACCATGTTTTATGTTTAGTGTTTCGTCAGGAAAATCTATGCTTTTATGCCCATACACGTAAGTCAAAATGCACGAATCAAAGTGCCGAATCTGAAAGTTGCGGAATCTCACTCATTTGCTTCCTCATTACGTTGGACATGCCGCATGCCGCCACTGTAAGTCTGCATGGTTAGCGTTGAATGCAGGGAAGCTGGTATACCTTGTCTTCCCATACACTCCATTTGTGGTCTACACCTTTACACTGATGATTTGGGGGCAAATACTTTCTTCTCCTTGCCTTGCTCTTACTTTTTGGTGATTTTCGACACAGAAAACTAGATAACTCAAACCTGTATGAATTCACACACACGCATTCTACCATGCGCTCAGCATCATGACATATTTAAGAGTGTTAGGTACATAGTACAAGTATTGGCCAGTTTTCCTCCCACAGACCGCGATCAGAATAAGAGCGCTTCCTGAGTCTTCCCTGATCGTTCCTACCGTATTGGATCGGGATTCGCTCAGTTAAACGGATTGGGCTTTATCACACGGCAGACAACTCGTGAGATGCTCGACCTCCTCACCTGAAATATACGTTGCTCTCTGCACCCCGATCCTTAGTACCGGGGAGGCCTGCATCGGCATGGCCTCAGGTTTCTGGGATCGGTAGGTTTGCTCGAAGGTCTCTATGGCCACATCAAGCGTCGATCTCAAACAGACCAAGGTGATGATTAAGGTAGGGTAAATGGCCTACATATGAGAAAGAGTCTGAGGAGATTAGCGTATAGAGGGAGAGCAGAATATTTCCCACCGTAAGCTGAGCTAGCACCCCTAGCATGATGAATATACCATTGTCCGTCGAGACAAAGACAACGATGGTAGCAAGCTGTTGATCTTCTCAAGGCCTCGAGAGGTAGCTTCACCCACCCATGAGCAACAATAGCATATGCCTGACTCAATCAGAAAGGTAAGGATGCCGTTCTGCTTGCAAAATCGAGCTACAAGAGACTCCCCGGTTAATGTGCGAATTAATCGATAGTGAGTCCTTGGAGAAGAAAAAGGTTGGCAATGAGATGAGGCCAGTCCAGAAGTGAAAATGTGACTCACCATGTACGATAAGCAATCAATGACGTAGTCCAAAGATTCGTTGTCACTATCAATATCATGGCTGCAGTTCCACAAGCGGCTAAAGCTGGGCATCCAGACAGGCTACCAACAGTTTTGAGGCAGCTGCCTAGTGCGTATGTCACTGTCGCGCCTGTTCCTTTTCAGTGATTGTCAGCATAAAACCTCCGAATAATTATGGAGGCATAATACCGAGTGTACTGAACAGTAAAATCAATGACACGAAGAGAATCCATCGATTACGGTTCCATAATATCCATGCCCTCCATATCACGACTCCGTCTCCGAGAACAAACTGAAGCACAACGTAAGCCCCCAGCCAGTTAAAGTTGACAAATACACTTACATTTACACAGTCCAGCGCTAGCTGGGAATATATCCTCGGCGCAGTGTAATCCTCGAAGACCGCAGTGTTCTCTGCCCCGTTTTTTCTGAGGAATCCCCAGAATTTTTCGTGGAGGCTCACAGCAGCGTGAGTGGTCGCGACAGACCACATGGTGATGTTTAGGGCTATCATGGCGAAGATAACCTTGGTTTTCTTCTTTTTGAATCTACCGAGATAAAAGAGTATTCAAGCACGATCTCCTGCACAAGACAAGGATGCGCACATCAAGAGGTATGAGGATCCGAAGAAAAGGCAAGTGTACACTCCTAGGAATTTATTCGGTGAGATGGCTGGGTAAGGAGCACAGCGGATGACGCACCGTACAAGAGTAGCTCAATAGCAACGGAAAAGAAAACAGCATCGGATACAGATAGTGCCATGGCTAAGAGCCGAGTTTGGGGTGAATACTGAAAAATCCAGGAGAACAATGCATGTTCAAGTAGAGATAGCCTGAGAGACATTGATGTATTCGGAATTGGGACAGATGGATTAGGTTCCAGTAGGATTTCAGCATCTCTGATGAATCAGAGCACAGGGGGGGATCGGAACTTGGGAGAACTTGAACCAATATTAGCGTAGGTGCTATAGTGGTGTCCCATATCACAAGAACAACTTATCCGCTTGAGGCCTGAAGGCTGTGTCAAATCTACCATGAGGCGATGGAAGAAACGACAAACAGGTGGTTTTGTGGCCGTGCGGTACTACTTTGGACTGGCTGCTACCACGAACGATGTCACTACACGAAAGACTGCAGCGCAATCCAATCAAGCTATGTTGAAATCAAAACAATAACTCCTGTTGTCTCGCATGATGCTGTTCAAATGTGGGACCTAATGAAGTAAGGCTGGACCAGGCTTCAGTACTTCAGTGCGAATAGCAAGGTACCAGTGAGAGTCGTGAACTTTAACCTGTAGATGATTATCTACAGAACATTGTTGCTCCTCAAATCTGAAACCGGGATGTCAGGATTTGGCACTGACGGAGGGTTTTCATGGCCGACCTGGAGCCATCCTCTTCCTATTGTCCATGCTATGGGCGGTACTATTTCCGCAAGCATACCTATGGACAACCTTGACGCTGTTAGTATATCCCTTCAGCTTTGTACAAGCACAGCGAGTATCCTCTTGAGACCTATTGGGTGGCTCGGCTTCAATCAACAGAATCATATCTCGCGCATAGAAGCAGAAATGGGGGCTAACCCAGAGAGTAGAGAGTGCCGCAGGACTTACCTGACCGTGCATGAACGCGTCAAGAGGGCACGGCAGTGTCAAGATCGTGTGAGTGTGATGTCACACTATGTTCGCGATGTTCACCGCCCCAGGGCACGGCAGCGGCCCGGAATTGCGTCTTCACCGGTCACTAGTAGCTTTTTTCTCTCTATGTTGTCTACCTTTATCTACGCTTACAGCACCGACATATCCCTAAGGCTAGACCTGTGGCAAACCCACACCATACAAGTTTACGCACATGTTAGAGATAAAACGAAAAGGACGTGACTTATAGAGTGAGCAGGAAGGAATCTATCGCCGGGCCATCATATCAGTACTGGATTCCGCTAGAGCATCGCACCAACTATTGACAACCATGACAAAGATTCGGACGCTCCGACAGACTAACCTTGTTCCGATAACATAAATTCTTCTACTCACATTACAAGATGTCCTGTAATCATTTTATCGGTCTGGTATCGCGAGTATCGTGAATTGGTATACTGTACATGATCCCTCGAACACTCAAATGATGGGGTATTTTTATCTGTTCCTACGTCGTACTTATGGGCCCGACTTTTAACATGATTCTTCCGGACCAGATCATGTCAAAGATATCGTCGAGTTCGTTCCGCCGGATGAAATTCTCCACAGTTATGTCGAGCCAGACTCACCTAGTAATACAGACCGAGCGTTATCCTCCTTCGGAAGGCTATTTATCATGATGGATGCAATGTTATCGCAAGAACCAGATGATGTGGTCTCTATATCAACGTTCAGCTGCGGAACATGCATGGAAAGAGGACGGTTTGAAGATTCGAGGCTAGTGATGAATTGCTGGGACCGGTACATCTGTCGAGAACCTTGCATGGCCACGTCAAGCGTCGATTTCAGGGAAACAAGGGCAATGATCAACGTGGGGTATATGGCCTGTAAGAGTTCTGAGAACAAAGTATCATCTCAATCATTAGGTGATGAGTCTCACCGTGAGCTGGGCAAGCATGCAGAACATGATGTATATTCCGTTGCTTTTCAAGACAGCAACAAAGACGGTAGCAAACTATTGGCCGTTATTTAGAGCACCGACAAACGTCATACGGGGATATACACGCACCCATGTGCAGCAGTAAAACACGCCTGATTCGATTATCAATGAAAGAATACCATGCTGCTTGCAAAACTGAGATATGAAGGATGAGCCGGTTAGAGAGCGAATCATTCGATAGTGAGTCCTGGATGGTATTGAGCTAGGTAAAGAGATATAAGCCATCAAAAGATATAAATGACTTACCAGGTACGACAAGCAATCAGAGATGTAGCCCAAAGATTTATCGATAGTGTTAATATCATGGCGGTGGTTGACCGGGCACCTGTAAATGGGCTATCGGTACTCGGAAGGCGTATGCTGCCTGGTGTATGCAGCAGGGCAGTGGTGGTAGTAGCTTGTGTTGACTCAGAGTCAGCATACGACACGGTCGGAGCCTGTAAATCATGGAACTCACTGAATGTGGCTATACCTAAGATTGAAGACACCCAGAGTATCCATCTGCCACGGTTACAGAGTATCCACGCCCTCCATAGTACAATTCCATCACCAATAACAAACTGTCAGAGGAAGAATCAAAGTCAGTACGACGTAAGGCTGTGAGAGTTACGATGTACATTTACACATTCTAGCGCGAGGAGTGAAAAGAGTCCTGAGGGCGTGTTGATCGCAAGGATTATACTGTCTCCGTGCTCAGGACCCCGCAGATATACCCAATGAAGCTTGATGATGGTTATCGTGACATGTGTTGTCGACACGGACCACATGATTGTATTCAAGACCATCATGACAATGGTAACTTTGGTTTTCTCCCTTTTGAATCTACCAAGGCAGCAATCAGTGACGAGAATACTCTCCTGAGAAACACAAGAAAACCCACATCATAATGTATGACGATCCTAGGAAGAGACAAGTGTACATCCCTGTGAATACGTTTGGTAAGATGTCCTCTTCGTGGGCTTAGTGAAGGGATGCACCGTATAAAAGGACTTCAACTATTACAGCGATAAAGAGTGCGTCGGATATAGACAACGCCATCTTGCTCGTGGTCGACTACTGGGTCCCGCCAGGGAAGAGGCCAGCCTGAGAGACAGTAGTATTCTCGATGAAAAGAAGATGTATCATGCTCTCACCTTATAGGATGAGCTAGAACTTCTCATTTCATTTATCATCAATGAAAGATGGCTGCGTCACAGAAACCCATGCTTGATGAAATCTGGGTGATCTTCCTTCCCTTCGATACCATCTTTTGGGAAGCAGGCGGCTGTACCCGCACTACAGTGGATGTCTGTTCCTATCGGAAAGGCCTTCATACTTCGAGTCGCGTTAAGTGGTCCTTGGGGTATACTCCTTTGAAACAGGGTCTGAAAAAATGCTTTTTAACGTTGATCACCAATGATTATACTCACCGTATATAGCATCACAATTGCGATATTTAGTTTGTTCCTTATAAGAAAAATTCGACAGTGATGAACCTTCGTAAGACCTCAGGGAATCTGCATCGAGAGCACAACTCTTCAGTGGATCGGGTACATGCCATTGAAGAGCTGGGAACCAAGAAACCAGGAGATCAAGGTGTTTTGAGTTGAGGTGAGTGCAGAGTTAGTACCTGTGTCGTTGTCGAGGAAATGTTCTGCACATCAGGAACTGCTCTAGGACCTCACCTGCGCTACCTAGACCTGTATATCAAATGACACAAGAAAGACATCCAATAGGTCCAGTTCACCAGGTTTAACGATAGTACCGGAGGCTCTTCTGCACATGATGAGAATTGTGAGCTTCGATCATTTACTTGAATCACCTAATCTTTCCCTTTTCAGCTTCGACGCGAACCACCATGACGCCGGACGAACCCATCTGCCTCTTCGAAGACGAGCATCGACTACGGAAGCTTAAAAATGCCTTCTGCAGCTCAACATATTGGCCACATCTGACGCACTACGAATCTTTGGCCGTTAGGTTTGATTCTCATGGTAGCTATCCGGGTTCCCGATCCCCGTTCACAAAGATCAAGAATGACGGGACGACCAGCATCATAAACGACAGCATTTTCCGACGACTGCGTCTTGAGGCTTTTTTTCTCGCTTTGGAGGGTTTCTACACGGTATGCTTGGAGCTTTCTCTGATACGTCTGACTCTGCTCAATGTGGATTCTGTAGGGCAATTCTGACTTGGCGGGGAGGCATCTTGATGTGAGTAGCTCGTCGTCATATCTGTAGCATATTGATACGAGCTTTTTTGTAGCGGTTCTCTTACATCTGGTCTCGCTGGTTATTGCTGTATTCGGACATGTGTCAGCTCATGTCATTGACTGTTCAATCCATCAAGTCCTCCGTTGATTGTCTTGGGAAGACATGCGAAGATGTCGTCTATTCTTTCACCGACCAAGCGCTATGGGAGAGATGTCAATCAAAATGGCTCGTACCGAAAGAGGGCTATGCCTTTGTTCTTGGCTGGACAGGTAAATCCTTGCGTTGTTTCAACGTCTTGCAGGTCCTCATCTATTGGTCAGAGAAGATATCAGAACGACTATCGGAATGCGATTCACAACCAAAACTCCAGGAGCGTACCTTGCTAGATCTTCCAAATGAGATACTGCATTCGATTTTTTGCCGGACTCATCCTATCGGTGCTGCGCGTCGCCTTTCTGCAGCATGCCATCGTTTGCATGGCATTTCTCTCCCATATATCTATCTAGTAAGCTTCTTCCTCCCTGGGGATGTAGAGATATTAATTGCCTGCCAGACACGTTCGTTGGGCCTGTCTTATTCGTATTCGGATCTTTGTCCAGAGGACAGCCCTGACGAAACAAAACGCCCACAAAAAATGAAAACATTCATCCGCTCAATCATTCAATGTTTATCTCAATCCCATTTCCTCCTCACTTGCCCGGATATCACGCAAAGGATCGAATATGTCCATATCACGAATGGATGGCTTGCCGATATGAATTATGACTTTCCTGATACATTTGTTCCAGCATCTTTTATGCCTGCCATTGTGCAAGCTATATGCACTGCTCTTAGGGCTAGTATATGTCTGTCGACGATCAGGATATCTTCCTACGACCTTAACGAAACCTTCATCTCGACGTTTTTAGCACTTCCCCGCCTTCATACACTGCAACTTTCCCGATGCTCCCTTTCTCACAACGTATTTGACGAAACCGAACCACTACACAATGTCCGAAACCTGTCTCTCGGAATCTCTAAGGGGGGATCGTCTCTCTGGAATATCCTCGCACTCTGTCCAAATGTTCACAATCTCATTCTCTTTGACCGTACGGAATCAATACTAGCTGTACCTTCGGACGTGATCCATTTTGGAAATTTTTGTAATTTGAGGCGCTTCTCACTGGGATCTGTGGAAGATGGATCTGACGGGCCTGCAGTCGGTCTGGTTGTTGATTGGCTGAACAGGGCCACTGAGCACCATTTGACGCATTTCAAGCTGACTGTACGACAGCCTGCTGCGGATGCTGCTTTTCTCCTCCTTCTAGATGCGCTGCAGCCTCATCCCTTGGAGGAATTCATCTTCAATGGCTTGTTGGAAGGACACCCGGTCGTCTTCGATAGGATATCCCAGTCGTTTCCCCGATTGCGCTCCCTCCGCCTGTTCCGTCGCTCGAGCAATCGACAGCGTGAAGCGAGTCACTGTGAGTGGCCTTCGCCACCATGGGAGTACGCCCAGCGTCTTGCGTCGTTCGGCAATTTGCAGTACTTTGGGCGGAACTATCTCATAATAAGAGATGGATATTCACCTTGCTCTATGCAGGTACTTGAAGGAGCCTTGGATGTCTTCAGGAAGGATGACTGTTTCGGCAGCGACGGTGATACTTATCTTGCTGCGTCGGTCTTTGCTGCTCATTGTACTTCTCTGCGGACAATGGTTATGTTGGGCCGCGATGCCTCAGCTTCTGCCATTTGTACTTGGGATATCGAGCGGATTGGTGGGAAGGTGGTTATTAGTGGTGTCAGAGCGAACGAGGCGTTCCAGAGGAAGGTGTGGAACCCATGGGACTGGGACGAACCTGACGAATGGTGGTAATTTGGCCATCATCATTTTTCGATGTGTACAAGCGCTTGACTTTAAATGCCAGTTCTACTTCTACATCCATGTCAGCCTCTAAGCAGCTTTGAATGGCATCTAAAATCAATTTCTTCGAAACAACTCCGGCCCAATGCAACTTTCGAAGACGATGAAATCGATAAAAGGACGGAATCTATCGGCTTCCTTTCTGAGATCTATGCGCTTGCTCGAGATACCTACAGGAACGAATCGCCGGATCTCAGTGAAATCCTACTACGGTATGTTGACAAGCGCATAGATATCAATACCCACTATGCCGCGGTTTGGCGTGCGCGCATTAAATATCTACGGATGATTCCCATCCTACCTGCTGACACGCAAAGAAGTGACCCACGAGTGAGCATTGGAATGAAGCTAAACATCCGTACATGAAGAAAGGGCTCGCTAAGAGGTGCGAAGTTGCTGTCGGCAATTGCCGTTGCCTCTCCATCCTCTGCCATGACATCTACTTTTCCGTTTATTATGCTAGTAATCAATGGTGTTAGTAATCAATCCAGCTCTGTTCGTCGTAAAGCTGGAGAGATGGCTGCTCCGCCGTGGAATTATTATCCCTCGGCGTAACCTCAAGGCTGAGGAAGTTACGTATAAATTCAAACGATGCCTGCTAGCCTTTTGGAGCACCTTGATCAATGATAGGCGCCGGACTGCTACCAATTATCAAGCTATAAGTATCCTGCATTTGGCGAGTCGCTCTCTACACATCCAAGTCCTCACCTCTTCTCTGAGATAGCCCAAGCTCTGCTAATTCGATTCTCGCCCTCTTAAATGCTGCCAGCCATCCTCTCTGGATGCTTAGACGCCGTTTGATTGATGCTTGAAGCTTATTTGAGCGCCCGCAGATCAGGTGCACTTAAAAACTCGCACTACACACGAGGCCCCTCCTTGTTTTGAACTCTCACCACGTTCAGCAGACCTCCTACTGTAGGACCTCTTTTGTTTGACGTGTTCTCTTTTCTCTTTTCTCGACTGTTCTGCTAGACTTTGTGCATATACCATACACTATACAATGCCGCCACCACCACGGAATTTTATCATTGGGGTAGCCAGTGCCGTCGCTGGCGTTGCGTTGGCGCCTGTCATTCTGCCCCCCGCTTTGGGTGTTGTCGGCTTCGGTGCAGCAGGTCCTGTCGCCGGTGAGCAAGCTGAAAGTATTATCTTCTGTTGACGATGTTTCTGACTCGACCTCGCAGGCACACTCGCGGCTGCTATCCAAAGCGGCATTGGCAACGTCGCTGCTGGGAGTGCTTTTGCGGTGGCACAATCTATCGGGATGGGAGGAGCTATTCCAGCAGGAGTTTATGCAGTTTCTGGGATCGTTGGAGGGATCGCAGGGTGGGCTGGTGGCTGGTTCGGTGGTCGGGAGTCGGTGTCGACGGAGGAGTATGACCAGGATGTTAATACTGATGTTTGGCTCGGTGAGATTCCCAAACGACGCGACGCGAGGCCGCCTTTGGGGTGGGATCTGATTCCGTATAGGCAACTTGCGCAAGTGCCCAGCGATGCTATGAAGAAGGTACGGTTCCTATTCTTGCTTGGTGGTATTGTGCTCATCGTGAGGATGTAGAAATTGCAGGAACTGTTTGACAGCATCGGCACAAAGAACCCGATGCTCGTTGAATACCGCGTGTCTCCCCATGAAGGGCACGTACTTGGCATACATATTCATTCCTCCATCTCTCCGCCACATGAAGTTGCCCGAGTCTCGCTTCTCGAGATCAGTCATATCCATACTCCTGACCATTTGCTGCATGTCGTGCTGGCACCCCAGGACTGTAAACAAGGTTTGCTATGCTTCAAGCGTCGTTTTCTTTCTGCGTATTGACTTAGTGTCGCAGTTATCGAGAAGGGATGGGGTGAGCGGCCGCATCCATTTAGCGGCGCTAGGAGGGACATCAGTTTACCGAAAGAATACCTGATAATTTATGGGCCTCGAGATGACGAAGAGCTTGCCGTCATCGAGTGTATCCTCAAAGCGGGTGTTGGGTATATGACTAATAGTCGTGAGGTTGTTTGAAGCAGTCGATGGATGTAGTCATAACAGGTGGTAACTTGGTCATTATTTTCAATGTGTACAGTTTCTGAGTTTGAATGTATGTTCTACTTCTTCATCCATGTCGGTCTAATGTCACCCCCTTTCAAACAACTCCGGCCAAATAAGACGCCTCTGGAGGACAACGTAGAAATCGAGAGAAGATCAGTATGTATCTGCCTCCTTTCTGAGCTCCGCGCACTTGCTCAAGATACCTACAGGAACGCATCGCCGGATCTCAGTAAAATCCTACGGTATGTTGGTAAGTGCATGGAATATATCCACTATGCGGTGCGGTTTGGTGTGGGCATTGAATATCAACGGGTGATTCTCATCCTACCTGCTGACACGCGAAGAAGTGAGTCACGACTGAGTATTGGGATGAAGCTGAACATGCGTACACGAAGAAAGGGCTCGCTAAGAGGTGATACTTGCGAAGTTCGCTGCGAAGTTGTTATCGGCAATTGCCGTAACCTCTCCTTCCTCTGCCATGGCATCTACTTTTCCGTTTGCTATCATACTAGTCTTGAGCTGACCAGGGGTGACCAATCCAGCTATGTGCACCGTAAAGCTGGAGAGACGGCTGCTCCGTCTTGGAGTTATCATCCCTTGGCGCAATGGAAGCAACCTCAAGGCTGACGAAGTTACGTATAACTCCAAACCATGACGATGTCTGCTAGTCATCTAGAGCACTCTGATCAATGATAGGCGCCAGACTACTACCTATTGTCCAGCTACAAGTATCCTGCCTTTGGCGAGTCACTCTATACGTTCAAGTCCTCGCTTGTTCTCTGAGGTTGCTCAGGCTCTGTTTGCTCAATTCTCGCCCTCTCTCAAGTGCTGCTAGTCGTCCTCGCTGAATGCTTAGACGCCGTTTGATCGACATCTTATTTGACTACCTGCGAATCGGACGCGCTTAAAAACCTTACTCTGCACATGAGGCCCTCCTTGTCTTGAACTCTCACCTTCTACACGCTTCTTACTGTGAGTCCTCTTTTCTTGATACATTTGCCTCTCCCGACTATCCTGCTAGACTTCGCATATACCATACAATGCCGTCGCCACCACAAAATTGGATTATCGGCGCAGCCGTTGGTGTCGTGTTGGCACCTGTCATTGTGCCCCCTGCTTTGGGTCTTGTTGGCTTCAGTGCAGCAGGGCCTGTCGCTGGTGAGCGAGCTGAAAGTATCATTTTCTACTGACAATGACTCTGATTTGACCCCATAGGCACATTCGCGGCTGCTGCCCAAAGCGGCATTGGCAACGTCGCTGCTGGGAGCACTTTCGCAGTGGTGCAATCTATGGCAATGGGAGGAGCTATCCCAGCAGGAGTTTATGCAGTTTCTGGGATCATTGGAGGGATTGCAGGGTGGGCTGGTGGCTGGTTCGGCGGTTAGTTTGAGTTTCTGGCTGCGCTTGCATCATCTAATTTCTTTTCTAGGTGATGAACCGGAACCGGATGCTGCGGATGCTGAGGATGGTGCGAACTCGAACACAACGGAGGAAACTTAACTATGCTAAATTTTCATGTTTTATCAGGAGACGATGGACTTTTCTATGCTTATGTACTTAACCCGACGTGTGTGCTTTGGCCCATAACATGTACCATGCATGCTTCATAAGAACGCTGCTAGTAAGCGCTGTGATCAATGATAGGTGGGCTCATACTGTCGATTATCAAGGTAATCATATCCCGCTTTTGGCAAGTCGGTCTCCGTGCCATCAAGTTCTCTCCCGTTCTCTGTGGTTACTTAGACTCTATTAACCCGATTCTTGCTCTCTCAGGGGTTCGTCAAATCAAAGACTCTGGGCTTGTAACTTTGGTTTGTACACCAGGCTTCTCCCTTGCTTCGACTCTCACATCCAGGGTCCAGGAGAACAACCTGAGTTACGGGAGTGCGAGTCAGAGGTGGTGGTTAATGAGCCGTAGGAAAGCTCGACGCGTCCGTGACTTGCTTCCGCTACAACTGACCCATTGCAGCTTCGTATCTTCCGCCAAGAAGGTCTGTATTTGAGCGTATACGGCCTTTTAACGGACGGAGAAAGGAATGCGTTCGTTCGAGATGGATGGATTGGTATATATTAATTCGGGTTGCGAAATGGCACTACATGATGTGATGAGACGTATGGTTATTGTCGCTTGTGTTTCGCTTTCCGGTGACGAACTTTGTTCTATTAGTATCGTAGAAGATTTTTAGTATCCTGATGCATGCGAACAGTGAATTTTTACATCGTTGGTACGTGCAGGTAAGCAGGGGGTAGAGTCTATGAGGGGATGGATAGTCATTAACATCGGGTTTGTCTACCACTGAAGGAACGTCTTACCGAGAGTGATCGTAGCTTGGTGGAAGAAGCCATCCGGTATGCGAAGTTGGCTACGTAGAGCTGAGGTCGCCGCCTAAGAACTCGGAGGATGCGCTGAAGCGGGGACTGGATTATTTGCGTAATAGGTAAGTGTACAACGAACGGCGAACTGGCAGTACGTACTACTTGTCCCTGAAGTGTATGGATCCTTCCCCTGTATGGAAAAATTCAGAGTAAGAACTGCTGGCTGGGTCTTCATAGTGACCTTGATGAGGTGGGGACAGAAACTGTGTTGAATTTTCGAAATTCGACCTTTCTGACTTCCAGATTAACGCTTTGGAGGAGGCGGTTGTTCTCGAGCTTTGAACCAGGAAGAAGAATCTGAGCGCGCCACCATCACCGTAGAACCGTTGTATTGAGACGAATATAAGAGCGTCTCATATTCATCTCCACAGAGGGCACCGCACGGCGAACTAACTGAGATCAGGGTACGAATGAGAGGGGGAATAATGGATCAAGGACTGTTGTCCACGGGGAACGATTGAGATCTCCGCGCTGGCAACTGGGGCACGTCTGCAGAATTGTAGCGGAGAGTAGGCGTAGTTAGGTGGGAAGAGGGGGTGCGTCGTGGAACAGAGGATTGCCTAAAGATAGAGCGACGAAGTTCATGATTGAATGGCAAGAGCGGGGACCTTAATCACAGGTGTATCTTGGCAATAAGAGATTGATTTCAGCGCATCAGAAAGGATAGCCAGACCAGATAGGCGTTGGGAGTGGGGTAGATACACCGTGGTGTTTTACTTCTGCCCGAGGACTCAACAGGTGTATGAGCCACAGATGATCAGATGAGGGTGGAAATTTAACGGGGAACTTGTTCTTATTCTTGTCAATCTACGCAAAGGCAGGTCGATCGCTATAGCGGGATTTACGGTATAGCCTGAAAACTTGTGGAACGTAAGTACGCTTCCACCATTACTCCTAAGGTCCGGCGGACTTGAATGTCGCGTCGTCGCGTCACGAGAAGTCGGAACTTTTGTTGTTACTCCTGTGTTGATTTTGAATTCGGTCGGAAAGTGGGGGAGGACAGAGGATTGGCTACTAGTACTTGAATGCTGGTATATTTTGGGAGAAAGCACGATGGACAACGGTTTATGTCAAAGTCGAAAGTAAATGCCTCAGAAGGACATCGAGAGGGCAATAGACAGGACGCAAGTTCAATTGATGACACGTGCCTTTACTTCTGACCAGTGACCGCCATGTTCTACTATAATGTCCAACAACTATATAACGTCCTGTCATTCCATGTCCACGCTCCAGAGCCTCCATGAGCACCACTCTTCTCGATAACATCCAAGACTTCTTGCAGCGTAATCCCCAGACTGTAGTCGCGGCTACCACCGTCGTAGCTGTGTCTGCGGCATGGATGCTCGACAACTATGCAAAGTATATCAGCCTTGGCCAGGGAGGATTGCCGTGCAACGCTGCCGGATGGTTGTTCTCGACGCTGCTGAAGCCGTTTGGTCGCGAGACGGTGTCGACGGAGGAGTATGACCGGGATTCGAATACCGATGTGTGGCTCGGTAAGATCCCGAGACGACGCAATGCGAGGCCGCCCTTGGGGTGGCATCCGATTCCACACAGACAACTCGCGCAGGTGCCCAGCGACGCTATGAAGAAGGTACGGTTCCTATTCTTGCTTGGCGTTATTGTACTGACTGTGAGGACGGTAGAAACTGCAGGTCCTGTTTGACAGTATCGGCAAAAAGAACTCTATGCTCGTTGAATACCGCGTATCATCCCATGAAGGGCACGTACCTGGCATACATATCCACTCCTCTATCTCTCCGCCGCATGAAGTCGCCCGAGTCTCGCTTCTCGAGATCAGCCATATCCATACCCCTGACCATTCACTGCATGTCGTGCTTGCACCCCAGGACTGTAAACAAGGTTTGTTATGCTTCAATTAACGTCGTTTCTTTTTGCCATACTGACGTTCTGCTATAGTTATCGAGAAGGGATGGGGTGAGCGGCATCCATTTAGCGGCGCCAGGAGGGTCATCAGTTTACCGAAAGAATACTTGATGATATATGGGCCTCGGGATGACGAAGAGCTTGCTGTCATTGAGCGTATCCTCAAAGCGGGTGTTGGGTATATGACTAACAGTCGTGAGGTTGTTTGAAGCGGATGTTGGATGCAGTCGAAACAAAGAATGTAATTGTATCTCTACGTCATCTGTACGATAGACGAGGAATTCTTGACTAGCTTTATCGATCGTTGACTTGGCCTTATGCTCTTCTCGATAACACGAACATTCTCATCGTCTTTTTCGAGGTTCTATGCGCATCGAAACGCGTCTGGCCCATAGTGTTGCAACACCGACAGTGCGACGTCTACCCCGCCAATGATTACGAAAGCACTTGATCGTCGGGCCATCGTTTGGTCAGACAAGGACCAGATAGTGATATCGAATTATAGATAGAGGTAGGGGTAAAATTATGCAACAGAGGGTCTGTATGGTTTGTCTATGTCTTCCTCTTCACTAGATGCATCGTCAGTACTCCCCTCCTCAGACTCCGAGTCATTCGATGGGTGATCATCTTCACCCTCGCTTTCCTCTTCGCCCTCGTCGCCCCCTTCCTCTTCCTCCTCCTCCTCTTCCTCCTCCTCTTCATCATCCTCTTCGTAAAACTTATCCAGATCTGTCAGAAGAATCTTCGAACTCGGTCCCTGTGCACCCGCATCCGCACGCGATGTGGGCGTCAACGACACCCGTTCTCGCATTTTTTGCTGTTCTGCTGAAGACAGTGCAACGGGAACGACAGGCGGCGGGGCGATGTCTTCTTCTGTATCCCTTAGAGACGACTCTACGCCCTTCTCTAACCAGTCGGGGAGTATGGGTTCGCCCAGGGTGGGTTTCCCGGTGACTGCATTGGACGATCCGAGCATGACATGAGGATCTGGGTGAAGATGTCAGAGGGTGGACGCTGATGGTGAAGAGGGATGGGAGTACCTGTAATAACCGGATCGACGTCGATTATACCAGCCTTTCCCTCGAAGAGGACCATCCTAACTTGTTCGCGGCGAAGGACGACTCCTTCACGCTCTGCTGGAGCGTCGACACCGTTGGCTACAGGTATGCTGAAATTTATCCCCGAGAGTAATGAGGATAGCATTCTTGCTCGGTCACGGACGTCGTAGTTTATGTCGTAACGGGCGAGTAGGAAGATGTATTGGTTGAGAAGGCCCAAGGTGCGGTCAACTGGACAAAGAACGAATAATTTTGCTGCGAGGGTGATAGCCTGGAGCTTGACTACGGATTCCTAAGGATAGGTTAGTAAGGGTAAGGGATGAGCGGTATTATGGTGGAAACGCACCTCTTGTGAAAACGTCTTGGCCATTTTCCGTAGGACATCTGGCGCCCAGTCTGTTACGCCTTCTAGGCGAGAGGGTGTTCCTTCTTCTGAAGCGGCATATTGGCCTACGAGCCATACGACGCAAGCTCTTGCTTGTGGATGTCGGATATCATCGATTTTCCGGGCGAGCTGGGATATTATGGCGAGCGGAGACTGGGATAGACCGATGGCAGCGGGGCGCCTCGAGGAGAGTTGAGCCTGGACCATGTTCTTGAGGACTACAACTGCCGTATTGACGATCGTGTCTGTAGAGAGTGTAAGGAGAGAACGGAAGGATAAGTGGATGGAGAGCTAACCGTGTGGACTATTGATCATGCCAATTAGAGCCGTAAGGGATTGTTGGACGGATTCCGGTATGATGCTAGCACATCGCCCAATTGCACGAATAGATGCGGCTGCTACCTCGTCGTCAATGTCTTCTGCATAGTCCTACAATAGTTAGTATGGCGTCCAGGAAAATGAAATGGTGCTCACTATGAATTCGCGAAGGATTGTGGAGTAATTGTCAAAGGTAACGATGATGAGCAACATTTTTATCTTGTCGATTTTGACTTGCCGGAGATCATCGGATGAAAGGATGAATCGAGTGTAGAATGGAGAGAATAATGCCTACGGACACTTTAGCAGGTGTAGGTAAGACTGTAAAAAGTGCTTACTGGGGAGGCCGAGGCGACTATTAGCGTGTATGCAAGGACGACTCGTTCTATTTCTTTAGAGACTGATAATAGCCGGAGCAATGGCTGGACGATTTTAGCGTGATATGAGGGAGGTCCGGCATAGTAAAGAACACGGGCAGCGGCCAGAACCACCTATGATTCCTCAGGTCAGAAGCCGTGGGTGATTTTAGATGTTTGCGTACCGCAGGGTTTCTGCTGAAGAAAAGAGGCTCCGCAGAATTCAAGAGCAGCTTTACGTCCTTGTCAATGTCCTCTTCCTCGCCTCTCAGGACAGGTCGTGGTAACATGATGCGAGAATATCGGAGTAGGAGAGCAAGAAGATTTATTTGGCCCCATTCATCGACATCGACAAGCGTTTTGCAGAGACGTCGATAGTGCTTGTGTAGTAGATCAAGACGAGTGGGACAAACCGCGTCGAAGGCGACAGCCACGCTTCCGATAGATAGAGGTGAGCGATCTCGAAGAAGGGTGACAATTATTTCGATGAGGGAAGAGAGGTGGCTTGAGTCGAGGCTAGATGGAGGGTAAACAGAGTTGAGGATGAAGGTGCTAGATAGACATACTCGTAGCATTTTGGGATGGCCAAGGCGGCGACTTTCCTTACGTAGGGACTAATATCTGCGGCACATTTCTTGATTGCGAGAACAACGATGTTTCCAATCATGGGCACCTTGATTCCGCTGAGAACACGTAGGGCCATTGCGCGTATGAGGGGATTACTGTCGGTGAGATCCTTCTGGAACGTGTTAATAGAGAGCAAAGCAAGGTCGGGTTCTTGTTCTGCATATTTCAAAAGGTAAATGTAGACAAGTTTCCGTATCTCGAGATTTTGAGAGGCGACGTTCTTGACGACCTGGGCAAAATATTCGGAGACATTACGACCTTTGGAAATGAGCTGATAAATGTGTCACTAGGCGAACAGAAGAAGATTTAGCGACGTACTGCTATCAGCCTCTTCATCGCGTCAAGCTTCTCCCTATCACTGCTAGAATCGAGCTGCTTGCGAATATCTCTGCCCTTGTCGTCGGGTGAGTCATAATACGGGGAACTTCTACCCTTCGCGATATCCCTGGTATGCTCGCTGATCGATTCCTGCAGTCGTAAACCCAGTCGGGAGGCATTTTCGGTGAGGGTGTTGATGTATTCCCCAGACATGAATGCAACAGGCCAAGGTCACGTAGGCCGGCCGGCCCGTGGACGTAGGGAAAAGTCACGTTTTTTTCTGCCTTCCCATTTGGATGCTTCGCCAATTGACTCGAATCACTCGATATCGACAACATCTACCCGTTCTTTATACCGCCACTGCCTTTCGCGTGTTCGACACCAGTTTTTCATACAGAGGTCCCCAGAAGAGACTGAACCAAACCATGGCTACCCAGGATCAGAAACCCAAGGAGAAGAAAGCAAAAGCAGCGGCTACCTCTACATACCCTCTAGAGGTACGGCCTATTCTTATCGTCGACCATCTTCCTGACGAGCATCTGCGCTAGATGCAACCAGCACCGGCGTTTTTTGATCATCGTATCAAGATGTTTGAGGAGTTGAAGGCGGAATATGATGCAGCGGTGAAGGGTGCGTGATTTTGTGCTGGACGATACGTGTCCTCTGAAGGGATATATATCCGCAGCTAAACCTCGCGAGGATATCACTATCACGATGCCGGATGGATCGACAAGGTCGGGTAAGAGCTGGGAAACAAGTCCTATGGATATCGCGAAGGAAATCTCGAAAAGTCTTTCTGAACGGATTGTCATTGCTAAAGTGCGTAATTCTTACAGTTTATCTGTCGTTTCACTTATCTACCACTTTTTTTTAGGTCGATGGCAACGTCTGGGATCTTGAACGACCCTTGGAAGCATCTTGCAAGCTGGAATTGCTTGATTTCGAGCATCCTGAAGGTCGGTTGACCAGGTCGGGCTCTATTGTGACTCACACATCTTTTAGGGAAGCGTGTGTTTTGGCATTCATCCGCCCACGTTCTCGGCGAAGCATCGGAAAGACATTATGGATGTCACCTCTGCCTTGGTCCTCCCACCGATGACGGTTTCTTTTATGAGATGGGAATTGACGACAGGTATGAGCTATTCTTCCTGAGTTCAATACTGTCCTTATTCGCGCAGAGCTGTTACCGTGGCAGACTATCCCGCTTTAGAAAAAGTTTCCGAGAGTGCTATCAAGGAAAAACAAAAGTTCGAACGCCTGGTGGTTTCCAAAGAGAAACTTCTGGAGATGTTTGGGGTGCGTCTTATCTCTGACGACTCCGCTAAAAACTGACAGCGCTGTGCTCTTCTAGTATAACAAGTTCAAAAAATACTTGATCGAAACCAAGGTTCCCGACGGCACATCCACCACCGTATACCGGTGTGGGCCCATGATAGATCTCTGCGTCGGACCTCATATACCGCATACCGGCAAGATCAAGGCTTTCATGATCACGAAGAGTTCGGCGTCATACTTCCTTGGAGACTCCAACAATGAATCTCTGCAGCGGATATACGGTATCTCCTTCCCAGATAAAAAGCAATTGGCGGAGTACAAGGTTTTCCTTGCGGAGGCTGCTAAGCGGGATCACAGGAAGATCGGAAAGGTGCGTTTTAGGCATATTGGCTGGGTGCTTTCGGGCGTCAACTCTCTTATAGGAGCAAGATCTTTTCTTCTTCAACGATCACAGTCCCGGAAGCTGTTTCTTTTTGCCTCACGGTACCCGTATATACAACGCACTTATTGAGTTGCTCCGGGTAAGTTCGCCAGCTTTGTCAATTCTCTGTTGTTCTCAAGTCTTTCGCGATAGTCCGAGTATTTCAAACGAGGTTACCAGGAAGTTATCTCGCCAAACATGTATAACTGCAAACTGTGGGAGACGTCAGGGCACTGGCAAAACTATAAAGACGACATGTTTGTACTGGACGTTGAAAAGGAGAAATGGGCTCTGAAACCGATGAACTGCCCGGGGCACTGTCTCATCTTTGATTCGAGAGACCGTAGCTACAAGGAGCTGCCCATCCGTATGGCAGAGTTTGGTCTCCTACATCGTAATGAAGCTTCAGGCGCGTTGACGGGATTGACGCGTGTGAGGAGATTCGTTCAGGACGATACTCATGTCTTCTGCATGCCATCTCAGGTTCGTTCTCTTGCATCTATCTGTGACTGCCACTCATCTTCTTGTATTAGCTCGAAGATGAGATCAGCGCGCTTTTCGACTTTATGCAACACGTCTATGGAATGTTTGGATTCGATTTCCATCTCGAGTTATCCACGCGTCCGGATAACTACTTGGGCAAGATCGAAACTTGGGACATGGCAGAAGATGTAAGAGTCTTTCGATCCATGTGATTTTATGATATACTGACAAGAATGACACCTCTCAAGCAACTGAAGAAGGCTCTGGACAAGCACTATCCAGGGCAATGGGAGCTCAATCCAGGCGATGGTGCCTTTTATGGCCCCAAGATCGATATTACCGTCCGAGATGCTCTGCGCCGATCATTCCAATGCGCGACGATCCAACTGGACTTCCAGCTCCCTGAACGGTTCAATCTCAAATACCGATCAGCAGAGGACTTTGGTAACCCAGACAAGCCACCGTCGAGACCGGTCATGATTCATCGTGCCATCCTTGGAAGTCTGGAGCGGTTCATTGCTATTGCCACGGAACATTTTGCTGGGAAATGGTGCGTATCAGCGGTTTTCGATATGGGCTGTGGTCTGATGAAGGTTCTGTAGGCCATTTTGGCTATCTCCACGCCAGGTTGTCGTGATTCCTGTTGCTGCTCCCTACGTGCGTTGTCTTTTTTCCCCGTTGTGGTATTCATGGCTCACAATTCAATTTGCGTATGCAGAAAGAGTACGCAGGCCAAATCGTCGACCGGCTCTCAGCTCTAGGGCTCTACGCCGAAGTCGACAATTCGGATAATACCCTTCCTAAGAAGATTCGTAATGGTGAAATTTCCCAACACAACTTTATTCTTGGTATGTCGACCCGTTATCTGTTTCCCAATACACTGCTATAATGTTTTCTTTTCAGTTGTTGGTCAAGAAGAACTAGATGCTCAGTCGGTGAATGTTCGAAATCGGGATGATATCGGGACGAAATCAAAGGGACAAATGGTTCCGCTGGATGAAGTTGTGTCCAAGCTTGTGGAATTGAAGACATCTAGAAGGCTGGAGAACCAGTTTATATAACTTGTAGGGCGTTGATAGAAGTTGATAATGATGAAAGGCTAGCTGTTGCGTGTCAGTGGTTTTATGCGAATAAGTCTGCGTTCGGCGCACTTGAGGCTATGCTGAATCTATTTAGCTCCAGGGATTCTGGTATTGTATCAAAACGGTCTATGGTATAGCTTCCTTGTCAAACCTCCCTCTGATACAATGAAATAGATCTTCTTTCTTTTTACCACTGCGTAATATCCACCTCGGCCTCTCCGAAAACACTCGTTTTCTTCACCTCGAATCCCTCATCAGCCAAGTCTTCCTCTACCTCCTTATCGTACACTTCCGGTAGCTGCCTTTTGAGAAACGCCATTACGTGGTTATTAATGGCTTCAAATTCCAATAGAAACCCATCATGTCCATCTGGTGACGGTATGATAACTAGCTCGGAATCGGGAATGTGCGCCGCAATCTCTCGCTGTTCCGTTGTTGTAAATAGACCGTCAGTAGCGATGCCGATGACTAGGGCGCCTCTGGGAAGCTGAGAGAGTGCACGAGCTAGGCTATGTCTGCCCCGTGATAGATCGTGGGTATCCATCTTCCGGGTAATGTGGATATAACAGTTCGCGTCAAACCTAGCGGTGAACTTGTCGCCCTGGTAGCGAAGATAGCTTTGAGCGGAGAAGATATTTGGCGCTGGTGATGAAGCACGGCTATTTTGAGAATTTCTATGGCCATCATTATGGGCTGAAAGTGCATTAGGTGTCTGTGGTGGAGACTCTGTTAATTGGTACTTCCGCCCGAACCGTTTCTCGAAGGAGTCGCGTGAGCGGTAGGTGAGTAAGGCTGCCATGCGAGCTGCAGCAAGCCCCGAGGCCGGTTGAGAGGAATAGTACCCATCGGCGTAGTGCGGGTCACTGTAGATTGATTGGCGCTGTGCTTCGCCCCAGCTGATGCACCAGGCTGAATGGCGAGCCGATGTGGCGATAGGAACAACATGACGGACGTAATTTGGTGGGGTGCAGAGTGGCCATTCTAGTACTGCCATTCCACCCATTGAACCCCCAATGGCAACTGCGACGGACGTGACGCCTAGGTGATCAAGTACAAGTTTGTGTAGCCTAAGTAGCCAGAGTTAGATGGAGTGACATGAAAATGAAAGGGATTGCATACCGGACGTCATCGCGTATAGTTGAAGTAGAAAATTCAGGCCCATAAGATTTTCCTGTATCGGGGTTGGTGCATACTGGAGATACAGTACCGTATGGTGACCCAATAACGTTTGCACAGAAGATGAAAAATCGCTTGGGGTCAAAGGCTTTCCCCGCTCCCATCAGTGGACCCCACCTGTACACGTCATGAGTAAAAGTGGTATCAGTAGAGGCGGTACTTACCAGTCTTCAACGTCGGCACTGCCAGTAAAAGCGTGGCAAATAATCATAACATTGTCCTTTGTTGCATTTAGGTGACCCCATGTTTTGTAAGCAACAGAAACGTCGCGCAGTTCTACGCCGGATTCTAGAGTGAACCGGGGAACGGTGAAATACGACTGGGATATGATGTCGTTCAAGCGCGACATGATAAAAGAATGAATCACTGTTGGATCGGGTTCACGGACCGAAACATATGGGCCGGGCGGTATTATGTCATCTGAAGCCAAGGGCCGAAGCCATACCGCAACCAAATCAATCCAAATTTACTCTCCTCCCATTCCTACCTCCACCGTTCGATGACCAGGGAACATGTCTCTCGCCATGGAAGACGACTTTGGCATCGTATACGTCGTCGAGAATGCTCAACAGTTCTGGTCAGGTACGTGTTGGGAGTATATATAGCTACAGTTATTGACCGGACTCGTGGGTAGAGCTGGACGACATTTTGACGATGCCACGAGGAGCCCCGCCGACGCTGCAACAGCTGGACGGGATGATGAGCAGGTGGCTGGGATTATGTGCCATATATCATGGTATGTCCTCATCGATAAGCCATCTAAATCATCCTCATGTCTGCAGAACTCTATTTGCAAACACCGCTCCAGCTGGAACATGCGGTTGACCTTTTACTCGATTCGGAGCTGTGGGCCTTTCACTCAGAGAGAATGTGCGAGAGTCTGGCAGAGACTGTCAAGTCAAATACCGACCCACACGCTCAGCTCGTTATTTTCAATGTTCTACTCCGGTACGGGCAGCGAAAAACCGATTTTTTCCGCGCGCAAAAGCGGTGGGGCACGTTGGTACCGTTGCTTATGGACCATACCCTCGTTGAGATTGATGAGAACGAGGACGGCGTCATCGAGGCTAAACTAAGGCTAGTAGGTGTGAAGTTGCTATATGAAGTCTGTCGTTGGCAGAAGCTCACCGTCGCAGAGTTACGTGAGTGCATCCAGCTGTCGTGATGCATGAATCTTCTAATCAATTCTTAGGCGTCTTCGACGATTCATTCGTTGATTACTTATTTGACCTGGTGGAGCAGACAAGACATGTCCAGGACGAGACCTTCAACTACTCCGTAATAAAGCTAATAGTGAGACCTTGTGTTCTCACATTTGTTACTCTCGCGCTGATGGTAAACAGGTGGCGTTCAACGAACAGTTTATGGTGGCCTCTATATGCGATCGCGAACAGAGCGGCGTAGAGAAGAACCGCGTTCTGCGGGTGTTGATGCGGCGACTAGGCTCGAGCAAGACCTTTGGAGAAAACATGATATTTATGCTCAACAGAGCTCGTGAGCTCTTTCTTTTCTATGATGCAAGCGGTTTCTGATCGGTTTCTGTTTTAGAGCGGACACCAGACGACTTGTGCATGCAATTACTGGTACTCAAGCTGATCTATCTACTATTTACGACAAAGGGTACCGAAGAATATTTCTATACGAACGATCTATGCGTGCTAGTTGACGTGTTCTTAAGAGAAGTGGTTGATTTGGACGAAGATAGCGAGTCGGTGAGTCGCTTAGCTGAATCCCGGATCTTAGCTAAAGTCATTCAGCTGCGACATACGTATCTCCGCGTATTACATCCGCTATTAACGAAGACGCAACTCAAGGATGTACCATATAAGCGGCCTCAGATCAAGTACGCCTTGGAGAGCTTGGTGCGGGATAGCAGAATACACGATATCAATCCGACGACTAAAAGGCTCGTGGAGCGGTGTCTCGGAGGGCAGTGGTGCGTGCAGCTGAAAAAGGCAGACGACGTGTCCAGATCGTCTACGCCGAGCGATACTGTTGCGCCAAGCCGGAGCCACCTGGGCCTTCCAGCGAGCGTTGATGGCGTCGGTCCAGGAACGCCTGGAAAGACGCTCAAATCTACCCGAAGCGCAGAAAATTTGGTCGCGAAGGGAGTGAATGGAATGAATGGCGCCAAGGGAACCAGGGTGGGGGCCGTAAGAAGACCGAGTAACGCTAGTGCCGGTAGTTTCTCTGGCGTGGCGACCGCTGCTCCATCTACTTCATCCAAACCCCCGGTCCCTTACCCACGTCGGAAAGGAACTTCCAGCTCAGAACATGTGGAGAGACTTCACGTTGAACGACCATCACCTCATTACATCGATCTGTCTGCCCAATCCGATGCTGGCGGCGAACCGACTCGAACTAAGCATCGGAAACCCCCACCTGCGCCCGTGGCGGTCAGCGCTCCGTCTTCACCGGCTTTCAGGCAACCTGGCGTCTATTCAGCTCCTCCCCCAATACCACCGAAGCGGAGAAAGCCTCCAGCTGTGCCCGTCAGATCATCTGGTGGGCAGGGCACAGTTTTCGAGACTATCAAGACTTCAGCGGCGAGTCCATTGACCAGATGAGCTGCTATTTGACCTATTTATTACCATTCGATTTCTTCATGTCGTACCTCGGCCTTGTTGTAATTATTTTAGTGGATCACTGCACCTTATCCAGACAGTCCACACTTTACACTCGCCATCTTGTACGCCCGTACTCCAACAGGCAAATGCTTTCCTCCGCTTACAAGAAGTCATACGTACTTGAGAGAGGGATCACTACGCATTGTATGGGTATTATTACATGGCACGGTGCCCAGGGAAAACAAACAACAACGCAGATAGTCTGTAAAGCAGGTTCAGAACGGTCAGAGCACTAAATTTAAGATACGATAACATCATAATACAGCGTCCTCTGGAATCTTGTAATACAAAGGCTGGGAGTATTGCACGTTAATCAAGCTCGATTGGCAGCAATGAAACTCGGAACCTACCGTATTGAATACATGATAGAAATGGCCATTTACACCTCCTCGCCACTTGTTTCCGTAGTACGCCATTGGGAGCCACTGAGCGTAAAGAAGACATTAGTACTGCAAGCCATATGGAAACAGAGAAACCGACATGTTCTTCTGGAAGATCCTCTTTATGGGATCGTAGATATCGGGCTTCGTGAGTGTCGTTGACGACAGTTGTACCATGTCTAGGCAATAAAAATTGCCCGACCTGGAGCTCGGTGTCTGTGATAGTGCCCCGGGACACTCGAGCATACGAAGTACGGTAAACACCTCGATAGAGTATGTATTCGCACCTGTATAAATGGTCCGTTCATTAGCAGGAAGCCAAAAGAAGAGATGGAAGTTACCATCGATCGTTATCTTCGTCGTCGATATCATGCATTTTCCCGTCGACGGTCAAAATCTCATAGGGATTCGCTGTCCGCGACGTTAGTAGGCCATTCATCTGTACATATATCCATGGAGCTTACGACGCAATGCTCCGGGCTTTGTCACGACATAGCCAAGGAATATGACCGGTCTAGGATATGATGACGCCATGATGCGAGCCAACTCCTTGCTCTGAAGCTCACGATCCAATGGATCTTCCTCTGTGGTTGACTGGTCAACGCCACGCAGGATATGGTGCTTCGCAGCTTCACCCACCTTGTCCGTTATGGGATACTACAACTGTGATATAAGTGCCGAACACATCAAGCACGGCTTCGATTGCAGGCGCGAGTTCGCCGTGAGGAGATGGTAGCAAGTGATGTGTCGAGTTGATGATTGGGAACTATTCTCATCCTGTCAGCCAACCGAAATCAAAGGAAGTTCGATAGTACCTTGGACAACAGTACAGCACCCCAGGTGTGAGAGTTTGGACCTGGACCAATATCCACGTTCTAGGTATATGTCAGCATATAGCCTTCATCACGGAGAAAAAAATACAAACATAACCTAGGTCTTCTATGATGACCCGAGTCCTATGAGATGTTCAGAGATGTCGATTTTTACCGGGTTATGAGCGACAACTCACAAGTCACGATTGCCAAACACCGTTCGCTTCAAAGGCTTGATCAATAGCGCACAAACATAATACATTAGAGGCTCACATGTAGATCTGTTTCCAAAAAGCCAACTACGTCAAGCTCTAGATCTCTATCAGATTGTCAGCGTAGCACAAGGATACATGTCGCACGGAGGATCAGCACCTTATTACATCTCTCACCCTCCGTTGGCTGTCACGTCCCGCATTGTCGATTCCGAAATGTAAGGTCCAGATACCCGTGCGCAAGATTCTTGGACCAGTCCTCCATGGTTGTATGGCAGAAGAAGGCATCCTATAAAGTGTCGCAAGCACCGATAATGTGGAGATACAGCCCAGGAGGAGAAACGCGTAGATCCGGACAGATGCTGTTACTACTGGTCGGGGTATTCCCTTCGGCTGAACGAAGGCCAGAGATAAACACATCATTTGCGCGACCAACACCCTATTATGATGTTGAATGCGGAAGGAATAAAGAATCGAATGCCGGATAGAACTCACAGGTCCGATCTCTCCCTCAGATAAACGCCGCCTGGAACGAAGGCATAGGCGACAGTCCATACGCTCGCCAGGCTCAACAGGACGTAGACAAACATGGCTGTAAAATACGTTTCAGCCACCTTCCCCGTAGATGCAGCTAGCTGCAGAACGACCGGAATAATCGACATGACGAAAAGGCTTAAACCCAGGCCTCCTCCGTATCCTAACCAATTGCGATATCGATACATCACATACGAAGACCCAGAGCCAAAAGCCAGCCAAAGAGGGTGCGACGTAAAGTTAAAACGTTTACCAGCGTCAGAAGAAAACAGGACGGCGGTGAATAAACCTAGAGCCTGAAATACAAGGGTTACAGAGCCATGAAAATGTGGCAGGGGGCCTCGGGGCCGTCCATTCTCGTAACCAGTCCACGACCACGCAATCGTCGTGCTTGGATCGGAGAAGAGGGAATGCAATGTGAAAATTAGGCTACCAAGTGGTATAGCACTCAAAAGCCAATGATTTGCCTTCGAAGTGAGAGCTTGGACCGTGGTTCGCTGTTCTGGGGCGGGTCGGACCAAAGATTCTAGGAGGCAAAGAAGTGCTAGAGCAATGCCTAATTTGTTGTAGCCCCCCGAATGCTCATTCAAGAACGGCCAAACTGCATAATTGTAAGAAGCGTTATCAGTGTCGCAGAGGAGGCATACCTGGATTGTTCGAATGATTTGCATGTTTCAGTAGAGAAGACAGCGTCAAGCCGAGGCCGGTAGCTGCGGGAGGACTCGTAACTACATATCGATGTTTCATGGACGCATTAAGACTCACTTATACCCTGATATCCAACAGCATATTCATCAGACGCAGCCCAATCAGCTGTTTGTCTCAGAACAGCCATAGATGCAGCAAATGCGACCACGAACAAGCGTTGCAGAGGTTTTTGAAGGAGATAGGCCACCAAGCCAGATAATGATAAGAAATGCAGGAATATCTGAGCTGGCAGTGTTCTTGCCCAACGAAGAAGTGGGGATACAGACAGAAGGAATGGTGAGAGGACAGATAGCAGTGCGAGTTCATGACCTGCGATCCCCAACTCCCAAACAGAAAAGTAGAAGAGAGTTGGCGTCAGGGACGTAAATATGGACCAGAATACATATGCTGAAGGCAATGAGATGACGATCAACAGAGACCGAGGACACTGGGCTCACATAAATAAACGTCGGATATAAAGCTTACAACAGGATTTTGGACCACAGTGGACAGATTGAATGATACGGATTCGAGCTTCGGCATAGAGGTTGGAACAGATGTGGTCTTGCTCTCCTTGATACAAACTGGTGTTCCATTGTGACTGCATAAGGATCAGCGAATGGATATTAAGCAAGTCGATGAAGACGATGATACATTTCTTCGTGTTTCTGATCCTTAACTACCAAAGAGTTAAGAGAAATTTGAAGGGCGGCATCCTTGAACTCTGCCTCTGCTATGGAATCATACAAGACATCAAAGAAGATGAGGCCCCACTCGAAGAAGCTGTAGCGGGTATATGCTACAAGCGTCTGTCAGAAAGAAGCATAGCACGACAAAGAGAGAGGGATACCTCCAGGTATTCGGTGAACTTTGTGCTGAATAAAGAAATACACGAGGGGAATGATCGATACGAAGAATCTGCTCTGAATTAGAACAGAATCAACTTATGTAGTTTATCAACTCACGCCGTTGCGACAATGCGTCTATATTACGTGCGTTAGACATGAGATTTCTGTCGACGAGTCGTGCTACTCGCCGTTTCTTACGTATTCGCGAACTCTGCTTCGGGGTGCAAGCAATACCACCAAGCATCCACGGTATATTGCAAACCATGTAGGTGATCATGAAGAAATCATGCATGTCATGGTCATCGCTGGATGTGATGTACACCCATCCACCACACGACAATGTCCGAACCAAGCCAAAAATGAATACGAGAACTGGAAGTGTTGATTGGGACGACCGGTGTAACAGATATTGGGCGGCTACAAGTCCAAAACGAGGCCCTAGACGCGACGTAAATGTAGAACAGAAGACGGAAGATGGAATTGGGCGTACCAGACGTCAGGGCGATGAATATCTGGAACAAGTTTCGTTCCGGGTACCAGTCTCCGATGCTGCATACAGTCAGCTCATCGTCGTTCATGGCAGTGGGAGAAGCACTCACGTTGCAGAAACCGACGGAAACCATTCCTGAGGGTATCCAGCGACACCATTTTTCACGATTTTCTTGTAATGCAGCAGGGATCCGACGAGTAGAGCGCTTAAGAATGCGGCGGCCGCCAAGCACGTGTGTGCACGAGTAATGTGCGATGCTGGGATAGAGAAATTGGTGTTCGACATCGGGGGAGACGACGAGTAGACCGTCGCGCCCTAGCGACGGTTGAAATCGGGGAAAGAGCAGTGCAGCAGAGTCTCGTCGGCTTGATGGAATTCGGAGGTGGTCAATGGGGATGACGTGAGCGGAATTACGAGATGTCATATGATCGACAGCCTTCCCATTCAGGAACCATCGAACTTGTCGCGGCTCGGACTTTGAAGTCGAGCCATTCATGGCCCCGTTCATTCCCATCACCGTCATCACTGGATTCCTTGGGGCGGGGAAAACGACACTGATTCTCTCTCTGCTACCACAGCTTCCTTCAGATTACAAGGTTGTATTGCTGAAGAATGAATTTGGTGACGTTGAAGGTGGATTACCTTGAATTTTCCAGACCATTCAACTAAATTTAAGATCGCCCCTAGTGGATAGCAAGCTGGCGGCACAATCTAGTCTGACCGCTGTCAGCGAAATTCTCAATGGTTGCATGTAAGCGATGACTGTACATTCTGTTCGATCTGAAAGCAAATTACGACAACATAGGTGCTGTGTCCTAGTTGGTCAAATGCAGAATGCGTTGTTAGAGATCAAAGGTGAGGGAAATTTCTTCTTTTAAAAGCTGCATGATTCATCCGACGGACAGATAAATATACCCCAGACCGTATCATAATTGAATGCTCGTGCGTCATGTGGGACATTTGATTTTAGAGGAACTTACATCCGTTGTAGTGGGTCAGCTTTCCCCGCGACGCTGGCATTTCAGATACGCGAATTGGAACGTGAGACCGGCGGGGGTCTTAGATTGGATGCTATCGTTACAGTAATAGATGCGGAAAACTTTACAGGTTATGAAGATACCTCACCAACTGCAAAGATGCAGTCTAGTTATACCGACATGATCCTTATCGTGAGTCACCTGTCATAGGGTTTATATTGACGATTGACATGAGTATCCACAGAACAAGTGGGAACATGTCTCAGAGCGACAATTAGATATCGTGTTAGACCATTTGGGGACGTTGAATGACCTTACCCCCAAAATTAGATGCCAAGGAAAGCAGGGTGTAGATCCCAAGCTGATTCTTGGGTTAGAGACGAAACTTTTCATGGAAGCGGAAGATTACAAGGACGTGACTCACCAAGATGAAGTCGAGACTGTAACAATTCTGCGAGGGGCCGACAAATCGGTACACCACCATCACAATTGCGATTCTCATGCCAATGGACATGTTGACGAAGAAGTTACTGGGTCCGAGAAGTCGGAGGAAGGTATTACACAGGAGCAGCTGCAGACGGCACTAGATTCTCTTTCGAAGGAGAGCGTGTGGAGGGTAAAGGGATTCGTACGCTTCGGCTCTCAGGAAGTATACATATTAAACTGGGCATTTGGGCGACATGAGTTGACCGTGCTAAGGGGCACACACAAAGAGAGAGCAGCTATCCGGTTGACGGCTATGGGAGAAAGGGGGGAAGTGAAGAGGGCGGTAAGAGCATTCGCCGGTGCTCTTGGTGCTAGGATCGGATAATCCGTCGACGGTCCGCGGCTCGCAAATGATGTCTAGACACTGCTATTGCTTCCGTATGATATTTTGATCACGTGAATGGTTTCTTGCGAATTCACATGCCAGATTTATGTCTCCATTGCCTGGAATTACTGATTCCCACAGCACTCCCCTTTCCACCTTCCGGTGTGGCCCTTGGCCTTAGACACCATGTTCTCCTACGCTTTCTCTACTGGTACGCTCTGTTTCTTCGCCTCTGAGCATTCATTGAGCCTCTTCTCCCTGCAGCCAGTACATATTTTCATTTACCAGTGGATGAAGAGGAGGATAGAGATATTGAAAACTACGAACGAAGATACCTGACATGGACAGCAGAGCCCTCAGGCCTACCCACCACCGACAAATCATACCCAACCTTGCACTCTGCAGACGCAGCAGACACCGGCCGTTACGACACGCTCAAGGAAGTCTTGGAGAACGATGACCTATACAAAGTTTTGGGCATTGCCAAGGCAGCCAACCTCGATAAGGTGGCCCTTCGTCGCGCGTACCTCTCTCGCAGTCGTGCTTGCCACCCAGAGTTCGTACATTCAACATGATGCTTCTGCGTGTCGTTGACTTGACGTGTTGATAGTAAATTTCCTTCGGAGGCCAACGCCACTCTAGCTTTTCAAAAAGTGGCTGTGGCATATGATATTCTCAGTAAACCTTCCTCCAAGCGCCTATATGATTCACGTCCTCCCTCATCTACCTACGATGTTTTCTCTGCGCATCCTGCTGGATATGCAGAAGAAACCTTTCGCAGCGTGGTAATCGGCGTCTTCAACGATTTTCTCGACGGAGATCTCGAAGTCATTCGCACGCTCCTCAGTACGCATCACAATCTCTTATAATCGTTGCTATGTCTCACTCATATTGCAGAAGCTATCAATGATATCAATCCAGCACTCAGTTTAGGCGAAGATGGCATCAATTCAGTCCTTCTGACACTCCAGCGGATACGGCAGCGCGCTTTGAGTACGTATCTCAGCAGACTCACCCTCGTCGATTCTAATCCTAGTGCAGCCTGTCGGACGTGCATATATGCGCTTCACAATGAACTTTGCCGTCTTCTGGAGATCCAACACGCCCTGCGCCAATTGTCATACTTCGACCTTTTCGGTCGTTCTCGTCTCACCGTACGGCTCGCGCGCATCACCCTTCGTCTTCCCATAGCCGTAGAAAAAGCCATAACGGATCAAAATATCGCTTATGGCGCCACAGACGCAGATCATGCTGCCGCCGCAATACTTCCCAGTAAAGTCACCTTGCTGATCCGCGGTGTCGATATTGCCTTGGAAAGAATGGAGAAAATCCTATAGGACATATCGTAATTGTTTTCATTCAGCTTGTTTCTCTTGGTCGACCACTGTATCTGGTATTTATGATCCCCATTACACTATCTAATTAGACATTCTATTGTAGTGTATTTATATGTAGTTTTACAGGTAGAAACATGTGTGGGCACAGGTTTTAACAGCACATCCTCGCTTGAATCATATGTGGCTTATAGGTTGTTCCCATCCGCAAAGGCAAAACGTATCATAATTGTTAAGTACCTTACACAGTACAGTGGCAACGACCGGAGAACAGAGGTACATGTCAGCGCGTCTGAACATAATATTATATCCAAGCATCGCGCCGAGAGGGGGTAGCAGTGTACATACTGGATAAGAAAGCTATTGTAACAGGGAAGAAGGGTAGTATGCCCATCCGGTTATGACGAATAAAAAGACTAAAGACATACAACAACACGTAACGCGAAATTACCTTGAAAACGATAATATTCATGCCTGAGGCGGGATTGCATACGTCGACATAGATCCATTCCTATGGGAAGGAGAGTGATGCTAGATGAAACAGGATGAATACACGCTAACTCAACTTCTCAGGAGCGGCTCACCTGAGGCATATTCTGTATCCACATCCCTTGTTCATTTTGGACAGCACCATCTCGTTCCTCGGACATGTACGAGTCCTGGGAAGGTGGTACAGCAGCAACAGCCAACAACTGGCTGTAGTCTTGATGATTATGACCCTCAACGCTATTAACTTCACTCTGCCCTGCCTCTGGATAGAATGGGTAGAACATGTGCCCGCAATCAGGCATAGGCGCGTTCTTTCCCGGAGGCGTGGTCCCATTCATCGAGCCACCATTCATCTGCCGTTGTTGTGGGCTATACGGTGGGTTTTGGGGACCGGTCCCGTACGGTGGAGTCGACAGAGTAGGGGTGTTCTGTTGACTCTTGGTGAGATTGGGGCTCTTTAGCACGGTGTCTTCATCCCAATCGGCTTCGCTTAAAAGGACGGGATGGGTAGCGGGCCCGACTTGGTGAAGATTGGCTTCGAGGACTCGTTCAGCTAGCTTGGCGATTAAAGGATGTCCGCCGTTAACGTCCTTACGCTCCCATCGCCAGCGGAATCGAGGAAGCATGTCCAAAGCAAGCCATACATCCTCTAGGGCGGTATGCCGTGGGAGTTTATCACATTTTGACATATGGCCGTATAGGATCACCATGGCGGCAATGTGGAGTGGGATCGGTGAGGTGAAGAAGGCGATATCGGGGTATCGGATGAGTTGACTGTGAACTATGATGGTATTATGTGACGTGATGATAGCTAGGAGTCAATCAGTATCATTACTTCGACCCAATTGAAGGACAGCTTACCATCCACCAATGCCTTCCTACGCTGGGCATACGTGAGCTCCTTCAAGCTGAATAATGCTCGAAGTAGCAGAATTCGGGATATACCAATTTTGAGCAGCGTTAAACCTTCGTCCTCGGTAATCTCTTGCACGAGTTTACTCTTTCGCTCCATTGGCCATTCGTCTGTGCCAGAGAAGTAATACTTATATTTGTCCGGTAGCCCGCGCCGGAACTCGACCATGCTCTTGATAATTCGAGTAGCATTTCGCATAATGGTATCACCACTCTGTCGCGAAGGAGAATACAATGAATTGATGATATCGGCCTGTATCTCCGCAATAGGGTGTGAGAGATCGAAGTGTTCGCTAAAATCCTCTCCAAACCCAGAAAGCCGCGCAGCGGAAGACATGCGAGATGGACGAGGTGTATTGGCGTCAGAAGGTGCGATGGCTAGCGGACGGCCGAGAAGAAGAGATGTTCCGCGGTCATGCACTAAGACAATCCCCCAGAGTCGAATTCGCAATTGGCTCTCTTCCTCAGAAAAGATGCATTGTTGAGTGTTAGGACTCATCTGGTTTGCGGGATTGAGCTGAGTGGTGGGGTCATGGTGAAGTCCGAGTTCTATAGCAAGACGGACAAGGCTTCCAACTAGACGCCATAAGGTGCGTCCTTGACGCTGAAGGCGGGCATGTTAGCAGCATGCACACATTGGTGGGCGGAAAGCGTACCTCTGTATACAAATACCAGTGCAAGAGAATAAGTGCTTGCAGACTGGAGATAGTTACTCGGAGATCAGGTTTCACGCTCAGCGCACGTTCAAAGAATTCGTCATGCTCTGGCCAGTCGGGAGCAAAGCTTTTAGGTCTGGTGGCACCGGTGACCATGGGATCGTCGGTGTCTACATCGAGTTTGGCGGACCGGTTGGATATTTCACTGAGGGTTCCCAGAGCCAGCACGAGGTACAGACTACAAATGAACCCTGGGTCATGAGTGACGGTACGCTCTGCATAGAGGTCGTCCAGTGCCTTTTCAAACACTTTGCGGAAGAAGACAGGACGGTGCACATTGAGACGGGTAAAATAGACGTCTACGACCTGCTGGACCATTCCACGATCTTTAGGCAGCCATACATCGATGGAGGATGGATCAGAGCTGCGTGACATGAGAGGAAGGCGAGGTGAGTTCAGAGAAGCATTTGAGTTGCGTCTGACTGACACCGTACGCCAGTTTGCTGTATCACGAGGAGCAGAGGTCTCTCCAATCGAACGGTCTCTACCTGAGCTTAAGCCGTTGGATCCGACTGCTAGATCTTCCCTGTCGATATGCGTTGGGCCGAGCTTGAGATCGCTGACAATTGCTGCAGAAACACCGAAATTTTTGGCCAGAGACTAAGTTACGATGAGAGAGATCCAGAGACGGCATACATAGAGCTCACCTGGGTGTTGGACATGTCGTTAGATTTGGGATCTTGACCTTTGATATCAGTTGTGACGGTGCGCCCTTGCTCGACGACTTCTGCCGGCACATACTGAGGATGCTGCTGGAATGCAGGGTGGATGTGGGGATTGTAAGGTGGACCCGGCATTGGCGGCATTTGGGACGGGTGATAAGGACCCGGCGGCGGATACGGCATCATGGCATGGGGCGGATAACCTGGCGGCGGAGGCAGCATGCCTGGGGGCGGTGGGTAGATAGGATATCCCTTTGGCGGTCCACCAGGCGGAACGGGTTGTTCTGGACGAAACGAGTTGCGTAATGGCGACGAGCTCAACTGGAATGCTGCTGGGACTGGGCCGCCGATATCGATGCCATCCCTTGCAAGGAATTCCTCGAGGTTCTCCAAAGCAAAGCCAGGTAAATGGCGTTTGAGTAAGGCCTCACATTGTGCAAGCTGGAGTTCGATGCGCTCGGTATATCCTCTGGGGGTCAGCGTCTGGCGGTGACGGTCTTCTTGGTTGCACTCGACGCCAGCGGTAGCACAAGCAGTGCATCGTGGATGTTTTGAATCGCACTGGAGAGAAAAGCAAGTATCAGCTCTGTACGCTGCTGAGCTGCCCCGGGCGACACCGACGGCAAATGCCAGCAGTCGGGACTTGCCTTAATTTTCTTCCCTCTGCATCTGGCACAAGCTTCGTGCGATCGGCGTAGTCGACGAGGTTCGCTTGGTCCTTGCGGTCCTTCTTCGTTTCCACCTTCATTTTTTCGTCTTCGCTTTGCGCCCGCTGTTGGCGTCGATGCTGGCGGCGTTTCCTGGTTTGGTGATGGCTGTTTGATAGGCATAGGTGGCGGCGGATTCATCTGCAAAGCAGACTGAAGTGACGACGGCACGGCACCGGGCAGCTGCTGGTTAGCACTTGGCAGCTGGTTGGAGAGCATTATTGCTACCGATCGATTGGCGAAGGCCTGAGCACGCTGTATGGCACGACGTGCTCGGGTGGTATTATCATCCCACGTGCATCTGTCGGAATGCGAATATACAGTTTCGGAGATTAAAAATACTCCGGCCCGCTTGTCACTTGGGCTCAGTGCTTATCTCCGTCGCCATCTTCCAAGAAGTAGTACCATGGGCAGGGCGAGTCCACCGCCGACGTTCCCTGTTACCCGAGATTATGCCCCGGTGGCTACCTCCAGCTCTCCCACAAATGAACACGAGAAAAAGCCCTCGACGTCGACGCGGGCGTCCACCGATTCGGATACCACTGCTACTCACACGTCCGATGAGTTCAATTGGTCTGACAACGACTCTTCCGGCCCCAAGAACGGCGACGGTGTCAAGGCCAAGCGTGGCCGTCTTATCTATCTTGCTTTCATCAAGCTATCTCGCTGGGTCCGAGTACTCATTATCGGGATATTAGGGTGTGCAATACTTATCACACCGTTGCTCGTCGTCCAGCTGCGCTTCAAGGAACTCACGAGCAGCGTGCGTACGCAGGTCCATGTATGGAGTCTGTGGTTAACCGTAATATGGGCGGCCGCATGCGTGACGTATCTGGTTGTCGATGCTATTCCTCGGCTCATCGTAGGCCTGATAGTCGTATTTGGAGGACAGCTGGAACGGCTAAAAATGCAAATTGAGGTATTCACTATTTCGTTATTTCGTTTCCTTGTTTGACGACGCCTCGTATCTAGCTTGCGCTTGCTGTTCAGGGTTGGGTTAAATTAACCTTCGATATTTCCTGGGCCTGGATTGCGCTTTCCGTTATACGCACCGTATACAAGCCAGCTGGAAACTACTGGGTCATTATTAATCGAATCATGCAGGCGTTGTTCGCTGCCGGAATCATCATCTTAGCTGAGAAGGTCTTCCTTCAGTTCGTTGCCATCAATTTCCATCAAAAGGCCCTGGCAGATCGCCTGACCGAGAACAAGCTGGGTCTCCGCGCGCTGGATAGGCTTTCCAATGCGCAGCCAGTGTTTGGTATCGGGAACAAGCGTCCAAAGAGGCGAGGGCACAAGAGTCCTGGGGCGAGTATGGATTTGAACAGTGCTGCGCAGCATGGACGCAATCAAAGCCAAAGTCAGCTAGGACATGGTAACGAGATGGATGCTAACAAGGAGAAGCCTGCCACTGCCTCTCGGAGCGCCCAGCGACGTCGCAAGCGCAAAAACTTCATGTCTGGCGTCATCGTGGATCAGGTCGGCGGCGCCATTGACCAAGTTGGTGATGCCATCGGTCAAGTCGCGCTCAAAAATTCCAAATTTAACCGTGAAGGTGATCTGGGAGGACTCTATTCGGCGCGAAAGCTCGCACGAAAGCTGTTCCGCAGCCTTAATGATGTCGATCCTGACCGGGATCACCTGATTGTCGAAGGTAATAACTCCCATTGCATGTCCGATAATGCCTTACTCGGTTTCAGACTTTTATCCGTATTTCCGGAGTACGCAAGAGGCTACCACTGCCTTTGCACTCTTTGACAAGGACGGCAACGGTGACATTAGTAAACGGGAGATGCGCGAAGCAGTACAACGCATCTATCGTGAGCGCAAATCGCTCATCGCCTCCCTCAAGGATGCTGGTTCAGCTGTAGCCAAGCTGGACGCAGTCCTACTATGTTGCTCCCTTGTCGGTATCATATTTTGCTGTCTCCTCATATTTAACAAATCCAACACGCTCGAGTCACTTGTTCCACTGGCGACCATCATTCTTGGATTCTCTTTCATTTTTGGCAACGCAGCCGCGACACTGTTTAATTCCCTCATCTTCATCTTTTCTACGCATGTCTTCGACGTTGGTGATCTCGTTATGATAGATGATCAGGCGCTCATGGTTCGTGAATTTGGACTCTTCAGTACCACCTTCCGTCGGGTTGATGGGCAAGAGATTATCGCACCTAACTCCCTTCTTTCCTCCGCCAAACTGATCCACAATCTCCGGCGATCCAGTAGTATGTGGGAAACTACGAACATCCAGTTAGCGTACAACACACCTTTGCCGGTGATCGAAGAAATTCGCACATGTATAAAGGCATTCGTGACCGAGAACAATCGTGAATGGAGCGGCATGGATCTCAACATTGACAAGATGGAGTACCAGAATGCTATTCACCTGATTGTGGCAATGGAGCACCGGCCAAACTGGCAGGATTGGGGTGCGCGATGGGTGCGAAGGACAAAGTTCATGCGGAATTTGAAAACGATTTTGGAGGACTTGGATGTGAGGTGGACAATGCCTGTGCAGCCCGTGTTGTTGCCTCGGGATGGGCAGCAGCATCTGCATCCTTTACAACACCAGAGCCTGTATATGGCAAGCAGGGAGACACTCGGTAATGCTGGCAGCTTCCGTGGGAGCCAGCATCTGAGTGCGCCTAGTCCAGGATTTAGGGGGACGAATGCAGAAGGGGGGTTTTGAGATGGGCTGGGTCACATATCTTAATGACTGAGATGAACGTGAACCTATGTATGTTGGCATCTGAATTTAGCTACACCTCACCTATACATATCTTGCATACTTACATACTACCATAGAGTGGAGGAACAATCATACTTATTCATTTTTAGGGACTAGACTCCGAGTAGGGATGGTCACCGTACCGTTACGGATACGACCGTAGAGGAGGCGGATAGCAACAGTTACAGCTGTACCTGTAACCATACTGTTGATGTCCAGTCTGCTGATGAAATGGTACTAGCGGTGATCCGTGCGGATTAGGATCGGGAGAAAGACGTGGTATTTTTAGGTAGCTATCAGATTTGTTTACATAATTTTACACATATTGTATGATTTTCTTCGATGCAACGACTTGTCCTCCGACTCTTCATGTCTCAGTGTCTCTGTCAGTCATTCATTCTTCTTTTCAACATGCTCAAAGTCATTGTTATCATTGTCTTTGTCAGTGGAAGGATTGTTGGAGGAGGAAGTAGATGCAGATGCAGTAAGGGTGGGACTGCATCCAGTAGACGATGTTGTTTGGGGTTTTTGCTTGATATGTTTCATCAGACTGTTGGGCACATTGAAGTTAACTGTTTGTAGAGTCTGTTTTTGATTTCCTTGATTGGATGAACCTGTACAGTACCATATCAGAAATGACAAGTATAATAGGAACAAATGGACACAATATGTACTGGGTTTTGTAGGGCTTGCAGGTGTGAGAGGCATGCAGCCAAGAAATATAATGTTGTCAATATCAATGATGAACTGATGGACTTTGCAGAGTGGATTGTGTTTGGAGGGATCATGATCTTTGAATACAACATGTGAAAGAAAGCCAAACACAGATATGAAGATGTTATTTCCTGGCATTGGTTTTTTGTTTTTGTATTGTGGCAAGTCTGTTAAGCACTAACTCTAATCTGTACCAAGGTGTATTCTCTATCCTGTCACTCACGTTTGGTGATTCAGTGATAGAGAGGCATTGGCAGATTGTAAGAAGTTAGAGCATCACTTAGATAGCAAGAGCAAGGAGCTTGTAAGAGTTAGGTGTAGCCCACTAGTACGACAAACAAGGTCAAACTCGTGATGTGACTCGCACTTCGGTCAAGCATACAATGAGCAGGCACAAGTAGTCCTTTAGAGGGATACTTAGACAGCCTAGGCAAGAATAGTAGAGTCGATAACTAGGTATATGAACCTTAGCCAAAGCTGAGGCTTAAGGCCACAGCTTGGCTTGCTTAAATACAAGAAAGTAGTCCTAAAAATAATAGCTAATAAGTCCGAGAATCGTACGATGAGCTGACAGTTAGTCCAAATAGAAGGATGTATGTGATGTCCGTGTAGTGCAGTACTAAGCATATATGAGTCAGTAAGGTACTTAGCAAAAGATAAGTGAAAATCCATAATATTACCCCCTCCTTAAGGCTCAGTCATCCCAACTGAGCCAACTCCATCGATGTCATCACCTGGGGGCAAGCTTGAGGGTCTCCCTTCTGCTTTAAAACAGTTCAAAATTAGGTCCACTGTCACCCATCTGTGGTTGGCTTCTTCCCTATTCTCACCTGGACTCTGGCATCCATAGGCATCCAGAACCACCCTGCACCGGTATGGTCTCAAGCTGTCTGACGGTATTATGGTTTTACCCCTATTTTCCTTATCTTATCTTATCCTTATCCCTCAGAACCCTGGACCTGCCTATCTTATCTCTCGGACCCACGATATTCCACCAGCACACTCCTTACCCGTTTACCCGGTTGCTGTCACCCCAGTTCACAGCTGCCGCATCCTGGATGACTGACGAACCGCATGCATCATCATGCTTCTCTTGATGGCATCATGCTTCTTAGTAGTTGGACAGGAGTTGACCGCTAGTCGAGGGCAGTCTACGGGATGCAGCCTATTCAGATGGAGTCCCGTGAAGATACAGGTGACATGTGCTCTTTACTCTCATTCGTCGGAAGTACACTTCTTTTAGTGTCTTCACTCCTCATTCGTTGAAAGGCACACTTCTTGCTGCACGTGCCCTTGTAGATACTATTATTAGTACGAGTCTAACATGTATTTAAGCTAGCCTACACTGTGGCCTTAGACCCCAGCTTCGGCTAAGGTTATATACTTCTAACTCTTACAAGCTTCTTGCTTTTGCTATAAGTGACACCTAACTTCTCATAATCTACCAACACCTCTCTAACACTGAATCACCGAATGCGAGTGACAGGATAGAGATCAGCCTTGGTTTAGACTAAGAGTTAGTGCTTAACAATTAGCTGAAGCTTGCCATTACTACCCTTACCATTGTCAATGGTAACTGTACCACTTCAAGGCAGTCACTGTTATACTTCCAAAGAAAAAGAAATCTTCAGCCCGTTATTTAAAACGGCACCCACCATACCTCGAGACCATAAACACTCATTGTGGTACAATGAACTTTATGCCTCTCACCCCCTCAGACCACACCGCCATTATCTTCAGAAGTACCTTCAGTATCTTGACACTACTATCTGCAGTCACAGTTATCCACATTACCCGACCAACCCGATGCCAAAGAGCACCAACCTCCAGAAGAGGGAGAGTACATGGACTCAATGGCTCATCAACAGGAACCTCATGAACAGGAAGCACCATCTGGCTCAGGTCAGTCACACCACAGCCAAGGGGGGAGTGAGACACACTTCAACCTCCCTTATCTGACAGAGAAGACTGAGCCCCCACACTCGAGCTTCAGAGCGAGGATCAGCAAGATGGTAAAGGTGAAGAATCCCTTTGGGAAGAAGACCTCGGACGACTCGGCATCCCTCCAGATGATGGAGATGACCAAGTCGACCCCAGGTTTACTACCGAGTACTGGACCAATACAGACAGGTCCTGGGATGCCATGACCTGGGGCAATGACAATGACTCCAGGGAGCCATCAATCTCCTCCACAGAGTTATCGGCAGCCATCCCAGGGTTCAACGACAATGGAAGGCATCTCTATCAAAGGGGAACGAGTGGGTTCTACATCGATGCATTCAACCGAATCGTCCATGGATGAACCCGGCAAAAAACCACCTTTGAAGAAGGTGAAAACCCGTTCCTCCCTGCCCAGGACAGAGGAGATGTATGGGGAGTGGGCGACGCAGGAGGACATCAAAGAGATGAATCTCCAGAGCCAGAGTGGCATGACGCTCCAACCTCTCTCTCGTCATACACCCCCGATGGAACCTATAGAGTTGAAGGACCCCCTTCATAGTGGGACGACGATTCCATCCATGAGTCAGACTTTATTTGGTCATCTCCCCAACCTGAGTCCGAAGTCCTCCCTCAGACTCTTATCACCATCGTCGACCTCAGAGATTTCGCTGAGCCCCATTTTGCCCACATCTCAGAAACTTCCACAAACGATGCTGTCAGAGACAGACCCGACGATGTCGTACTCACTGAGTACTCTGACAGTAATAATGAGGAGCTCCCAGAGTACTACACCCACCCAGGATCCCCAATTAACAGGGGCCAGTGGGTCATCTTTCCAGGAGACACTCCAGAAGGAGACAGGATCCTCAACTGGTTTGCCAGAGACCAACCCTTTCTGGACCCTATCATCCTCCTGAACCATGTCCCAAGGGAGCTTGACCAGACCCCTTCCCATCCATACCCCTACTGCAACTGCCCCATCTGTCGCTGTCTCAGAGCCCTGGCCATGGTCAAGTATGAGGGAGCAAAGCCTCCTGCTGAGCTCAAACCCTTCCTTGTACCAGAGGGAGGATTCTTACCTGACAGTTACGATGGAGGTTTCCTCCCTCCCCGAGGGCTATGGCCCTGGATCTGGAGATGTGAAGATGCTCTGGAGATCTGGGATGAGTACTGCCGATACTTCTGGGGCATATGGCAGTGGAATGATGACTGGTATGCAGAATATACAATATTCTCCAGATACCAGGTCATCAGCTACATGCCTGATCACGACAACAGGTCAGATCCCTGGACCAGAGCCAGGATGGTCATCAAACAATGGCTCCAGGAGGATGAGCCCAGTAGCCCCCATAGTGGAAGCCCCTCTGACGACCCACCTGAGTTTGTCCAGGGCTCAAGCACAGGGGCTTATGGACCGGCAAATATATGATCTAACATGGCAGCAGATGTTAGAATGGACAAGCAGACGATTGCAGTACAATGTAGATTGGACCATGTCTGACCAAGGACAAGCATACAATGCTGCAGAACTAGGCTCCGCACTGGAAGACAGGATACTTTGCACCGAAACATGGTATCATGCCACCATTGACTGGAACAAATTACATCCCAACCGCCCCATAGCACCAGGAAGACGCTATGGTGAGGAATCATTCTCTAACCTGGGAATAGTGGGCCCAGAAAACCCAATTCCAGACATTACCTGGGCACCTTCCAGTGCCTTAGGACTGGAAGCGGCAGGAGGAGGCACCTTCCATGCCCGTAGCATGGTTGGAGAGGCCTCACAAACAGCACCAACAGGAAAAATGGGTGAACCAGCACCCGTAGTTCCTGGAGGAGGTGGCGGTGGCCCAGGAGGACCTCCACCCATACCACCTCGACCTCCGGCACAACCACTATCACCCTGTAGTGATCAAAATCTCTGATCACTACCGCGACCTACCAACCCCTCTCTACCCCCCGATCTGCCAAATGGATGGGTTATCCCCAATGGACAACCCAACCCTTGGGGAAACGTAAAACTGACACTGATAGAAGTCTCTGACAAATTCCATGGGAAGGCCAGCGACTTAGATCGCTTCTTTAATCACTGCAAATACTACTTCGAGGTCTTTGCCCAATACTTCGTGCTTAACGAAGCATATGGGTATGGCCCAAGTTGAGTGGTCTTTGCAGCCCACCGATTTGGTGGGGAAGCGATGACCTGGTGGATCCATCAGCAACAACACTACAAGGACCCACACAGTGGGAGACATTGCCTTCCCTCCTGGGAAACCTTTCAGAAAAACGTCCAAACACGTTTCAGGGAGGTAGCAGAGGTCCAAATCAAGTGAATGCAATGGAAGAAACTGCAACAAGCACAGTTCAAAATGGCTATCGAATTCTTCGAGAGATTCGAACAGCTGGCCATGGAAGCTGAGCACTTCCACAATGACAAGGAAATGGAGGAAGTCATTGCCCTCGTGATCCGGCCCAATATTAAACAGATTATTATGGGCAGAGACAATATGCGGCCTACCACCTACTGGGAGTGGAGGTGCAGGGTCCTACAAATGGATGAGAACTATCGAGTTCATCTCACCCAAGGCAGGAAGTATCCCAGTGGGACTGCTGGTTTCAAGCCCAGAACAGTGGGGGGCTCTTTGAGTGGCTCAAAGGGCAGAAGGGATGCCACTGGATTCACCTATGGTGGTGAAGGCGAACCTATGGACATTGATCATCTCAAAAGAGAAAAGCGATGTTTCCGGTGCAGACACACTGGACACCAGGGGTGGGACAATAAGTGCCTGCCTGACAAGTCAAAGTGGTTGAAATTCCCAAAGAAAAAACCATCGACTTTTGCAACCTGTCTCCAAGCCATCCTAGCAGAAATAGAGGAAGAAGACCTCGCTAGCTCGACAGAGATTGAGGAGATAAAAGAGATGCTGGCGTAGGACTCTGCGATTCTACTTCGTTGGCTGGGGTTTATCATGGTGCACCTTATGACACAAATATTCATGCTTATATTGTATCTGTAGATACTTGTAACAATATATCGCATTCATCTCATACTACGAAGGAATTGCAAAACAAGAACAGTGTAGCAGGAGATCACCACTGCCCGTCAGGCAATG